ATCTTTCAAAACATAATTTCAAAACTGAGGCGTATGATCTGCAGAAACGCGCACCTTGACAGTTCGTTAAGAAAGGTTATAATGCCTTGTTCTAAATTAGGAAAATCATTTAGAAATTCTTCAAATGTTGGTAAATGTTTGCATGGGCCAAAGCTCTCCTACAATCTAAGATGGAGCCACGCGCGCAGGTCAAAGCATTTGAGCAGAATGTCGGGTGTGTGTTTACCAAGACAAAATGGAGACGGCTGGTTATCGGTGTTTCGGGGTGAAGCGTCCTCATCCCACAATGGAAGAGACATGAGCTATATCTTGAACTCGGCTCGCCTCAATAACATGGGTAATCTCGATCAGCATTTTTGTAATGGAGACACAATAGTTTCACAAGTTAAAGTGACTATCATATTACACAACACAACACGTGTGTGCGTACGCTTGTCCAGACTAGTGCTGGTTTTACAGTGCTAGTCCAGTTTAAAAGGGATACCCCACTCAGACAAGGTATACTCTTCACTCCAAGCCGACCAGTCCTTGTTTCATCCCCTTAATATCGAGCGCCAGGCAGGGTAACAACAAGTACCATCTTTTAAACGTCTTTGATATGACGCGGCCGGGGATCGAACCCCCGACCTTCCGCTCTCCGGGTGGACGCTCTACCATTAGACCACGGAGTCGGAGGTTTAAGGAACATGTTTAAGTCATCCGTCGGGGTGGCAGCTTGGTGTAGGGGGAAACACTACTTGATAATTCTTAGTGAGTGAGTGGGTATGGTTTTGCGCCGCTTATATCAATATTCCAGCAATATCACGGCGGGGGACACAGGAAATGAGCTTCACACATTGTACCCATGTCAGGAATCGAACCCGGGTCCCCACGTGACAAGCGAACGCTTTAACAACAAGGCTACCCTTGCTAAAATTTTGATGTTATGTCGAATATGACCGAGATTATTTGATAATCTAGTGAGTGAGTTTGGATTGATGGCGCTTGGAAACAAAATTCAGTTACATGTCATCTCAATGTTGGAGGAAAGCCCGAAGCGATGCAGGTCATGGACGTTTCATTAGCACTTTTACCATCTTTTCAAGTATTTTGGTATCATGCGACCGGGGGTGGAACCGCTCTCCAGGCAGACGCTCTATCCACTAGATCACGGAGGAGGGCTACATAGTGTATCTATAGATGCCCTGGGGTTGACAAAATAGCGATGCTATCTGTCCATGAAAGGACACATGATGCTCTAACACGGGCACGCGTTTCTTAAAACCTCTTCTGCAACAGTCAGTGAAGAAAAGAAACTGATTAGCGGACAGGTACGCTATTTAGCAACAGGAAAAGGAGCCGAATGGTTAATATGGTGAGCAACAAACAACCCATGCTCTGGTGCAGGTCCGACCACAGAGCCAGGTCAAATGCGAGAACTGATCCTTCCTATGAACTACATCCCTCTCGGCATCCCCACGTTAGGTCCCTTTTTTTCTTCCCTGCTTTGTAAATCCCATTTTACCATGTGATTTCGTTCGAAATATGCCTCTGTTCACCCAGCAGTGAATGGGTACCTGGTAGGATGAGATTGTAACGTAACTGTTAACCTACAAGCGCCCCATAAGGCAACTTGTGCCCCGAGGAACTGAGAATGAAATTCGAAAGCACACTGATCCATAGACCGGGTTATAATGTAGCACTTTGAGCCTTATTTTGGGGGTGGATATGGCCCATTATATATACCGTATTCGACGTAATAAGCGCCCACGGCGATATTTGCTAATATATTGGCTCGTGAACAGTCCAAATTAGCACCCCTTCCGATTGATCAATGTACACAAGACCTATTTATTCGTGTATACGTGTGTTATATGCATCCTTAATTATGGGAAATAAAATTCTGGAAAAATATATCTGTCGTATATAAACATTTCAGGCTGTCAGCATAAACCACGAAATTTAGGATCTTGTTGTTTTTCACCAAAATAGTATTCTAATAAGAGCCCCCTATTTCTAATTTTGAGAGGATCCGTGAAGATCCTGGGTAGAATAGGACTATGCTTGTTGTAAGAGACGAATAACGGGATCGGGTGGTCAGGCTTTCTCACTTGGTTGATGCATGTCATCGAATGCCAATTGCGTGGATTGATGCTCATGATGTCAATCACTGGATTGCCTGGTCCAGACTCGATTATTTACAGACCGCCGTCATATAGCTGGAATATTGCTTAGTGTGGCGTTAAACAAAAAAAATTAATTTGGAGAGCGCCCTGGGCGCTTATTATGTCGAATACTGTATGCACATTATTTGTGGAAATGCCTACAAAAATAACCAGTTTCGGGAAGAATATTCAAATTGCTCACATGGCCCTGACCTTGTGAATATGACTTAAATCATCTTCCCGAGGCAAAGGAGTTTTAAAGTCCAGTTTCCACCCTTGTCGAACTAGCCTGGAATTCCTGGGTTCGATCGTAGCGCCACCAGTGTTTTTTACGAGTCATGTCCCTTCTTAGCCTATCCTATGGACCAATCAGATTCAACCTCTCGTATCAATTGCATTTGTTTCAAACAAAATAGCGGTGCCCAGTCAAGACGATCTGATCGATAATCAAGACCTATAATGTGATGAAACGGGTCTTACATCGCGAAGTGCATCAAATCACATGAGCACCTTGATCAAAAACCTGGAAAATATCTGTTGCCAACGAGTTGGCGGTGCACATAATTTGCAAATCCTGCAATCGACCGAAATCTGCACCACAGTTTACTGACCGGATTTCGATTTATTTGCGCGGTTTGATTGGACTATGAATAGACTCGTTAGTCCAGCCAAAATGTAACTCCATAATACCAGCCTAGTTCGGCAAGGGTGGAAACTGAACTTATATAGTCAGTTAACTCTCTTGGCTCGGGAAGATGACATTAAATCTACCAAATACATGGATGGTTTCTTTGGCAACAAGTCCAAATGAAATGTATGTATTCATCAAACCAAACAAGTTGTAACAACTCCTCTTTGTAATCAGGGACAGGTTCAATGTGCACCGGGAGTATCTATCTATTCACAGCAAGAGAACACACATCCTTATTTAGGCCTGTCACCTGCAGTCAGGGTATTCGTTGCCTAATTTAGCAGTGAGAGACGTCCACCGTGCAGATTATACCCATGTACTCCCTAAACCACCTGCATCTGCCCTTAACCTCAGGTAAACAGTGGAGGCCTGGTGTTGACACACTGCAATTTGCTCACCCAAAGGCTCATCTCATGTCCACAAATACTGGAAATTGCAGCACTCCTTAGAAAGTTGCCTTGATACATGTAGCTCCCCTGTTACGAGTGGAGGCCAAGTCGGGGGTTACATTCAGCATCACAATGTGAAGGGGAGCGCTTACATTTTTTATTTTTTTTAAATGTTTTTTAGTGGAAAGCTGTACAATTCTTCTACTGTAAATCTGATAGGGTGAAGTGAGAATGATTATCTCTCATGTCCGAAATACGTCTAAGTAATTATAAAAATTACATAAGCATAAACAGACTACTTTCTTTATCAGCGAGTTGAAATGGGGTTCAATGTCGCAGAAATGATTATATCACTCATATAGCCACATGGGTGGGTGCTTGCGAGCGTCCCTGCATGTACTAGTCCAAACTAATGCTGTTTTTTTTTGTTCCAGTTCACTAAGATACCATGCCGCAGTATAACATAGATACCCCACTGTGACACAGTAGACTGACTCGGGAGTTTACCTGTCCTTGTTTTATCATCTTAAAGCCGAGCGCCAGGCAGGGTAACAAAAAGTACCATCTTATAGCTTCTTTTGGTATGATGCAGCCGGGATCAAACCATCTTCCGCTCTCAATCAGGACGCACACTATCCACCAGACCTGGGGGGCAGTCCATTCTTTATCGCCAACAATATGCATACCAATATGTGAGTAGTTGTGATGAAATAGTACTATCAGTACATTGGTGAGAGTCCCTTGGAAGAGGATGCAAGTTATATCATTGCATGTCAGCTTAATGTTGTCCATGAAGTTCCGTGTTAGAATAGGTCTTCAGCAACCCATGCTTGTCTTAATATGCGACTTTGCTGGGTGGCCAGGCTCACTGACTTTGTTGATGCATGTCATCGTATCCAAATTGCTCATGATGTCAATCATTGGATTGTCTGGTCCAGACTCGATTATTCACAGGCAGCTGTCATATAGTTTGAATAGTGCTGAGTGCGGCTTATTGTGGGAGGAAGACTCAAAGTCTTAAGATGAAACTTATGGGCACAATGTCTCTCACAACACCAGGTTTTTTTTCACAATCCAAGAATCATATTCAGGAACAATTTCGTATTAAAAAGCAAATAAGTCTAGCACCCCAATATATCGCAACTTTACACAGTGAATTTCAGTGTCTTGGATGACTAGGGTGGGGCAATGACCTGGAACTGTTTCGTGATCATGATACTATTGATGGTGTACATCATCTTTGTTCTTCACAAACACTAACTTGGCTCATTCAGCATTTACTCATAGTGATACAATTAGTACGGTTCCTAGGGAAATCGCCCTGAATAACACATTTTGAAGTGAGGTGAAACCAGAAGGTGTTCAAGATTATGATGGCATGCCTGCTTGTCTGATGTATGTGTGCTAGTCCAGACTAATGCCGATTTTACAGTGCTAGCCAACTGAAATACCATACTGCAATTTCGACATGGATATCCCACTCAGACCCTAGCTATCATTGTTTTATCCACTTAATGCTGAGCACCAGGCAGGGTAACAATAAGTACCATTTTTTAACGTTTTTTAGTATGACTGGGCTTGGGACCAAACCAATGACCTTCCGCTCACTGGGCAGACAATTTCCACTGGACCACTGAGGCGGTCAATAAATTGTGAAATCATGGTACCTTGTTTTGTCACTCAAGAAAAACCTTCCAAAAAGATAATGGTTCTGAATGCAAGGGTTCACTGTATAGCAGGTGTCCAAAAACTGAATTCATACAATATCACACTGGCAACTGTTTGAAGTTTTAATGTACATTCATTGTCAACAAATGCATCACCTTCCCAGAATAAAATAAAGTAAACAGAATATATAACAGAACTTGTCAAGTTTAACAACATGCATTATTTGTAAACCATCAAAGTTTTCAAAATAAATATTAATTCATTACAGCTGACACTTAAATCTAACCTTCTTTCTTTAATTGAGTTGACAAATAATATATTCTTTAACCAATCAGTAACCTGCTTACTGAGAAAAGACCCCTGCAACGAAATCTCAGCAAATGACATGACAATATGTGAACAAAATGAGGGGTACAAACAGTTTCTCAAACAAAACAATTTCTCATACAAGTTCTCATAAATCAACAAAACGTACTTGTTTGCTTGTTTGGTAATGCTTTCCTAGCTACAGGGAGCAGGCATACGCTGCCAACAATTTCATTCAACTCGTAGGAAGCAGCACAAGGTGCCTACAGAGATCCAAGTAGATGAGGGGAGCCCGAGGGGAGCTTCACACCACGATGTGTCATGTTGAACCCCAGACTGGAGCATGGTGTGCTAACACTCTCCCCACTCACCTACCAGCATGTGCTGATCAATAATCACATGATCATTTCCATAACAAATCACCATTACTAATGATTTATATAATGAACATAAATATGCAGTATTTGGAGATAAATAGTTCACATCAGCCACCTTCATAGACAATCTTTGCACAGGTAATCTTCTCAAGTCAATCAGCAATTTTTGAACTTCCTAACCAAAACAATTGGTCGTCTTGTATATGTAAATGCTTGAACCTGAATATTAGGTACAGAAAACTATGGTTATAACAAACTCAAAGGATCAATAATCTTAGTTCATTATATCCACCATTCGTTAAACATCTTTTATTAAGTCATGTGACATGTTAATCGATAAATGTCGAAAGTGTGCACTGTACATTACAGAATATATCCACTTCAATCACTGTTACTATTGTAACTGAGGGTGTCATTTGAGCACAAGGTGTCAGTACTTAAGAGTAACTCAATTGCCTTGATCTGTTTATTGACGCTTTGAACAGCAGCGCTTGGCCGCAGATGTTTTGATAGGCATATTGGTGACACATGAGGAACTCAGCTCAGGGATTAACAGTTCGTTATACACTTAAACATTAACGATAACAGTGTACACACGGGACCACAAGGTAAGTTCGCTATATCCATTTTTTCGTTATAAGTGAGTGAGTGAGTTGGGTTTGTCGCCGCTTTTAACAGTATTCCAGTTATAATGTCGCGTGTCAGCTTAATGTGGGAGGAAAGCCCGAAGTGATGCAGGTCTCAGACGTTTACCACTTCGGTGAAACCCACGACCACGGGTATGGTGCTGACAAACCTAGAAACATAATCAGGGCGAACCGGGATCGTTATAAGTGTGTTCGTTATATCCATCAACCTTATATGAAAAAAAAATATATCGCAAATGGCAGGGACCAAAAGTTTGTGTGTTATATCTGTCAGTTCGTTAAAAGCGTGTTCATTATAAACGTAGTTTACTGTACATGAGAAAGTTAAGGCTGCGCCACCTCCATTCAGGAGGAAACCTAAACATGCTGATGTAAAGTCAGGGAAAAGTACTCTGATTTACACAAGCTGAAGTCATTCAAAGGAAGTACCGACACAGCTTTCAGGAATAGGATTATCAAGACATTTGGGGACATAAAGGCTACACATATTGCACCAATGTCAACAATAAACCAGAGTGTTGGTCTGAAGACAGTGGCAGAACCTCTTAACCACCCTGTTTCAAGTGTTTCAAGTGCTACTGCTATGTACAACCTAGTACAAGTCTTTCAGCCATGGCACAGAAGAATGACGTATTCAAACACCAAGTTATGTTGTTCACATTATGCACATAAATATTCAAAACTTTTTATCTCATCCGTATTTTTGACAAAAATTCAAGAAAATGTTGCTGATTTGATACATAGGAAAACTAGACATAAGAATGTATAGGCCATGTATAGGCCATGTATTGTTATGTGGACTTATGATGATCTGGAAGGTGCCTCCTTAGCTAAAACGAGCATGGGTTATTGCCTCTTTGTACAATATTTCAGTTTAATAGTAGACCGATACCATTTGGGTAAAACCCAGGAGCTTGGGGGTGGTTCTGGGAACAAGGGGCATAACTCAGCACCTTAGACAACTTGTGTACCCATGACCCCAAACAAACGGTCATGTAAGACCATCAAAAGAACCCACTATCACATTTGTTCCAGTCCAGGCTATACATTGGTTAAAACAAGGCCATTGAATTAACATCATTTCTAACAAAATTAAACATCTTGCACTGTTAGAGGAAGTTCAAGATGCATAGAGATAGATCAGCCTCACTTGGGGCCTATGCGGACCATCTCACAGGGGATCATGTCTGAAGCTCGGAAACTGTGTGGCAAGGGTCAGAAAAGAACACACACCTTAACTGCCCGGCGTGACACAGATGAGAACAACATATAATTCATGACATACATAGGGTCATCCTGCAAACAGAGCCTTGTTCACCATGGCACCATGACTACCAAGACTACCATGAGTCCATGTCACAGATACAGTCTTAGTGCTAGGACTGCCAGTTTAAACAGAGGACAAGTGAACTTGATGCAACAATTGTCGTAAACCAATAGTTTAACAGGCTGATGAATGTTGTAATGCCATGATCACTTGTTGGAACATCATGACTCGTTGCCTCATCACATCACAGCCCAGCTGCCCACCTTATTGACTTACACTGTCCATCTCCCACCCAGATGCTGGTGTGGAGCTAGTACCTCTTGGACGCCACACACTACGGAGTATGTACACATATTAACATATTCACACTGGCATTCATACAATTGCATAATTCACACAAACAGTACATTAGCAAGATCTCAAACAGATGGACATTGAATCTGAAAAAGATTCATGCTCAAGTTCTTGTATGTGGTGTAAAATGCTTACAAGGACTGTTCAGACAAGTTCAAAATCAAGTTGAACTGAGCATATACACAAACATATTTCTGTCAGAAAACATTTGGAATCAGTTCAAAGTGACATGCTGCTCTTAACACTGTTAAACCGCTGCAATGCCACTACAGTCACAGAGTTTGTATTTTGGGTCTTTGAAAGGGGTTCACTGGTCATTCCAAAGAATCACGAATATGGATACATGACTCATAAAATGATACACCATATACAACTCATCACAGGTCAATTATTGATAAGGATCAACAAAAACACTTCTCAAGTAAACATTAATAAGGATAAGTAGACCTAAAATCGAGGTAGTCCGAAAATATGAAACATGTTTCTTAAAATAATGAAAGGACAAAAGTGAGGAATACTGGCTATATAAATGTGTTAAAATTAATCTGGTAGCAGACTAGGAAACTTTCTTATGGACCAGTGATGTTTAGGTAGCATTGCTTCGGGCCACCGGAAAATGTTGAAGGGAGGTAACTTTGAGGTGAATACCATCAATGGAAGAATGAGTTTCCGTACTGCTGTGACTCTCAGTACTTTAAATGAAGTTTCAAACATCCACACTCCACAATGTCAGAGCTCTGTTCTCCAAATCTAACAGACTAACATACATTGATGTACTTGGCCACAGAACTGTCCCAGCTGTCTCTCCTGCAAAAATATACATCTTTTCTTTGTTCACTATCCTTTCTCATTGAGCATGAATCTAATGCCATGAAAATACAAAACAGATACAGACACTTGTGCACTTCACACTGAGTTGAGAGATCTTACACAAATATATATGCCATGATTTAGGATAAGCTTTCCAATGGATGACTATGTGACACGCTTGCACCTTCATGATTCTCCGAGACAAAATACTGGTAAAAGGCAGGGAACAGTTGGAGACTATGGGATGTAAGGAAGCATCACCATGACAGCATCACCATGACAACATCAACAACAGACAGGATAAGTTTTACAAGGAAAAGGAGAGAGTGGTAATAGGAATTGACTGACTGACATGATTCCATTGTCTTCCAGTTACTGATGAACTGGAGGAGACCCTGGACATATTTCACAACATCAGATCATTCCATTCACTTTTGAATAGATCTTGGTAGTTCAACTTTTCTGCATAGCTTATAACCATGGTTACTTTATATATACAACCAGATTAACCATTCCAAATCAAACATATTAGGTAACAGTACAGTTCAATCTGTCACCATTCCTCTCAATGGCAAAGTGACAGAAGTCAAAAGTGATGCAGGTCCAACACTTTGGTGAAGCGAGTTAGCATGGAGACGCTGACAAACTAATGATCATAAACAGGGAAATCCTCTAATTTAAAATAATATAAGCAGATCCTGGCAACTGCACAATGAACTACGGCGTCTTCAACCACAGCATTACACATTACCCAGCAAATGGTTAAGATAGAACCTGTCTGACAATAAGGCTTTTTCAAAGAAATGGAGTCTTTTAAAAAAAAAGTCTTTTTCTTACACTAAGGACTTCATGTAGTCCATTTCAACGCATAGCATCACTTTGACAACTGTCACAGACTCTAAAAACACCAGGACTGTTTATCTCATCAGATACACAGACAGTACAAGCACCCCCATTCATCCATCTGCTCATCCATGCATCTACTTCTTGCCCCCGCCCCAAAGCCAGCCCTTGACGAAGCCCGTGATTCCTCCTGCAGCCTTCTTCTGCTCCATCTTCTCTTCCAGGGAGGGGAACTCAACATGATTCAACGCAAGGTCAAAGAATAAAGGTCGACAAGGAATAGGCTTGAAATCTGGTGGGAACGCTGTTATATTCGGCTTCTTGCTGGTCAAAGACTTATCTTCTGCAAATGTGTCCAAACGATCTTTGAGAGGCTGAAAAAACACCATACAAAATAATTATTGAAAACAACTTCAGCTACACCTTTTTGAGGGAATGTTAATTGTTAACATAGAAACCTTCATTTTAAGAATACAATAAATGCCTAGTCAAAACAGAGGGCCATCAAAGTTATCTGCCCTTTCAAATGTCAGCAAGAGGCCTATTGATTAACCAACACAAATTGAGGGTGACAAAAGTTACCTCCCCTCAATACCATAATATCTCTATCTTTCTTCTTTGCTTGGTGAATCTTACCCTCTTGTCACTAGATGGCAGCACCCCAAGGCTGTCAGCAGCATCATCCGTCTTCAAGATACTGGAGGCGTGGCACGAATACATCAGTCCATTGACGTCTTTCACCAGCTCATTCAGATTGGCTACTTCACCCTGACATACAAAGTAAAGTCAACGTTTAGTTTGATGATTATATTAGGGTGCTCTCAGCAAAGGTCCCACTATATTTAAAGCTACACCAGACAATCCACTGATTGATAGTGTGAGCAACAACCCACACCCTCTGGCGACACCATCAACCAAAACACCGAGCCTGAACACCAATCCACTAAGCTGCCTCTTACGACCAGCATTGGTTGCTGGGAACCTATTCTAGCTGCTGCTCACATTCCACAGATATTTCGATCAATGAATATATTCTTAAAAAAAACTTATGTTTCATGCTGCATATTTATTTCTTTGAATATACAAACCAGTATTAAACATGTTAAAAGACAACAAATTGCATCCTTTAGATGGAAAATAACACTGTCCCTTTGGAAGACAATTTTTGATTAAGACCTTTGTTGTTTAACGTCGCATTCAGATATACTCTGTAAATAACCAAGTTTTGACCAGACAATCAAGTGATTGATATTGTGAGCAATAACCAATGCTGTCAGGGTACAATGACACGCAAGACACCGAATCTGACCAATCAATCCATTTGGTTGCCTCTTATGACCAGCATAGGTTTGCTGAGTATCAAAACTAACCTGACATCCCCACGAGGGGGAAATGAAGATTAAATATCACCAACCTTAAACATCCCCTGGGGTTTCAGCTTCTTGTACCCTGACAATGCTTTGTCTGCATTAGTGATTGTCCGTTGATACAAGGCTATGGCTTCAGTCCATTTCTTCGCAGCAGAGTACGACTGAGCAATGTAAAAGGATCTGCAAGGACAAAGTGTGATAATGCTGCCTTTAATATATCATTCTTAGCATGGGGAGTGAGTATGGCCAATACATCATCATGAACAATATCTCAATTGAATACATGACACTTTTTTATGGATTACAACTTCTTTTATTCAGTTATATCACAGCACACATCAGCTCAATGAGGTTAAGCACTTTCAGGCAACAAACAAAAGCATTGTAACTGGAACGAGGATTGAATTAAACTCACAAGCAGAGGATCCTCACAGAAAAGGGAGACAACTCTGCATGGGATTTTTAAACCTTAAAATCAATGGGCCATCAATATCCAAAGTGACTAGTTTGTTTCAAATGACACACGTTTTATCCATACCACTAGTCTCAGAATGATATGGATTCAGCACCACACCACAGTGTGCGCACAGCTCTCAGTAACTCAGAAATATGAACTAGTAAGCGTTTTGTTAACATCATATCCTTTCACTTACCTAGATGCTTTAAAACTTGTGACTCTGGTTGTGATTTCCTCTAACAATGAGGGACTTTCTTCTAACCCATGAAGATTGGGTATATCATTTAAATTCTGAAAGGTAAACAAACATCCTATTAAGAGATGATGATCAGAGGGAGTAAGTTGGGTTTAACGCCGCTTTTAACAGTATTCCAGTTATATCACGGTGTGTCAGCTTAATGTGGGAGGAAAGTCTGAAGTGATGCAGGTCTTCAACATTACCCATTTTGCTGGGGCTATGGTGCTGACAAACCTAGTTATAATTGGGGCAAACCGTATCATCATGATCAAAGGCGTCTGGCAAGTCCAAGGGAAGCAACTCTGCATAGAGAAATATGGTGCCTCTGGACGACTGGGCCACCCAACCACCCACAGAAGATCAGGACAACATATCAAGAATACACCACCACCCTGAATAAAGTGAGTCAATGAGTTGGTATTTCAGTTATATCACAGCATGTCAGCTTAATGTGGGAGGAGAGCCCAAAGTGAAGCAGGCCCCAGACGTTTACCACTTCGGTGAAACCCACGAGCACGGGTATGGTGCTGACAAACCTAGAAACATAATTGGGGAGAACCGGGATTCGAACCCACAATCATAGGTTTCTTGCATGCCCATGGGATGCAACTCTGCATAGCAAATCATGGCACCTTTGACGACTGGTCACACACACCCCCACTCGGAATAAGTGTACTCAGTGCTTACGCCACCTCACCTGAATAATGATGTCGTACAGCCTAACGAGGTCCTGGGGCTTGGTGATCTTCCTGCCCTCCTCCACCAGCTTCCCTGGCAAGTAGTTCTTGAGGTTGTCTATCAGCAACAGGTTCCTCTCCACAGTCTTGGTGAGCCGCAGGTACGTCAGGTAGGAGTGCAGGTAGTGCTGATTGGAGATCCTTCCTTCCACAGGCTGGCCGCGGGTCACAGCTTTAAACACCTACACAAACATTACTCTACTGTTAATCTCTGTCTTTAGATGGTGAAAAAATATATAGGCATTTCAGGATTTTTTTAACATAAACACTAGGGAAGAGAATATATGGATGTCAGCTTCTTTTTTATGAGGAACACAACTTAGTAACCTACTGTCACTTACTTCCTAACCTGTCTTATCATAGCAATACCGGCCATATACCATCTTCATTGTGAGAATGAAAATTTGAGAGTGGGGTAGAATGATAGAAACTCGCTAAATTTATCACAAACTGAGAATGGACAATGACAATGTTTACATTTATATATATTGGATATATTTCCCATATCATTTCACACTGAATTCAATGACCACTGTCATGCATTACACGACTGAAAATGCAGGACAACTTGTATTTGTAAATGATCGGCACCCAAAAAAATAATAGTTCGCAGGAAGGTGCAATGACTTTCCATGAACCCAGTGATGAGGCTAGTTTTATCTCTGGGTTGGGATCCCCATATACATAGTATAATGTACCCCAACTGTACCTGATCGTCATGTAGAGCATCTCGCAGGGCCTGCTGGGCATCAATACACTCCTTCAGCAAGGATTCATAAATGGACACTTTAGTCTCATTATTGTCTGCCGACTCCAGTTCCTTGGAGCTCTCCTGCAGGTTGAGGAGGAAGACCCTAACAGACTCCGTTTTCACAGGCACCGTCCGTCCCTGCCATGTTATCTCAGACAAGGTAGCCGCCTGCTTCTCTCGGGTCTGAGACAGAAGGTCCTACACAAAGAAGAGTTTCTCTCATGGGAACATGCGCTTCATATACAAAATAGTACTCAATCTTAGTGTCTTCCATGTTCTATTCATCTCTCAGAGAAATAATTTGATATTTGTCTCATGCCACAGTCAGCAAAACTAATATCACTGTTGCTGCAATGATCAAGTCTGAACAAAGCAAACCACACATTGTAACTAGGTGCGGTGAGGTGAGATGAGGGGAAAATGGGTTTAACACCACGTCCAAGATTATTGCACTTATGTTTTGTATCTGCTTGTACTAGTCTGGAGTGATGACGATTAATAGTGCTAGCCTACTGAGATACCATGCCGCAGTTTAACATGAATACCTCACTCAGACACAGTATACCAATTCCGAGCCGACCAGTCCTTGTTTTAGCCCTTTAATGTCGAACGCCAGACAGGGTAATAACAAGTACCATCTTTTAACGTCTTTTGGTATGACGCGGCCGGGGATCAAACCCCGGACCCGCCGATCTCCATTGTAACTAAAGCTGTAACGATTCACCAATACCTACATTATCGTCGATACTAAGGTAAAGATGATACTTGAATGGTCAGTTAGTGACATTGTGAAACGCAATAATAGAACAAAAACTGATGGAGTGACTGCCTGTAACGGCAGGAGCAGCACAGAGCAACGTGTAAGCCTGGCGGAACAAGAGGATGTGGTGATGGAGGATGCCTGCTACTATTACATTTAATATAGCAATCCCTTCATTTAAAACTGTTTTGCTCTTGTTTTTTTTGCTTAAAGCAGTTTTGTTTTTGATACAATAAGTAAATGCATGAATCCGGAGGTTTTAGAGTTAAATTTCAGTGTTTCATCATTTCTTACTTTTTGTTTGTGTATCATGATACCCTTGCTATTGTCAGTCTGTATCGTGATATGTATCGTATCGCAAGATACCAGGCGATACTCAGCTCTAATTGTTACTTTATTTCAGTCAGTAGCATGTGGCATGATTCAGCTCACACAAAACCCACATGGAAATAAGTGAGGCAAAATGAGTTCTAACATTTCATTCAAGATAAATGCACTTAGATAGCAACATGTCTACATTTAAATATAATTGTGAAGTGAATTGTACAGATCAAATTATTTGTTCCACTTACGTCCAGTTTTGATGTAAGTTGGTCCTCTCCAGACTTGAGCCTCATGTTCTGGAGGTCTCGAATGGCGGACTCGTCTCCGATGTTGTAGGCACAGTAGCGTATATTGGGGGAGATCTCCTCCACGCGAGACTGGTACAGCACCTGCAGGTCCTCTGTCAGTGCTCCGGACAGCTTCTCATAGATCGTCCTGAAAGCAGCAGCCATGTCTTATACAACAAGTCATGATCAGAGGTAATCAGTGAGTGAGTATGATTTTACGCCGCTTTTGGCAATATTCCAGCAATATCCCAACAGGGGACACCAGAAATGGGCTTCACACATTGTACCCATGTCGGGAATCGAACCCGGGTCTTCGGCGTGACGAGCGAACGCTTTAACCACTAGGCTACCCGACCGCCCCGGGGACACCAGAAATGGGCTTCACACATTGTTATCATGTCGGGAATCGAACCCAGGTCTTCGGTGTGACGAGTGAATGCTTTAACCACTAGGCTACCCAACCACCCCCATGCGTGAGTGATTGAGTATGGATTTACGCCGCTTTTAGCAATATTCCAGCTAATCACGACAGGGAACACCAGGAATGGGCTTCACACATTGTAACCATGTCGGGAATCGAACCCAGGTCTTTGGTGTGACGAGCGAACGCTTTAACCACTAGGCTACCCGACCGCCCCCCATGCAAACAGTGACCTGGTAATAACCTTGATACAAATAATTTAAAAGTCTGCAACAATTCCCTTACTTAGCACTAGTGTACTGTTCCATAGCATTCTCCCAACTTGACGATTCAAAGTAGAGAGAACCTTTGATCCATGCATTGTAGGCCTGAAAATAAACAGAAAAGTTCAAAATGTTGATCAAACATTTCAAGTATACATGATACCCATATTTGTTTGTTGGTTAACCCTACACTGAACAATATTCAAGCTATGTAATGATGATAATGTTTTAAGACGGCGACCTGAAAACAGTTGCGTTTGGACCAGACAAAGCAGTGATTGATGTTTTGTTCTGTTCTGTAAAGGGACAACGACACACAATGAATCAAATCACCAAACCTGACACCCCGATCCATTAACACACCACACATGACCAACATAGGTTGCTGGGGATCTATTCTAACTGTGTTTCACTAGAGGGGAAATAATGCAAAATAATGTAATAAAACTGACAAAGACAAAGGGATAACTACTGCACTTAATGAGCATGTGATGATGAATACACAGGTTTCTGGTATCCCAAAGGGACGCAACTCTGGCTTTTAAATTGCAGTGTCTTTGTCCACTGACCTGACACTCCAGCTTCGTCCGTGCATCACACTTGGGGCTGTCACTAAGGGCACTCAGTTCACCTGCATGCTGCACAGACTTCTGGAGACGCGCCATCAAGTGGAACCTTTTCCTTGGCTCCGTGTTGGCCTCGGACTGGAGCTGCATTGCAAATGCCCATGCCCTCTCAGCAGAGAACAGTGGTAACTGAAGGTATCTGGAATAAACAATTACACAAGGACAGTTAAAGGTTAATTACCTAATGGTAAAAGTGGTAGTCCACAAGGAAATGTCTCTGGTCTGTCTTGCAGTCTCAGGCAATCAGACATACATTAATTCAAACCCTGCAAGTCATGCTAATCGGATGTTATGATTCTCCAACAGTTGGTACACTGCAATACTGTTTCACAATGTTTGGTTATGAGGCTGTGTATTCAGAGTTCATTCTGGACTTGAAAAGAAAATCTGATGGGCCTTTACAGATAATATAGATGACACACGACATACGTTTTTCGTCTGACAGTTTAAACCACAGGTAAAGTTCAAGCCAATTCCTTTGAAACGCGAGGTGAATATATACTTAATTTCGGGGTCTTCTACAGGGTCAAGTAATTTCATTGAATGAACTTTGTTTTGATTCAGAACGATACACAAATGCAGCTGTCAGACATTTATCGTGCTAATGATAAGATAAGTTTATGACATATTATATATAATACACAGAAACACATTTTATTGCAGATACATTTCCTTCACATCCACACTTTACAAAAATAAATGCAGAAATACCAACCACACAGGTCATTTTGAGACACCATTACTCATTACACAATGAAATCATCCATCCATTCAGTGAGTGAGTTGGGTTAAACACAGCTTTTAACAGTATTACAGTTACATCACGGCGTGTCAGCTTAATGTGGGAGGAAAGCCTGTGATGCAGGTCTCAGAAGTTTACCACTTCGGTGAAACCCAAGAGCATGGATATGGTGCTGGCAAACCTAGAAACATAATCGGGGCAAACCCACAATCATAGGTTTCAGACGTGTCCAAGGGACGCAACTCTGCACAGCAAATCCCGGCTCCTTAGACGACTAGGCCACCTGTGCCGCCCCACCCCCTCCCATTCAGAGGATGTGTTAAAATGGTATATGTTTATAACCTGTTAACTGACAGACAAGATAATGTGGCATGACATAAGACACTCATGAAACAGTTTAGATCAGCAAAAACAAAGCCCCATTCAATTGCTACATTGGGGGCTCATCATGCTCAATACCTTGGATCTGTAAGCATTTCTATGCTGATTTTCTTTGGTTGAACTTTGTGTTTACTACCCTGTGGAAAGTGTAGAGACTTGCGTATTCTCCTGATTCTCCTTGAGCAGTAACTCCTGCAAAACACATACACGAACATGTCACAGCCTGGTGTTGCTTGATGCCAACCTGCATTTATTCCCAATCCTATTCACCATGTGTTTACACTTTATTATTGTTGTGGCATTATTGCACCTAAACAAGCTGAATGAGAGAACTTCTAATTTCTTCAAATCAGAATAAAACAATTAAACATTGGTAGGGATGGCTGAAAAGATTGATAATCAGAAATATTGTTGATGGAAAAAAATATCAACGATTTATTGATATTAAATTATTGTCACTGACAATAACTTACATAAACTATTGTAATGAAATAAAGTTAAGATTTACCGAAACAGATTTGTTAATGTCAATAATGCCAATAGTCGAAGACGGAAAGCAACCGTTTATGTTGTCTCAAATGTCCACAAAGTAACCCATGCATAAATGAGTCACTTCTCACATGTGACGTGAAATATATTGACTTCTTTCGGGAGTTTCTATCATATTTGCTTAAAAGTTACTTCTCCGATATTTATTGATATTTAGTTAGCGATTATCGATCTCTATAATCCATACCGATAGCCAGCCCTAATGATTGGGAAAGTCAGGTTCAAATATTGTGCAGAATTATCAAGAGAATTACCAACAATCAGAACACTGACTAAGTATCTGTAACCAGGTTGTCTCACCTGTAACGCTGATAGTCTCCATGTCTGAGACCATGCTGTTGCTGTGCCTCTTTGATTAACTGGAGAACTGAAGACAGAATGTACACAAATAAACACAATAATACTCTTAAGAAAATAACACATCTACAATGTCTAGCTCTAGGTGAGGTGAAATCAGGTTAAACGTCTCCCCCTAGATTGTTGAACTCATACAGTGGTGTGCATACACATGATACATGTGTGAGTAGCTGCTTTTACTAGTACGGAGAAGGCTAGCCAACTGAGATACCCTTCCAGTGAGTTTACCTCTGGTATCCCACAATACTGACCCCTAGAGAGCTGGGCCTTGTTTCATCCCCTAAATGCTGAGTGCTATGTAAGGTAACAAGAAGTACCACCTCTTCCGTGTGCGAAATACGCATCAGTTGGAAAGCGCACGTTAAATCTCCAAAGTAAGTAAGTAAGTAACCACCTCTTTGACACAACCAGGGGATCAAACCCGACCTTCCACTCTCCAGACAGATATTCTATCCACTACACCACAGAGATGGTCATGTACTTCTTGACCAAACTCATTATTTCGTGTATAATGCGCACCCCCTTCTACACAGCTGTGTTTTTTGGAAAAAAAAGTGTGCACTATACACAAGAAAATATGGTAACAGCCAAGTTGAGTTAACACTGTATCCGATTGTCAGAAAACAAGAAACATCATAATCATATTATAATCACAGGTAATGAGGGTTTTTTTTATCAGTAAATATTCACATAAAATGCTGTGGGTCTGAAAAAAATTCCATGTGTCCTTTCAAAATGTATACTTATCGAACATGTTCCAGTGACTGAAAATATATTCTGTCTCTTAGTATTACAAAGAATCAAAGACCCCTACCCCTCTGAACATATAACACTAACCAGTCTAACATACATCATTTAACATGGCAAAATGTACCTTACAAGGATGATGATATATATCATATATAAAATATATACTAATTTTCAGAAACTGGAGAGGGTTAATCCATTATTATCATGATTACTGCTATCAGTGTGTCATTACTAATGTGATCAATATATGATTATCTGCTAGTGATGTCATCACTCTTTACCATGTTTACCAACATATGCCATTGTCATGATTATAAACATGTCATCAATCCAAACAGAGCAAGGCTTTGATTGACATAGAAACTATCAAATTGATAGTTAATCACATAGAGCACATTCCACCAAATAACATGAACAAATATTTGACAGGTGTATGTCTGTTGCTTATATTCAGCTTAAAGATGTATTTTTTCAAACAGCTGATAGCTACACAATACCAATGACATGGACCCATGAAGATCCAAATCAGGACTTTAGCAATCCATTCTAGTCGTAAAGCCAACTAACGGGATCAGGTGGTCAGACTTGCTAACTTGGTTGATGCATGTCATCGCATCCTAATTGCGTAGAGTGATGCTCATGATGTCAATTACTGGATTGTCTGATCCAGACTCAATTATTTACAGACTGCTAATAGCTAGAATATTGCTGAGTGCGGCATTAAATAACAAACATACACAAACAAACCAAGGATATGATGGATCAAAGTTTTTCATGGTTTTTTTTCAAGAATTAAATAAATATTGCAGATATTGACATTCAAACACAAAAACTGAATAATGCATTGACTGCATGTTCCGATTATTTAGACGTTGCATACCACCTAAGTATTAAGTCAGCACCTTCTACAGAAATGGATGAACTGTTGATGTGAACCATATGGGAAAATTGATAAGTGAATGTTATGTCTATTGGCTTCAATATCAACATATACACAATATGGTCAACATCGTCAAAGGTTTTATCCGTGGTCAGTTCTTTTCTCTTGTCACAGCTTGCAGTCATCAACACATATAACACAAAATGTGTTGTAAGAACACTAAATGAGTTTCGACTTAACAAATCCATCTGTTCAGGTTTGCAAAAATTAGTCACATGTTTGAACATATTGGTTTCTGTCTCTTTAGACTTATGATATGCTTGTTCACTCAGGAAGAAGAAACATTCAAGGTAATTATCTATTGTTCATTTGCATACCTTCTACCGTAAATGACTGAGGTATTGCTTGGGTAGAAGTCGTCTGTTCGCCAGACATTTCACTTTCTTGGCCCACGCTTTCCCCTTCACCCGCCATCTTGGTTTCTGACACGACAAATGATGCCGCGCCCCCTACCGGAAGTATATACTTGGGACATAACTCTCAATGCCCCAAGGCTACAGTGGATGGATCATGCAATATTTACCAGCCGCTCAGATTTTACGCGTATTAAAAAATACTTAAATAAGTCAGTTTGCGATATAGACAGATTTGATTTTTAATGTGTGAAAAGATGAATATCTATAAGACAAAAAGTGTGTCTGATATTTTGGTTTAAAATTAATTGTCGGGTTATGATATTATTATTTTAAATTTTTTTCATCACAAGAATGCAAGGTCATTTTGAGAATTAACAAGTATATTTTATGCCTCCTGTTTAAGTAGTTATTTCAAGAAACATATACCTAGTGTCAGAACTTGTATTTGACAACATAAACTGTATTTGTTTGACGTTTGAAGTTAAAGATACACAAGGTATAAAATAGACTTACTATTTATTCCAGTCTGAAATTTTCCGTCGTCATATAAATAGAATATCGCTGAGTACGGCTTTAAACACTCACTCTTACTCACTCACGGTAAACCTTATGTTTTAAGGCGCTGATTCACTGTCCAGAGTTGCATCCCTTTTTGACCTGATGAAAGCCTTGGTTTGTTAACATCATACTTAACTTGTGGGTTTCACCGAAGTGGTAAACGTCTAAGACATGCGTAGCTTTGGATTTACCTCCAACAGTAAGCTGACACGTCGTGATATAAATGAAATATTGTTCAAAGCGGCGTTAAATCCAACTCACTCACTCACTTACCCGCCCACGCCCAGGCGCCTCAATCTTTAGGCAATAAACGTTCCTCAATACTGAACCTTACCATGCATGAATAATAGCTATACACAGCCGGGCGCATGCGTACAGCGCTGCAAGGAAATAGATAGCGATTGAAATACAAGTACAGCTTTAATTATAAGTCTATTCTATCGCAAGAAGGAAGCAGACTGAACCCAGTTGTGGACACTGGAGGCAAGGTTAGATCATAGATGCTTTCTTTCTTAACTCGTTTCATCCACATTATTTATAATTAAGATTACAGGTTTTCATGAGGGCGATGATTTTACTTTCTTTAAAAGTGTATATGTTAAGATTTAGCAGATATTTAACATTTGATTTACTAGTCTATATCCTGAAACCTCGTTGAATTTCACCATTGGGTAAGCTCAGCAGATATTTTCGCAGTATAGGACTAGTTTATCACAGTGACGTATTGTGCCACATAGAGAATCTCACCCGAGACCAAAGACACAAGGATGAGATTCTATAGATACATCATTTTCAATTTGTAAACAGCCATCAGCAGTGTCTTGAGAGTAAAAACTACAGTTATTGAAGTGATCTTCCCTGGGAGAGATCGCTTGATCTCACCCAAGCGGTTTCTCCCGTGGAATCCAGTTTGAGATGATAAATTTATTTCAATGTTCAATATTTACTATGCTTGTTGTAAGAGGCGACTAACGGGATCGGGTGGTCAGACTCACTGACTTGGTTGATGCATGTCATCGTATCCCGATTGCGTAGATCGATGCTCATGCCATCCATCACTGAAGTGTCTGGTCCAGACTCGATTATTTACAGACCGCCGTCATTTAGCTGGAATATTGCTGAGTGCGGCGTAAAACAACTAGTCCGGACTAATGTCGATTTTATTGTGCTTGTCCACTGAGATACTATGCCGCAGTTTAACATGAATACTGACTCCGAGCCGACCGGTTCTTGTTTTTGCCTATCAATACCGAGCGCTAGGCAGGGTAACAACACGTACCAACTTTTTAACGTCTTTGTGTATGACGCGGCGGGGGATCGAACTACCGACCTCCCGCTCTCCGGGCGGACGTGTATTATTTCCTTTGGGTTTTTCTACTTTGGGATCTGACTGGATTTGGCTATCTGATCAAATCGTGTGTGTGTCTGTCTGTGTGTCTTTGTGTGTATGTGTGTCTTTGTATGTACATATGTGTGTGTGTGTGTCTGTGTATGTGTGTGAGTCTGTGTTTGTTTTTGTCTGTTTGTATGTGTGTATGTGTTTTCTATATCACAGTCTTCCATCTTCCTTTTATCCTATGTAACTCGGGGTCAAGGGTGGACAAGTCGTCTAAGGCGCCCCGATTTACGTCCCTTGGACACGCCAGAAACCTATAATTGTGGGTTCGAATCCTGGTTCGCCCCGATTTTGTTTCTAGGTTTGTCAGCACCATACCCGTGCTCCTGGGTTTCACCGAAGTGATAAACGTCTGAGACCTGAATCACTTTGGGCTTTCCTCCCACATTAAGCTGACACGCCGTATAACTGGAATACTGTTAAAAGCGGCGTTAAACCCAACTCACTCACTCCTATGTAACTCATAGTATGTAAATCATTGGGTCTATAAATGTGAAGGGATTTCCCAACCCATTACCTGCGTTCTTGCAGCATGACACTCCTTGCATCAATCTGTCTGTCGGTGCTGGTCATCGTGGTGCCGGGGAAGTCACAGAACGTCGTCACGTTGCCGGGGGATATCCTGATGGGAGGGTTGTTCTCCATACAGTCAAGTGAAGGCGGCCAGTGTGCCGGCATCGACCGTGTCTCTGTTCAAATTCACGAAGCCGTTCGATGGACCCTCAAGCAACTCAATCGCCAGAACTTCATCCCAGGGATCACCCTAGGTAGGTAGAAGTATAACATGCTAATTATTTCCTGAATCTTAGCTGATGCATGATGCAACTAATTGACCCCCAGGCCTTCATCCCATTCGTCTTAATTAGCTGTGAAGAAATTGCGTCCATTATAACCTATAATCGTGGGTTCGAATCCTTGTTCTCCTTGATTATGTTTCTAGGTGTGTCAGCACCATACACGTGCTCGCGGTGAAGTGGTAAACGTCCGAGGCCTCCCTCACTTAGTTTGACACACCATGATATAACTGGAATGCAGTTCAAAGCGGCGTCAAACCAATCACCATCACTTAGTGACAATAATGATTTTGATCTTGACGTTCGTGTTGGTGTCATCACTAAAACGTTTACTGTGAGACAGCAGGTTCTTGAATTACAAGTGCAGAGATTGTGCTACTTACACGTAAAGAGCATCTTCCCGAGGCAAGGGAGTTAACTGACTATAAAAGTCCAGTTTCCACCCTTGCCGAACTAGGCTGGAATTTCTGGGGTCGATCGTAGCGCCACCAGTGGCTATTACGAGGTATGTCTCTTCTATATTGTAATATAACGGGCCGTACCCCGCGAAGTGAATCAAATCACTTGAGCACCTTGATTAAAAACATGAAATAAATCGCAAAATATCTGTCGACGCCCAGTTGGCGATACGCATGCTTTGCAAATCTTGCAGTCGACCGAAATCTGCAACTTGAAATCCATGTCGTTCGTTACGCGATTCTGATTGGACTGTACATAGACTCGTTAGTCCAGCCAAAATGTAACTCCAGAATTCCAGCAAGTTCGGCAAGGGTGGAAACTGGACTTTTATAGTCAGTTAATTCCCTTGCCTCGGGAAGATGGTAAAGAGAACCACTGAAGAAATATTTCGCTCATGGGGTTGGAGGGGGTTCGTGTTTGTGTTTTTATGTCTCGGCCCAAACATTTCTTTTGTGGTTAACTCAGCCTAATTGATAAATGCCACGGGGCTTCTGACGAAACGCGGGGACTTCAGTCCACCACGAGAAAACATCGACCACATCAGCAGGCCTGAGCAACCGATCATTGTGTTGTCACTACATGCATGTTAAACGAGAATCTAGTGGATATTTGCACGGGGATGCTAGGTTTTCAGCTGTGACTGAATATGTGCCATCGTCCATGTACATCGATCACAGGTTTGTCTGATCCAGATTCAATTACATCCACGTGTACCGTGATATAGCTGTTCTATTACTGACTACGACGTAACAGTGTGATAGTGAGTGAGTGAGTGAGTGCCCCTAACTAATATCGAGTCTGTACCTCTCTAACAGATGATACAAAGCATGGGTAATAGGACACGACGACACACAAGTCACCAAGCAGGACTGCACTTACTCGCATGACAAGCATGGGTTACTGGGAATCTATATACCCACTCCACCCCTACCCCCACCCCCACCCCCACCACCCCGCGGGTAAATACGGCGTAACAATTGTAGAATGTGTTTACTTTGATGTTGTTTTACTGGAGTATATCATTTTTCTTCGATGTTGTATAACTATAGCATATGTGTTTTCTTCGATGTTGTGTAACTATAGCATATATTTGTTCTTCGATGTCGTATAACTATAGCATATGTATTTTCTTCGATGTTGTAGATATCATATATTTGTTGTTCGATGTTGTATAACTATAGCATATGTGTTTTCTTCGATGTTATATAACTTTAGCACATGTGTTTTCTTCGATGCTGTAGATATGATATATTTGTTCTTCGATGTTGTATAACTATAGAATATGTGTTTTCTTCGATGCTGTAGATATCATATATTTGTTGTTCGATGTTGTATAACTATAGCATATATTTGTTCTTCGATGTTGTATAACTATAGCACATGTGTTTTCTTCGATGTTGTAGATATCATATATTTGTTGTTCGATGTTGTATAACTATAGCATATGTGTTTTCTTCGATGTTATATAACTTTAGCACATGTGTTTTCTTCGATGCTGTAGATATGATATATTTGTTCTTCGATGTTGTATAACTATAGAATATGTGTTTTCTTCGATGCTGTAGATATCATATATTTGTTGTTCGATGTTGTATAACTATAGCATATATTTGTTCTTCGATGTTGTATAACTATAGCACATGTGTTTTCTTCGATGTTGTAGATATCATATATTTGTTGTTCGATGTTGTATAACTATAGCATATGTGTTTTCTTCGATGTTATATAACTTTAGCACATGTGTTTTCTTCGATGCTGTAGATATGATATATATTTGTTCTTCGATTTTGTATAACTATAGAATATGTGTTTTCTTCGATGCTGTAGATATCATATGTGTTTTCTTCGATGTTGTATAACTTTAGCACATGTGTTTTCTTCGATGCTGTAGATATGATATATTTGTTCTTCGATGTTGTATAACTATAGAATATGTGTTTTCTTCGATGCTGTAGATATCATATGTGTTTTCTTCGATGTTATATAACTTTAGCACATGTGTTTTCTTCGATGCTGTAGATATCATATATTTGTTCTTCGATGTTGTATAACTATAGAATATGTGTTTTCTTCGATGCTGTAGATATCATATGTGTTTTCTTCGATGTTATATAACTATAGCATATGTTTTTTCTTCGATGTTAACATAGGTTTGATGGCCTACAAGACGTGTTCTCTGCCAGCTCTCGCCGTGAAACAGACATTGGAACTGATAGAGACAGCTTCCCGCAATGAAACATCATTTCTCTATGGTAGGTACCGGGGGCTCCTAAAGCTATTTTAACAGTTTCGAGGACGGTCAGGTAGCCTACAGTAATTTATAATAGACCTCGTCACGCCAAGACCCTGGGTCAATTGCAGGGTGCTATATTTACTGTGTCTTCGGGACGTTGTGGTTTGCCATGCCTGAATCATACGAAAGCCTAATGGTGCCACTTTGGTAGCATAATTATATTTTTCCTAAATCGAAATATTTCGTTATTTCAATTATTTTCTCGTCATTTCGACTTTTTTTTCTCGCAATTTCAATTACTTTCTCGTTATTTCGAGAACTCGAAATGTCAAATTTATCCTCGTTATTTAAATTATTTTCTCGTAATTTCGAGTTTTTGAAATAAAGAGAAAATATTCGAAATAACGACATAATAATCGAAATTGTAAGTTTTTGAAATAACGAGAAAATAATCGAAATAACAAGAAAAAACTCGAAGCAACGAGGAAGGTCAGGTAGCCTACAGCAACGAGAAAATAAACGAAATAACGAGAAAAAATCGAAGTAGCGAGAAAATATTAGAAATTACGAAGTTACAATCGAAATAACGTGGGGAGAAAATCGAAATTTCGAGAAAGTAAACAAATGATTCAAATAACGAGAACTACCGATTTAAGAAAAAATATGCTACCAGAGTGGCACCATTAGGCTTTCGTAGAGTCATTATTCATCGTCATAAAGAATCAAGACCAGGCACGATAATACTTGACAAGGAAATATATGTATTGTGCGATATTCCTCTTCAAAGACCTGAAAATGTACAAAGAAATATTTATACGGGAGCTTATAAATTAACAAAGTTGACCTATTCCAAATTTAAGCAACTTAATCTTTTTTTAAAAATGAATGAGACACAATCACGGACACAAAAAGCAAACGATTAATATCCTGGTTCTAAGCTTTAGCGCAAAACACACAAAAGCAGTAATCTCGAATTCATGAACGTGTTGACACAAATGCTTGCTTTAAACTACGATATTTTCTGAATACACTTTATACTTCCTATTCAGCGACAGGAAAAATATGTGTGTTTACTCGATGAATTAATAACAGCGACGCACATACAGGAATTAGTCTGAGGATATTCTGATAGTCAGATTGTCCAAGAAAAGGCTTGAAAAAATAATTATGCTGCAGACTTTGGCAAAAATAAAATAATTGTCTTCAACCAAAAGAAAATAGATTGTTGTAAGATGTTTGCTTTTTTTTATACTATTTAGGTTCATAGTTTTAATCAAAATACAGTAAACTACGGTTTTAACGAACACGCTTATAACGAGCATACGGATATAACGAACTTACTTTTTTGGTCCCGACTAATTGCTGTAGTTATGCGGTATATATGCTTATAACGAACTACGGTTATAACGAACTAAGGGGCGGTCGGGTAGCCTAGTGGTTAAAGCGTTCGCTCCTCACGCCGAAGACCCGGGGTCGAATCCCGACATGGGTACAATGTGTGAAGCCCAATTCTGGTGTCCCCCGCCGTGATATTGCTGGACTATTGCTAAAAGCGGTGTATAACCATACTCACTAACTCACTATAACGAACTAAAATTAGTAGTCCCTTTGAGTTCGTTATAACCGTACTTTACTGTAATGTCTGGTTTTGCAAGTGGAGCTGAAAACATACCTAGTCACCATACAATACAGGGATATATAATATGACACCGCTTACACTTTTGAATGTAACTATTATCAGTTTTCCTCTACCTGATTACTTAATGAGGACAAATGACATTTCAGCATAATGTGGACAAATCTGAGACAAATTAGCAAGTAGCAAACACTTCATATGAACGACATCGTCTATATTTACCCTGTTGACAACAAGTACTTTGTATGGACGGTTACTTCTTTATTTACACTGTTAATAACAAGAACATTGTATGGATGGCAGCTTCTTTATTTACACTGTCAATAAAAGGCACTTTGTATGGATGGCAACTTCTTTATTTACACTGTCAATAAAAGGCACTTTGTATGGATGGCAACTTCTTTATTTACACTGTCAATAACAAAAACATTGTATGGACTGCAACTTCTTTATTTACACTGTTTATAACAAACACTTTGTATGGCAACTTCTTTATTTACACTGTCAATAAAAGGCACTTTGTATGGATGGCAACTTCTTTATTTACACTGTTAATAAAAAGCACTTTGTATGGATGGCAACTTCTTTATTTACACTGTCAATAAAAGGCACTTTGTATGGACTGCAACTTCTTTATTTACACTGTCAATAAAAGGCACTTTGTATGGATGGCAACTTCTTTATTTACACTGTTAATAACAAACACTTTGAATGGCAACTTCTTTATTTACACTGTCAATAAAAGGCACTTTGTATGGATGGCAACTTCTTTATTTACACTGTCAATAACAAAAACATTATATGGACGGCAACTTCTTTATTTACACTGTTTATAACAAACACTTTGTATGGCAACTTCTTTATTTACACTGTCAATAAAAGGCACTTTGTATGGATGGCAACTTCTTTATTTACACTGTCAATAAAAGGCACTTTGTATGGATGGCAACTTCTTTATTTACACTGTTAATAACAAGAACATTGTATAGACGGCAACTTCTTTATTTACACTGTTAATAACAAACACTTTGTATGGCAACTTCTTTATTTACACTGTCAATAAAAGGCACTTTGTATGGATGGCAACTTCTTTATTTACACTGTTAATAAAAAGCACTTTGTATGGATGGCAACTTCTTTATTTACACTGTCAATAAAAGGCACTTTGTATGGATGGCAACTTCTTTATTTACACTGTCAATAACAAAAACATTATATGGACGGCAACTTCTTTATTTACACTGTTTATAACAAACACTTTGTATGGCAACTTCTTTATTTACACTGTCAATAAAAGGCACTTTGTATGGATGGCAACTTCTTTATTTACACTGTTAATAACAAGAACATTGTATAGACGGCAACTTCTTTATTTACACTGTTAATAACAAACACTTTGTATGGCAACTTCTTTATTTACACTGTCAATAAAAGGCACTTTGTATGGATGGCAACTTCTTTATTTACACTGTTAATAACAAACAATTTGTATGGCAACTTCTTTGTTCATACTGTTCAGAAATAGCAGTTTGTATGGATGCCAGCTTTAATCACACTGTCTGGGTGAGTGAATAGTGATACCTGGCCCCGGGATCATGAAAGTGGTCTTAGCTCAAATTTTGCTTAGCACGAATTTTGTCTTAAGAGTTAAGACAAAATATAGTCTTAAGTAAGTTTCATGATCCCGGGGCCAGGTGTTCGCAAAAAGGTGAGCTTATCCTTCCCCACCGGTGGCACCCGTCACAACCACATGTAAAAGCAAGTAAACTGTTCACCTGAAAAAGACACGGGAACATTAGGCACAAGTCAAAATAGGGAATTGCATCGGACATGCCCGCTACATATCTACCATTAAAAAGCTTTCATGGGGCCTTCTTAAAACATTGATCAAACAACTTTTGAGATAGAGTCGTACGACGTTCTTTGAAATATTCGTAGAGTATGCTCAATCGTACCTCAAACGTTGTGAAATGTAGACACCAAAGACTTGAGCTGCTGGAATATGGATGTAAAGGCAAGTTGACTATTGGAAAGCTGAAGTCATCCCTCCCCCCCCCCCCCGGGCCAGAATGGCCGCAGGGGGATTATGTCGTGGCGCAGTCCGTCCGTCCGTCCGTCTGTCTGTCTGTCCGTCTTTTCGTCCCACAGAGGGTACTAAGCCTGTGAAATCAACTCCTCCTACAGTTTCCAGAGAATATCCCTGACACTCTACACACAAGATGTCGCCATGTTGATGATACGCATATCCCAGTCCCGTTTCATTTCGACTAATTTTGACAGAGTTACTGCCCCTGTTTTACGGAGCTACATTTGCCTAATTGTGAGAGAGGGTACTAAGCTTGTGAAATCAACTCCTCCTACAGTTTCCAGAGAATATCCCTGACACTCTACACACAAGATGTTGACATGTTGATGATACGCATATCGCAGTCCCGTTTCATTTCGACTAATTTTGACAGAGTTACTGCCCCTGTTTTACGGAGCTTCATTTGCCTAATTGTGAGAGAGGGTACTAAGCTTGTGAAATCAATTCTTCACACTCTACACACAAGATGCCCCTGTTTTACGGAGCTTCATTTGACTCGTTAAAAAAATTCATGCGGGGGATGTTGTGCTCTCAGAGCACTCTTGTTATCATTCTGAAGTTTTGTGCGCAGATGTAAACATGAAACTGGTCTCCTTCATTTCTAGTTCAGGTGGGTAAATCAGATGTTTTGGGAAGTAGTAATACTAATGATTCACGATAGGACAATTTCGTACGCGTCTGCCAAAGAAAAAGGAACGTGGGAAAAAAGACCTTTCTGAAACATCACAACAACTAACTATATCACTTGATAATGAAACTAATGAAGAAGTAACAATGGACTTAGTGAGGTGAGGTGAAATTGGGTTTAACGTCGCGTCCAAGATTATTGCACTTATATAGCGATGTGCATGCTTGTACTAGTCCGGACTGATGCCGATTTATAGTGCTAGCACACTGAGATACCATGCTGCAGTTTAACATGAATACCCCACTCAGACACAGTATACTGACTCCGAGCCGACCAGTCCTTGTTGTAGCCCCTTAATGCCGAGCGCCAGACAGGGTAACACCAAGTACCATCTGTTAACGTCCTTTGGTATGACGCGCCCGGGGATCGAACCCCGGACCTTCCGCTCTCCGGGCCGACGCTCTACCACTAGACCACGGAGGCGGTCACAATAGTGACTTAGTACATGAAATAAGAATAAAGTTTTTCCTTCCTTACGTTTCTCATGTGGGATAGTGGTGTACAAAGTTGAAAAATCAAATGTTTTGACAGAATTGAACCTGGTTCTTTTCTGAGCTTGTAAGAAGTCAAACAAAAATCCTTTGCGTTTTATAGAAACTACATGGTATTTATTAATTCCACTTGTCACAAATACTTTCTGTGAATATAAAAAAGTCCTTTCTTATAATCCATGCTTGACGTAAAAGGTGACTATGCTTGTCGTACAAGGCGACTAACGGGATCGGGTGGTCAGACTCGCTGACTTGGTTGAAGCATGTCATTGATCCCAATTGCCTGGATCGATGTTCATGATATCAATCACTGGATTGTCTGGTCCAGACTCGATTATGTACACAGACCGCCGTCATATAGCTAGAATATTGCTGAGTGCGGCGTTAAACAACAAACCAACCAGCCAAATCCTTCCTCATAGATGATCGTTGAGGCAGAGATTTAGTGGTACGTTTCCTGGACCCTGCGATATCTTCCTTTAGTTTTATGGAGCTTTGGAATGGAGTCTTTTGAGGTCATACAGGTGGCATGATTTGATATGTCACTTAGACCAAGCTCTTTAATCAAATAATTAATATAGTGATGCTGGCACATAAGGGTTATGTAATCGGAGGCCTTGCCATTTGGAAAGCCTACATACTATTCCTGAAGGGCAACCAGATTTTGAATGGGTTTATTCCAAATCTGTTCCTATTTTCAGTTTTTGCATTCTATCAATGACAACTTTACACACTGACTTGAAATCTAGTGTACTAGACAGTATATTTCCTGAAGAACTTTCACACAGAGGATATTGAATGATCGGGTATCTTGATAGCGTATTTTCCTGATGATTTTCAGGTATTCTTGGTCCAGAAACCACATCAGAAACTCAGCCAGTGTCACGTCTGCTAAGCTCACTTCCGGTAGACGATCGTCTGCTACAGGTCAGCTACTCAGCCACAGCCGCCAGTCTCACCGATAAAACTATCTACAAAAATCTGTACCGTGTCATAGTGGCAGACAATGTCCAAGTGGAGGTAAGACAAGACAAGCATTTTAAAGCCAATCTGAAACTCATTTCAATTCAAGACTCTTGTCATGTTAAATCACGCTGTGTCCTCTGTATATCATATCTGTTGGCCCTATTATTAATGCCGCAGGTTACTGCATTAATTATTATCATTCCCCTGAGGTGCATCTCTTGAGAACATATCTATCATATCTTCGCAGGTCATGCTGCAGCTAATTCAACAGTTGAAATGGAACTATGTTGCCATTAGCTACGAGAATGATTCCTATAGCATTGAAGGTGCAACAGCTTTGAAAGTAGAATCTGAACGTCGGGGAATCTGCATTCCTGTATTTGAAATGATCACTACGACAAGCAGTATTGTTTCCCTGCGAGAAAAGTTGGACATCAAGTCAAGCCCTGTTTCAGGGATGGTGTTCTTCGGACGAAGACAGACTGTCACTCGAGTTTTGGAATACCTTGATGAACACCTACTTAATGATCAGTTTCAGATGATTGTGTCCGAGGCGTTAGCACTGGAACCATCGTATCTACAAAACGGTCAGAATAATGTATTTGATCGAGCAAAAGGGCTTCTTCTACCGACTCCAGTGTATGAACCAATACCTGAATTTACCTCTCACTGGAACACTCTGTTTCAAAATGCAACAACATTCCGTGAAGAAGCAAAAGAAAACCATTGGTTATCCCTTTACTTCCGGTCTTTGACTGGATGCGATTTACGTCCAGAAACTGACATTATCAAGTGCTGGAGTGACTCGTCCAACAGCTATGAAATCACCCAACAACCTCTCTTTATTTCCTATGCAGTTCTAGCCACTGGTGTGATGGCACAGGTCTTCAAGAACGTCATCAGTCGGACTTGTGGTGCAGGGAACACAATATGCAATGCCATGAGAGACGTATCACAGGGAACCTTAATTGCAGAAATTGAAAAGCTGAGACTGAAACCCTCAGATCTGATGGGTAGTTTATTTCCAGGAAGGGGAAACATATCCTTCAGCAAAGGCGAGATGCACCTGTACACTGAGAAGAGCTTGTACGAAATATACAACTACAAGAGGAATCATACAGAATTTAACTTTCATAAGGTAGGTCATAATGGAATATAAATTTTCAATGCAAGAAAATTCCATTGGGCGTAAAGGACAAAATAGCTGTGAAAATTATATGAATGGACCACTGAAAATCAATTATGACACCAGGTGTTCGCGAAAATGGTAAACATTACCTGCCCTACCAGTAGCACCCGCCATTTACACCAGCCTTTGCTCGTCAAGTCTTCCGCCTGATATATAAAGCCACGCTTAATTTGAATATTCTAGGAAACGTAACACAGTGTTTAGCAACGTTAATGAAGTCAGACCAGTATTTAAAATTGTCCATCTTGGCAGTGTGTGAATGAAGTGCTTCTAAATAAATGTTTTCTCTTGTGGTCTAGAAATTATGGTCTCAAGAAGGTTCGATACTGCTTATGGACCAGTTAGATTGCATGACTCTTAAAGGTCATAGTGCCATATACATCTTCTCCGATGTACCGCTGAGTTCGCGTTTCCACATGTTTGCTAAATGCACACAGGTGAAGTAATTTAACAACAGTTCAAAAGTATTTTTCTTTGCATTTCAGGTTGGCTCTTTCAATGGATCACTGAAGTTGTCCCTTGATCAAATTCAATCCTTCGATAAATCTGGCAAAAAGGGCAGCCCAGTTCCTGGTAATTGTCACAAGGGATACAACTGTCCAGAATGCCTTAAAGACCCATTGGAGGAGATCATACACATTAAAGGGGACTATTATGTTGTTGCTCTTGTTCCCATACACAACAGACGAAGCACTGATGGAGACTCCCTAAACGTCTTCAGGTGTGGCCCCTTAAGGTCAGCTATAGGTGTAGACATTGCAGAGGCTTTGATGTTTGCTACAAAAGATGTGAACAACAAAACAGGAGAATTTCCATCAGTTCTTGGTAACACATCCATAGGGTTGGTTGTGCTGGACACATGCAACAACCCTGTGATAATTAGGGATAAAATTGTGAAATTACATAAAGGTGAACTTCATCTCGGGGGTGGGGTCCAAAGTTCAGCGATAAGTGACAAAGTAATTGGCTACATAGGGCCATTAGCGAGTTCGATCAGCATTCCACTAGCATCCACAATGAAACAACTGGACCAACTGTTTATAGCCTATGCCTCTACTAGTTCCAAGTTAAGAGCGAGGAACAAATACCCAACGTTCATGAGAACAGCATCATCACTGGATGACCAAGTGCAACCAATGATGAAGGTAGCCAAGAAGCTCAGAGCCAAGTACATCCAGGTGTTGTACACTGATGAGGCGTATGGACAGTCTGGTCGGGATTCTGTCCTGGAAGGAGCTAACAAGGCAGGAGTTTGTGTAGCACAAAGCGTACCAGTGAAAGAAGACATTGATCCAAAACGATATGTGGGCATCGTGTATAAACTGAGACAGTTTAGGGCAGCCAGAATGGTGATTGTGTTTTCCCGATCACACACCACACCAGCTCTGATGACAGCTGTCAGTGAAGAGATTAAACTGGGAGAGTTTATTTTCTTTGGATCTGGAGAGGGCTGGGCTAGACGGACTAACGTTATTAAAGGCAACTACAACCTGAAAGGAAGCTTCACCATGGCTCAGGATCTTCCAGTTGACCCACATTTTGAACAGTATTTTCGCAATATCAGCAGCTCTTCCGATGTAAACCCCTGGCTGAGACCATTTTTGGAGAAAAGGGCAAACTGTTTCTTTCCAGGCAGTTTTCTGAAAAAGGACAAACAGGAATGTACTTCCTCACTGCTCTCAAGTCACCATCAGATTGACACATGGGTCCCATTCGCTACCACTGCCTTGTATGCCTTGGTCCGAGGTTTCAGAAGCAGCCTTCATCATGTCTGTCGAGGGACTGCCACAAAGTGTCCAGAATACTCAACCTCTGAGCTGATCCGCTACACCAAAGATGTTCAGCTGGACGTCTACAGGGACGGCAAACAACGTCGTGTATTTGATGAGGGCGGAAATGGTGCAAGTGGATTTCGGATCTCTCAGCTAGTTCCAGGAATTGGATCTGATGACCTTGAATACAAAGACGTAAGTATTCTATGCGTGTATGTCGTTTATATCAATTTCTGCCTAAGGATCTCAAAATTCCACAAGCAGTAACATCAACTAATCAAATATCTAATGAACTTATATCTGTCAGATGATCTTATGATAAAAAATTGATAAATAAATCCCGACTTCTCCATCTACACGAGCATCTATGTCTGATGATGATGTTGACAGACGTTGTATTGTATTTAAGAACTCTATGCAAAACTGAAATTGATTATCTATACCTCTTCGGTAAAAGTGAAAGAAGTATATCTCACCGCAGATTTGTTAATATATACTTTTTGTGCTCACTGTTTTTCCTACTGTAGTGAGTGAGTGTGTTTTTATGCGCTTTTAGCAATATTCTAGCAATATCACGGCGGGGGATACCAGAAATGGGTTTCATACTTTTCCGACTGTGAAGGAAATACATCGTGCTGATCAGATATTTTATAGATTAAAGTGGAAACATTGTGACCACTTGTAAATTGTACAATAAATGGAATGTATGTTTCACTTTAGGCCACTGGAAAACATGTCCTAACGAGGTTATGTTACCTGGAATGAAATTAGGCCATATGTATTATTATATCTGAAAAGAATATCAACGTTTTAAAGTTCCATCTGGTGTCAATACATGTAAAATTGATGACATGAGAACTTGTTTTTCCCGCTGAAGAACTGAAATAAAATTAATTCACAAAACAAAAAAGACACTGTGCGTCTTTATTTTCAATCCTTGAAAAGAAGGTGAACAAATAGTGTTCAAGTACATTGCCATCCACCACCTTGTGTGACCACCCTTCCATATGTATGCATCATTCAATGCCTTTTTTCATAGATGATGCTTATAATGTTCTTGGGTAGGTTGGCATGGCCGCTGGGGACGTCTTCACTTTCAAAATGGATGAACAGGACCTGAGAATTACCTACACTGCAAACTGCCCAAGTCAATATGAGTGCGACAAGTGTACATTTGAAACAACAGCGGGTATGGCCAGGTACGTTTGACTGGTATAAGGATTACATTTAGCTGTCTTTACGTTTTCTGCTGTCCTGTTCCTCGTGATTATCTAAGAACGAATTTTGATTCAGGATCATATACACGTTGTAAGCTGTGATTGAATTGGGAACTGTTCTTAAATAGATAGTTGAACTTTGATACAGCTTGTATTTGTGATCAACACCGACACAAACTGCTAAATAATTCCTGGATAACAGAGGTAAATAGCATTTACTGATGACCCTGCCCTATCTGTTTTATGAACTATCAATTGATGACTTCACTTAATCAGCTCCAAATGTTTTACTTTGTTGTTTTGAACTATCAACTAAGGACTTCACTTAATCAGTGAGTGAGTGAGTGAGTAAGGTTTTACGCTGATTTTAGCAATATTCCTGCAATATCACGGCATGGGGGAAACCAGAAATGGGCTTCACACATTGTACCCATGTCGGGAATCGAACCCGGGTCTTTGGCGTGACGAGCGAACGCTTTAACCACTAGGCTACCCGACCGCCCCTTCACTTAATCAGCTGAACATGTGTAACTTTGTTGTTTTGAACTATGAACTAATGACTTCACTTAATCAGCTCCAAATGATTTACTTTGTTGTTTTGAACTATCAACAAATGACTTCACTTAATCAGCTCAACATGTTTTACTTTGTTGTTTTGAACTATCAACTAATGACTTCACTTAATCAGCTCAAAATGTCTTATTTTGTTGTTTCCCTGTCACTCAAATCTTTGTTCGACTGAAAACAGGGGGCGCTTGTGGCCCAGTCGTCTACGGCGCCACAACTCGCTGTGCAGAGTTGCATCCCATTCGGCACTTCAGGGCGATAACTGGAATTTTCAAAGCGGCTTCACTCACTCACTCACTCACTCACCCACCCACTCACTCACTCACTCCATCAGTAAATCAGCTCAAATTGTTCCACTCTGTAATTTAAACATTTTTTGGACATTATAGGACCAGGTAATTTGTGTGTCATCGCGCACCGATGCAGCGGACCTTATCTCATGTTATCGTAAACTTGTTTGCCTGGTCTTTAGGTTGTTTACAGGCCGGCTCAGCATTGCACGACACTCCCTGACACTAGATTGTTGTCTTCTATTGTCAGCGGCATCTCTGTTGAACTGATGGCGGCTTTAGCAGGGGAAGGAGCAGCTATCCTTGTTCTGGCTGTGACGGTCATCGTCATGTGTGTAAAATACAGACGCCAAAGGGGTAACAGTTTTCATCGCTATTTAATGGGAACCTCATTTTAGCTGTCTGGAAATATGGGTACTGTTTAACGGGAGGAATGTACACAGCTTAAATGTATATAAATCACTTGGACTTATGTCTCACATTAGCAAATATAATTTGGCCTGTCATATATTATACATTATACTACAGTGTAGATATGTTGCTCGAATTTGTCCATTGCCATATTGGTTTTCTCATATGCAACCCTGGGGAATTATTCCACGTGTGATTTGGTGTTTTTAAAAGGTCAAGGTCACTGTGAGAATTTCGTTGTATGATACCTGGAGTATATCTGGTTGGAAAACCATAAATCTTGTAGTGATCACGTTTTGGAGCCAGGTGAAGGTCGCCAAAGATCACATTATGACACATGGCACAAACTTTGGCAATATGTGGTCAAACGCATGCGAAAACGAATATGAAATATACACAACCAAATCAACAACTGTCATACGTCATGGTCGTGTCAACACACACACACACACACACACACACACACACACCCTCTCACTCACTCACCCTCTCACTCACTCACCCTCTCACTCACTCACCCTCTCACTCACTCACCCTCTCACCCTCTCACTCACTCACACACACTCCCTCTCACTCACTCACTCACTCACACACACTCCCTCTCACTCACACACACACACACACACACACACACTCCCTCTCACTCACTCACTCACTCACACACACTCCCTCTCACTCACTCACTCACTCACTCACACACACACACACACACACACACACACACACACACACACACACATCATTGTCGAATGTTATTTTGTAAAACTCCAAGTGAAGCTTCAGATTCGTCTTCTATCATCTAAGGATGTTGCATCGCCAGGTATAGAAAGGGCTTAACAACTACACGTTATACTTTAGACATTGACTTTACGAATAGTAAGCGATAGCAACTACATATTTGTAACATTCTCTATGTTCATGGCTGAGGCCATGGTTAATGTCATCAGACTGAAAGTGCTGTCTTGTCCTATAAAGGTGACTGGATATATGGTTCTGTTATAGCTGTAGTGTATAAGGAGTGTGTACCGACGTATGTGTGCGTGCGTGCGTGCGTGCGTGCGTGCGTGCGTGAAATTTCAGGCGTGTTACTGTCTGTTTCAAGATCTTTCGGGACTTAAAATGACATGCTTTCTGCATTGTTGTATTTAATCTGCCTTACCTGAATTTCGTACCAGTCATATATGTCATATTTGGGGGTTGGTGACCAATGATTCTTTATTATTTAACGTTTGTTTGAAGGGGCGCCCAACAGTGGAGATAAAGCAGATACAGGTAATACATTTAGCATGTCAGAAATGTTCGTCGAGAGCGTGTTTAACAGTTTATCAAACATTTAACAGCCGCCTAACTTAATATGCAATGAGGTGAGGTGAGGTGAAATAGGGTTTTACGTCGCGTCCAAGATTATTGCACTTATATAGCGACGTGCATGCACGTGTATGTGTGTGTGGCTGCTTGTACTAGTCCGGACTGATGCCGATTTATAGTGCTAGCACACTGTGATACCATGCCGCAGTTTAACATGAATACCCCACTCAGACACAGTATACTGACTCCGAGCCGACCAGTCCTTGTTTTAGCCCCTTAATGCCGAGCGCCAGACAGGGGAACAACAAGTACCATCTTTTAACGTCTTTTGGTATGACGCGGCTGGGGATCGAACGCCGGTCCTTCCGCTCTCCGGGCGGACGCTCTACCATTAAACCACGGAGGCGGTCAATATGCAATGAGCATTGTGATGTGAGTGTAGAGTTATGGTAACATACCATGATGTGGGGTGAAATGTCGAGTTACCGTCGAGTTGAAGAGGATTTTACTGCATGCGTGTGTATGTATCCGGGATTTAGCCGTTAGTATAGTGCTAGCCAACTTACCTTATGCTGCAAATGTGACATGACTACGAGCCACTCTTTGTATTGTACCCTCAATGTCAAGCACCAGCCAGGGCAACAAGTACCATCTATCAACCTATATTGGTATGACGCGGCCAGGGATCGAACACCAATCTTGCGCTCTCCGTGCAGGCACTCTGTCTACTGTACCATAGTTCCGGTCCGCATACCACGAATGCATTTCATATGAACCATCAGTGGGATCTTGAGACAGATCACTGTATCTCTGTTAATGAGTACGGATTCTCTCTCAATGTACTGAAGGTAAATTATACAAACAGTTGACAACAGCAGACAGTTTACCATATTCTTAAGCGTAATTCTTGATATTTTATTATGTACATGTTATTTTTAGATTATGACTCCATTGATGTCCTGTCTGCCTCAGAGGACAGAGGTGAGTAGATCATGGATGTGAAAAAAAAATCATAAATACAAAAACAAAACAAAAAAATAAAAAAAGATGTGGAACTGTGCAGGCCATACCAGGGCCCACTTGCACAAAGCGATCTTAGCGCTAAGACTATTGTAAGCCTATGCTGAAGTATGGGAGTTAAGATCATCTTAGCGCTAAGATCGCTTTGTGCAAGTGGGCCCAGAGATCGTTACTAGAATACAGCGCACGGACGGATGATTATTGATGAAGGGAAAGTATACATGTCTACATCATCCGCACGTTACAATTGAGAACGTCCAAAAAATACCTTAGACAATGGTAACACAGAAAAGACGTTCCAGATCACTTAGCGGATTTGTTGTGGCCAAAAAGGTTTGCACAGTTTGTCGAAACAGTTTCGTTGACGTTACTTGTAAAGTTATGTAATAAAGAACAAACATATCAAAATGTTCATTTGGTGCAGAGGGGGGCTGCACACAGTATTGTAAACGCAATTTTAGTCGCCTTCTGTTTGAACGATTCTATTTTTTAATATAATTATATGCCGTGTTCATATTGGATTAATGACATTCAGGTATATTTCTTATTTCGATTATTAGGGTACCTGTCTGATTTTTCAGAACCACCTTATCTTTCAGTTTTTTCTAGATGGTGTATGTGTGGGCGTGTGTGTTTGTGTATAGGCATGTGTGTATGTGTGAGCGTGTGTGTGTGTGTGTATGTGTGGGCGTGTGTGTGGAAGGGGGGGGGGGGGGCGTGTGGGCGTGTTTGTATGTGTATAGGCATGTGTGTATGGAGAGGCCACAGAGTATTTTGACCTTAAATTGTCTGGATTTTGTCAGTTGATTATAGCTTGCGAATTGCCATTTTACGAAAGTGCGATAAATGTAGCTGTATATATCCAGAGTTGAACCCCCAATGCTGCGTTAATAATGTCTTCATACAAAGTGCAAACCACTAGAAAATATAACTATAAGCATGTTCTCTACTCTACAGGAATGTACTTGAGGGCAGTGCCGGAAGCGAGGAGAGAAAGTCTGCCGGCGCAGTAACTATGCCCTGCTGTTCCAAGACGAATCTTTGACGATGGCCCATTGTCTCGGGGCAATTGTTAGTGTTTACTGTAAACCAGTACTGTGGCAATACTAAAACCCATGTAATGGTGCCATGAAGTTTGGAAACGATACAGATGTAAGAGACGGTACTCAACTACTGAGTGCAGGCAACAGCGAAAACGCAACGTTTTCTTGTACATATAAATATTCTCTTAATAAAACTATCAATGCCTTCAACCGAAATTGACGATTTTAAACGACTTTCTAGCAGTATTGCTTAACCCTCAGTTGACCTTGAAGATACATTCTGCTTCGAGCAAGACTTGATCCAGTTGGCAATACCTGCAAGTTTCATGTTTAAATGCTAGCTTGAATTTCTCTTTCACTGTCAATGTATCAAGCAATGGCGTGTAATACACTTTACAATATCTGCACCAGAGCTCAAGCGGAGACTGGACAATGTAGAGTCCTTCTTTTTGCGAACACCTGGTGTCATTATTACTTGATTGTGATTTCTAAGCACATACTTATGATATAGTCGGAATCGTACAATGAGATGCCCTATGATTATGGAAAGGGTTTTGTAGATTTTATTGAAAAAAATTCATCTCGTATGTTTTTTTCTGATTTACTTATTTTCTGTTCAAATCGTTATTTTTCACATTTTTTAAATATAAATAGTAAATGTAACACACAGTATAGTCGTATCACTGAATCGGAGAGCACATCTTCACTCACATACTGAACTTTCTATATTAAGCAGTCATTCTTCAAACACCTTAAGCAGTTTGAGTCGTTAGCGATAATTTGATTGAACGATGGGGATCGGATTATTTAAATCATGGAACGCGTGCGTCGCTATAAATTTTGTTTTACTGACTTACATACAGTAAACTACAGTTATAACGAACTTAAAGGGACCACTAATTTTAGTTCGTTGTAGCCGTAGTTCGTTATATGCATGTATACAACATAACTACAGCAAATAGTCGGGACAAAAAAGTAAGTTCGTTATATCCGTCAGTTCGTTATAAGCGTGTTCGTTATAAACGTAGTTTACTGTACATGTATTACCTCACGGAACTCTTTGAACTTGTAAGTGGCTGTTCTCTGTGGAAAATTCTTAAACTAACTAAAATACGATATTTCATGGTTGTCTGGTTAGGCCACAATAAATTATTCCCAATTAACAACAGTTTGCCAATGATAGGACATTATGTCTTTGTCCATCATCTTATTTGTTGTCCAAGTAAAAACCGGAAACGATGACCGTTGATATTTTTTCTTGTACGTCGAGAAGGCTGCAACCAATTTGATGCACATGCATATACATACATATTTAAAACTTCGCAACATGTAAACAATTCCTTATATTGAAGTCATTCAGACATACGTTTGGGGCCATCGTCATTTTTTGATTGAACTTCAATTTAACTTGTAAACACAAAAAGAGTGAGTGAGTATGTCTTAACACCGCCTTTAGCTATATTCCAGCAATATCAAGTCGGGGGACACCAGAAATGGGCTTCACACATTGTACCCATGTGGGGAACCAACATGAAAAGAGAAACTTAAAATTTATAATGAATATTATGTACATTTTACATTGAATAAACATTTTTAACAAACAAGCATTGCTTTCTTCCTACTTAACACAGTTGCAAAATACAAGCGACTGAGTAAGTGAGTTACACAGATCTTGTTGGTGAATCACTTTATTACTTTGGTTCACTAGGTAGGAATCTATGTCACCAAGCAACGATCATGAGATGCTGCAACGACTAAGGGTCATACCTATGCACAGCTAATTCCGATGTTATACACGACTGTGATCCCTTACATCTACTAGTAGGCATTGTTGTTGCTAACACGTAAGTCCACTAAAACTCGCTTGTCGGGCAAGTGGGTTGTAAATATAGCATGCTGCGACACTGTCAGTTTATCTCGTAATACTATTTGCGTATCTCTCTTCATCGTTATTAGCTTAACAGGCTAAAATCCAGTAGACCCTATAGTAGGTAAAATGTTACACAGAATAAGGTATAAATAGTGCAACTTAAGTTGAAAGAAACAATTCATAAGAAAACAAGTTTTAGAATCATCCAAATCATGATAATAACATAAATTGACTCAGGGTAACATTCCCGAAGCTAACGCTTGTGCGTGGGCATGTGTATGTGCGTGCGAGCGTGCGTGTGTAAGGATGGTGGTGGTGCGTGCGAGCGTGCGTGTGTGAGGGAGGGTGGTGGTGCGTGCGTGTATGTGTGCGTGCGAGCGTGCGTGTGTGAGGGAGGGTGGTGGTGCGTGCGTGTATGTGTGCATGCGAGCGTGCGCGTGTAAGGATGGTGGTGCGTGCGTGTATGTGTGCGTGCGAGCGTGCGTGTGTGAGGGAGGGTGGTGGTGCGTGCGTGTATGTGTGCATGCGAGCGTGCGCGTGTAAGGATGGTGGTGCGTGCGTGTATGTGTGCGTGCGAGCGTGCGTGTGTGAGGGAGGGTGGTGGTGCGTGCGTGTATGTGTAAGTGTGTGTGTGTGAGGGCGTGTTGGCATGCATGCATGGGTATCGTGGGCGTGTGTGTATGTGTTTTGGCATGTTTGTATGTGTTGGCGTGTGTGCATGTGTGGGCGTGTGTGTGTATGGGCGTGTTTGTATGTGTGGGCGTGTTTGTATGTGTGGACGTGTTTGCATGTGTAAGGGCGTGTGTGTATGTGTGGGCGTGTTTGTATATGTGGGCGTGTGTATATGTATGTGTAAATGTGTGTGGGCGTGTGTGTATGTATGTGTATATGTGTGTGGGCGTGTGTGTATGTATGGGCGTGTTGGCGTGTGTGTTATGTAATGGGTAATGTAAAGCCGATGGCTTCTGCAAATGATAATGCCCTGGAAAATAGTGTTACACTTAGCTGCAATGGTTATAATTTGTCTTATTTGTCTTGGAAAGCACGACACTATCCATAAACCAATCTAATTTAGGGAACTAACCGAACCAATGATAATATATGGTTTTCTGGAAATCCTGAAAAAAAACATCCATCCACAATCCCACCCATCACCTTCACCATTCCCACTCTCCACCCCCACCCCCACCCCCACCCCCACCCCTATCTTTATGTAAGACCTCATGCAGAACGTGCCCGTCTCCTTTTCAAACGCCACAAAGAAGACGCACGCATGGCTGCCCATGCTTGAACAGATAGAGATATACACGTTCAGAAAGAAGAGAGAAGGGGTGAGTTCACATTATCTTGCCTTGGAATAAACACAATCATCTCCGTGCTCTACTTAAGTTGCCCTTCGTCTGTGTCGTGAAATAGAGTGGTCATCAACAACAGATTTCAGAACTGGAGGTTGAGCTAGATTGACAGGTGAGATTCTGATGACTTTTGCTTCTTTTATGACGATCTGCCTCATAAACGTCACACGCGTAAAGCTGATTTCACGCGCCATATTGTATTCTCTGTTCCGAAGTTTACCACACATTGTTGTTGAGAGAATATTACCCAAAGGGGTACGGATATCGGGAAAACTATCATTAGCATGTGTGTAGCAGGGAGAAAAGAGAACCCGTGTTGAATTAGCATGAAAAGAAATCCCCACATCCCTGGAATGTATAATCATTCCTTATCAGCCTGCCATGTTTTAATCAAAGAAAACCTAGATTAATATTAATATCTATAAACCTTCACTTAATTCCGTAATATCTTTTATGGATTTGCATATAATATAATTAGCTGCATCCACATGCCTGCATGCATCCCGGTCGTTTTGTTACTTCTGCGAACAGAACACACCGGGTATGAAGTCTTGAAAGTTCCATGGAATACCCAGTTGGCTATTAATAGCACCTCGGACAAACCCCAGTATGTTGCTATTAATTGCCAACTGGGAAGTCCATTGAACAATAATGTATATCCTTTTGTTTATTAGAAAATAACTCAGTTACTCCATGCTGGTAATTGTGTCTTATATTCTGTTCTAAACAATACAAGACTTGTAAACTTTAGAAAGAAATATTTTGAAGGTGTTAGATATTTCTTTTGAAAATCTCAAAGAATATTCTCGTCAGCAATCTGGACAAGACGTTTTGTGAACGTTACAGCCTGTCATATCAAGTCTATGGTATGACATCTCGTTTATTTGAAACATTCTTTTAACATCAGTCACACTATGTGGTCACTTATAATATAGCCCGAGTGAAACGAGAGCCTATACACCTCTTACCGTAAGGGGTCAGGAAAAGTAAACTTTATTTCTTTAAGTGTCAATGTTTTATACTATACTACACATTAGACTGTTTTTTAAGATAATACGACCCACGTCTTGGGCTGACCTAGATTTATTACACTTTTCTTATCACTTCTCCTGTTGTGCAGGAAACTGAGACAAGAATATATTCTGCTCATTTCGAAGGGTGACCAAGCAAACAGACTTAACGACAATGGGTTACAACACTTGCTCAGTTGTTTGATCAAGTTACAGCATTCAAGACCTCAGTAAAGCTTTCAAAACGTTTTATGGTAGACATGTGGAGGATATTTCCAAATTTGACGCATCAGTGAAAAAAAATATGTCCGATTCAATTCCCTATTTTGACTTATACTATTTCTTCCCGTGTTTTTTTTTTCAGGTGAACAATTGACTTGTTTTTGCATGTGTTTGTGACGGTGCCATCGGTGGGGCAGGCAACGCTCACTTTTTCGCGAACACCTGGTATCATTACTATTTGATAGTGATTCATAAACACAGGCTCATGATATAGTCGGAATTGTACAATCGAATCTGCTTTTGGCATAGATTTCTATAGCTTATGGAAAGTGTTTGTCGCTCTATTTACAACACCCTGAGTACCCCTACCTGCCGATTTGAAATCTGTAGATTAGGTTGGTTAAAATGTAGGTAGACCTATTGAGATTTTAGTGGTCGAGTTGGCGTGTGTGTGCGTGGGGGTGGGGTCATAAAATAATGTCACAGCGAAGAGGGGTGTTAGCAAAATTTGATACAGTCCTAAGACCATTCTCCTCTCCTAGACAGATTCCATATGGCAAAAAAGGCAAAATAGCGGTGAAAGTTATATGAATGGAACACTGAACATCATTTGAAATATGAAAAAAAACAAAAAACAGCGTTAAGTGTCGCCAACGTTAAACACGTTAGATCGCATTAAATGGGTTTTGTATTTTTAAATGACTATATTATAGGTAACTAAATGCAAAGTTGCGGTTATTATAATCTTTAAAGGATGCGTTGAAATACAGAAACCTCGCTAAAATACTCTACAAAGAGAATGTATTTCAAGTTTAGTGGACAACAGAGCCCTTGAAATGTGGCGCTTTACTGTATACTATGTGACGTCATATCTTGTGTGTCACAATGAGCGATATGGCGTCATAGTAGTGACGTGCGGTGTTGAAGGAAATATTGCTCAGTCTTTCTTTATGTTTGTTTGTTGTTTAACGCCGCACTCAGCAATATGACGGCGGTCTGTGTACATAATCGAGTCTGGACCAGACAATCCATTGATTGATATCATGAGCATCGACCAACGCAATTGGGATCGATGACATGCATCAACCAAGTTGGCGTCTGACCACCCGATCCCGTTAGTCGCCTCCTACGACAAGCAAAGTCGCCTTTTACAGCAAGCATGGGTTGCTGAAGACCTATTCTACCCCGGATCTTCACGGGTCCTTTCTTTATGTAGAAAAACCTACTGGAATTAAACTGCTTGAGTTAACATTTGAAACCCCACACTGCGCGTTCGGTTCCAAATTCAATTTAGCGCGGTTAAATCTACAAGGTATCTCAACTGTACATTGAAAACATGTATGTTTATCTCATAATTATCCAGCTTAAGGCGAACGCATTTATCAGTTTCTTGGGCACTTTACAGCAGGTACATTTTATTCAAATTGTACAGACACACTTTGCTAACAACTATGCTTTCAATTAAGGTTTCGCCATTAAAGTCCTGGTTAAGTCATTCAAGAGCCTGTACAGTACACATTCAGAGGAATTTACAAAATATGACGCGTTGTTTGTCAATGTGGTGCGAAATGCCATCCTATACTATGACTTTACACGAAGTTTTCACACCTTGTTAGTCACTGGCACTTACTTAAATGGATCTGGTGGTCAGTTTTTCTTTAATGAAACTTGTGTGTGTGGTGGGTGCTAACGAAAGAGCAGGACAAGCTTCTGATTTTCAGTGATACTGTCATGTACTTTTCAGTAAGAAGTTGCCCTTTGAACAGAGAGACTGTTTCGGCAGATATTCCAGACTGATTATTCTCTGGCTATAACGTTTTGAATCATCACTTCTGCGTCTTGAAATGGCTCAAAGCGACGTTGTCTCTAAATCTCGAAAGTCTATGCGCAGGTTCTCGATGGCTTGGTTAATTGTGTGCTGTGTTTCATTGTACCCAACGGCGTAGCACGTTGATCATATCAGGTTTGTCAGGCCCACACACCGCCGTGATATTGTTGGAACTATGCTGACATTTTGTTTTCAGAAATGATCTTCAGATTGTACAGTATCAAGAAAAACATTGCATCTTAACGATGAAATCTACCCCTGCGTTCTTGCAGCATGGCAGTCCCTGCAGGAATCTGTCTGTTGGTGCTGGTCATCGTGGTGCCGGGGAAGTCACAGAACGTCGTCACGTTGCCGGGGGATATCCTGATGGGAGGGTTGTTCTCCATACAGTCAAGTGAAGGCGGCCAGTGTGCCGGCATCGACCGTGTCTCTGTTCAAATTCACGAAGCCGTTCGATGGACCCTCAAGCAACTCAATCGCCAGAACTTCATCCCAGGGATCACCCTAGGTAGATACAAATATAACATGCTAATTATTTCCTGAATCTTAGCAGATGCATGATGCAACTAATTTACCGCCAGAACTTCATCCCAGGGATCACCCTAGGTAGGTAGAAGTATAACATGCTAATTATTTCCTGAATCTTAGCTGATGCATGATGCAACTAATTTACCGCCAGGCCTTCATCCCAGGGATCATCCTAGGTAGATACAAATATAACATTCTTATATATTCATATAGTTACAGGGGCGGTGATGTTGCCTTGTGGGTAAAACGTTCGATCGTCACGCTAAATGTCTGGGTTCGATCTCCAACACGTGAAGTCCATACCTGGTGTTTTCCCGCCATACTGTGACATGCACGACGTTCATAAAAGCTTGTCATGGCTTCAATCACTGTGGTAAAGTTAGGACAATGTTTGAATGTTGTTGTTTTTTCATTTTCACAATACATTTACCCGTTGAAGCAAAATGCCTACATGAGTTTTAAACAGATCATTTAATATCGACGACCCGTACAACCGACACCACATTACATCACATATGTCAAAGAAAAGCCACCAAGGCATTTTCAATAGCGAATGTCACGAGCACCGATGCAAGCTCAGACCCGCCGTCAGATCGATGTCGTCAGTCGCTTGATGACATCATTGTTAATCTGTTGCCTCTCGTCCGTCAGAGCGGCTTCCAGCTGTTGACGGTTCTGTAGCGGCTGGGGCCGAATCCTGATCTGACGATCCAGATGATCAAAGTGTACAATAGGGTTTAAGTCTGGTGAGTGAATTCGTCGTGGAAGAACGGCGACGTTGTGCACAGCCACGAAATCCTATGCAGTGTGCGGCCTTACATTGTCGTGCCGAATATTTAATGCTACTGTTGGCGAGGGAATGGTAACACTCCGGGTTGAAAAGCATCGTCCCTGTGGATCTGGCAGTTGACGTTCCCATGGATAATGACAAGTCCCGTCCGCTGGTTGCCACAACTTCCTCCACAAACCATCACCCACCGCCACCATATGGATGCAACTCCTGAATGCAGCCTAGTGCCAATCGTCAGTAAAAAGCACTCCCTGCCAGTCACCAATCTGCCAGCATTGTTCCTTGCCCATGGCCTAGTGGTAGACGGAGAGCGAAGGTCCGGGGATGGTAAATGTCGTTAAGGGGCTAAAACAAAGACTGGTCGGCTCGGAGTCAGTATATTGCAACTGAGTGGGGTATTCATGGTAAACTGCGTCATGGTATATAAGTCCATTAATCTTGGACGCGACCTTAAACCCAATTCACCTCACCTCCTTGCACTGTGACGTCTTCGACCATTTCACGAAAGGTGTGGCAGGCTCGAATGCCTGGGACACCGAGACGTCGTAACACAGTGCGTCGACTGATGCGGCGCCCAAACGCTGTTGCTACCGCTTCCGTCGCTATGACGTACCTGTTATGCAAACTGCACAAGTACAGGTCATTCGTTACGCCTGGACTGCCTGATTTTGCCCTGCCTTGCGTGTAGCCAGTCTGACTGTAAGGTTCTAACAGACTGACGATGTTTGCAGGTTCGGTTGATGTTTCTTGCAATCTCGATATGGTTCGCACCCATTTGCCTCATTCCTTCGACCCTTGCTCTCTGTTGCGCAGTTAACTGGCATATCTTTTGTGCTATTCATTACCTGTAATGTTTTGGCAAAGATCCATTGCATTTTATACCACTTCCGCTAGTGCATTTTTACAGATACCCTAAAAAGGTGTTCAGCGATTTTTCACTGCTGCAGGTGGATCTTCCAAACCAACGGGTTGTGCTTTAGACCTTATGTTCGCAGTGTTTCGGCGACTGTTTTCAGCCGAGTAACGTTTTGACAACCTTTGTAATGTCATATTCATGATACATATATTTAAAAAAAACGTAATTTATTAATCATGATAACAAAGGCATAATTACTTTATGACATAATACTATCGAATGCCAAAAAACATAGAGTTGAATACATCTTCAAGTTTCAAGTAATGGATACTCACTTATCGTTTATGCACAAAGCAAATTGTGTATCTTATTTGGGAAAATTTAATACTGATTATACTTTTTACTAAGAATAGTTATACTTGTATTAAACTGAAGCTGAAATTTCATCTCCAAATCCCACGTTTGAGTTGATGTTACAATAGGTCTACTGGCCCACAGGACGTGTGGAGAGCCAGCTCTAGCTGTGAAGCGCACACTGGAGATGATGAGGACATTAGAGGGAAATACCACAGCTCTTCTCTTTGGTGAGCAACCTAATTACACTGATGTACCTGGCTGTTGGTGGGTGGTTCTTGTATCAACAGAGTAAGGGTAGGTACAAGATCAAGTAATTTAGAAGACTTGAAATGTTATCACTGATTTTCGGTGACCCATTCATTTAATTATCATTTTATTTTTGCGCTGTTTGTCTGCTCCAGAAGATGTTCTCACTGCTATTTTGTCTATTACGCCCTTCTCGAGAGGTTATATACTTTATATATTTTAAAGTTAATTATGTGTTCCAAACAGCACATTGTTCCTAGGAAGCACTGGAAGATTGGGTATTCAGCTAGCGTCTTTACCTGATCATCCCACTTCCAGGTGTTCTTGGCCCAGAAACCACATCAGAAACTCAGCCAGTGTCACGTCTGCTAAGCTCACTTCCGGTAGACGATCGTCTGCTACAGGTCAGCTACTCAGCCACAGCCGCCAGTCTCACCGATAAAACTATCTACAAAAATCTGTAACGTGTCATAGTGGCAGACAATGTCCAAGTGGAGGTGAGTTGAGACACACTTCCACCACATAAAAACATAAGTTATGTTCATGCGTCTTGGTTTTGTGAGATTTATATTGCGTTTCATTGGTTGAGTTATTCACAAGCCGAAGTTATCCAATCAAATGTTTGAGTTCTTTAATTTGCATTAACATGACGACATGAGATTTGTAGGTATGACAACTTCTTTATTGTTTGTTAAGACGTCTCAGGCCTACTTATTGTCCCTTCATCAGATGAATCAGTAAGATATCCATGGATGAAGTGTTTAAGCCTAAGGGGGGTTAGGTTGTCATACTTCTGTACAAAGGAAACAAAACCGAAGTAGTGATAACAAGACCCTTCACTCACAAATCACTTTATTGGTAACAGTTAGTACACAAAGCGTCTGGAAACTTGTCATGCCTTATCGATAGCATCTCTTATAGGTGAAAGTCAAGGTCACTCCCGAGATCTGAACTGAAGGTCAAGGAATTTGGACAATGTATAGAGGCAGTTTTCAAGACCATGACATCAGCACAATGATTGTCAAAAGATTAGAGTGAGGTATAAAATTCGGAATGTTTGCACACGTTTTCTACTCAAAATGGTACTTCTTCTTTCCAGGTCATGCTGCAGCTGATACAACAGTTGAAATGGAACTATGTTGCCATTGGCTACGAGAATGATTCCTATAGCATTGAAGGTGCAACAGCTTTGAAAGTAGAATCTGAACGTCGGGGAATCTGCATTCCAGTATTTGAAATGATCACTACAACAAGCAGTATTGCGTCACTGCGAGAAAAGTTGGACATCAAATCAAGCCCTGTTTCGGGGATGGTGTTCTTTGGGAAAGGACGGACTGTGACTAGAGTCTTAGAATACCTTGATGAACACCTACTTAATGATCAGTATCAGTTGATTGTGTCCGAGGCGATAGCACTGGAACCATCGTATCTACAGAACGGTCAGAATAATGTGTTTGATCGAGCAAAAGGGCTTCTTCTACCGACACCTGTATATGAACCAATACCTGAATTTACCTCTCACTGGAACACTCTGTTTCAAAATGCAACAACATTCCGTGAAGAGGCAAAAGAAAACCATTGGTTATCTCTTTACTTCCGGTCTTTGACTGGATGTGATTTACGTCCAGAAACTGACATTACCAAGTGCTGGAGTGACTCGTCCAACAGCTATGGAATCACCCAACAACCTCTTTTTATTTCCTATGCAGTTCTAGCCACTGGTGTGATGGCACAGGCCTTCAAGAACGTCATCAGTCGGACTTGTGGTGCAGGGAACAGAATATGCAATGCCATGAACGACGTATCACAGGGAACCTTAATTGCAGAAATTGAAAAGCTGAGACTCAAACCCTCAGATCTGATGGGTAGTTTATTTCCAGGAAGGGGAAACATATCCTTCAGCAAAGGCGAGATGCACATGTACACTGAGAAGAGCTTGTACGAAATTTACAACTACAAGAGGAATCACACAGAATTTAATTTTCATGAGGTAGGTCATAATTGAAGAGCAGACAAATTATCCTCATTCTATGGCACTGTGACATTCATTATTATTATTTATGTTCTTGTTGATATCATAACATTCAATAATGTAATTCATTTAAATCAATCAATATCAATTAATTGAATAGTTCAATTGTAAATTTTATTTGTATTTCAGGTTGGATCGTTCAATGGATCACTGAAGTTGTCCCTTGATCAAATTCAATCCTTTGATAAATCTGGCAAAGAGGGCGGCCAAGTTCCTGGTAATTGTCACAAGGGATACAACTGTCCAGAATGCCTAAAAGACCCATTGGAGGAGATCATACACATTAAAGGGGACTATTATGTTGTTGCTCTTGTTCCCATACACAACAGACTAAGCACTGATGGAGACTCCCTAAACGTCTTTAGGTGTGGTCCCTTAAGGTCAGCTGTAGGTGTAGACATTGCAGAGGCTTTGATGTTTGCTACAAAAGATGTGAACAACAAAACAGGAGAATTTGCATCAGTTCTTGGTAACACATCCATGGGGTTGGTTGTGCTGGACACATGCAACAACCCTGTGATAATTAGGGATAAAATTGTGAAATTACATAAAGGTGAACTTCATCTCGGGGATGGGGTCCAAAGTTCAGCGATAAGTGACAAAGTAATTGGCTACATAGGGCCATTAGCGAGTTCGATCAGCATTCCACTAGCATCCACAATGAAACAACTGGACCAATTGTTTATAGCCTTTGCTTCCACAAGCTCCAAACTGAGTGACAGGAAAGAATACCCCACTTTCATGAGAACAGCATCATCACTCGATGACCAAGCAGGACCGATGATGGTGATAGTAAAGAAGCTCGGAGCCAAGTACATCCAGGTGTTGTACACTGATGAGGCGTATGGACAGTCTGGTCGGGATTCTGTCCTGGAAGCAGCTAAGAAAGCAGGAGTTTGTGTAGCACAAAGCGTACCAGTGAAAGAAGACATTGATCCAAAACAATACGTGGGCATCGTGTATAAACTGAGACAGTTTAGGGCAGCCAGAATGGTGATTGTGTTTTCCCGATCACACACCACACCAGCTCTGATGACAGCTGTCAGTGAAGAGATTAAACTGGGAGAGTTTATTTTCGTTGGATCTGGAGAGGGCTGGGCTAGACGGACTAACGTTATTAAAGGCAACTACAACCTGAAAGGAAGCTTCACCATGGCTCAGGATCTTCCAGTTGACCCAAATTTTGAACAGTATTTTCGCAATATCAGCAGCTCTTCCGATGTAAACCCCTGGCTGAGACCATTTTTGGAGATAAGAGCAAACTGTTTCTTCCCAGGCAGTTTTCTGGAAAAGAACAAACAGGAATGTACTCCCTCACTGCTCTCAAGTCACCATCAGATTGACACATGGGTCCCATTTGCTACCACTGCCTTGTATGCCTTGGTCCAAGGTTTCAGAAGCAGCCTTCATCATGTCTGTCGAGGGACTGCCACAAAGTGTCCAGAATACTCAACCTCTGAGTTGATCCGCTACACCAAAGATGTTCAGCTGGATGTCTACAGGGACGGCAAACAACGTCGTGTATTTGATGAGGACAGCAATGGTGCAAGTGGCTTTGTCATCTATCAGATAGTGCGAGGCATCGGAACAAATGACCTGGAATACAAAGAAGTAAATTATAATTTGTTTAAAAGAAAAAGTGAAAGAAAAAGAAAAAAAAGTGAAAGTGAAAAAATATATATGAAATTCATTCTTAATCTGGATTTATAATACTAGTATCAGATAAGTAGGACAATCAAATAGAATATGGACATTTCAGTCAAACAGAAAGTTGTGAAATACCCAAGAACTAATCACGTTAACACATAATTGTTGTTCCTGGATTTTTTCCGGCATACCCTGACTACTAGATTTCATTGACTGTTTTATTCAATTTTATTCGTTACAGTGCTTTATGTTACCTACGTTTTGAGATGTGCTTTAAGATCACCTTGTTAAATGATCAATCACAGGTGGGAAGAGCGACTGGAAACTCTGTAGCATTCAATGTGGATGTTCTGGAGCCCAATGTAAGGTACACGGCCGAATGCCCCAGTCAATATGAGTGCGACAGATGCGTGTATGAAGAACTGGAAACCACGTAAGTCAGTCCATGGTGTCCCTCTCGCCAGTTCTTCATCTATACCCATCATTGTACTGTCGTATTATTCTCTGTTGTCTGTTGTCTGTTGTACCATACCTGTTGGCAATTCACAGAATATAAAACGTCACTAGAAGAGGATAATCAATCTTGATTATCGTCCGAAACAGATTCCATTTGGCATAAAGAGGAAAATAGATGTGAAAATTATATGAATGGAACCCTGAAAAAAACAGCGAGGAATGGGGTAAGCATGTTCTGCCCTACAGAACAAAATCTCTGGTTTTTTAGAACTAAATTATTCTGTCTTCTCCAGTACAGTACCAGTAATATCAGTGTTCACTATAATATACTTCTCGACTTTTGATAGGAATACTGACATATGGAAGCCCTTTTGTGCCAATAACTTCCAAGTCAAACTAACCAGTTTGGTGGAGTATAAACCTATTTTGGAAAAACCCTATCGCAGAGTTTGTAGTCTGTATTTCCTTTCGTTGTTTCAGTGTCGGTTCCACCCCTGGCCCACTCATAGCTGCAGTTGTTGAGGCAGCGATCATCCTTTTTCTCACCGTGGCTGTCATTGTTATCTGTATCAAATACAGAAAACTTGCAAGAAGTGGGAAAAGTGAGTGGGTTGTTAATGCCTCAGTCAGCATTATTCCATAAACGATAAGGATAAGGCATTGTCAGTTTAGGACGGAAACAGAATATTTGCCCTAAAGATTCAACAGGATACGTTACCAGAAATGTGCTTCACACTTTTTACCCGTTTGGGAAATCGAACCCGGGGGGTTGCCGCTACCTCACCGCCCTTAGCGATTGAGAAACGTTAGGGCAATGGCGCTTTGGTGTCCTAACATGTCCCATACAGACTTAGGGGAAGATACTTGTATTGTCAACAGAATTAACAACGTCATTACAAGTTATGCCCTGAGGATGAAATTGGCCTAAAATGTACCTTGTTGCAGTTTGAGATGCATCAGATGTGAGGATGAAGTGTTTGTTTTGGTCGGGGTATGCATGGATGGTGGCTGCTGTAAGGGCTTGCTTTAGCTTTACGATTGCCTGTTGGGAATTGTTGGACCATTTGAAAGTCGCATCTTTTTTCAGAAGGTTGTATAGAGGGGAAACGATGCCAGAAAGGTTGGCTACAAAGTTGTGATAAGATGAAGCTAAACCTAAGAAATGACGCATGTCATGGACATTTTTAGGGGGTGGGATCTGTGTGACTGAACATGTTTTAGAAGGATCGATATGGCTGCGTTTTGCTTATAAGAAGGGAGTCTAATAGGTTCGGCATCACCTGTTTCTATTTTGATATATGTGATTCCTGACCAGACCTGTGAAGATCCGGGGTCGAATAGGTCTTCAGCATCCCATGCTTGCCGTAAAAGGCGACTATGCTTGTCGTAAGAGGCGACTAACGGGATCGGGTGGTCAGGCTCGCTGACTTGGTTGATGCAGGTCATCGATCCCGATTGCTCGGATCGATGCTCATGATATGAATCACTGGATTGTCTGGTCCAGACTCGATGATTTACAGACCGCCGTCATATAGCTGGAATATTGCTGAGTGCGGCGTAAACAACAAACCAACCAACCAACCGTAATCCTGACCAATCTGAAGCAAAAACTGATCTTTGTGATTGGAGAAATTAATTTTACTGAATACTTGTACTTTCAATGTTGTCACTATTTTGAGAACAAAAGCTCCACAACGTCCAGGGGTATTGTTATGGTGCAATCCACTTCAATAGGTTTCTTTAAAACTTAATTTCTCCATAATACCTAATTGTTTCAATATGTTTCCAAAGTCCACAGATGTTCTATCTCCTTTTTCTGTTTAATGTATTCAACAAACATTCAGTGTATCCCCTCTTATCATAAGACCCTTCCGAGCTGGACCCTTAATCCCCAGCGCTATCTACATATGTCAGTTAACACCTTACGTCGCTGGATCTTGCGTATTGTCTTTTATTGTATAAAAATGCTTTATTATACTGCTATTTTCATTGTTCTGTTTTAAAATCACCTACCTCTGTGCAGTGATTAAGTTTAGTGAACATTGAGAACATTTTAACATTATTTCGATATGTTGAATTTGAAATGTTCCATAAAAAAAATATCAGCTCAGGTTTAAGAAGAAAAATCTCAGCCCCTAAAACTAAAATAAAAACATAACCTGGGCCTTCCCCCTAAATATCAAATGGTCCGCCCCTTACATAATATGGGTATTTGCAGAGACGTTTGTTAAAAACACTCAATGATGGAACCTGGGTTAGATTAGGCCCTGTATTATATGTTGAGTTGAAAGAGGCGACTTAATTGGATCGGGTGATCAGGATGGTGACTTGTGTCGATTGCGTTGTTCATAGTATCAACCAGTTTGTCTGGTTCAGACTAGTCCATATAGATAATGCTCAATTTAATGTTTCAGACGTTAATAACCACGACGATATTTATACTGAACCGGTCTCAAATAACAACCAGTCAGGTGAGCCTGCAAGTTTTGTGAATAAGTTTTTTTTTTAAATGGTTGTATACTCAATTTTAATATTCAACACTTTAACCGCCGCTCTCTGTCTCTCTCTCTCTCTCTCTCTCTCTCTCTCTCTCTCTCTCTCTCTCTCTCTCTCTCTCTCTCTCTCTTGCCGACATATTGATTGCATGATTCGTTTTAGACTGACATTTAGTCCCAGAAATAAATTCTTAATTAAAAATATATATATTTCTACAATATAAAAAAATAAAACCCAAATGGAGCCAAGAACAATCCTTAATTTCTAGAATTTCCAAATCGTTGTAGACTTGAGTTGGACAAACACAAACCTTAACACTGCCTTCTCCCATAACTTTGACGCGTTTGGGGATCTTAACATGTTTAGGATTAGGATTGTAGGAAAGACATGTTCAAATTCTAAACATGTTTAGATTACGAGGATGTTGGGTTCAGACGGCGTTCCGGCTGTGAGACGATAGCTCATTTCATGTGTTTAGACCCTAAAAGTGTGAGATAGAAGACACCAAATGAGTGCTCCGTTTAGGATTAAAACACATTTCTAAACGTGTTTAGATTTTTTATGAATATGGGATGGTTTTATCGGTTTTATTTTATTTATTTAAAATTTTAAACACATTGTTTACAGTGCAGATGCATTTCATCACGCGTACAATCAGGACCAATGTTAAGGAAGATACTTGTATTGTCAACAGAATTAACAACGTCATTACAAGTTATGCCCTGAGGATGAAATTGGCCTAAAATGTACCCTGTTGCGGTTTGAGATGCATCAGTTGTGAGGATGAAGTGTTTGTTTTGGTCGGGGTATGCATGGATGGGGGCTGCTGTAAGGGCTTGCTTTAGCTTTACGATTGCCTGTTGGGAATTGTTGGACCATTTGAAAGTCGCATCTTTTTTCAGAAGGTTGTATAGAGGGGAAACGATGCCAGAAAGGTTGGCTACAAATTTGTGATAGGATGAGGTTAAACCTAAGAAATGACGCATGTCATGGACATTTTTAGGGGGTGGGATCTGTGTGACTGAACATGTTTTAGAAGGATCGATATGGCTGCGTTTTGCTTATAAGAAGGGAGTCTAATAGGTTCGGCATCACCTGTTTCTATTTTGATATATGTGATTCCTGACCAGACCTGTGAAGATCCGGGGTCGAATAGGTCTTCAGCATCCCATGCTTGCCGTAAAAGGCGACTATGCTTGTCGTAAAAGGCGACTAACGGGATCGGGTGGTCAGGCTCGCTGACTTGGTTGATGCAGGTCATCGATCCCGATTGCTCGGATCGATGCTCATGATATGAATCACTGGATTGTCTGGTCCAGACTCGATGATTTACAGACCGCCGTCATGTAGCTGGAATATTGCTGAGTGCGGCGTAAACAACAAACCAACCACCCGTTATCCTGACCAATCTGAAGCAAAAACTGATCTTTGTGATTGGAGAAATTAATTTTACTGAATACTTTTACTTTCAATATTGTCACTATTTTGAGAACAAAAGCTCCACAACGTCCAGGGGTATTGTTATGGTGCAAACCACTTCAATAGGTTTCTTTAAAACTTAATTTCTCCATAATACCTAATTGTTTCAATATGTTTCCAAAGTCCACAGATGTTCTATCTCCTTTTTCTGTTTAATGTATTCAGCAAACATTCAGTGTATCCCCTCTAATCATAAGCCCCTTCCGAGCTGGACCCTTAATCCCCAGCGCTATCTACATATGTCAGTTAACACCTTACGTCGCTGGATCTTGCGTATTGTCTTTTATTGTATAAAAATGCTTTATTATACTGCTATTTTCATTGTTCTGTTTTAAAATCACCTACCTCTGTGCAGTGATTAAGTTTAGTGAACATTGAGAACATTTTAACATTATTTCGATATGTTGAATTTGAAATGTACCATAAAAAAAATATCAGCTCAGGTTTAAGAAGAAAAATCTCAGCCCCTTAAACTAAAATAAAAACATAACCTGGGCCTTCCCCCTAAATATCAAATGGTCCGCCCCTTACATAATATGGATATTTGCAGAGACGTTTGATAAAAACACTCAATGATGGAACCTGGGTTAGATTAGGCCCTGTATTATATGTTGAGTTGAAAGAGGCGACTTAATTGGATCGGGTGATCAGGATGGTGACTTGTGTCGATTGCGTTGTTCATAGTATCAACCAGTTTGTCTGGTTCAGACTAGTCCATATAGATAATGCTCAATTTAATGTTTCAGACGTTAATAACCACGACGATATTTATACTGAACCGGTCTCAAATAACAACAAGTCAGGTGAGCCTGCAAGTTTTGTGAATAGGTTTTTTTTAAATGGTTGTATACTCAATTTTAATATTCAACACTTTAACCGCCGCTCTCTCTCTCTCTCTCTCTCTCTCTCTCTCTCTCTCTCTGTCTCGAGAATTGCCAAATCGTTGTAGACTTGAGTTGGACTTATTTTTCTCTATGGTTCTGGAGGTTGGCTTAATCCCCTAAAACAGTAAACTTGGTCCTCACGCTGGAAACAATGTGTCTGAACACAAACCTTAACACTGCCTTCTCCCATAACTTTGACGCGTTTGGGGATCTTAACATGTTTAGGATTACGATTGTGGGAAAGACATGTTCAAATTCTAAACGTGTTTAGATTAAGAGGATGTTGGGTTCAGACGGCGTTCCGGCTGTGAGACGATAGCTCATTTCATGTGTTTAGACCCTAAAAGTGTGAGATAGAAGACACCAAATGAGTGCTCCGTTTAGGATTAAAACACATTTCTATACGTGTTTAGATTTTTTATGAATATGGGATGGTTTTGTCGGTTTTATTTTATTTATTTTACATTTTAAACACATTGTTTACAGTGCAGATGCATTTCATCACGCGTACAATAAAGTATACTATGTATTTGTTGTAGAGATATATCTACACCCAGTGGATGACCCAAGTCGGAAGGATGACGCCCAGTAGAAGGACACACCTATTTATCCTAGACACCCGGTGTCAAGCTATATATGAGAGCTGACATCGGAAAGCAGGACATGCCCATTAATATTTGACACTCGGTTGTCAGCGCAATTATTAGTGTGTAATACTCTAATATTTTTGTTGTCCACAATTTATGTTCGATGCCACCGGTTGCAGATATATATTGCCGAGGAAAAGTAAGTGTACACTTAAGATTTGGAATTGACCAAAACGGTTTTATCACGACGGCATTTCAATAATGGAGAGGTCGTTGTAAGCACAGAAATAAGTCACACCATCAGGGTACAATGACATACATTCACCCACCTAAAACTCCTTTCCTACAGGCATAGGGTACTGTGACATACATTCACCCACCTAAAACTCCTTTCCTACAGGCATGGGGTAATATGACATACATTCACCCACCTAAAACTCCTTTCCTACAGGCAAAGGGTACTGTGACATACATTCACCCACCTAAAACTCCTTTCCTACAGGCATGGGGTACAATGATATACATTCACTCACCTAAAACTCCTTTCCTACAGGCATGGGGCACTGTGACATACATTCACCCACCTTAAACTCCTTTCCTACAGGCAAAGGGTACAATGACATACATTCGCCCACCTAAAACTCCTTTCCTACAGGCATTGGGCACTGTGACATACATTCACCCACCTAAAACGCCTTTCCTACAGGCATGGGGTACAATGACATACATTCACCCACCTAAAACTCCTTTCCTACAGGCAAAGGGTACTGTGACATACATTCACCCACCTAAAACTCCTTTCCTACAGGCATGGGGTACAATGATATACATTCACCCACCTAAAACTCCTTTCCTACAGGCATGGGGCACTGTGACATACATTCACCCACCTAAAACTCCTTTCCTACAGGCATGGGGTACAATGATATACATTCACCCACCTAAAACTCCTTTCCTACAGGCATGGGGTACTGTGACATACATTCACCCACCTAAAACTCCTTTCCTACAGGCATGGGGTAATGTGACATACATTCCCTCACCTAAAACTCCTTTCCTACAGGCATGGGGTACAATGACATACATTCACCCACCTAAAACTCCTTTCCTACAGGCATGGGGTACTGTGACATACATTCACCCACCTAAAACTCCTTTCCTACAGGCATGGGGTACAATGATATACATTCACCCACCTAAAACTCCTTTCCTACAGGCAAAGGGTACAATGACATACATTCACCCACCTAAAACTCCTTTCCTACAGGCATGGGGTAATGTGACATACATTCACCCACCTAAAACTCCTTTCCTACAGGCATGGGGTAATGTGACATACATTCACCCACCTAAAACTCCTTTCCTACAGGCAAAGGGTACAATGACATACATTCACCCACCTAAAACTCCTTTCCTACAGGCATGGGGTACTGTGACATACATTCACCCACCTAAAACTCCTTTCCTACAGGCATGGGGTACTGTGACATACATTCACCCACCTAAAACTCCTTTCCTACAGGCATGGGGTAATGTGACATACATTCACCCACCTAAAACTCCTTTCCTACAGGCATGGGGTAATGTGACATACATTCACCCACCTAAAACTCCTTTCCTACAGGCATGGGGTAATGTGACATACATTCACCCACCTAAAACTCCTTTCCTACAGGCAAAGGGTACAATGACATACATTCACCCACCTAAAACTCCTTTCCTACAGGCATGGGGTACTGTGACATACATTCACCCACCTAAAACTCCTTTCCTACAGGCATGGGGTAATGTGACATACATTCACCCACCTAAAACTCCTTTCCTACAGGCATGGGGTAATGTGACATACATTCACCCACCTAAAACTCCTTTCCTACAGGCATGGGGTAATGTGACATACATTCACCCGGCTAAAACTCCTTTCCTACAGGCATGGGGTACAATGACATACATTCACCCACCTAAAACTCCTTTCCTACAGGCATGGGGTACAATAATATACATTCACCCACCTAAAACTCCTTTCCTACAACAACACGTTCAAACATATAATTTGTTGTCGGGTAAGAGGAACAGATTTGTCTTTTATTAGATTTAACAGATATTTTATGTAAGCTTTATCGCTCAATATGTTCATACTTATAAACATAGTATAGTCTATCAAACTAAATATGCATGTGTTATTAAAATAACAGACAATTATTATTTTTCACACTTATGCACATCAATGATACTTGAATGGCACTTTTTTTACAGTTTAATCTAAAGCTGATTGAAAAATCCGAAATAAGATTGTATATGCTCCTCTGGCTAAATTTACTTGTATTATTGTTTTATTATACCCTAGACCTAAAAGGGCGGGGGTATATATATACCAAAGAATTCCGTCAGTCCGTCTGTCCGCCCGTTCTTCCGAGGACAATTTTTGTGCGACCTATAACTTGAAAACTACTGCATTGATTCTTTTCAAATTTGGTAACCACTTTCTATACCAATAGGAAAGGTGCAGTGCGAAGTGTGAGGTCAATATTTAAATTTTCTGAAAAAATACGGCTATTTTTCATGTCTTGATTTAGAATTGTTTTACTTAAACATTAGTGCGACCTATGACGAGAAAAATACTTTATCGATTATTTTCAAATTTAGGGAGGAGATTTCATACTAATAGAAGAGGTGTCGTGCAAAGTGTGATTTTATAATGAAGATTTTCTAAGAAAATAGGAATTTCTACATGTTTTAAACTTTGAAATTTTCTTTTTTACTTCAACATTTGTGCTACCTATAACTTGAGAACTACTACATGGATTCTTTTCAGAATTAAGGAACACTTTCTATCCTCATTGGAGAGGTGCAGTGAAAAGTTTGATTTTCATATGTGCATTTTCTGAAAGGTGTGAATTTTGTCATGGTATGAAATATATTTATATCCCGACCTGAAAGGGAAAAGCTTGCCGATGATGCACCTGTGCGTCTTTAAATCAAGCCATTATTATGTTATATTATTGTGCTTTTAAGGGAAGCCGGGTCAAACGTTAAGGCATCAATATATCTCCAATAGCAAAACTGTTCTTCAGCTGATGTTGGAATCGAGGTCGGGGATATTAGTGAGCCCTGCTCCCCATTGCATTGCTGTATTGTTTTATTATGTAATACGTCAATATATACCCGTAATAAAGATGTATTAACAGAACATGGGTGTTTTCTTTGAGATCGGCAAGCAACGGGATAGGGTTGACTATGATATCTGGAATAACGACACTGTATACAGTGAAACCCTGTCAATACAATAACCCCGTATTCCGTACGATTACTGTTGAAAATGTCTATTTATACATGGAAACTGGTTAATCCGGACAGTTTTACTAAATTACACGGTATTGTGATTCAGAAAATGTAATGTAGCTTTTATAATTAATTATTCAATAATATTCCATAAGTTTACCATTCGGCCCAGCCTAAAGGAGACACATGAAGTTGGAATCACATCCAGTGGTGTAAAGTTGCGTCCCTTGATTGTGTCAGGATCCGCTGATTGTACATCCGAATCCTAGATCTTTCCCGATTATGATCATTGATCTGTCGGAACTTCACGCGTGCTCGTAGCTTTCATCAGAGCGGTGTACGTCTACGCCCTAGGCCCGGGGTTCGATCTCCGGCCGCGTCATACCAAAAGACGTTGAAAGATGGTACTTGTTGTTACCCTATCTGGCGCTCGGCATTAAGGGGCTAAAACAAGGACTGGTCGGCTTGGAGTCGATATACTGTTTCTGAGCGGGGTATTAATGGTAGACTGTGGCATGGTTCCTCAGTGGGCTAGCACTATAAATCGGCATCAGCCACACACACACACACACACACACACACACACACACATACACGCGCGCGCACACACTATTGCTATATAAGTGCAGTAATCTTTGACGCGACGTTAAAACCCCATTTCACATCACCTCTGCTCACGTCTACGCCTTACGTCGCATCTAGTTGTCTTCCTATATCTAAATAAGGCTGGGTGATACAACCGTACTTCCTGTGCAGGGCGGCTACTAACACGTCTACGCCTTACGTCGCATCTAGTTGTCTTCCTATATCTAGATAAGGCTGGGTGATACAACCGTACTTCCTGTGCAGGGCGGCTACTAACACGTCTACGCCTTACGCCGCATCTAGCTGTCTTCCTATATCTAGATAAGGCTGGGTGATACAACCGTACTTCCTGTTCAGGGCGGCTACTAACACGTCTACGCCTTACGTCGCATCTAGCTGTCTTCCTATATCTAAATAAGGCTGGGTGATACAACCGTACTTCCTGTGCAGGGCGGCTACTAGCACGTCTACGCCTTACGTCGCATCTAGCTGTCTTCCTATATCTAAATAAGGCTGGGTGATACAACCGTACTTCCTGTTCAGGGCGGCTACTAACACGTCTACGCCTTACGTCGCATCTAGTTGTCTTCCTATATCTAAATAAGGCTGGGTGATACAACCGTACTTCCTGTTCAGGGCGGCTACTAACACGTCTACGCCTTACGCCGCATCTAGCTGTCTTCCTATATCTAAATAAGGCTGGGTGCAACCGCACTTCCTGTGCAGGTCGGCTACTAACACGTCTACGCCTTACGTCGCATCTAGCTGTCTTCCTATATCTAAATAAGGCTGGGTGATACAACCGCACTTCCTGTGCAGGGCGGCTACTAGCACGTCTACGCCTTACGTCGCATCTAGCTGTCTTCCTATATCTAAATAAGGCTGGGTGATACAACCGTACTTCCTGTTCAGGGCGGCTACTAACACGTCTACGATGGTATATATCACCTGAATGACTCGAATAACCTTCCTGTTCTTACGATAATAAAAATAGTTTTTCCTCGATAAAGGTTTTCCATTAAAATATATAACATAAAACTTATTTATTATAGAATAAATACGTTCTATGCGTTACTGTAGCCTTGATTCCGTAGTTTCCTCGAGTTAAACTGCAGCATGGTATATCTCAGTGAGCTAGCACTATAAATCGGCACCAGTCCGGACTAGTACAAGCAGCCACACACACACACACGTGCATGCACGTCGCTATATAAGTGCAATAATCTTGGACGCGACGTTAAACCCCATTTCACCTCACCTAATAAAGCTTCAGATCAGTCTCATATTAGAATCAGTTCGAAGTTCTCGCTATAGTTTGTCTCACAGTCCCTGACCCATATCATTTTCCCTTGCGCCCAGGCCTTTCTGTAAAGCGAAACCTGAATGAAGCAAGTCTAGATTTTACCGGGGATCAGGAATATCCCACCTCACTGGAGCTCCTTTTCAATTTAAATGGAGCTATGTGTTTCCATCAAAATTATATATTTTCTGAGATTAAGAGATCTTTGTTTAGCGGTAGCGAAAACTAAGATCTGTTTTTAATGAGAGTACGTCAGATATATAGAATACTAAACGAGCTCCCGTGTAATACCAATTTTATGAAACGAGTGAATAGTTCTGGTATCTGACGAGCGAAAGCGAGTCAGATACCACAACTATTCACGAGTTTCATAAAATTGGTTTTACACGAGAGCGAGTTTAGTATTTTATTTATTACTTGTCATTTATAATGTTTTTAGAATTATACTGTTGAGTGTAAATAGGCTGACACCTACACGATCCATGGCATAATCCAATTCAGTTTAACAGAATAATACTTCAAACACGTCAAAAGTTGAAACGTATGAATTTAATATCATACAATGGTCCAGCTTTAGAATTCAGGCGTTCGTCCCACAAAATTATCGTAGCGCTAAGGCTATCACAACTCACATAATTTAACTTAGACTAACGACTGTCGTTGCGCTAGAGTACGATCGCCTTGTGGAACGGGGCCTTGCACCTCAAAGTTTACAATGACGTCACAATACCCGATGACGTAATTTGTTGAATTTTGTTGCAAGATCCATCGGCGAAACAATGCCATGTGACGTCAGCCTAGCAACAAGGTTGCTGGGGTCATCGAGTGTGCATAAGCTCCTCCCAGTGATCTATCATCTCCACACACAATGTCGTTGAATACGCCAAGGGATGTTGAGAGCTTTCAATATTTGTTCGTGAAACGTGTTCCGAGAGTACATAAGCACGCGTTTTGGTATTACACAATGTGTAATAAAGCTGTATGTCTATTAAACGGGTGATCTCTTCACGGGCAAGTAATAAAAAATACATTTCTCTATGTAGATCCTTATTACGTATTTGTTTTCAGATGACCTAGTTAAATCTGGGAAGGAAACGTATAACAACGCGGCTATTGTTATGTTGTAATCTATCGTTCACTGACCTTTCAAACGTCCTTGCCAAGTAGGCCTGTACGCATCACTAAACATGGTTGTCCTGACAACATGCTTGGGACTATGGTTAAGCTATGGATGAGGTGAGGTGAGGTGAAATTGGGTTTAACGTCGCGTCCAAGATTGTTTCACTTATATAGCGACGTGCATGTACGTGTGTGTGTTTGTGTGGCTGCTTGTACTAGACCGGACTGATGCCGATTTATAGTGCTAGCCCACTGAGATACCATGCCGCAGTTTAACATGAATACCCCACTCAGACACAGTATACTGACTCCGAGCCGACCAGTCCTTGCTTTAACCCCTTAATGCCGAGCGCCAGACAGGGTAACAACAAGTACCATCTTTTAACGTCTTTTGGTATGACGCAGCCGGGGATCGAACCCCGGACCTTCCGCTCTTCCGGGCGGACGCACTAGACCACGGAGGCGGTCCTATGGATGACGAAATACAAGCCTTGCTGGGATATGAGTGACGCCTGAACTAGAATCTTCTCTTTATATATTCCCAGTGGGAAATCCGGGACAGATTTAACCCAAGGACCCAATGGTTATTAAAGGGCCGGCTACAAAGAGCATGTGTTGCAGTGTGTGACCTGACTCTGTGTCTACGCCTACCTTAACTGATAGTTGCTCATGCGATCAACCACGGGTTTGTCTGGTCCACACTCGACCACGCCGCCGTGATATAACAGATTTCTTTCTGACCGTGGCATAAACAACATTTTCGCTTAATACATCTACAACACTTATAATTGCGTGATTCGTGTAAAACATCGGAGTGAGTGAGGTTGGTTTAACGCCGCTTTGAACAGTTAGTATTCCAGTTATAGCACGGCGTGTCAGCTTAATGTGGGCGGAAAGCCCGAAGTGATGCAGGTCTCGGTCATATATCATTTTGGTGAAACCCACGAGCACGGCTATGATGCTGACACGGGATATTTTGATTTGGAGAAAATAAACAAACGAACCAATATGCACGGAAGCCTGTTAGGGGCATTTGTTTTTGTTTTTGTTATTTTCTTGAAATTTCAAGATTCTAAGTTTAAATTTCAACTTATTATCTTGAAAGTTTAACTTATTATAATGAAAATTAGTATCTTAAAATTTTAAGTTAGTATCTTGAAATTTCAACTTATGTATCTTGAAATTTCAACTTGATGGCCCTAAAAGGTTTCCGTAAATCTGTGTTTTGCAATCACTTGTAATCCATGCGTTAAAGATGGGGATCAGCCTGATTATTTCCGTCACTGTTGTCGGTTACAGATCAAACATGTAGGGGTCAACTACTTCCTCAGCAACCACCGATTCATCTTCCGGGAAACATTTATATTCCATGATACGTCGCACCCTAGAGTCACTGTCAAAGTCGGACAGGTCGGAAAGTTAGGATTAATTTGAGCTCACGATGTCACTACAATTAAAGGAACGAAGTAAGTAGATGTTTCATGATTTTATACACAGATCAGCCAATATTTCAAACAAAGAAGGGTCTTACAACAAAATTAATGAGATGAGTACCGTAACGTGAAAAATATACGCAATTGAAAAAATAGCATGTTTTGCACCTCGTTTTCTCGCCGAATATTGACTTTAATTTGTGATATAAATGGCCTGTGTCTCATTTCCGCTATTGAAAAAAGGGGAGTATATTTTAATCTTTTAATCCCACTCATACGAAGGAAAGTACAGTGTACAAATGGCCATTGCTAATTGTGGAAAGGAGAATGTTAAAAGGTAGGGTTGAAAGTAACTCCCCCCAACAAGACCATATATGGAGCCTCTGTATGTTAAGGCTCCACCTTCAATGTATTTTCGTTTCAGCCTTTGAAATTTAAAGACAGAAAAAGTGCATATAAACCTTATTTACGTGGCGCTTTCGATGTTTTGAATACGATGTTTGCATTTATAACGATGTTACGATCTATCCAAATCTGCAGCAAAGTAGTAGTAGTAGTAGTAGTAGTAGTAGTAGTAGTAGTAATAGTTTTTTGTAGCCCTATATAAGATCCTATAACTCTAATTTTCTTTTCGAGATAAGATGGTTTAGCATGACTGCGGTTTCGAGTGAGTGAGTACGGTTTTACGCCGATTTTAGCAATATTCCAGCAATATCACGGCGGGGGACACCATAAATGGGCTTCACACATTGTACCCATGTCGGGAATCGAACCCGGGTCTTCGGCGTGACGAGCGAACGCTTTAACCACTAGGCTACCCGACCGCCCCTACTGCGGTTTCGAATGCCGAATGGAACTAGAATTTGTTTTGTTTGTTTGTTTGTTGTTCAACGCCGCACTCAGCAATATTCCAGATATATGACGGCGGTCTGTAAATAATCGAGTCTGTACCAGACAATCGAGTGATTGACATCATGAGCATCGATCTACGCAATTGGGATCGATGACTTGCATCAACCAAGTCAGCGAGCCTGACCATCCGATCCCGTTAGTCGCCTCTTACGACAAGCATAGTCGCCTTTTACGGCAAGCATGGGTTGCTGAAGACCTACCCCGGATCTTCACGGGTCACTAGAATTTGTACGTACTTATAAGAAAGTGTAATCCCAAAATAAACATGTTACAAATAAAACACCATTTACTTCATGTACACAAAATAGGGATGGAATCTCAAAAATGATAAATGAAAGGTTTTAATCATCGAAATGTTTGATTCTTGCGATTGCTTATACACATATATGGACCATCGAAGCTATCGCAATAGTATTTTTTTATGAACGTATTTTTTAAAATACAATTAACTTTAAATGATCTGAATGGTGTGTAGAAAACATACCGAATTTCTAATTTTATCATCATTACACTTTATGCTGGATGTGGAATTCCTTCCCTGAGTTTAATTGTCAGAGTTCAAAAGTTTCCATTTTGAAAAAATAAAACACAATCACAATCTCAAGCTGGTGACTCACATGTTTTTCGACATGCGAGTCGCCATGCAGCTTGAGATTGTGCAATTTGCGTTCGCGTTACAACATGGTAAGGCTCAGTCAAATATTTCGTCAGAGCACCTGTTCCGGTCTTTCTTGCCGTATGATGTCCAGAAACGAACAAAGATTTGAATTAAACATCAATACTGCATTTGAATTAAGGAAACATTATTTAAAATACATTACTTTGAGAATATCATTCTAGCATTCAGATGTTAAGAATATCCGTTTGTAAAATATAAACTTATTTGAGTTGAGTGTCGTTTAGATGCTGCATACCGACTCCGCAGTGATACATATTTTCACTTTTACCCGAAATGTCTTTTGATGGAGGAAGCGACAGGGCATGTGTGCGTGCCGACGATTAATCTTTTAACTTGATCATTTCATACTTTTTCGTCAAATTGGCCGAATAAGGTAAATTTTGAGGTTTTCGTTACGGAATAGGACATATACAACAGTTGTCATATTCGCTGAATTTGCCACTTTTAGGTGTAACTTCAGACAGTTCATTACGACATTACAGATCGTTACCGCCATGTGCCAGTTTGAACAACTCTTTTTGTTTTTGAACAAGTTTTCATGGTATGATTGGACAAAGTAACATACAGTTAATTGTGTCAAAGAATACTATATTTTCTTAGAAAATGTCTCATCGCCTCGTTCACTGTCATTTCTGCGAATAGGGTCGATCATTTAGTCTGTTAGCAGTTAGTGTTTCTGCAGTCGCAAATGGGGAATTCCAGGATTATTATCATGGGAGCGTCAGGCAGTTAACAACGTTCAGGAAACCAATGAAATGTTGAAGTGTATACGAGTATTTTATATAGTTCCTGGTTGGAAACTCATGTCTGACAATTATTTGGTAAACTGCCTGTCCTCACTGTTCATGAATCAGATGACCCGTGAAGATCCGGGGTAAAATAGGTCTTCAGAAACTCATGCTTGCCTTAAAGGCGACTTTTCTTGTCTTAAGAGGCGACTAACAGGATTAGGTGGTCAGACTCGCTGACTTGGTTGATGCTGGATTGTCTGGTCCAGACTCGATTATTTACAGACTGCTGTCATATAGCTGGAATATTGCTGAGTGCAGCGTTAAACAACAAACAAACATGAATCAGACTCGTAATGAAAGTATCATGCATGTAAAGAAGATACGTGTTTATTATGGCACATTATTGTGCATGCATAAATATGAAACATATACAACTGTAAAATATCATGTATAAGGTCACACCTCAAATGTCTGATGTTAGCATTTATTAGAGCCTTGACATTTTGACACAAAATGTCGACTGAATGAAGGATGAAAAGTTTCCTGCAGTTTAAACAAACAGTGAAATGCTTTGAACTACAAGTGCATCAGGTGTGTACAATTAGCAGTGCACTGTTTAGAACAGCATTCTTACGGTTTGGTGAACGCTACCACCACTATGGCATGTGTACTATTTGAATGTTGCGACCCCTAAATCCTTTAACATTAGAGCCGCCTCCGTGGTTTTGTGGTAGAGCGTCCGCTCAGAGAGCGGAAGGTCCTGGGTTCGATCCCCGGCCACATCATACCATAAGACGTTAAAAGATGGTACTTGTTGTTACCCTGTCTGGCGCTCGGCATTAAGGGGCTAAAACAAGGACTGGTCGGCTCGGAGTCAGTATACTGTGTCTGAGTGGGGTATTCATGTTAAACTGCAGCATGGTATCTCAGTGAGCTAGCACTATAAATCGGCATCAGTCCGGACTAGTACAAGCAGCCACACACACACACACATGCATGCACGTCGCTATATAAGTGCAATAATCTTGGACGCGATGTTAAACCCAATTTCACCTCACCTTTTTAACATTAGACTATAACAAGGACACCTTGGCTTTCATGTGTAATTTCTAACTCTGCATGTTGATTGTAAACAGTGTTGGAAATGGGCAGATCAACCCCTAAAGTATTCTACTTTCATCATTTGGAACCCTTAATGTTAACAGTTAAAGTAACTTAAAGATTTAGGAGTCCAGGGTCGTGCTGTCCCTAGATTCAAATACTATTGGAGCAAACTTCTAGGACCCCAGGGGGTAGTCGGGTAGCCTAGTTGTTAAAGCGTTCGCTCGTCACGCCGAAGACCCGGGTTCTATTCCCGACATGGGTACAATGTGTGAAGCCCATTTATGGTGTCCCCCGCCGTGATATTGCTGGGATATTGCTAAAAGCGGCGTAAAACCATACTCACTCACTCACTCACTCTAGGATCCCAGGACACCCCTTTAAATCAACCACTGGTAACGTGACCTGTTCATTAAACCATGTTATTATTGAGTATGTGCATAACGATTCATGTATGTTGGGCACCGCCTCCGTGGTCTAGTGGGGCTAAAACAAGGACTGGTCGGCTCAGAGTCGGTATACTGTGTCTGAGTGGGGTATTCATGTTAAACTACGGCATGGTATCTCAGTGGGCTAGCACTATAAATCATCATCAGTCCAGACTAGAACAAGCAGCCACACACACACATGCATGCACGCACGTCGCTATGCAAGTGCAATAATCTTGGACCGATGTTAAACCTCAGTTTACCTCACCTCATGTATCGTGTATGTTGGACAATTTCAGAAAGCAAGTGGGCGGCCATGGACCCGTCGTGGTCTAATGGTGGGAAGCCACCAGATGAAAGTATAGCCAGAGATCAAAGAAAAGCAAGAATTCAGCCATTTTGGGAGGACCTAAGGTAGGCTTTCCTAATCATGCTATTATTCAATTGATTTCTTAATGTCCAAATATGTTTCCTCTAAACTGGCATGGATTTATCTAGGTGTTCTAAGTGGCCAATATTATACACCATGCCTACTTCCTCAAAGTTTATTTAAAATTCCCAAAATGGAATAAGAAATTTCCCAATTCAGCTTAGTACAATGGAACGGGACTGCTTTTGAGTTTTTGTTGACTGCTGCCACCGGTGATTTTTTGAATGAATGAGTGAGTTAAAATTTAACGTTGCATCAGCATTATTTCATCCATATAGCGACAATTTTTTGAATGACTAATACACAAAGACTATTGACATGAGAGATTAAACGTCCATGGCTTCTTCCAAATGGCCCTGGGGAATACTTTTGTCGCATGTCATGAAAACGTAATGATCTGAAAACTCGCCAAAATCTTTGTAGTTGCACTTTCTCGAAACGTTTAATGCAATTATCATAAACATGTGATACACCTTCTCTAGAATGGGCTCCTGCTTTGAACATGTTTTGGCTCAAGTGAGTCACATGTCAAGGTCAGCATTCTGGTTTTAGAAAACCATGATTATGTCTTTGTCAGCACCTATTGTAATAAACAATGATAAAACAGGTTATATCTCACAAAGTGCATCATATCCCTTGAGCAGCTTGGAAAATATGTCAAAGCCCAGTTGACGGTACACATGCTCTGCAAATCCTGCAATAAAACGAATTCGGCACGGAAGTTGCCATGTTTGTGAACCGGATGCCGATATTGTAACATAATTTTGATTGGACTATTTATTGACTCGTTAGTCCAGCCAAAATATAACTCCATTATTCCAAACTAGTTCGGCAAGGGTGGAAACTGGACTTTTAAAGTCACTTAACTCCCTTGCTTTGGGAAAATGGTTATCACCTTATAGTAATAACTATATTTACATGACATAGGAACCATTTGGGAATTTTTACTGACAATTGCTGCATGTTTATTCCCAATTTGCTAAGTTACTTAGTTTAAAAGCTTTGATATATCCCTGTTGTGACAATGATGCTTATTATGATTATGCAAGACAATATAATTAAAATCCATTTTTGAAGGTTTGAATTGTGGTCAGTATTGTATGTGTTGTAGTGGGCTTGAAGTAATATGGACAGAAAAGCGAACTAGAGCATGTAGAATGTACTCAGCAGAAACATGACAAAGTGTGTTTTAGTTATCATGATTAGTACAACAGCTGTCCCATGTTTTTGTCCCTGTTCAATCCCATTAAGTGCTTCTGCAGGTTCTACATGGTATGGCAGCCCATTTTGTCTCAGACTTTGTGACATTCTGGGAGTGCTAATTAATTGGATGACAGAAATACTTGTTAATGACACATACCCTTTTCCATACTTTTGTTTCCTGCCCGTGGGGATTCTGGGTTAGAGTACGTCCCCAGCAACCTGGGTTGGTCCAAAGTGCTGACTTTAAGGGATCCAGTGGTCAGACTCGGTGACTTGGTTGATTACATGTCAATGTTACCTGGGAAGAACTGGGTTAGAATAGGCCTTCAGCAACCCATGCTTGCCATAAAAGGCGACTATGCTTGTTGTAAGAGGCAGCTAACAGGATTGGGTGGTCAGGCTCGCTGACATGGTTGATGCATGTTATTGTATCCCAAAAGCGTATATCAATGCTAATGATGTCAATGTGCTACGACATTCATGACTCCCATACTTTAACATAGACTTATGGTTGTCGTAACATTATGATCACTTTGTGGAACGGGCTCAGCATATCACCTTTTTAAGCTATTACCATATATTGTCGATCATGTAAACATTGAAATAGACTCAGTTTAAAAAGCCAATCATGGTAAAGGGAAGCAACCCAATTGTTTTTGTACTATAATGACTATACATAGGTTTATCTTTATTTCAGCGATGACAAGGAACCTCGGACAACCAAGGTAGGACAAGAGCCGATTTTGAAATCAGGCATCTTTGCCATCTGGCCATGTTACAGTGTTCCCTCACTATTGCACTCTTCAATATAGCGCTAACTCGTTTATTGCGCGTGGTAAAGCATGGCTCCCAAAGTTTAATGACATAAACTCAAGTTTTCCACGATGTTTCAAGACACAAGGTTCTTTGACCCCTTTCTCAGAAAACATTATCAGCTGATCACCGCGATCACGTAACACCGGAAATACCAGTCAACAAATCTGAACTGAAGTACGCAATTTAATCCTATTATTATATAATATCTGGTTATAAACAAATTGTTTATCTGGACTGATGTTTGCAATATATTTGATTAATTATATTCAAAATTTCATTCAATAATTATAATAATGTTAACAATAATTTTGGCGAAATCGTATGCAAAGTGATCGGTAGATTGCACAACTCACCGTTAGTTACAGCAACCACGGTCAGATTACCGCTTTTGATGCTTTGAAAGGAACTTTAGATGCAAGAGAATGGATACACATATCATAAATGTCGTACCATGACGCGCTAAAAGTCATATAGTTCAGTTGCCTTTGGTAAATCAAATGTCGCGTAACCAGTCCGGATTATCCTGGTACCAAATATTCTTTGGCAGTGTACTCCATGATATTGTGAACATACAATAACATTTTACGGAGCTCTAGATAGGCTTTTCTTCATTTGGGTATTTCAACCAGGGGTTTGATTTTTATTGGGTATCCACAAGATTTAGAGGGTATTGAAATATTATTACCCAACTGTTTCTTGACATTTGAGTATTTTAACTTAAAACCTGTTTCGTAACAATCCCTGTGAATCATTTAAAACTATGTGAATAGTAGTATGCATGTCTGCATCTGCTTGCAGCTCCCTCTCTGGGAAGCCATTTTTGTTTGCAAAACCTAGCATTGTAAGAAAGGCCCTTTTTTCAATCAACAATCAGCTACGTTTCAAGATACAACATGTACATAGACTTTTCAATTGGCATCTCCGAATGTGAGATCAGTAAGTGAATTTGGCGATCGGCTGATACAGTCATTTTATCTAACAGTTGTAATATATGCAATCATTTGATATAATAGTTATAATATAAGCATTGATTTTATTTCAATAGGGTATTTATAGTTTTTGGTGGGTATTTGTATTATAGGATTTTATTTGTTCACATATTTCAGTTTAGTTGATGCATATTTTACACTAATATGTAGCTTATGTCAAGCTCTGCATTACGTAGCATCCTTATTGACTTATTTGTTGTTATCCCAAGGGGATTCCCAGGGTAGCATTGATCCCAAGCAAACTATGCTGGTCGTAAAAGGTGATTCAATGGATCAATTGGTCAGGCTCATTGACTTTATTGTTTTAAGTTATTGTACCATGAAGGCGTGGGCTGTTGTTCACAATGTCAATGCTGAAATGTGTATTTTCTGAAAAATATGATGTTTTTTATGTTGTGTACTTTTTTTGCTTCAACATTTATGCGACCTATGACTTGAAAACTACTTCATGGATTCTTTTCTAATTGGGGGTACAGTTTCTATTCCAATAGGAGATAGCAGTATGGAGTTCTTTTTCAGTATTTGGGTTTCCTGAAAAAATGCAGCTATTTTTCTTTTCTTTTTTCACTGAAACATTTGTGTGACCTATTACTAGAAAACTATGTCATGGATTCTTTTTGAAATTTAGGGAACAGTTTCCATACATAAAAGAAGAGGTGCAGTGCAAAGTTTAATTTGGATATGTGTATATTTTTTTTCATGTTTTGAACTTCAAATATTTTTTTACTCTAACACTTGAGTGACCTATAACTATTTGATGGAGAAATATGTTGGCGTGGAGGTCAGGGGTATTAGTGAGCTCTGCTCACTTTTTGTCTTGGTACAGTTAACCTTATTACTGAACATAGCAATAACCATGGTAATATTGCTTTGTGTTAGCATATTTTCTTCCTTCCTTGCCCCAAGTTATTGTTGAACTCTCACTTCCCTGTAATTACTACCCTTGAAGCATGCTGCCCTATACTGATAAGTGTGTTGTGGTTGTAGCCGGCCATGATGTAAGAGTGTGTTGTTGAAGCCGGCCCTGCTGTAAGGGTATGTTGTGGTTGTAGCTGGCCCTGCTGTAAGAGTGTGTTGTGGTTGTAGCCGGCCCTGCTGTAAGAGTGTGTTGTGGTTGTAGCCGGCCCTGCTGTAAGGGTATGTTGTGGTTGTAGCCGGCCCTGCTGTAAGAGTGTGTTGTGGTTGTAGCCGGCCCTGCTGTAAGGGTATGTTGTGGTTGTAGCTGGCCCTCCTGTAAGAGTGTGTTGTGGTTGTAGCCGGCGCTGCTGTAAGAGTGTGTTGTGGTTGTAGCCGGCGCTGCTGTAAGAGTGTGTTGTGGTTGTAGTTGGCCCTGCTGTAAGAGTGTGTTGTGGTTGTAGCCGGCCCTGCTGTAAGAGTGTGTTGTGGTTGTAGCCGGCCCTGCTGTAAGAGTGTGTTCTGGTTGTAGCCGGCCCTGCTGTAAGAGTGTGTTGTAGTTATAGCCGGCCCTACTGTAAGAGTGTGTTGTTGAAGCCGGCCCTGCTGTGAGAGTGTGTTGTTGAAGCCGGCCCTGCTGTGAGAGTGTGTTGTGGTTGTAGCCGGCCCTGCTGTAAGAGTGTGTTGTTGAAGCCGGCCCTGCTGTGAGAGTGTGTTGTGGTTGTAACTGGCCCTGCTGTAAGAGTGTGTTGTAGTTGTAGCCGGCGCTGCTGTAAGAGTGTGTTGTGGTTGTAGCCGGCCCTGCTGTAAGAGTGTGTTGTGGTTGTAGTTGGCCCTGCTGTAAGAGTGTGTTGTGGTTGTAGCCGGCCCTGCTGTAAGAGTGTGTTGTGGTTGTAGCCGGCCCTGCTGTAAGAGTGTGTTGTGGTTGTAGCCGGCGCTGCTGTAAGAGTGTGTTGTGGATGTAGCCGGCCCTGCTGTAAGAGTGTGTTGTGGTTGTAGCCGGCCCTGCTGTAAGAGTGTGTTGTGGTTGTCGCCGGCCCTGCTGTATGAGTGTGTTGTGGTTGTAGCTGGCCCTGCTGTAAGAGTGTGTTGTGGTTGTAGCCGGCCCTGCGGTAAGAGTGTGTTGTGGTTGTAGCCGGCCCTGCTGTAAGAGTGTGTTGTGGTTGTAGCCGGCCCTGCTGTAAGAGTGTGTTGTGGTTGTAGCCGGCCCTGCTGTAAGAGTGTGTTGTTGAAGCCGGCCCTGCTGTAAGAGAGTGTTGTGATTGTAGCTGGCCCTGCTGTAAGAGAGTGTTGTGATTGTAGCCGGCCCTGCTGTAAGAGTGTGTTGTTGAAGCCGGCCCTGCTGTAAGAATATGTTGTGGTTGTAGCCGGCCCTGCTGTAAGAGAGTGTTGTGATTGTAGCCGGCCCTGCTGTAAGAGTGTGTTGTTGAAGCCGGCCCTGCTGTAAGAATATGTTGTGGTTGTAGCCGGCCCTGCTGTAAGAGAGTGTTGTGATTGTAGCTGGCCCTGCTATAAGAGAGTGTTGTGGTTGTAGCCGGCCCTGCTGTAAGAGTGTGTTGTGGTTGTAGCCGGCCTTGCTGTATGAGTGTGTTGTGGTTGTAGCCGGCCCTGCTGTAAGAGTGTGTTGTAGTTGTAGCCGGCGCTGCTGTAAGAGTGTGTTGTTGAAGCCGGCCCTGCTGTAAGAGAGTGTTGTGGTTGTAGCCGGCGCTGCTGTAAGAGTGTGTTGTGGTTGTAGCTGGCGCCTCTGTAAGAGTGTGTTGTGGCTGTAGCCGGCCCTGCTGTAAGAGTGTGTTGTGGTTGTAGCCGGCCCTGCTGTTAGAGTGTGTTGTTGAAGCCTGCCCTACTGTAAGAGTGTGTTGTGGTTGTCGCCGGCCCTGCTGTAAGAGTGTGTTGTGGTTGTAGCCGGCCCTGCTGTAAGAGTGTGTTGTGGTTGTAGCCGGCCCTGCTGTAAGAGTGTGTTGTGGTTGTAGCCGGCCCTGCTGTAAGAGTGTGTTGTGGTTGTAGCCGGCCCTGCTGTAAGAGTGTGTTGTAGTTGTAGCCGGCGCTGCTGTAAGAGTGTGTTGTGGTTGTAGCCGGCGCTGCTGTAAGAGTCTGTTGTGGTTGTAGCCGGCCCTGCTGTAAGAGTGTGTTGTGGTTGTAGCCGGCGCTGCTGTAAGAGTGTGTTGTAGTTGTAGCCGGCCCTGCTGTAAGAGTGTGTTGTGGTTGTAGCCGGCCCTGCTGTAAGAGTGTGTTGTGGTTGTAGCCGGCCCTGCTGTAAGAGTGTTGTGGTTGTAGCCGGCCCTGCTGCAGCTGATGCAGGACCTGAAGGATGAGGGGAACACCCTGTTCAAGGAGACCATGTATGACCTGGCCTGGATGCACTACCGCAACGCTCTGTTTGTGGCGAGGATGCTGGAGATGAGGTTCTACTATGAAGTGAAGAAGGATTTCATCTCAACTCTCTTTTCTAACAGAGCCCTGTGTTGCTTGAAAAAGGTAATGTTTTGAAGTCAAGTATTCCCGGGTCTTTAGATAATCTACCAACATGTGTCATGACTTGAACATGATTTGTGTAGCTTATTCAGGGCTTATGTCAAAATCTTTCAAATTTATGTCTAACCCTTGTTTGTCAACACATCAATCTTTGAACTAGTTTAATGCCTCGAAGCTTTATTTACCATACTGCATCAATAATCCCTATGTTATGTGTAATTTGTCATGCTTTTGGGGGCTTGACATCATCAAAGTATGGGTACCGCAACGTTATGTGCATATATTTCAACTTTGAAATATATGGGACCAGAGTGCAACATGTTTTGTCTTGTGCAACTCGGTTTTCATGTGTGCTCGCACTTGGTACAAGTTAAATCAAGTTCCTTAAATCGAGCCTTGTTTTTGTTTAACCATGTTAACTGAGGCATTCGTTCATAAGACACAAATTGGATTCAAAAAAGGGAAACAGTTTGTCAAGTCCTTCAAAATATTTCCAATAAATGTTTCGAAACATGTCAGGGATTATGGGATAGAGAGGTGCACCACAGTAGATAGGGTACACATAAGAGACAAATGAATGTGAGATGGGGTGTGTTTAGTCTTAGTTCAATCGCTATCATACCCAGGCTACAAGATCATTTTCCCGAGCCAAGCGTGTCCACTAGCCTGTATCAAAGCCTATTTTCTACCCTGACAAATACATAGGCAATTGTTGGGGGTTTAAAAGATGAAAAAGACGTATTCTTGTCAACAAACACAGGCAGCGGTAAATCACTTTTATACGAAGGGGTACCAGTCATGGATGTTGATTTTGTGTAACGTTTTCTGATTGACTTTTGTGCGATAGACCTGTCATATTTAGCGCAGGAAAGTGAGCTTGATGTGACTTTGATAAAAAGGCTCATGGATGCTCTTGCTTCGGGAAGATGGGACGGTTTAGTTTTGTCGGAATTGTTTTCGAAACAAGTTGTTTGCCATTTAAAAATACCATTTCTTGCAGATATTTCAAATTTGGCAAGGATTGGTAATTATCTTCTTTCTGTTGTATAGGAATTGTATGAAGAGGCCGTGGCCGACTGTGATTCAGGTATGTATGATTTTTTGGTTTAAGTTACATACAAGACAATGATGCTTTTAACATGTTTAAGTGGTATGTTTCTGATATCTTTCAGTTATCATCTGCACTTGTTTAAGCAAAACCTACACACCTATGTTCCCACACCACAACTTGATGATATACCCGTGAAGATCTGGGTTAGAATAGGTCTTCAGCAACCCATGCTTGCTGTAAAAGACTATGCTAGTCGTAAGAGGCGACTAACGGGATCGGATGGTCTTTCTTGCTGACTTGGTTGATGCATGTCATCGTATTCCATTTGCATAGATCGATGCTCATAATGTCAATCACTGGATTGTTTGGTCCAGACTTGATTATTTACTGACCTGTCATATACATGATATAGCTGGAGTATTGCTGAGTGTAATCACTCACTCACTCAAGTTCATGTATTCTTACATTTGCTTCAGAAACGACAGCTGGGAAACTTATTGCTGCCAGCCTGGGGCCGAATATCGGCCACTGAGAAATAAACCTCTGTATGATCAAAATGGTTATATACATCACTTCATAATGTTAATGATGTGTCACATCTTAAAAAAATGTTTTAATTTTCAGCTATTAGAACTCAACCCACCAATCTGAAAGCTTACTACCGCAAGGTGCAGGCTCTCAAAGCTCTTCAGAAGTACCAGGATGCACTGCAGCTGGCACGGACTGGATATGCAAAACAGCCTGCAGTAAGGAAAACTTTAATTGTTCAATTCTCTGTATCTTGACCTTTATCAATGCTTTGTAGGTTGGTATGCACTACGTTCCTTTAGCACTGAAAAAAACCACAAAAAAACTGCTTTGCAGTGTAGTTGCGATCTTAAAACAATGCGATCACAGCCTGGTTCAAGTTAGAAGGGAGCCGGCATGTGCTATGACCAATAACAAACGCGTGCAACATTCTTTTGGCCATGTAAGGTGAGGTGAAATTAGGTTTAATATCGCGTCCAAGATAACTGTACTTACAGTGACGTGTGCGTGCGTGCATGCGTGTCGTCCAGTCGTTGTTTTAGCCCCTTAATGCTGAGTGCCATGCAGGCAGGGTAACAACAAGTACCATTTTTTAATGTCTTTTGGTATGACCTGTCCGGGAATAGAACCCCAACCTTCCACTCTACCACCAGACCACGCAGGCGGTCCTTGTGGCCATGTATACAGCATCAGTATGAGACAACAGTAAAAATAGTTATAGTATTTAAGTATATAAATCATCCCTAACATGGCTAAAATGGTTTGCAGCTCTACGGTTAATGTTCGCCATACAGATTATCCTGGTCATAATAAGGTCCTGGAGGTGTTACATGCTAGAGTTAGGTCTTTGATTTTTGGACGGTGGGGTAGCCTAGTAGTTAGAGCCTTTGCTCTTCATGCCAAAGGCCTGGGTTCGATTCCCCACATGGGTACAAGGTCTGAAGCCCATTTCTGGTGTTCCCATTGGATGTTGCTGGAATATTGCTAGAAGCAGCGTAAAAATACTCACTCTTCAAAACTCCTTGTCTGCGAGTATAAGGCACACGTCTCTTTGTACACAGTTTGGGGGAATGTGTGGATTATTTCGTCTGTTCAAAAAGGCCCGTGGCCTACAAGTACTGAATAAAGGAAAGTGAAGATGAAGTATGGATTATACACAAGAAATACAACACTAGCTCTATGGAAAGTTCAGGGATACTGATGTTGGAAGTTGTAGCCACTGTACCTTCATGTCCAGTTATTCTCATTTGTACACCCGACTGCCTCCATTGTCTAGAGGTAGAGCGTCCACCCAGAGAGTGGAAGATCCTGGGTTCGATCCCAAGCCGCGTCATACAAAAGGCTTTGAAAGATGGTATTTGTTGTTACCCTGTCTGGCGCTCAGCATTAAGGGGCTAAAAACAAGGACCGGCACAGCGTCAGTATACTGTGTCTGAGTGAGGTATTCATGTTAAACTGCGGCATGGTATCTCAGTGGGCTAGCACTGTAAATCGGCATCAGTCGGACAAGTGCAAGCAACCACACACGCGCACACACATAGCACTATAAAATTGGCATTAGTCTTGACTAGCTCAAACACGCATGCATGCACGTCGCTATATAAGTGCAATAATTTTGGAAGCGACGTCAATCCCCATTTCACCTCACCATTAGTACACCCACAACATACCAGTGCAGTCTGTGCCTCACTCCCACACACATATTAGTATGATTAGTGGCAACAATCATTGAAACACCACAGAATGAAACACATTTTGAAAAGAAGTATGTCATTTTAAAATATTACGAATTATTTATTGATTGCAATTAAATGTTTGTTTCAAATTTTTATCATCTCTTAAGAGTTTTTGAGAGTGATCATGACTTGCAACATAGAACAACCAGGGATCCTCTCCTAACACTATTTTTCAGGCTATCATAGCTGGTAGCAGTGCTTCCATTTACCAGCACAATAGGCCAAGTACTGGTACAAAATATGCGATGTACCAGTATCTTTAAGTGCTGCCATTCCAGTGGATCTGAACGCAAACACTGTAGACTCAAAACATTTTGGCCCAGATTCTACTTTGATTGTTACCATGGTAATGATACAATAGATATCTGGATGCTTGGATCAGTAGACAATACACAGTATGATGCATGCCTTTTGTTGCAGTAATAAGACATATTCCATCATGAAAGAGGCCAAGCCAAAACTTGTAGTAAACTTAGTCCACATTGACTCGAGCATTGTTAAGAGTTCTTGTACATCAGCAGATCAGTCCTTGGTGCCTGCATCATCAGATTTTTATTCATTTTGGTTCCATGTCCTTATGTTATGTCATTTAATATCATGTACATACTACATGATTTGTAAAACATGCATGTCCAAAATATAACTGCCTGCCCGCAGGTGCCTTTTCTGTCGGGCTGCATGAAATGTTTCTCCATCTGCCTGACTGTCTGGCAGATAATTTATATTCTACTTACGTCTTCAGTCTTCTTATAACTCCTTGTAGATTCTCAATTAATTGTTAGCATTATTTCAACTGAATCAAGACGTGATTTGTCTCTCTCTTTTTTTATGTGATTTTTCAATATTTATAATGTGTGCGTGCGGGCAGGTAACTTTGACGTTGGGCAGACAACACTTATGGGTCACCTGCCCCACTGTCTTCTTGGGTTTTAAAAACTTTTCAAACACTGAATTCTTGATGTCAAGATTTCATGCTTGCATTGTCAGCGGTAGAAACTAACACTTTTAGTCTACTAGTCCTTATAATGATAACATACAGCATGATACAGCCAAACCCTTAAAAATGGCAAATTTCTACTAGTCCTTATGATACCTTAACTATTGGGCAGTTTGGCAAGGACTATAGGACTAGTGCCAATTTCTAACGCTGATTGTGGTGACATTTGTCATATACCTCTCAATGATATGAGGCAATGTGCTATAGAGCCAACATGGAGATGGACATATCACAGGGAGTGTAATAACCAGACCCGTATTCAACCCCCTGCCGGGCTGATATGGCTAGTCAATGCATTTTGAATGGACGATCAATATCAGCCTGGGTAGTAAGAAATTAGGGTTATGTCCCTTAGCATGCTCAGTGCCTTGCTTTGTTGACATGGTTATAAACGTCAAGAGTCGACAAAGGTATAATGTGCAGTGTTCATTCTGGAGTATAGCATTATGGCCACATGTTTATTTCGGTTACACCTCAAGAAATATCGCCAGTTTGAGAGTGGTTTCTAAACTTCAAAAGACTCTTGTATCATGAACGTAACATGCACTTTTGTCAGAAACTTTCGTCAACTTGCTCCACTTGCTCATATTTGTCATAAGAGGCAAATAACGGGATCATTCTGGCCTGGTCCAGATTCGATTATATACAGACCGCCGTCATACAGCTGGAATATTGCTGAGAACGGCGTTAAACAACAAACAAACAAACACTTGCTCATATGTTGACCTCGGGAATGATCGGTGTGGAGGACAAACAATCTCCATCCCAATGATAACACCCTTGTTAACCACTCAGTTTAGAGCGCAGGGAAAGAGTCAGTGCTGTGGATGGTTTGTTTTCAAAACTTTAAAGTAGATTGACAGATTGCTGTGCTCACCAGTCTGTTGTGGCCAGGTAAAGCGTGATATTGACAAAACACAAAAGAGTGGTGAATGTGTTAAGGTACTTTTTTGGGCATAATATCCAAAACCAATTACAGAAACAGATTCACGCAAAACTCTATCAAGTGCCACAGTCAAATCATTACTCTGAATGTCAGCACCGGCTGAACCGCCAAAAGCAAGTAGCTGTGAGCAGGTTACCATGGTTACAGCTTGCTTTCCCAGTAATATAGGCTAGCATCATCTCTTTATGAATTTTCCAAGAAAAATACTAGTCTTTGTTTTCTTGGCAACTTTTATCATGTTTATTAAAATGAGCATGCCAAAAAGCCCCCCCCCCCCCAATTCCTTTGTGGCAACAGGTGTAAGCAGTGAATGTGTTAAACTCATTTTGGTGTCTGTCATGACCACCGTGTGATGTTTTGGGAATAAAGTTGAGTGTGATATAAGACCTGTCTCATTCACTGATAGGCACATCATTATTTATTCCCTATCAGTACAGTGAATCAGCTGTCACTCCATTGGCAGTGTCATGAGGCATGTGCATGATGTCAGGGATATAAATAGACTTGGGAATTCCAGTGTCATTGTTCAGGGTTTATTTTTGGACTTGCTGCAGGTATGTGGTAGTCAGCTTCAACATTTCTGTATATTTCACATCAAACAGGACAAATTTCAATAATTTAACAAATATCCCAACCAAGTGTTTCTGGCTACAGTTTCATGTAGTTGTTGAGGAACTTGTAGTTTGTATCAGGAATATCTGTGTCATGTCTAAACAGTTTTTTACAAAGCTATGATGTCAGGGAAGACAGAAATGATTTCAACTTCTCTATTCTGTCAGGGAGACATTTCGGTGATTTCAGTTAATTTCTAAAATTTACGTTTGTTTGATAGGCGTTTCTTGGAAGTTGACAGATCATGCAGATAAGATTACGGTAATAGTGACATTCGGTCTATATCCTTATACCGTTGTGAAGACTTAATACACTCTCGCTGGACAACAGTATAAGGATCTATAATAAAACGTCGCTGTTTCAGTATAATAATGAAGTTGTTACCCATAACTGGCTGCTTTGAATCCAGTTGTTTCATAGATTGTAACCTGAGTCAGTATTCATCCATGTCAATGTGTTAGCTCAGCATAATATTCAGTTATGGTTGAGAAAATCGATCAGACAAGGACATAACTGTTTAAAGTGCATGACTGGGTCGTTGTGACCTTCACCTTCTGTGACCTTCACCTTCTGTGGGGTACTGCACGTAGGCAGATTGGAATGTACCTGCTTGATCTGTGTAGACCTGATATCGTGTGACATGCTGTAATGTGGATTGTGTTTACATCAGCACTTGTTTCGATAGTTGACATATTGAAGGTGGCAGTCAATATTTTGTTTAAATAACTGAGTGTGATACTTGTAATGGTTTGTTACCGGTATACAATCTGTGTCAAATACTTTTGTCTAAACCCGTGAATATCCGAGTTAGAATAGGTCTTCAGCAACCCATACTCATCGAAAAAGGCGACTATGCTTGTCGTGAGAGTTGACTAACAGGATCAGGTGGTCAGGCTCACTGACTTGGTTGATGCATGTCATCGTATCCCAAATGCATGGATCTATGATCTTGATAACAATCACTGGATTGTCTGATCCAGACTTGATTATTTAGAGACCGCCGTCATACAGCTGAAATATTGCCGAGTGCAGTGTTACACTACAAACAAACATGCACATACAAAAGCTTTTGAGTATAGAAGCCCAAACCTTATTTTGGCGTCATTTTAGTAGATTTTATTCTTTGTGTATGGACGAGAAAAAGCCGATCTTACTAGACCAGAAGACATTTTACTAGACTTTGGCTTCAGAAAAGTAGTTGAAATCGCAGACTGTGTATACCTGTATACCTGTATACCAGGAAATTGTTAAATGATTCAAGTTGGGTAAATGTAGTGTATCTGATCCAGATGATGTAATCAGCCATCTGAACGTGATGGCGCCAAGCAGAAACATGATTATACTGGATTATAGAATTTGAAGTAGACCAGAAAACATATGCATCATATTTGCAGTGTTTTAAATTGAGCTTGAAGGTCAAGAGGCCCTTCTCATATCCAAATCTTAAAAGTTAGACATTGTAGGGTCCCAAGATTCACATACTATAGGAGCCAAGTTCAAGGCCCCTGTTTCAAGGCCCTGTTTTTGGAACACTTGACAGGTTTATGAACGCAGTAGATGAGCTCCTGATAATTATTTGGCTCTTGAGTATTTACTCACAAGTTTTCATTCACTTTGGGTATTCAGTATATGTTTATTTCCTCTGGTGCTGTCTATTGGATGCACTTTGTGAGGTAAGACCCGTTTTTTTACAATATTGATCTTGATATGAAGTGATATTCTAAGGTGGAATCTGATTGGTCAATAAAAGGGACATAACTTGTAATAGCCACTGGTGGCATGATCGAGCCACAAAATTCCAGTCTAGTTCAGCAAGGGTGCATTAGTAACTGATAGAGGGTAATTGTGGATGTTCTTGAACAGATTTCTTACCTTCTTTGGTATATTAGAAAGAGTACTCAGGATAATCATGATAATACAGACCATCATTATACCTCAATTAAGAATCTTTGAATTTCATTGGTTGGTCCATATCAGTGCTGGCCTAACAATAGTCAACTGACCTGAAAAGGTTTGGCCACATCATGTCACTGACACTCACCTAAACACTGACTCGTCACATGAAGAATATTGACCTCATCTGCTAGAAAACATGTGGTGTCTGCAAGTGACAATATATGATCCTTTCTTTCATAAGGTTAAAGTAAGAACAGGGATAACTCTAGAAAGGGGCTCTTGTGCTTTTGGCCCCTAAATGTGAAGATAAAGGGCCCACATTTTCAAAACCAATAGGGTATGCTAATATTGTGCTGTATCGGCCAGTGTGGGCATGACTCTTGAATATGTTAACTTTTCAGTTTACAGGCCCATGTCAGATAGCATGAATTTTCAGTATAACAAAACAGTTGATTACTTTCCTCACTCACCCACCGTCTGTCCGTCCGTCCGTCCGTCCGTCCATCCATTCCTTTCCTTGCGCCTCAATGACGTCCAGCTTGTCTGTTCATTTACCTGTACCCAGTGGGGATTCAGGGTAGAACAAGTACCCAACAACCTCTACTGGGCGTAAGGTCCGACCAAATAGATCGGGTTGTCTTATTGATTGCGTGTCCTCTTACCACATTGGTGTGGATTGTTGTTCACAATATTGATCACTGGTTGTCTGGTCCAGTCTCAGGACATGGCTTGAATGTTGAGTGCGCCTTTAAACTGCAAACCGACATTCATGTACCTGTATGTCTCCTCCTCTCTGTTCCAGGTGTTCAAGGATTTGCTTGACGAGCTGCAGGTCTTGTGTCAGCAACCGTCCCCAGATGCACCAAGGAAGACATCGCAGGTGTCCATCAATGATGCAAAACCTTCCGTCAAGAAGGACGCTGATAATGAGTGGCTTAGGGGCACAAATGCCTTGAAAGCAGAAAAGGTTAGTCCGTATCGAGACTTGAGGTTTGACAGGTCTGCAGGGTCTGTTTTACTCATGTCAGTCTACCTTTAACCACCAGCCCTCAGTCTCATGTAAGTTGGGATGGTGGAGTAGTCTTGTGATAGAACTGTTTGCTCTTCACGCCAAATAACCAGGTTCAATTCTGGCATTGGTCCATGGCTATATGTCTGCAATATTGCCAATGCGGGTTAAAAATGTTACTTCAGTCAACTCCAACTGTGGTCCAAACAATATGTGAAGGTCATTCTTAGTGTTCCGAGACATGATGATGAAACCCGAAATATTCCATCACCATCACCATCATCATCACCATCATCATCATCACCAACATCATCATCACCAACATCATCATCATCATCATCATTACCACACAATCACTGACTCACTCACATAAGTAAAGGTTTAGGTTACTACAGTGCAGTCTGTTGATGATAACCCTGATTCATGACTGAATGAAGCTTGTACTGTATTACTAAGTGCTACTGTTCACTCAGCATGCTCACTGACTGTTGAAACTTCCCGATTTCCTGCTTGTATCTACTGAAGATTAGCAACAGGAGGACTTCATTTACTGTTTAAGAGTTCAAACAGTTCTGATTTGTTGCTCAATATTAAAAATGTGTCATGTTCTTTATTCATCAGCAAAGAGAAGCAGCAGTGGCAAAGATGCCGAAGAAAAAGAAAGGTAATTTTCATGTTTCGTCAAAACATGCAGAGGTAAACGCTCAGCATATAATGGTGTTCCGTGTTTGATAGCTTGCTCATGCTATCAACCACTGGTTTGTCAACCCCGTTGGGAGATTCAGCATTTAATGGTATTCAGTGTTTCCTACCTGTTGCGTGTCGACTGCACTATGCCCTAATAGTATGCTCATGCTATCAACCACTGGTTCGCCAACCCCCGTGGGGAGATTCAGCATTTAATGGTGTTCAGTGTTTCCTACCTGTTGCGTGTCGACTGCACTATGCCCTAATAGTATGCTCATGCTATCAACCACTGGTTCGCCAACCCCCGTGGGGAGATTCAGCATTTAATGGTGTTCAGTGTTTGATACCTGTTGCATGTCGACTGCACTATGCCCTAATAGTATGCTCATGCTATCAACCACTGGTTCGCCGACCCCGTGGGAAGATTCAGCATTTAATGGTGTTCAGTGTTCCTACCTGTTGCATGTCGACTGCACTATGCCCTAATAGTATGCTCATGCTATCAACCACTGGTTCGCCAACCCCAGTGGGGAGATTCAGCATTTAATGGTGTTCAGTGTTGATACCTGTTGCGTGTCGACTGCACTATGCCCTGATAGTATGCTCATGCTATCAACCACTGGTTCGCCAACCCCGTTGGGAGATTCAGCATTTAATGGTGTTCAGTGTTTGCTACCTGTTGCATGTCGACTGCACTATGCCCTGATAGTATGCTCATGCTATCAACCACTGGTTCGCCAACCCCTGTGGGGAGATTCAGCATTTAATGGTGTTCAGTGTTTGATACCTGTCGCATGTCGACTGCACTATGCCCTAATAGTATGCTCATGCTATCAACCACTGGTTCGCCAACCCTGTGGGGAGATTCAGCATTTAATGGTGTTCAGTGTTTGATACCTGTTGCATGTTGACTGCACTATGCCCTGATAGTATGCTCATGCTATCAACCACTGGTTCGCCAACCCTGTGGGGATTCCAGTTAGATTTGGTCCCCAGCATGCTGGTCATATGAGACAAACAGGGGATCAGGGGATTAGAATCTGTGACTTAGTTGATTGCGTGTTATCATACACCGACAGCGTAGGGTGTTGCTCACAATATCGTTCTGGTCTGGTCCAGACTCGATTATTCACAGACCACTGTCATATAGATGGAATATTGCTGACGTCCACTCACTATTAGACATGTCAGAGATTCAGTACTGAAGGCATGTCAGCTGCAGTAGGTTCAACACTTGTCATGTCAACAACTTGCTCACTTTCTTTTTCAATTATATGATACTGTTGTTTGTGCACAGCTAACAAGACGAATGGTGTGAAGAGTGCCCCTGTGCCTGCCCCCGCCCCCGCCCCTGCCCACACAGTGGAGAAGGAGAGTAGCACGGAGGAATCGGATGCAGACTCAAGTGACCTTGGGGAGGATGAGAAGTTTGTGAAGCAGTTTCAGAGTGTGCGGACCAATGTAAAAAAAGCCCCCCCATTTAAGATCACCCAGCCTAAAGTGCCTAAGGAGGAGGAGGCGTGGGCGTTCCCGCACTCCCCCGACACAGGCGTAGACATGGTGCCCTTCGACGGCTTCAGGAAGGTGGGCCCAATAGGTTCCAAGGTGGGTGCTACAGACTGTACAGCCATCGTTATTGATTTCTAACATTATGGGGTACAGGTGGCCCAGTTGTTGTGAGACCTGTATCACTTAAGCTTTTCTTCCACGTGAAGCTGAAATATGTTCAGCCATTGAAGATCCGGTTCTTCATTAACCCTTGCTTGTCTCAGAGGTGAATATGCTTGTCATAAGAGGCGACTAACAGGATAGGCTGGTCATGCACGGTTGATGCATAGATCGATGCTCATGATGTCAATCACTGGATTGTCTGGTCAAGACTCGATTATTTACAGACCGTCGTCATATAGCTGGAATATTGAGTGCTGAGTTAAACAATAAACAAACTTGGTGCAGAATATGTGCCCATCATATCATGCCTTTCATAGAAGCTGATTCATATGGATTGAGTGTCTCCTGTGTAATGGAGCCCTGATTGATTGCTGCTCATGGTATCAACCACTGGTTGGCCTGGCCCAGACTCGATGTAGTAGGAATATTGTTGACTGCTCTTGTGATTATCACTATTCAGCGGTAGAAACTAACATCTTAAGTCCATCTAGTCCTTATGATGATAACATACAGTCATGCCCCGCTTATACGGACTTCAGATATCCGGAAACCTCGGTTCCCGGACAATTTTCATTCAAAACGAAATAATTACAATTTAAATTTACCCGTATGTACGGAAATTCAGTTTCCGGAACCGGATGGTCATTTTCATACACAAAACACTGAAATGCACACAAAATTGTCTCACTTACCCGGACAATACACTTCCGCTGGTGGTAATCCTTTGATTCGTGAGAAGTCAATTAACCAAGTGACACTGAGTTACGTTTGAGACGAGCTTGCTTATTGTACATGTAATCCCATAATTGCATAATTGAAGGGAAGTAACTCTTCCAGTAAGAAGCTGGTTTCAGTTATACGGAAATTCGTTTATACGGACGAATTGTGAAATGACGCAAGTGACCGTATAAACGAGGCACGACTGTATTGCAAAACCTTTAAAAATGGTAAGTTTCTACTAGTCCTTATAATACCTTAACTATTGGTCAGATTGGCTGCTCATATAATCTAGTTAATGTGGTTGTAAATTGTGTTATCCCACCCTGGACTCTAACTTGTAATATACCCCACTGTTTGTGTTGTCAGGCTGCTGCAGTTGTTCCGACCATGGGATTAGATGATTTTAAGGCTCCAGGTAAGTAGTACTGGTACAGTTTAGCTCCAGTGTCAAGGAGTATTCTTCTAGAGTCTGTGTCTTCAGACATGCTTGTTATGTTCAGCAGCCAAACTCAGATGCATGGACAAAGGACCAACTGGGATTGCTCTCAGCGGTGTGCTTCTGTGTGTTACCATGCTAATCATATAACTGAGTCTATCAGTTTGTTTGAAGTCCCGAAGGAAGTATTCTACACTGCATAGAGGGTACATCAACCCATACCCCCCCTCAAGACCGGTGGACAACTGATATTGTTTGATGCTTCTGAAATAGTGAGTGAGTGAGTATTGTTTTACGCCGCTTTTAGCAATATTGCAGCAATATCACGGCGGGGGACACCAGAAATGGGCTTCACACATTGTACCTGTGTCGGGAATCGAACCCGGGTCTTCGGCATGACGAGCGAAAGCTTTAACCACTAGGCTACCCGACCACCCCTTTCTGAAATAGTGGCTTGTGACTGTGGACCAGACTGAAAAATATGTTTCCAATGTTCAAATATAGTTGTATGCTTTGATAAGATTAAAAATCAAAATTTCATAATTCATTTGATTGACAAATAAATTATGATGTAAATGAATTGATATTTAATGGTAAAAAAATGTCGGTGAGAACTATATACTTGCTCTTCCCAAAACAGACTTTAATAAAGTTCAATAGGTTATTTTTATGTCGGAATATGTTTCCTACCTACGTATGAATTTTTTGAAAGCATCCTCTGTGGTGGGCATACCCCCTGAAAAAATTACAAATCAAGTGAAAATGGCAACTGTAAAACTGTTACTAAGGAAACCATAGCTTACATAACATGCATACTTTACCAAAATGGCTGAGGCAGATCGGACGCCCTGAAAGAAATGACAATGGTCATGATGACATCTCACATTTAAGATAGCTTATTACGGCTGTAATATTGCATCCATAATTCTCTTTTTTGCAATACAAGCATCAAGACATATTACTTATTAGCTGTTCATCATGTGATATCTTGGCTTCAGGGACAGTAGGTGAGACCCGTGCAGCCTCCGTTTCCCGTGCCAGCCCAGACAGAAGATCTCCCAAACCTGTTGCTAAACCACCTCAGATCGAAATAGACTGGCCACTCAAAGATGAGTTTGACTTTAAGTTGGCATGTAAACTGTGTTTCCAGAAGTTTGGCGATGGAGTCAAGGGTTACTCTTATAACCCCCACACACACAGCTGCATGAAGAACTTTTTCTTAATTCGACTCAAGGATAAGGAGACCTTAAACTGGTTGAGAGTTCGCCCTCGAGCCGAGTCACAGATCCATCGCAATGCCAGCTACAAGATCTGCCAGCAGTTTCAGAACTCCGAGCCGTGTCGTGTTGGGGAAGAACGCTGTACGTTCCCACATCACCAGCCCGAGGCTCGACTCTGGGCCATGGACCGGGACGGCAAGTTCATCATCGTGGAGTTTGTGGAGCATCTTAAAAAGATTGGAGTCGGTGAGCTTGCCTGTGAATGTTATTCATGAACGTTGTTGTTAATGTGCCACTTTAGACTCACAGAAGTTGGACTTTGTATGTTAGTAAATGAGTGAGTATGGTTTTTGCTTCTCTTGAAGCAATATTCCAGCAATATCACGGCTGGGGACACCAGGAATGGGCTTCACACAAGTATGTTAGTGGCTGAAATGTGTGTACAAGTGTAACAGTTTTAGCATTTGTTTGAAAATACTACTCTGTTTGCTGAAGTTCTGCCTGGCCACGTACATATTCATCTTAATGATAATGTTATACCTTTAGAATGACCATGAAACTATTCCCATGTTATTCATCGGTAGAATACTTCCCTTTTAACCCACGCTTCTTGTAGGAGATCATTATGAAGATCAGTTGGTGATGACTTGTCATTTTACCCTCACTTATGCTGTCATTGCTCCATTACCAAGCGCTAGGTGTTCCCTCAGGAAATGGGGGCACTGGTGGCTCAGTCGTCTAAGGCGCCGCGATTTGCTGTGCAGAGTTGCGTCCCTTGGGCATGCGAGAAACCTAGGATTGTGGGTTCGAATCCCGGTTCGCCCCGATTATGTTTCTAGGTTTGTCAGCACCATACCCGTGCTCGTGGGTTTCACCGAAGTGGTAAACTTCCGATACCTGCATTACTTCGAGCTTTCTTACCACATTAAGCTGACACGCCGTGATATGACTGGAAGACTGTTAAAAGCGGCGTTAAACCCAACTCACTCACTCACTCCTTTAGGAACTTGACTATTCAGAATCTGAGAGCTCCTTCAATCTAGTTTGTCTTGCATAGCCTTGATTATTTACAGGCCACCATCATGTAGCTGGAATATTGCTGAGTTAAGCAACAAACATATTCTACTCAAAAGAAGTTTTAAGAACAACCAATTCTTCCATATTACGATAGTTAATCTGTCATGCCATGAGATATTAAATATATGAATATGAGAGAATCAGGTGTTTTGTAACTTCTTTGGAGTAGTATATTAAACTCAACTCACTCATGCTAGGGGTTTTGAAATTAAGTGGTGTCCTGAGATGTTGAGCTTTGCTCTGACAACATTGATACCCATGAAGATCCGGGTTAGAATAGGTCTTCAGCAACCCATGTTTGCGTAACAGACTCAGGCTCACTGACTTTGTTGATGCATGTCATTGTATCGCAATTGCGTGGATCGATGCTGATGATGTCAATCACTGGATTGTCTGGTCCAGACTCGATTATTTACGGACCACCATCATATAGCTTGAATATTGCTGAATGGGGGCATTAAACAACAAACAAACAAACAAAACTTAATGTTGCACATGACAACTTAAGCTAAATGTGCGTGGGGCATTAAACAACTAACAAACAAACTGACAGTATTGGAATCTTAGAACTGCTAAATGTTCTACTTTAAACATCGGGACTATGACAAGGACCCATTGCCTTTCATCGGTTCAATGAATTTGTTCCACTATACTTCCAGACACCAGCATTGGCCGAGTGCCCGCATCGTCAGTGACTGACCTCCGCCAGAAGCAGCTGATCCCAGGCATGAACTACCAGAAGGCTCCCCCGACAGGTCCGATGAAACCACAAGTGCCTGCTGGCCCCGTCCACATTCCCCCAGCAACAGCCCCGCCTCCACGTCCGCACTCACCCCAGAAAGCTAAACAACCTGTGTTTGGTACACCACTCACTCCAGGCAGTGTTAAAGTTCCAGAAAAGCTACCCCCAACAATTCATCATCCGCCACCCAACTTTTCAGTTCCACCTCCCAACATGCGAGTGCCCCCTCCCAATATGACAAGTCCTGTTGCCTACACCCCCCCAGAAGAATACCGACTCCCCACACCTGCACATCCAGACGGAGATGCAGGCTCGATGGTTAAGATGGATAATCCTATCACTGACACCCATGAGTTCAAAGTTATGTGTAAGATGTGCCTGTGCTACAACAACATCCCGGGCCGTTACATCTACAGCCCCCACCCCCATTTGTGTGAAGAGAACCTCCTCGCCATGAGGGGCAGGCAGGGAAACAGTCCCTGGTTCCGGGTGCGGGAGCGGAAGAACCACCGTGAATTCCCTGGGAACTATGTCATCTGTAACAGTGTCACTTACAATAGGCTGGAATGGTGTCACTACGGAGAGGAAAACTGCAGCTTTGCCCACAACATCATTGAACAGATATTGTGGACTCTTGAAAAAGATGGAGGCAATTTTAATGTCACCGAGTTCATCATGCAGAACAGATCTTCAAGTAAGAACAGGGGCTTCTCACTCAATGAAATTCTCTCCAAACACGGCGGTTACTTCAGCTTCATCTGCCGCAACTGCTACTACAGCCAGCCCCCAATGATTGCCACTGAAGGTGGTAGTGGATTCTGCATAGGAATGTTTAAACATCTATGGCAGTCGGGCTCAGTTCTGGCTCACTTTGCTCCAGATGGCGCCGTCACAGTCATTAACAGCAGAGGATTCCTACACAAAACAGCATTCTTTAAAATATGCAGATGGCTCCATTTCTGCCGGAACTTGCTTTTGGGAACCTGTCGTTTCGCACACAGCATGGTGGAGCGAGATGTGTGGATGCTGGAGAGGGATACTGGGTTGAGCAGGAAGGAGATTGTCCAGGAGTCTGACATCTTGACCAGCCGCGGCTATACAGAAGCGCCTCCACCACCTGGGCTTGCTGCAGACACACGACGACCACCACCACAAACAACATCAGCAGCTCAGACCAGGATTGCAGCACCAACAACACCGCCACCGACAGCAGGGTCCGGTGACTGCCCTTACAACGTTCAGATCATCTGTGGAACATGCTGGAAGAAAGGAGCTAGAAACCCCCAAGATGGAACCAAGGACAGATGCAGCAAGGGACACAACCTGTGGCACCAGATCAGGATCTTCCTGGTTCTGCCAAGCTTGAAAGAGATTCGGGCTCTTCCAAGGAAGATTCCCACCAACTTCCACTTCATCATCTGCAAGTATGTGAAAGAGAAGAAGTGTGACTACAACTTGGGAGGGCCGTGTCAGTTTGCCCACGGGGAGGAGGAACTGGAGATCTGGAGGTGGATGTGCAAGAATAAAGGTAAAGGGGAATATTATTTAGCATGTATTTTATGAAAATATTGTGTTATACAGCGGTATCTGAGTGATGTATACACATTGCCTGGCGATTAGGTGCCTGATTGTTAAGAGCCTGGATTCAAAACCCAGATGAACTCAACCAAAAAAAGTACAAGAATCTGTACTTTGCCTGCGTTAGAAATTAGCAGTAGTCCTGTAGTCCTTGCCAAATTGCCCAATAGTTAAGGTATCCTAAGGACTTCTTGGAATTTCAATCCTGTACAAGGAATGTTTCCTGTTTCCAGTGAGAACTCTGGATGATCTTGCTGAGGTGTCTCGCAAGGCTCAGCTTGCCCGTGCTCCCAAACCAGCCATCACCCAGGGTGAGTCTGTGGTGTCCGTGCAGAAAGCTGCAGCCCGCGTCATGGCTCCCTCCGACCTCAACTTCAACCCCCACTACTGCCAGTACTGCGGCATACAGTCCAACAGTGAGAAGCAGTGGGACAACCACTGCGCCTCGGAGCGGCACATGTTCAACGTCAACTCCGACAAGGATCACCAGTGGAACCATCGACAGCCTCCCTGGGGAATACCCTCCTCCAGCTATGACCTCTGCTCAAAGTAAGTCCACCTTACCATGTTTGGTCATCTAATATTACCTTTGATATTTATCCCCCGCCAAACAAAGTTGGCGGGGGATATAGAAACGGGCTCCGTCCGTCCATACGTCTGTCCGTCACGTTTCGTTTCCGGAGCATAACTCATAAACCGTTCAATATTTTTTCCATGGCAACAAGATGGACTTAGGTTCTGTGAGGGTAGGGTTCGTTTCCGGAGCATAACTCATAAACCGTTCATTCTCTTTCTGATTAAATCCTCCTTGGGGCACTTATTGCATTTTCCTTGCTCAAGAAAATCTATATGACATAGTTGTAACCATTTTCCTTAATAAAAAATGTTACCACACAAAAAACTTCGTTTTTGTATGATATACGACCACCCTTACGGGGCCTCACCCCCAACGGCGCCTCACGCCAGGGGGAGCAACTCTCACCCAAATCACTTTCCTTATGTCATCTGTAAGAGACAGACGTGTTGATTTTTCACACAAGACAAAAATAAGAGAAATCTATCGTTCGACAAGAACCATGGCTGACCAAACTGTATGTATGGTACATTTCTTTCTTTGCAAAGGCGTAATACCTCGCATTGTGAAGTTATAGAGTTGTAATAATACGCCACGTGCACGGTACCTTTGAATTCAAATGGCCGTAATGGCGTCCATATTGTAGTTCCACGGGCTGATACATGTAACACCAAGGCCATTAAGAAACGGCTTGGGGTTTTGTTATATCATACAGCATTGGTCTACAATTTTTTCCTTTACAAAACCCAAGGTGGTGTGTTAATTCATAAACTACACTTACCTTTTTTACGGGTTTTTACACCTTAGCGCGTAACACGCCCCTTTGGTGTTATAATTATACTACACATTGGCTATTAGTATCGCGTTACAAATCGCATTCTACATTACGCCTTTGCTTCTAGTTTCACAATTTATGCACGTTTCTTTCCGATCTTTATATCGCACTGATACACGTTGATACCCTTCCCGCCCACCTCAGAAATTACGGTCTTGTTTACAAGACCTTCAAACTGTGTACGGGTTGTTCTAAGACAGGCACGAACGCTGCCGAATATGTCTGGCGGAGGACATTGCCTTTACCCCCCGGGGCCCCCAAAAGAGACAAGTTGACTTGTTCCACTTTAAAGAGGTCTATTAAAGGCGGGGGTAGATATCAGATCTACTAAGACATCCCCCCCTCCCCATCTAAAAAGGGTAAAAAAGCTGCCGAGATTGTCTCCCCCGCTCCCTCTCCGGGGGCCGGGGGAGAAGGCTCGAGGGTCCCCGTAGTAAGCACTGCACCCTCTCCTGCACTGTCTTTGGCAGACTTTTCTGCGTTACTTAAGTCGCAGATGGCGTCGATGATGGAGGAGGTAAAGTCTCAGCTCCGAGAGGAGATGCGGACCGAGCCTTCCCCGTTGTCGGCGCCGGACGCGGCTTCGAGACCTTGTGATATGCCCGGCGTCGGCCGAGGCAGGCAACTTGGTCTCGGGGACGATCTCAGACCGGGCTTCGGCGCCGGCTCGAGGTCGCTCCCCAGCGGAGGGGTGGCGGGCGCCGGCCCGTGCACTACCGACGCACAATTTTTCCCTAGCGGAGCCAGACGCCTCTTCCGAGGCCGAGGCTTTCACTAGTGGATTCGTAGCCAGGAGCCAGGGGGGTTCCCTTGGTCTCGGGGACGATCCGAGACCGAGCTTCGGCTCCGGCTCGAGGTTGCTCCCCAGCGTAGTGGTGGCGGGCACCGGCCCGTGCACTACCGACGCACAATTTTCCCTAGCGGAGCCAGACGCCTCTTCCGAGGCCGAGGCGTCCACTAGTGGATACCTAGCCCGGAGCCAGGTTGGTTCCCTTTGTCTCGGGGACGATCCGAGACCGAGCTTCGGCTCCGGCTCCGGCTCGAGGTCGCTCCCCAGCGTAGTGGTGGCGGGCACCGGCCCGTGCACTACCGACGCACAATTTTCCCTAGCGGAGCCAGACGCCTCTTCCGAGGCCGAGGCGTCCACTAGTGGATACCTAGCCCGGAGCCAGGTTGGTTCCCTTTGTCTCGGGGACGATCCGAGACCGAGCTTCGGCTCCGGCTCGAGGTCGCTCCCCAGCGTAGTGGTGGCGGGCACCGGCCCGTGCACTACCGACGCACAATTTACCCTAGCGGAGCCAGACGCCTCTTCCGAGGCCAAGGCTTTCACTAGTGGATACCTAGCCCAGTGCCAGGTGGGTTCCCTTGAACCTCCGGCACCTCGGCACCGGGACTCGGCCTCGGGCCGGGTGCAGAGACACGTGCGGGACAGGATTGTCCATGTACTGCCTCAGGTTGCTGCGCCCATGCCAGAGTCGGAGACACCCAACTTGACTAAGGTCAAGCAGGGCCGGCGGTTGCCCCCCCCTTTCCCGTGTGCGGTGCGGAGTTGAAGGCTGCTTACATATGCTTCGAGGAGCAATATCATAATGCATGCCAACAGCTCCGTGTGTCCGTACACTCCGCGTATCTGTCGGCTGTACAGAGGGAGTTAGCGGGAGAGGGGCCGGCCGACTCTTCGGAGTTGGCCGCGCAACTAACATTATCTTGCGCGGGACGCTATTCGTAGCTGTGCATCGCAGATGATGTGCGCTGTTATGTGCATGCGCAGGCGGTGGATGTCGGTATCTAAATACTCGACTTACACACGCCAAGACCTACTTGCTTTGCCGTATAAGAGGGTGCCACCCTCTTCCCTGGGGCTCAGCAGGCGGTCCGAGAGGCTGCTCAATTGTATACTTCCATCAAAGACTCATAAGGCCTTGTTGGAGGTACCAAGCGTTAAAACCGCGTAAGCGGGCCTCTCCAATTGTCCCCTCCTACGCTAACGCACGGGTCAGACGTCCACACCTGCTTGGAAGCCGCCGCTTCCTTCAGGTATAAGGGCGCCGTGAGGAGCAAGAGAGGCACGGGCCGGGGCAAGGCAGCTGGTCGAGGCCAACAGCTTTTTCGCGGGGCTGGGAACGATGGGTTCCCATTAGCGCCCGAAGAGCCCCGGGTGAACCCATAGTCGCAAGTTATCGGGAAAACTCATCCGCTCCTCCACTTTTCCGGGATAAAGCACACACCGGTGCCTGCTACCCGAGAGAAGGCGGAATTCCTCCGTGCCGAGGTCGACGCACTTCTTATGAAAGCTGCGATCGAACCGGGTCCCGAGGGACAGGAAAGCGAGGGCTTCTACTCGACTTGTTTCCTAGTCACCAAACAGTGATCTCAACTGTCGAGACAGGAGAATGGCTAACGTCAATAGACTTAAAATACGCCTATCTCCACATACCAATACATCCAGAGTTCAAGAAATACCTGAGGTTTTCTTTCGACGGGAGGTGTTATCAGTTCAGGGTTCTACCATTCGGGATCTCCACGGCCCCGAGGGTGTTCACCAAGCTGATGTTGATTCCCGCCCAAGTTGCCAGGTCAAAAGGTCGGTTCTGCCATCCGTACCTCGACGACTAGGTTACTAAGAGCTCTATTGCAATCCCTGAGTCAGATAGCTACACAAAAAGTGATAGATATTCTGATCACTCTAGGGTGGATGGTCAATCTCAAGAAGTCAGATCTGAGCCCCACTCAGAATCTAGTCTTCCTAGTGGCTAATTTCAACACGGTGAGAGGACGTGTATCTCTGTCACAAGATATCAAGTCCCTTAAGCGCAAGTCACACTGCTCGTACATGGCTCCAGTTACTGGACAACATGGCGGCGACAGTGGATTTGGTCTGGCGGGCGCGCTTGAGAATGAGTCCCATTCAACAAGCACTCCGTCGACTTTGGGCGAACTCGGAAGATCTCGAGACTGTGCTCGAGACTCCGTAGTGGCTCATTACACACCTCCAGTGGTGGACCGAGGTCGGGAATCACTCCCGTTCCGTCTCTCACAGTTCAAACAGACGCGTCACTCTCCGGCTGGGGAGGCGTTCTGAATGATCACACTGCCTCGGGACTATGGTCCCAGCAGGAGATCAAACTGCATATCAATGTGCTAGAACTGAGAGCGGTCAGGTTGGTGTTCCAACGCTTCCCGGATCTGCTTCGTGGCCAAGTGGTTCGTCTAGAGATGGACAACCAAACGGCGATGACTTACATCCGGAAGCAGGGGGGAACGGCGTCTCCGTCGCTTCGACGAAAGACGTGGCAGTTCCTACTATAGTGCGACTCTCACGATATCAGGGTGCTACCTGTTTATCTCCCGGGGGTGGACAACGTCCGTGCGGACGCTCTGTCTTGCCGGATCCTCGCTCCTCACGAGTGGAGGCTCGACCCGGGGATATTCGGGATTTTCTCCCTGTTATACAGGTCGTTACAGGTGGATCTGTTTGCGTCTGGGTTAAATAACCAGACACCAACGTTCTGCTCCCGAGTCCACGACCCGAGGTCGGTGGCACCGGACGCCTTTCAGCTAGATTGGACGGACAGTTCTGTGGGCATTCTCCCCAGTACATCTGATTTCCAAGGTCCTGTCTCAGCTAGGCACTCAGCCTGCGCGACTAATTGTGCTCCTGGCACCTCTTTAGTCGGCGCAGAGTGGGTTTCCAGTAATACTCAGGTTTCTGGCTCAGCCTCCTGTTATATTACCTTTACGACCGGACCTCCTATCCCAGAACGGGGCCCTCCACCCGAATCTCAGGATTCAATGGGTGGCTTGGCCACTGTCAGGAATCGCCTCCAGAAGAGCGGTATTCCTGCACGAGTTGCAGACACAATACTGGCTTCGCGGAGGGATTCGACAAACGTTCAGTACGATAGATAGGCCTGCTATGCGCCCAGGTGTGTCGATAGAGGGATTGCAGATCTTTTTTCTGCAGATCTCGTATCCGTGCTTGAGTTTCTCCAGTCGCGACTAGATGACGGCCTGGCCGCATCAACAGTCCGAGGGTACTCTACAGCTATCGCAGCTTTTCACGTCCCTGTCGACGGGGCACTTCTGGGTGCACACCCATTAGTGCAGCGCTTTTTAGCAGGTGTGGACAGGATCCGACCGCCAGTCCGGCGGATCAGTCCCCCTTGGGACTTGTCAATCATTCTCGATTGGCTGTCCGGTCCTTCCTTTCGGGATCTGTCGTCTCTCTCTCTTCAGCTGTTGAGCTGGGAGACGGCGTTCCTTGTGGTGGTAACGTCCGGCAGACGGGTAGGCGACATTCGTGTTATGTCAGCCGATCCCAAAATAACTGTCTTCCATGGGGTCGATAAATATCACCGGGACAGTCAGTTTTCGTCTACCGGACTATTACCGTCCTAGGGTCGCACACGATTCCACGTGAACGGCTCCTATTGAGCTACCCGCTCTTTCACAGCCTTCCTCGTCGGGGACCACTGCAAGACATGCTCATGTCTTGGATGTCCGCACGACTCTCAAGGCCTATATCAGCAGAAATATGGGTGTCCGTAAGGATAACCAACTATTTTGCTGTTACTGCGGTAGGAAGGTTGGCTCACCTGCGAGTAAACAATCTATCTCGAGGTGGATAGTTTCAAACATTTGTACAGCGTATACGCTTACAGGCAGGGACCCCCCTACCAGGTTGAAGGCTCATTAGGTTAGAGCAGTGGCTGCGTCAAAAGCGTACGCCGCGGCTCTGCCCATTGAGCAGATCTGCTCCGCGGCTATTTGGAGCCAGCCGAGCACGATTCATCAAACCTTACCAACTCGACAAACACTCAAGCGAGCGTACTCGGTTTGGTCAGTCAGTTCTCCGAACTGGGCAAAGTTCTAATCTCTAGCTGATTGAGCATTCGAGATTTTAGACAGTCTTCCGGTTATACTGCTCAGTAATGGTCCGGATTTTATCTTCTGCGGTCGATAAATATCAGTCCTTACTACTCGATAATACTCGTATTTTGCGCACGCACTCCTTCGATCCTCGGGGACCCTCTGGCCTAGCTCAGCGCTGGTTATGGTCTCTCGTGATCTACGCCCTTATATCACTTGTTCAAAAAAGTGTGGGGGGGTGGGAGGTGTTTCGAGTTCTCAACTTATGACAAGCCGCAAAAACAGGCTTTATCATAATATATGGTCGACCACGCCCTGTCTCTAGCCCCCGCCTTTCGACGGTGGTGCCTCACGATAAGGTTGGTTCCATTTATTGAACTCCATATTTTATTCTGTTGAATAATCAAATACGATGTATTTATTTACGCCTGTTGCTGACGGATGCCACTTCCTAGATTATCTTTGGGAGTCTGTCTTGATGCAATAAGTGCCCCAAGGAGGATTTAATCAGAAAGAGAATTTTACAAACCTGTAGAGGTTATGAATTCTCTGATGAAATCCTCCTTGGGGCACGGCCACCCACCTCCCCACATTCCGTCAGCATTTGACATATGGAAAGTGATTTGGGTGAGAGTTGCTCCCCCTGGCGTGAGGCGCCGTTGGGGGTGAGGCCCCGTAAGGGTGGTCGTATATCATACAAAAACGAAGTTTTTTGTGTGGTAACATTTTTTATTAAGGAAAATGGTTACAACTATGTCATATAGATTTTCTTGAGCAAGGAAAATGCAATAAGTGCCCCAAGGAGGATTTCATCAGAGAATTCATAACCTCTACAGGTTTGTAAAAATATTTGTTCATGAAACTTTGCAGGTCTGTCAGGTACGTGCTGAACTGGTGCCTTTTGCTATTTAGAAACTTGAGAAATTTTTATTTTTTATGTTTCCATGGCAACAAGATGGACTTAGGTTCTGTGAGGGTAGGGTTTGTTTCCGGAGCATAACTCGTAAACCGTTCAATATTTTTTCATGAAACTTTGCAGGTTTGTCAGGTACATGCTGAATGGTGCCTTTTGCTATTTAGAAATTTTAGAAATTTTTATTTTTTACGTTTCCATGGCAACAAGATGGACTTAGGTTCCAAATTCTTCTTTTTTAAAAAAATTTCCATGACATGTTCCGCCTCGGTTAAAAACAATTAGGGTTTGTTTAGATTTAATTATGTCATAAATTCTGCAACTGGGGCGGGGGATAAAGCCACGTTAGTGGCAAACTCTTGTTTTAATATTGTTACTAGTTAGACATTTCAAACAATGTGAGATCACTTATGCTCATTCACTGTTACACACACACACCCTGATTTCAAACCAGACTTGTGAAGATCCGGGTGGAGAAAAGATCTTCAGCAACCCATGCTTCCTGTAAGAAGCGACTATGCTTGTCATAAAAGGCGACTATGCTTGTCATAAAAAGGCAACTATGCTTATCGTAAAAGGCGACTAACAGCATCAGGTGGTCAGGCTTGCTGACATGGGTGATGCATGTCATTGTATCCCAATTGCGTAGATCAATGGTCATGATGTCAATCACTGGATTATCAGGTGCAGGGTGCAGACTCGATTATTTACAGACTGCTGTCATATAGCTGGAATATTGCTGAGTGCGGCGGGAAACAACATACAAGCCCTATAAGATCACTTATGCTTTTTCAGTATTGTCAAGAATTCATATGATAAAATGGGGACTTATATCTGTGATTCAAGATTTCATGATATTGTGGCAACATACACCTGTGATTCCAGAATGCCTGATGTAGCAGTGTTTTTGTGATGCACATGTGTGTTGTGTTATTGCAGACACGTGAATGGGGAGAGGTGCCAGTACTCGCATGTCCCGGAGATGTACAACCTGTGTAACTACGCCCACTCGGAGGAGGAACTGGACGAGTGGAAGGAGCGCTACGAGTGGCGGCAGATGAAGCGTGAAATGGCCAAGAAACAGAAGGTCTTCTCCTACATGGATCAACTGCTGGAGAAGTATGAAACATCCGACTCCGGGATCGCTGTTGTAAGTCGGAATTCTCTCTCTTTTGAAATATTTGAGAAAAATTCTTCCTGAATTGATCGTTGATAGTCAGGTCATGCTTATGATTCTTAGCATGTTTAGTGCAGGGCTCTTTTGATTTGATTGCCTGGCATCTGACTCAAGTATTCATAAAGTTAATTTTGCAAGGACTTCTCATTTGTGTGCGCCTGTTCATAGAAAGGTCTATGAAAACAATGTCATTTTACAGCATATATAAGGTAATGTGTGAGCATCAACGGGGCGGTGGGATAGCCTAGTGGTTAAAGCGTTCGCCCCTCACACCCAAGACCCGGGTTTGATTCCCCACATGGGTACAATGTATGAAGCCCATTTGTGGTGTCCCCTGCTGTGATGTTGCTGGAATATTGCTGAAAGTGATGTAAAACATTGCCCACTCACTCGCACACACTATCAACATCTTGTTTGGCTCAATTACTTATTGGGGGCGGTCGGGTAGCCTAGTGGTTAAAGCGTTCGCTCGTCACGCCGAATACCCGGGTTCGATTCCCGACATGGGTACAATATGTGAAGCCCATTTCTGGTGTCCCCCGCCGTGATATTGCTGGAATGTTGCTAAAAGCGGCGTAAAACCATACTCACTCACTCACTCAATTACTTATTGTGCAGTGATATAGCAGTTGAAGCCTTAGCCACTAGTCAGAATCCTGAGTCTAGTAAAATCTATATCTCTCCAGGATGCTCAGCTAAACAGATCCAACATTCAGATAAAAATGATTGAAACTGATACCATGGGTCATGTTCTGGCTGAATACTTTTATCTCGGACTGATGCTGCTGTAACATTGATGTTTATCATGCTATGGTACTCCACTTTGTTATGCCTCTATTAAGATGATCAAGAATCTTTGAATTTCATTGGTTACCCATAACGGGTGACGAAATGCTGACCTGATAATAGAAACTGAACCGAAAAGGGTCACTTGAGATAAACATTGACTGCGTCTGCTAGAAAAAAACGTGGCAGATGCGAGTGGCAATAAACGGTTTGTCGATCTTTCTGAAGAAGATCACAATCAAATGCTTGATAAAAGGACGGCAGTAACCATAGTAACATCAAAAGGTGAATTAGACACTTTAAGAATGAATTAAGGTATGACAAAAACAATTGATTACTGTATGATTTGTATACAGCATCTTATGTCTCGTTACTGCCACCTGTTTCAGATGTCAGAGGATATTGACGGTGTGACAGTCACCCCGCCCATGGAGTCGATGAATGTGTACAGAGAAGATAAGCATTCTTCGCTTGTCTGGACATACATCATCAGGTCGATTGTAAGTGTCTACATTTAACATGCCATATAGTTCACCAGAAGGCTTTCAGTCACCTGCGGTTTACTTCGCTCATTTTTTTAATAAAAGCCTCCAAATTGTAAAAGTTAAATTTGAGATTTGTATTCCACAATGTTTCATAATATATCGTTTCTTAATTTATAGTGTCCCAGTCATCTAAGGCGCCACAATTTTCTGTGCAGAGTTGTGTTCCTATGATGGTGGATCCCTATTCTGGTTGGCCCCGATTATGTTTCTAGGTTTGTCAGCACCACACCTGTGCTCGTGGGTTTCACCAAAGTGGTAAACGTCTGAGACCTGCATCACTTCGGGCTTTTCTACCATGTCAATCTTTCAACCATTGCAACTGTAAATGGAATAAATCAAGTTAATTTTCAACACATTCATCTCACTTATTATCCTATAGGAATTCCATGGAAGTGTAGGTCCCAGTGTTCAATAAATCGAGGTTCATTCTTGCTTGATAAGGCATTGACGTTTAAGGGCCCTCTTGAAAAGCCATGATTTTAGTGTCAACCTTGAAAACTCTTCCACAAAAGAGTTAGAAAAGCCTTGAATTTGTACACAAAGAGCATGTTCATGCTGCTTTTTAGGTCTTAAGATTGATATAGGGTATACTGGATTTTTTAAAAATAAACTAAAAAAAAATAAACATTGAAAATGACTGTTGAAAAGGCCTGGAATTTTAGAGTTCCATGATCTGTATGAACCTTGTGAATGTTGCTGACTGTATGTAAATTGTAAGTGGTGACATTGTGTTATCCGGCTGATATGTGTCATCATGCTCTCACACCTTGGATCATTGCTCATGCTGTCATCCACAGGTTTGCCTGACCCCAAAATTGTTTTATTACTGGCTTTTGTGATATGTTTGAAATGTCTTGCTGGTAACATCCAGTTTCAGCAATTATCCCTGAAAAACATGACAAGTCATGGTGGTATGTCGTCATTTCAGAATCCCCTTCTGAAGGTGGCCCTACTGTACAACCGAGACAGACTTCACTTCTCCATCTGCTCACAAGATAACAAGACACACCAGATTGCCCCGGGGGACACGTTCGAGGATGTGGATGCCAAAGGGATGGCTTGCTATAGAGTTGACATCAAGTTCACTGGCGGCATGTTCGGCTCTTTCAGCCAGTGGGTCATCTTCGACTTCGGCTCCGAGCCGGTGCTGGTGAGGAAGATGTCGGTGGAGGTTGGTCATCAGAGGATCCATGAACAGGTACACTACCTCCGACAGAAGCTGGCGTTTGACCAATGGACCAGTCTCAATCGGGAAATCATACGTCCAGGCAACAACTCTCTGGATCCATTCAGCGAACAGCTGCTGAGGAAATACAAGGAGCCAAGTTCAACGGAACAGGTGGTCACCCAGAACAGCATTATTGCAGAGCTCAACCGTAACAACTACATCCACAAGATGCACAAGCTGCTGGAACTGGAGGAGATGACGAGGCATCGCATCATATCCAGGTGGGCATCACCCTTATGCTAAGTCTTATCATGACAGGCCTTTTTAAGTTGGACCTTGGTAACTGGAGTTTTTCAGGAGCATATCCAAGTCCAACATGAACATGCCTATCACTGCTTCAAGACACAGTAAGTAACTGTGTCTTGAAATAGTGATAGGCATGTTAATGTTGGACACGTTCATCATGGGAGGTGGAAACTTTGCGCAAAGTTCTGTAGTTTTGAATGATACATTGTTGCTGCTTTTAATCAGAGCATCATTTTGAGGGTTTTGTGCTATTATATTTGACCCTCTAACACTTTAGTATTTCACATTAGGGTGATGAAATAGTTGTCCACATCATTTCCCTGTTAGGATTTTGTAGTAGAATAGGACTCGGTTGTGAAAGCTGAGTTACGAGGGTCGCAAGGTTACAATGGCATTGTGAACAACCGCAATATTCATTGTTTGTGTTATCGGGGTAACCATCCACTGGCCTGGCTGAACCAGACTCTGCCTCCGTGGTCTAGTAGATAGAACATCTGTGGAAGGTTGTGGGTTCGATCCCTGTCCTTGTCATACCAAGAGACGTTAAAAGATGGTACTTCTTGTTACCCTGCCTGGCCCCCGGCATTAAAGGACTAAAAGAATGACTGGTCGGCTCAGAGTCATTAAACTGTGTCTGATTTGGGTATTCATGTTAAGCTTCAGCATGGTATCTCAGTGGGCTGGCACTATAAACTCAGCATTTGTCCGGACTAGTATAAGCAGCCACGCACACACGCATGCACTCATGTGGCTTTATCAGTGCAATAATCTTGAAAGCGACCTATTACCCTATTTCACCTCAACTCACCTCAACTCACCTCAACTCACCTCACCTTACAGGTCACTAGAATATGCAGGACTTCGATTTTGATTGGGTATCCACAATTTTTAGAGGGTGTTAATTTCTTAACATTTGGGTACATTTTATAACAATTCCTGTAAAACTAAAAGAATCATAGTATTGCGTCAGCTTGCAGCTCCCTCCCCGGGAAGGGATTCTTTTTTTCAAAACCTAGTACTGAAAGAAAGGCGCTATTTTTAGTCACCAATCAGCGACTGTTTAAGATACATTGACTCGGCACAATGTGCTTTTCAATTGGAATATATCGTTTTTCAAGTTTGTTTGTCGCACAAGCTTTTCCGAAAGTAACTGAATTTCGGCTGAAACACAATCATTTTATCTAACAGTTTTTATATATGCAATTGTTTTATCTAATAGTTGTAATATACACATTAGTTTTATTTCAATAGAGTATTTATCCTTTTGGTTGCGTATTTAATTCGCTAGGATTTGATTTTTCTGCTCAGTTCAGTTTATTGAATGTATATTTTATGCAAATACGCAGCTTATCTCAAGCTCTGCATGTAAGTATTTATGACTTCCATTTTCTATGCCCACAGCTATAATCTCCGTACTGAAGTTGAAATCATCAATCAAATAGAAGACAAGTGTGCCATCTACCCCCGACCAGGGGAAATGTTCGGTAGAGTGCATCTCACAGAGAATCTGACAGAAGACACAAACGCGGGCAAGCTCATCCTGACCAGTGTGAAGAAGGTTCTGATGGCTCCAGTCAACGACAGCAAGAAAACTGTCTACGAGGCCAGCATCGTGCGCGAGGACAACTTCAACTACGACGGCCGAGGCAAGGAGTACATCTACCTGTGCATTCCGCCTGTGTGTGCCAAGGGGCTGAAGATCATGCCGGAGATGAAGCTGGAGCTGGAGATCCAGTTCCAGATGTTCCGCCTCCACTTCTGCCGCATGCACTTCGCCATCGACTGCCTCAAGAACACAGACATTGTGTTCCCCGACTTCATCCAGCTCAGTCCCGACTGGAATGAGCAGCACGTGCTCAAGATCAGGTAGACACAATGATCCTATATATTACCAGGGTATGAAACTCCCAAAATTTTCAGCCAGACCACAGGACTGGCTAGCTGAAATACTTGCCAGCCCTGACCAAAACCTGCCTGCCCACTATAATCATATGTTTCTCAGGATAATTTAATTAAAACTTTAAATCGAATACATTGAACATGAAGTAATGCAAGAAAAGAAATAGCAAACACTTTTTAGGTCGGATTTGTATTTAATATCCTAGAATACATCATGTAAATAATGCTTATCATCGGGAAATATTTAGAATCTTTTTACATATGAAATATAACCAGACCGTCGGGCAGGGGGATTTGAAAATCTGGCAGCCCTAGTTGAAATCAACCCCAGTCGGGCAGGCAGGTATTTCGAACACTGATATTACTGGTTTTATGACAGCAGGGATTGCCTTGTGGTTGAAGCCCTGGCTGTTGGAGGTTTGATTCCCTCAGGTATATCTCATGTGTGTGGCTCATTCGTAGCTTCCCCGATCACATGACGGGAATATTGTTTTCAACTGTGTAAACTTGCACAAAAACTTGTCGCTCAAGCAAATATTTTGATAAATTCAGTATTAACATAATTAATGTGTTTTCTGATAAGTGTGATCAGGTTTTGCTTTGGCTTTGACTTCATAACCTAACATGTGATGGGTGAAAGCTTTCTCATTTTGATTTTCATAGCTTTTGGTTTTTTAAAAACACAAATGGTATAAAGGTATTACTTTTCAACACTGCTAAAGACAATATCTAATATGTCAAGAAAAGAATTAAGCAAATTTCAAAGCTTTTTGCTTTTATGTGTCGAAATATTCTATGGTACTTCAAGTTTCTGTATGGTGTGTTCAGTTCTAAGATCTTGAACGATGACCAGATGGCAGCTGTGAAACACATCGTAGCTGAACGCACAAGCTACACACCACCCTTCATCATGTTCGGTCCGTTCGGCACCGGCAAGACGGAAACACTGGCCCAGGCAGCGATGGTACTCTTAAAGGAGCGAAAAGAGACAAAAATTCTCATCTGTGCGCAATCCAACAGGTAAGGGTAGAGGCAGATTTCAGTTAAAATACTCACACACCATAACCATTTCTCATTTCAAGTTAAGATTATCACAAAAAGTGTGCCACATTTTGTTGCTAACAGTACCAATAAAAAGGAAAATATCTTTTCTCATCTTTTTTGTGATATAATGGCAGTGAATTTGAGAAGACTTTGAAAGAAAATTATCCCAATTTTAGAAAAAGTAATCTTTTTTCTCCCATGTTTTCTTTTGCGTTTGGAACTTTGTTCCTCGATAAATCCCTGGTAAGGTTATGAAGGACCTTGATTATGATTGTGTCTCCGTCTTGTATACTTGGTTCAAGTGGTTTAGACCCGTGAAGATTCCGGGGTAGAATAGGTCTTCAGCAACCCATGCTTGCCGTATACTTGTCATATGAGGCGACTAACTGGATCGGGTGGTCAGGCTCGCTGACTTGGTTGATGCATGTCATCGATCCCAATTGCGTGGATCGATGCTCATGATATCAATCACTGGATTGTCTGGTCCAGACTCGATTATTTACAGACCGCCTTCATATAGCTGGAATATTACTGAGTGCGGCATTAAACAACAAACAAACAAACAATCAAGTGGTTTAACTGCCGCTGCTTTTCTCCTCTAGTGCTGCGGATCTGTACATCGTGAAGCACCTGGACCCCTTCCTGCGGAGGACTGGCCCCATCAGCCTCCGCCGCATCTACATCAAGGAGAGGCGAGTGAACACCGTGCCACCCGAGGTCCAGAAGTACTGCATCTTCAACCCTGAAAACACCGCCTTCGAAATCCCCTCCAAGGAGGACATCATGAGCCACAGGATTGTCATCACTACCGTAGAGACATCACTGCAGCTCACCAAGCTCGGCCTTCAGGTGACTACTTAGATCATTATTGACAGCAGCTGTGAAGGGCTGTGTAAATTTTGGATAGTTAATTGGGATATTGGATCATTATTGACAGTAGCTGTGGTGTGCTGTGTAAATATTGGATGGTTAATTGGGATAGTGGACCTTGAGGTGACTACTTGGATCATTATTGACAGTCGCTGTGGTGTGCTGTGTAAATATTGGATGGTTAACTGGGATAGTGGACCTTGAGGTGACTACTTGGATCATTATTGACAGTCGCTGTGGTGTGCTGTGTAAATATTGGATGGTTAACTGGGATAGTGGACCTTGAGGTGACTACTTGGATCATTATTGACAGTAGCTGTGAAGGGCTGTGTAAATATTGAATGGTTAATTGGGATAGTGGACCTTGAGGTGACCTGTCATTATTGACAGTAGCCATGAAGGGCTGTGTAAATATTGAATGGTTAACTGGGATAGTGGACCTTGAGGTGACTGCTTGGATCATTATTGTAAGTACTTGCTCCAATTACCTCTGACTAGGAATACGTAGCAGTGATTTTGTTTAAATGGAACATGAGAAATTGTGTGTTCTAGATATCATGAGATGCCGTGACACATTGCAGGGTTACTTCACACACATATTCGTTGATGAAGCTGCACAGGCGCTGGAGTGTGAGACAATCATGCCGCTGTCCCTGGCGACTGAAAAGACCTGCATCGTGTTGACGGGAGACCACATGCAGATAAGCCCCAAAGTCTATAGCCCAGAGGCAAGACAGCTTGGCTTCCACACCTCGCTGTTGGAACGATTGTATGCATATTATGAGAGCCTCTCGGGCAGGATTGCCAACAAATCCAGCAACCCACTGAACATATTTCTCAGCAGCAACTACCGGACTAAGATGGAGATCCTTCGCTTCATCTCTGCTATCTTCTATGGGGGACCAGATAGCCTCAAGGCAATGGGTAAGTCAAGGTCATGCAGGCTTTACAAGGCCTTTAACCTGGAGGCCTCATCTTGAAAAGACCTACAGCTCATTTCTTACCATTAAAACAGGTTTAAATTTTGCTTGAAAGTAATTCATTTATGAAAATGTTTCGCTTTTTATAGATTTAAGAATGCCATTTTGGGATGTATTTGTTTCATGAATATCTATGTATGTTTTCTGTGTCAGTAATCAGATCAGAAAGAGGTCTCTTACTTCTGTTGTTAGAATTGTCTGAGGGTATATTCTGCAGGGGAAACAAACCAAGGATTAACGTGTTTCTGAAAAGGAACTAAATTTCTGGTGGTGTATTTGAAGGTGAGGTGAGGTGAGGTGAAATTGGGTTTAACGTCGCGTCCAAGATTATTGCACTTATATAGCGACGTGCATGTACGTGTGTGTGTTTGTGTGGCTGCTTGTACTAGTCCGGACTGATGCCGATTTATAGTGCTAGCCCACTGATATACCATGCTGCAGTTTAACATGAATACCCCACTCAGACACAGTATACTGACTCCGAGCCGACCAGTCCTTGTTTTAGCCCCTTAATGCCGAGCGCCAGACAGGGTAACAACAAGTACCATCTTTTAACGTCTTTTAGTATGACGCGGCCGGGGATCGAACCCCGGACCTTCCACTCTCCGGGCGGACGCTTGGTGTATTTGAAACAGCTGCCTCAGGGATTGATACACAGATCATCATGATACCAATGATGATAGCCAGCTTTCACAAAATACATTCAACTCTGAATGAGTGAGTGAGTTGGGTTTAACGCTGCTTTTAATAACAGTATTCCAGTTATGTCACGCTGTGTTAGCTTAATTTTGGAGGAAAGCCCAAAGTGATGCAGGTCTCAGACATTTACCACTTCAGTGAAACCCACGAGCACGGGCATAGTGCTGACAAACCTAGAAACATAATCAGGGCGAACTGAGATTCAAAACCACAGTCATAGGATTCTAGTGTGCCCAAGGGACGCAGTTCTGCACAGCAAATTGTGGCGCCTTAGACGCCTGGGCCACCCGTGCCCCCATTCAACTTTGATAATGCAAATCATTTCTTTTTAGTCAATTCACTGAGTTTTGTTTTGTTCTAAAAAAAAAATATTGTCAAAAAAATAAAATTTAAGACACACTTTCTGTAATTTCCATAATTTATGCCCCTCAACTGCACTCAATAGGTATACTCGGACCCCGTGGTACCGCGGCATTCATTGTATCGCGGCAGTTGTGATTTCCGATAGTTCACACGAGACGCGCCTCTTAGCGACTGTCTATTAATGCAAATCAGTAACAAGGAAGTGCTCACTTCGTAAATAATTTCAATTTCCTCGGAATGTTCCGTCTGGGTAAGTAAGGAGTTATTAATGCGTTGATACTTACTTCTAGCATCATTTTAAATATTGCCTTACCCCCATCTATCAATGGCCAACGATATAACCCGCAGTTCCCCAAGTAAACTTTTTCTATCGACCTGAACTAGATCATCTGCATATTCATGGCGACTAATAAGTAACGGAAGTTATGTAGTCCGCACATTTTTCCCCGCTCTGTGCCCAGAATCTATTGGGAGATCATAAGGGCCATAATGCCAAACTTAGAAATACGTTCTTCACTAGTATCCAAAAGATAAATACATACTTTGGGCATACTAGGAGTGTTTTTTATATATTTAATGTAGACTTTTAAAAATTTCCATTTTGTGACAAATTATTGTCATCCAATTTTTTTTAAAACAATCTTAGAATATCATTTCTGATATTTTGTTGTTGACTTATAAAAATATTTTTCTCTTACTTTTCGGTAAATATGCATTGAATACCTATTGCTGATAACACATTTAGAATTTTACTTGTGCTGTCTTTGCACTTGTCTGGACAAATCACGGATGTCTGGCATGATTATACTAAGTGGTTGGTAGAAGTATGTCCTCTTTTTGTCCAATTCGGACCTCCATACACAACTTTTCTCTGTACCGCGATACGATGGAGTTCTCTCCCTTGTCAAACAGCGCAAGTTCCGGCTTTTACTCAGAGCTACAGTGAAATATGCATTGTTAGATAAAATAAATGACATCTGATATAGAGAACACGAATAATCATAAATGTTAGTGATTGCATTTTGTTCCGTTCAGCGTACATGACAAGTACCGCGATACCCCGAGGTTGGAGGCTTCATGAATGTCAATATTTTTACATCTAAACGACTGCGCAACCAGATATGTCATATCTAAGGGTCGTAACTCTTATCTGTCCACATCGCTTCAAACATTGCTGTTAAAACTTCACTTTGTATTTTGCATTTCGAAATGAAATACAAATCTAATTTGAGTGATACTACACATTGGCTTATCTATATAATTTTAATTTTACCATTAGAGAATCTAGTACATGTATTTAAAAAATAGAAAAAGAATTAAATTCATGTAGCTATTTTTCCTGTCGGCGGATATGTAAACCACCCAAAAGGAAATGAATTGCCTAATGATGACATTGATAATGTGACAATGCATCTCTGTGAGTCTGTGATGTTTGTAAGATTTCTCACCGTCAGTAGGTGATGTTGACACCTTGCAATTGATGATTCAGCCAGTCTTCGAAAAGTTGGGAACTCCAGCCATTTGTCAGAAGCACAAGTCTTCTGTTTTGTCTCGTACACACAGCTGACAATAGTCAATATATTAACACTAAAATCTACGGAAATTGATCAGACAATATTGGGCACTCTGATGACAATGATCCATCAGTTCCTGTACGAGTGTGTGTGGTGTTGCAGGTGTTGTCCCGTCTGTGGTGGAGCTGACGCCGCTGGTGTTCTACGTGGTGCAGGGACGGGAGATCCAGGACTCGGACAGCACGTCCTACTACAACATGTCGGAGGTGGAGGAGATCGTGGAGAGGGTGGAGGACCTCTACAACAACTGGCCCACCGAGTGGGGGGAGAGGGCAGCACAGGAGATCGAAGTCGTCACCCCATATTATGACCAGGTGAGGACTGCTATGTACAGGCTCATTTACAGGAGACTGTCTCCGTGGTCTAGTGGTAGAGCGTCCGCTCGGGGAGCGGAAGGTCCAGGGTTCGATAGCCGGCCGCGTCATACCAAAAGACGTTAAAAGATGGTACTTGTTGTTGCCCTGTCTGGCACTCGGCATTAAGGGGCTAAAACAAGGACTGGTCGGCTCGGAGTCAGTATACTGTGTCTGAGTGGGGTATTCATGTTAAACTGCGGCATGGTATCTCAGTGGACTAGCACTATAAATCGGCATCAGTCCGGACTAGTACAAGCAGCCACACAAACACACACACGTACATGCACATCGCTATATAAGTGCAATAATCTTGGACGCAACGTTAAACCCAATTTCACCCCACCTCACCTCATTTACAGGAGGTCAACTAAAATGTTTGTTTCCCATGAGGTGCAAAGATACTTGTGAACCAGATATAGGTTGTCTAATTTAGCATGTCATGGAAATGTTCACAGTGCTCTCTCTCAATATGCAAGACATATGAGTGGATGTGAGTGTAAACCTATGGCAGCATACAGTGAGGTGAGGTGAAATGGGGTTAAGCATCACGTTCAAGATCTTTGCACTAAAATAGTGATGTGTATATGTGTGTGTGTGTGGCTGCTTGTAGTAGCCAAGTAATACAGGTTTTATGGTGCCAGCCCACTGAGATACCATGCGGCAGTTTAACATGGACACACTAGGTGTAGTAATGTTTAACATGTCTAGCCGAGTGTATAGTGGTTAGGTGTGGAGTATTTCATAACAGGTGAATCATTTGCAGGTTGTTCTGATCAGACACACGTTGAGAGTATAGTGGCTAGGTGTGGAGTGTTTCATAACAGGTGAATCATTTGCAGGTTGTTCTGATCAGACACACGTTGAGTGTATAGTGGCTAGGTGTGGAGTGTTTCATAACAGGTGAATCATTTGCAGGTTGTTCTGATCAGACACACGTTGAGTGTATAGTGGCTAGGTGTGGAGTGTTTCATAACAGGTGAATCATTTGCAGGTTGTTCTGATCAGACACGCGTTGAGTGTATAGTGGCTAGGTGTGGAGTGTTTCATAACAGGTGAATCATTTGCAGGTTGTTCTGATCAGACACACGTTGAGTGTATAGTGGCTAGGTGTGGAGTGTTTCGTAACAGGTGAATCATTTGCAGGTTGTTCTGATCAGACACACGTTGAGTCTATAGTGGCTAGGTGTGGAGTATTTCATAACAGGTGAATCATTTGCAGGTTGTTCTGATCAGACACATGTTGAGAGTATAGTGGCTAGGTGTGGAGTGTTTCATAACAGGTGAATCATTTGCAGGTTGTTCTGATCAGACACACGTTGAGTGTATAGTGGCTAGGTGTGGAGTGTTTCATAACAGGTGAATTATTTGCAGGTTGTTCTGATCAGACACACGTTGAGTGTATAGTGGCTAGGTGTGGAGTGTTTCATAACAGGTGTTGAGTGTATAGTGGCTAGGTGTGGAGTGTTTCATAACAGGTGAATCATTTGCAGGTTGTTCTGATCAGACACACGTTGAGTGTATAGTGGCTAGGTGTGGAGTATTTCATAACAGGTGAATCATTTGCAGGTTGTTCTGATCAGACACACGTTGAGTGTATAGTGGCTAGGTGTGGAGTGTTTCATAACAGGTGAATCATTTGCAGGTTGTTCTGATCAGACACGCGTTGAGTGTATAGTGGCTAGGTGTGGAGTGTTTCATAACAGGTGAATCATTTGCAGGTTGTTCTGATCAGACACACGTTGAGAGTATAGTGGCTAGGTGTGGAGTGTTTCATAACAGGTGAATCATTTGCAGGTTGTTCTGATCAGACACACGTTGAGTGTATAGTGGCTAGGTGTGGAGTGTTTCATAACAGGTGAATCATTTGCAGGTTGTTCTGATCAGACACACGTTGAGTGTATAGTGGCTAGGTGTGGAGTGTTTCATAACAGGTGAATCATTTGCAGGTTGTTCTGATCAGACACGCGTTGAGTGTATAGTGGCTAGGTGTGGAGTGTTTCATAACAGGTGAATCATTTGCAGGTTGTTCTGATCAGACACACGTTGAGTGTATAGTGGCTAGGTGTGGAGTGTTTCGTAACAGGTGAATCATTTGCAGGTTGTTCTGATCAGACACACGTTGAGTCTATAGTGGCTAGGTGTGGAGTATTTCATAACAGGTGAATCATTTGCAGGTTGTTCTGATCAGACACATGTTGAGAGTATAGTGGCTAGGTGTGGAGTGTTTCATAACAGGTGAATCATTTGCAGGTTGTTCTGATCAGACACACGTTGAGTGTATAGTGGCTAGGTGTGGAGTGTTTCATAACAGGTGAATTATTTGCAGGTTGTTCTGATCAGACACACGTTGAGTGTATAGTGGCTAGGTGTGGAGTGTTTCATAACAGGTGTTGAGTGTATAGTGGCTAGGTGTGGAGTGTTTCATAACAGGTGAATCATTTGCAGGTTGTTCTGATCAGACACACGTTGAGTGTATAGTGGCTAGGTGTGGAGTATTTCATAACAGGTGAATCATTTGCAGGTTGTTCTGATCAGACACACGTTGAGTGTATAGTGGCTAGGTGTGGAGTGTTTCATAACAGGTGAATCATTTGCAGGTTGTTCTGATCAGACACACGTTGAGTGTATAGTGGCTAGGTGTGGAGTGTTTCATAACAGGTGAATCATTTGCAGGTTGTTCTGATCAGACACACGTTGAGAGTATAGTGGTTAGGTGTGGAGTGTTTCATAACAGGTGAAATCATTTGCAGGTTGTTCTGATCAGACACACATTGAGTGTATAGTGGCTAGGTGTGGAGTGTTTCATAACAGGTGAATCATTTGCAGGTTGTTCTGATCAGACACACGTTGAGAGTATAGTGGCTAGGTGTGGAGTGTTTCATAACAGGTGAATCATTTGCAGGTTGTTCTGATCAGACACACGTTGAGTGTATAGTGGCTAGGTGTGGAGTGTTTCATAACAGGTGAATCATTTGCAAGTTGTTCTGATCAGACACACGTTGAGTGTATAGTGGCTAGGTGTGGAGTATTTCATAACAGGTGAATCATTTGCAGGTTGTTCTGATCAGACACACGTTGAGTGTATAGTGGCTAGGTGTGGAGTGTTTCATAACGGGTGAATCATTTGCAGGTTGCTCTGATCAGACACACGTTGAGTGTATAGTGGCTAGGTGTGGAGTGTTTCATAACAGGTGAATCATTTGCAGGTTCTGATCAGACACACGTTGAGTGTATAGTGGCTAGGTGTGGAGTGTTTCATAACAGGTGAATCATTTGCAGGTTGTTCTGATCAGACACACGTTGAGTGTATAGTGGCTAGGTGTGGAGTATTTCATAACAGGTGTTGAGTGTATAGTGGCTAGGTGTGGAGTGTTTCATAACAGGTGAATCATTTGCAGGTTGTTCTGATCAGACACACGTTGAGTGTATAGTGGCTAGATGTGGAGTATTTCATAACGGGTGAATCATTTGCAGGTTGTTCTGATCAGACACACGTTGAGTGTATAGTGGCTAGGTGTGGAGTGTTTCATAACAGGTGAATCATTTGCAGGTTGTTCTGATCAGACACACGTTGAGTGTATAGTGGCTAGGTGTGGAGTGTTTCATAACAGGTGAATCATTTGCAGGTTGTTCTGATCAGACACACGTTGAGTGTATAGTGGCTAGGTGTGGAGTGTTTCATAACAGGTGAATCATTTGCAGGTTCTGATCAGACACACGTTGAGTGTATAGTGGCTAGGTGTGGAGTGTTTCATAACAGGTGAATCATTTGCAGGTTTTTCTGATCAGACACACGTTGAGTGTATAGTGGCTAGGTGTGGAGTGTTTCATAACAGGTGAATCATTTGCAGGTTCTGATCAGACACACGTTGAGTGTATAGTGGCTAGGTGTGGAGTGTTTCATAACAGGTGAATCATTTGCAGGTTGTTCTGATCAGACACACGTTGAGTGTATAGTGGCTAGGTGTGGAGTGTTTCATAACAGGTGAATCATTTGCAGGTTCTGATCAGACACACGTTCAGTGTATAGTGGCTAGGTGTGGAGTGTTTCATAACAGGTGAATCATTTGCAGGTTGTTCTGATCAGACACACGTTCAGTATATAGTGGCTAGGTGTGGAGTGTTTCATAACAGGTGAATCATTTGCAGGTTGTTCTGATCAGACACACGTTGAGTGTATAGTGGCTAGGTGTGGAGTGTTTCATAACAGGTGAATCATTTGCAGGTTGTTCTGATCAGACACACGTTGAGTGTATAGTGGCTAGGTGTGGAGTGTTTCATAACAGGTGAATCATTTGCAGGTTCTGATCAGACACACGTTGAGTGTATAGTGGCTAGGTGTGGAGTGTTTCATAATAGGTGAATCATTTGCAGGTTGTTCTGATCAGACACACGTTGAGAGTATAGTGGCTAGGTGTGGAGTGTTTCATAACAGGTGAATCATTTGCAGGTTGTTCTGATCAGACACACGTTGAGTGTATAGTGGCTAGGTGTGGAGTGTTTCATAACAGGTGAATCATTTGCAGGTTCTGATCAGACACACGTTGAGTGTATAGTGGCTAGGTGTGGAGTGTTTCATAACAGGTGAATCATTTGCAGGTTGTTCTGATCAGACACACGTTGAGGAAGCGGAGGCCAGAGCTGCGGAGAATCAGCGTGGACACAATCCACAATGTTCAAGGTTTGTGGAACGTTACTCCTAACTTAGGCTCAATGATATCAGCTACAATAGACTGACCACTTTTGCTTCAGCCTGTGATGATCCGGGTTAGACATAGCTACAGGTAAGCTGCGTAGTTGCGTAAATACACCCCAGAACTATTCAAAACCCAATTACTTTCAATTAACTTGCGTACAGAAACCCATGCATTAAAGTAAAAACTCAATTGGTCGAAAACAGCCAGTGTAAATACCCAGTGAAGCTTTTTCAGCATGTGTACAGGGCGTTCTGGTAGCCTAGTGGTTAAAGCGTTCGCTCGTCATGCCGAAGACCCAGGTTTGATTCCCGACATGGGTACAATGTGTGAAGCCCATTTCTGGTGTCCCCCGCCGTGATATTGCTGGAATATTGCTAAAAGCGGCGTAAAACCATACTCATTCACTCACTCAGCATGTGTACAACAGAGCTAATTTCCGAAACACAATTTATGTACGAGATAATTTACTTTTTGAGTCAAGCCTATATTTAGAACCATTATATACATCTAAAACATTATTTCATATATTTTTTAAATCTCAAAATGCTTACTCAGTTTGGGAAAAACCCAATAGAGTGATGGATAGATGAGTGAAAAATATTGGTTACCATATTAAAAATGAAATAACCTGTAAACCTGTAACCTGTAAAAACTCAATTGCTCAAAAAGTTATCTGGAGGTCTCCTTGACAACCCATGCTTGTCATAAGAGGGGACTACCGGATCGGGTGGTGTCCCAATTGCCTGGATCGATGCTCATGATTAATTGCTGGATTGTCTGGTCCAGAGTCAATTATTTACAGACCGCTATCATACAGCTAAAATATTGCTGAGTGTGGCGTTAAATAACAAACAAAAACCTTTGCCTTATCCTGGACAATGCCATGACATAACCGGAATACTGTTCAAAGAGGCATCAATGCAACTCACTTACTCACGCTGATCACACTGAGACCCCTGTGAGACCCCAGTGAGACCCCAGTGAGATCCGTGTGAGTCCCCTGTGAGATCCATGTGAGACCCCTGTCAGACACCTGTCAGACACCAGTGAGTGCCCAGTGATACCCCAGTGAGATCCCAGTGAGATCCCAGTGAGACCCCAGTGAGACCCCAGTGAGACCCCAGTGAGATCCCAGTGAGACCCCAGTGAGACACCTGTCAGACACCTGTGAGACCCCAGTGAGACACCTGTCAGACACCAGTGAGACACCTGTCAGACCCCAGTGAGACACCTGTGAGTGCCCAGTGAGACCCCAGTGAGATCCATGTGAGTCCCCAGTGAGACCCTGTGAGTCCCCAGTCAGACCCTGTGAGTCCCCAGTCAGACACCTGTCAGACACCTGTGAGTACCCAGTGAGATCCCAGTGAGACCCCTGTCAGACACCTGTGAGTGCCCAGTGAGACCCCAGTGAGATCCATGTGAGTCCCCAGTCAGACCCTGTGAGTCCCCAGTCAGACCCTGTGAGTCCCCAGTCAGACACCTGTCAGACACCTGTGAGTACCCAGTGAGATCCCAGTGAGATCCCAGTGAGACCCCAGTGAGACACCTGTGAGACCCCAGTGAGACCCCCATGAGCCCCCTCTGAGACCCCAGTGAGACCTCTGTGAGACCCCAGTGAGACCCCAGTGAGGTAAGAGTAAACTAAAGAGGTTCAGGTTGTTTCCCAGTATGATCGTTGGTCATGCTAAGACCCAATGGTTGTCTGGACTTGTTTACAGCCTGCCGTGATATGGCTGGAATATATATCTAAAATAATGTCTGCTCACACAATTACTTCATAAAGATTTGTGCATAATGAGTCACCCTCTGTTTCAGGGAAAGAGTTCCGAGCCCTGTTCATCAGTACCTGCAGGACTCGGCATCTTCTGGAGTCCAGCCACATGGCCAACCTCCTCAAGTCCTCGGAGTGTGATGGTGACATCGGGGACTTCGGTTTCCTGTCAGACCCCAAGCTGCTGAACACAGCCCTGACCCGGGCCAAGTCGTATGTGTGTGTGGTGGGTGACCCAGTCGCCTTGTGTGCAATCGGAGAGTGTGTCCAAGTATGGAGGACATACCTGAAGCACTGCTCCAACATGAAGAGTCTGTATCCGCCATCAATCACGTACGACTCCATCAAGAGCCAGGTCCTCAACCTGCAGATGTCGCCCATGGGGCTGAGGTTGACAGAGATAACAGAACTGAGTCGTAACGCCAGCATCATGCAAAGGGCGTCACTGTCTGAAGCACGGGGAGAAAAGGATTCAAAGGCCTGGCAAAACAAGAATGGACCTGGTTCTATATCATCTCAGCCAACTACACCATCCCCTCAGCCAGTGCCGCCATCACAACAGCCTTCCCAGCAATCACGGTCCTCTCCAGTTGCCCCAAAACCAGTTGCACCACAACCTTTAAGACCTCTGGGGACAAATGGCTTCATGCCTCAACCACCTCCACTGAAGCAATTCAGCAAACAGGTGCCTGCTTCTGGGGACAAGCAAGCTGTCTCTCTTGAATCTGATGACATCATCAAGCAGATTGCCGCCGACGGTAGAGATGGAAGTCATCTAAACATGGCGTGCATCAGGGTGAAGGAATCCAGGGGTCATGCTGTCTTGCATTATGATACCAACTGGGCCCAGGAGAAGAGGGGACTTCAGTCGGATGAGGATCAGGATTCGGACACAGCATTGCTGAATGAAGAGCAGGGACAGAGGAATGTCTTAAAGCACTATGACACAGCCCAGCTGAGAAGCCTGATCCAGAGCAAGCCTGACAGGTACAAGCACTGTGTGCTTCATATTGAATCCTCCAGGAAGATGTTTGCCAGAGTAATCGACTACACCTCTCCCATCCACCAGATGAAGCTGAGCAGTCGCAGACACTGTGGTCAAGCCTTCAACAATGACGAGGTGGTTGTAGAGGTTTTGGAACATGAAGAGGAACATCATGAAGTCCATGGGCAAGTGGTTGGAATTCTTCGACGTGCCATCGACCCCAGGGATAAATCCTTTGTTTGCAGTGTTGAAGCCAGTAATACCGGGGTCCTGATACCCATCAACAGGGGCATTCCTAGGATCTATAACTTGACGACCCCGACACAGGCACAGCTGGCGTCAACTGAACAGGTCTGTGTGTACAGGTTGACACAAGACCAAAAGGTGGAGTTCTCCCATTTTGAATCAATCAATCCATGCGATTCGTCTGGGAAATTGTTCCTTGTACGTTATTTAAAGTGGGACCTGTCTTTCTACTGTCCATTTGGCATTGTGATTGGGGTCCTTCCAGCAGGCAGGGCTCTGGACACGGGGATGAAGGTGCTGGATCTGGAACACAGCATCACACAGAGCTACCCAAGGGAGGTGGAGGATGAGGTGATTGCGATGTACCACAACTACTACCTTCCACAAGAGGTGTACTCTTCAAGAGCCGACCTGACTGATAGGTGGTGCTTCACAGTGAACCGGCCGTCATCACAGGACCTGGATCAGGCTATAAGCATAGAACAGACAGCCGATGGAATGTATGAGGTCGGTATGCACACCTCAGATGTTGCCTTCTTCCTGCATCAGGGCTCCAGTGTAGATGAAGAGGCTCAACGCAGAGGAACATCCTTCTTTCCTCTCAGCACAGATCCACTTCATATGTTACCCAATAGGCTTAGTACAGATCTTTGTAGCATCAAACCTAATGAAGACAGATTGACTTTGTCAATTTTCATGACTGTTAACGGATCCGGAGAGATCACAAAAGTAGACATGAAAAAATGCATCATCAACTCCAAGAAGAGGTTCTCCTTTAGAGAAACGGAAGAAATTCTTCACAATTCAGAGGGTGCCCAGACCGACTACTTCACAAGCTGCATGGTGGTGCTGTACCAGGTTGCGTTGCTATGGCGCCGGAACAGGCTGGGGAATGATTACCTGTGTGTGAGCCTGGAAGGATCCAACAAGCTGACTCCGAAAGCTCATCTGTTGATGGAGGAGCTAGGCATCACAGCCAACCAGCAAGTTGCAAAGATCTTGTTGACTGCGTATCCCCAAGCTACACCCTTGAAATGCCAGGGGCCTATGAACCAGCAGCTATCTGATGAATGGAAAGAGAAGCATGCTACTGATGCTATCAATACTGTGGCCCTGACCAAACCTTTCTTGGATGGAAACAGAATCTGTAAGTGTAGAGTAGCTTGTACTTGCATCTTCAGCTACATCAGACAGAGGGGAATCCAAGCTCAAGGGACATTTGATATTGTGAAGGGTCTGTGGAAGACCTTATGCTCTGCAGCTGACACAGGGAACTATGAGCTTGTGCAGCAGCTGATAGTATCTCCAGAAAACCATCCTCAACTTGCAATAGCTCAGGCGGAGCTGTCCAGAATCCAGGAATCTACCTATTATGCATGTTCAGCTGATGTCAGTTCTGATAAACAGGGACACTATTCGCTCAATGTTACCCCCTACTCCTCCTTCACAAACCCTCTCAGAAGCTACGTGGACATTGTTGTCCAGAGGCTGATGTCGGCCAGGATAGACAACATGGCCTGTCCATACAGTAAGCTGGACATTCAGAGTCTGTGCAGTCAGTGCAATAGCGCCGTCAGCAATGAACATAACTACTATCAGGCAATGCTGTCCCTCCACCTGGCAGCTGCCCTGAGGAAGAAGCCACTTGTTATGTACCCTGTAGTGGAGAAGGTAGACGACTCGGCAGTCACCCTGCTCTTCCCTACGATCAAGGATGTTCCTGTCAAGGAGAAGAACATCCAGATAGTCCACCTTGGTCCAAGCGACAAGCCTGAAGTGTCCGAGGATCCTGTAGAGGTGAAGGTCAAATGGCAGGAAAGGATCTACGACACTGCTGGACCAATCATGAACCAGTTGCAGGTAGAGCGAGGTAAGGAATTGGACCCGGACAAATTTGTGAACAAGGTTCCTGCCTTCCACTGGCAGCGTCTCCTCAATGCGATCAGAGAGGAGGATTTCTCCAAGCTTCAGACAATGGTGTCATCTGTCCGGGAACAGGTGGAGAGTATCATTCCAGAAGGTCACTTTGCTGAGGATGTTTCATCCGAAAATTCTAGAAACAGAAACACTAACGACTTCGTAGATTTCTCTCTCAAGATGCATCCTAGTATGATAATGTGTGTTCAGATAGCCACAGAAGTTAACAAAGGTCTCCTGACCCCGACGGTTCAGCTGCTTCATCTGACCCCAAGACTTGACATTTGTCTGGAACATCGCACATCACCCATGAAATGCTTCACCAGTAACACTGCCAAGCCTGCGTCCCGAGCCACCTACAGCAGTGAAGGGGAGTATCAGCAGTGTTGGCTGCCCGTCATTGGGATGGAGGCTGCTACCCGGGCAGTTCAGAGCCAGGAGAGCATCATAGTACATAATGTAAGTGTGGAATGGAGGCCTGCATCTTCAGCATCTTACTCAGGCAAGATAACCCTCCCTGTAAGCTTCTGTAAGGAGAGGAAGATCAAGTTCTCGGGGGATGTCCAGTTCGAAGGCCTGCTTGATAAGAATAGCACATTAGCACAGAGCTTCTTCCAGGACTTCATGTGTGTGAGATACAAGAACCTTCAGCTGCCCCCCGATGGGACTCTGCAGGAAGATGTGTCTGTTCTGGTAAACACTCCTGAGCCAGTGACGTGGGTCGGACATTGTCGTGTCCGGGGCATGGAGCGAGTCATGCAGGAGCAGGTGCAGGTGCAGGTGGACCTCAACCAGAGCAATATGGTGCTGCCGGACAGACTGCTGGGGCCTGAGGGAGCCAGGATGAAGTGTACAGTGGAGTGGATTGCCAAGACTCCTCAAGACAGGTTGGTTTTCCTGGTTAGACAATTCAGGGTCTTGGTCTGCAAGCATTTAGTGCAAAATGAGTATCCATTATCCCAGATTGTGAGAGCAGACTTAATATACTTCTCAATATTCATATTACTATAGTTAATCTGTCAGGAATATTGCTTCTACTGGGGCTGTCGGGTAGCCTTGTGGTTAAAGCATTCGCTCGTCACGCCGAAGACCTGGGTTCGACTCCCAACATGGGTACAATGTGTGAAGCCCATTTCTGGTGTCCCCCGCCGTGATATTGCAGGAATATTGCCAAAAGCGGCGTAAAACCATACTCACTCACTCACTCACCCTATTGCTTCTACTGTCTCCACAACATAATGTTAGTGCAAGGATTATTGAATCCCCACACAACACCATTTAACATAAACTTAGAATAGGTTGGTGCACTTGAAAGAAAAAGAAGTGATATAGAGCTCATAATTCTGAAACAATTTTCATTGTCAGGCAAACATTAGTCAATTGTTGTTTTTGTTGAAAACCAAATGAAAACTTTATGCTTTTTAAAAGTCAAATTGACAAGTATGCTTCCTTCAGAAAAGTAGTTTGTGGTGGTGTTCACCTGGATCTGCATAAAACTGGTGTCTTCATAATTGCTTGGTAAAAGTTTTGTAATCTTATTTATTGTTACAAAAAGCCATGTTGGTATTAATGCAGTTATACGTTTATGTTGTGTTATTGATGTGTATTCAACTGTTTCAGGCACACCGAGTATGCACTGAGATGTCTGGATGGGGCAGCCGACCTAGCTCGGGCTATTGCCACTGGAAGGAAGCCAGTAGACAACAGTAAGTTAATCAATATGCCACATAATCGTTTAGCCAATGTTGAGCCCTCTGTTTCAAATCGTTTTGCTGATGTTGACCCCTCTGTTTCAAATCGTTTTGCTGATGTTGACCACTCTGTTTCAGATCATTTTGCTGATGTTGACCCTTCTGTTTCAAATCGTTTTGCTGATGTTGACCCCTCTGTTTCAAATCGTTTTGCTGATGTTGACCCCTCTGTTTCAAATCGTTTTGCTGATGTTGCCCCCTTGGATTCAGATTGTTTTGCTGATGTTGACCCCTCGGATTCAGATCGTTTTGCTGATGTTGACCCCTCGGACTCAGATCGTTTTGCTGATGTTGACCCCTCTGTTTCAGATCGTTTTGGTGATGTTGACCCCTCGGACTCAGATCGTTTTGCTGATGTTGACCCCTCTGTTTCAGATCGTTTTGCTGATGTTGACCCCTCTGTTTCAGATCGTTTTGCTGATGTTGACCTCTGTTTCAGATCGTTTTGCTGATGTTGACCCCTTGGATTCAGATTGTTTTGCTGATGTTGACCCTTCTGTTTCATATCGTTTTGCTGATGTTGACCCCTCGGACTCAGATCGTTTTGCTGATGTTGACCCCTCTGTTTCAGATCGTTTTGCTGATGTTGACCCCTCTGTTTCAGATCGTTTTGCTGATGTTGACCTCTGTTTCAGATCGTTTTGCTGATGTTGACCCCTCTGTTTCAGATCGTTTTGCTGATGTTGACCCTTCTGTTTCATATCGTTTTGCTGATGTTGACTTCTCTGTTTCAGATCGTTTTGCTGATGTTGACTCCTCTGTTTCTGATCGTTTTGCTGATGTTGACTCCTCTGTTTCAGATCGTTTTGCTGATGTGGATGTCTTATCTCAGATGGCGTCCACACCCCTTCAGCCTCCCAACCAGGCCCAGCATCGAGCCACCCAGGAAGCCCTCCGTCAGCCCCTCACAGTCATCCAGGGGCCCCCCGGCACAGGGAAGACCCTCACAGGAGCCAGGCTGGCGTATCAGTTCTGTCAGCGCAATAAGAAAAGTCCGAACACTCCAGCACAGGTCCTCATCTGTGGGCCTACTAATAAATCACTTGATGTTGTTGCAGGTAACGACAGTCAGTCTGTTATTGTTCCTTGTTTATCATTTCACACATTGCCGGGGCGTTCGGGTAGCCTAGTGGTTAAAGCGTTCGCTCATCACGCCGAAGACCCGGGTTCGATTCCCGACATCAGTACATGGGTACAATGTGTGAAGCCCATTTCTGGTGTCCCCAGCCGTGATATTGCTGGAATATTGCTAAAAGCGGCGTAAAACCAAACTCACTCACTCACTCACTCACTCACTCACATATTGCCTTGTTAGGATTTGAAGATTCTTTTGTAATCTGAATTTGACCGTGTAAAGTTTTCATAGGAGCCAAAGAAATCAGTCATTCATATATTCTTTCAATTCTATTTATTTATTTATCTATTTATTTATTTATTTTTATTTTATTTTTATTTTTTTATTCATTTATTTGCATTTGTATTTATATTCATCTGTTTATTTATAATATTTATCCTATTTTTGTCATATTTGAATCTTATGTCCAATGTGTTTATTTCATGAATTCAAATTGTACTTGATTAACATTCCATATATATATATCAGTTGGCTCGTCGCTATATGGCTGAAAGCCGATGCGACATTAAGTTTTGACTCACTATATCAGTTTAGCTCTCCACCAAGAAATATTGGAACTCGGTGAGACACAATCCTGACCCTCTATGTCTTCCATAATGCCACCCATCTGTTTCAGCTTATCTACTGAGTATGGGTCCCAGGTGCCCTCGTCTTGTACATGTGTATAGTGAGAAATTAGAGCGTAGAGATTACCCGCTCCCACGAGACCCTATCGCCCCTAAGAAGCGCAAGCCATCCGAAGTGTGTGTTGATCCACATATTAAAGGAATAGCTCTCCATGAGCTCATCCGCCAGCCTGCCAATCAGTACAGTCAGCGCATACAGGAGTTAGATACGTTGTTTGGGCTTTACCCTGACGACATAAGTGATGATCAGATCGATGAATACCTGAAGCTAATTACTGCAGCATCCGCAGCGGAACTGCAGCAGGCGGAGATTCTTCTGGCTACGTGTTCCGCCAGTGCAAGACATAAGATGAACTGGGGCTCAAATGTACAGCAGGTGGGTACATCTCTCTGGTCCCGACTATGTAGAGACAGCAGTTCATGATTTTATGTGACAGCTTTGTTATACAGATGAGGGCGGTCGGGTAGCCTAGTGGTTCAAGCATTCGCTCGTCACGCCGAAGACCCGGGTTCGATTCCTGACATGGGTACAATGTGTGAAGCCCATTTCTGGTGTCCCCCGCCGTGATATTGCTGGAATATTGCTAAAAGCGGCGTAAAACCATACTCACTCACTCAATTATACAGATGATACGAACTTCTTGAAATATCCCTGTTGTGTTTCCATAGAATAGGTCAGCCCTGAGGGGATTGTGGGTAAGAATGGGTCTCCATTAGTGCTGGGGTGGGTAACTTGGGACGGGTGGGTCCCCATGACCCTTGGTTAGTCATGTGATATATTGTTTGTGACAAAAAGTATCTAAAACTCTATGGTTGCACTACAAGTCACTAATGCTCCCGTTTCTTTTTGACTATGCATTCATTCCTTCTGACTTTTATATGTTTGAATAAAGATGAAACTTCGAACAGTCATCTTCAGTGTATGCATGACCAGATCGTTTTATACATGTATCTAAATACATTTTGTGAGGGCAAACTTCTCCCAATCAGACATTATGTACCTATTTCTTGAGACCTACAGTGGGTACCTGGATAGGGTCTGGTAGTATTGGGTGGGTACCCGGGTAGTAAATTTGGATTTGGACTCGTCCCAGCCCTAGTCTCCATCAACTTATGTTGGTCGTACGAGTTAACCTCAGGGCAGGTTGATCAGGCTAGGTGACCAGGCTAGGTGAAAAGGTTGATTGTGTGTAATTGTATCCTTACACCGGGGATTGTTGCTCATAACATCAATCACTGGCTTGTCTGGTCCAGATTTGATTACTTTCATACAGCTAAAACTTTGCTGAGCATGACTTTAAACACCAAATTAAACTTGTTTATGTTTGTCTGAGAGACTGGTCTCGGTGGAGGGGTAGCCTCTAAGTAGTCTTGTACAATGATGTGAGATTAGAGAGGGAAGATCATCAAGTTCACACTATCAACCTCAGGCTTGTTTGTAGCTGGTTCATGATAATCTTTGCAGTTTGTAAAATAAATTAGACAATCATAACTTTCACATCAGATGCTAAACTTAAAATAACTTCAATCACCGGAACCAATATTAAAACCAGATGGTTTACTGGAGAAGACAGAAATTGATAGATCTCCCAAAATATGGTTAACATGGAATGTTTTAATAGCTTTCTAATTATGGAAATCAATTTCTTTTCCAAATCCTTTCACACTGACCAATGTAAATTGCTGATTATAGATCAAATTACGATTCACTACCTCACTGCAACACAGTAGTGAGATACCTCTTGTAAACATGAATTGTTTGATAAGTTTACTTAGAAGTTCGAGAATGACAATGTAAGCCTATAAATTTAATGGACAATAAACTTCTTTAATATACTGTAATAACGACATTTTGGAATACATCCTTATTCCGTTGTCAAGAAAGATATTATGTTTCTAGGTTTGTCAGCACCATACCCGTGCTCATGGGTTTCACCGAAGTGGTAAACGTCTGAGACCTGCATCACTTCAGGCTTTCCTCCCACATTAAGCTGACACGCCGCGATATAACTGGAATACTGTTAAAAGCGGTGTTAACCCAACTCACTCACTCACTGTTTGAAAACAGTATGAGGATCTCTACTGAAACATCGCTATTACAGTATAATAAAAGAAGATGTTATCCATAAATTGTGTCTATTTTCCCTTGCAAACAGGTCAGCAAATTAATTGTTCAAAAGCATGAAACTTCCTGATGTTGCGTTACAGATTATCATTGACGAGTGTGGCATGTGCACGGAGCCGGAAGCCATGATCCCAATTATCCTCTTCCAAGATGTAAAACAAGTAGTCCTGATCGGGGACCATCGCCAACTTCAGCCACCGGTCAAGGAGGTGGCCGCTAAACAACTAGGTCTCAATAAATCACTGTTTGAACGATACGCCCCGAAAGCACTCATGTTATCTACACAGTATCGTATGGTATGTATGTTTACAACTGCCATTTTGTAGCTGTTCTAGTTTGAATGGCATTATATATGCAAGATCAAGTTACTGAAAATTATGTTTTTAGCTGATATTACCTATGATTGGAATAAGAATGAGCAATTAATTCTATAGTGTCATGGTAGAATGAAGAAATTCATATACCGGTAATTAGACCTTGCAGACTAACGAGACAGAAATTCAGCCAAAGTATGAACTTCTGCCACCTATTCCTTTTGGCATGCCAGAAACCTATCAACCTATGATTGTGTTTCTAAAGACTACCCGTGCTTGTGTTTCGCTTATTGATTAACCCAAATGACATACATCACTTCAGGCTGTGACACCATGATTTAACTGAAATACCATTCAAGATGGTGTTAAACCCATCACACCCATTCAGTTGGTCACTCAATCGTTCTATGTCCCTTCTATTGACCTAGCATCTCTCATATCAATTGCAATTGCTTCAAACAAAATGACGTGCCAAGTCAAGACGATCTCATCAATAATCAAGATCTATAGTGTAATGAAACAGGTCTTATTCCGGAAATGCATCAAATCATTTGAGCACCTTGACTACAAACATGGCAGTATTTGCAATATATCTGTCAACACCAAGTTGACGGTACACATGCTTTGCAAACCCTGCAGTTGACCAAAATCTGCACGTTGAAATCCACTTTGTTTACGAACCGGATGTCTACTTCATTACGCAATTTTGATTGGACTATACATAGACTAGTTAGTCAAACAAAAATGTAACTCCAGAATTCCAGCCTAGTCCAGCAAGGTTGGAAACTGTAGTCAGTTAACGCTCTTTCCTTGGGAAGATGCATTTTACAAGACATTGTGCTACCATTTCTTCATAGTGATATTAGACAAAACATTTTAAATCGTATCTAAGGAGTTGTTTTTTATGCGAGTGGAACGTTTTCTTCCAGCATGAAGGGATAGCGGAGTTCCCATCTCGTTACTTCTACTCTGACCGCCTGGAATGTGGCACTTCAGCTCAGCTTAACCCCGCCCCCATGTCAATCTGGCCTAACGGTAGAAACCAGCCAGTCACCTTCTGCCATGTTGCGGGCACCGAGGACTCACAGACAGCTGCTGCCAACGGCATCGGCACTCAGTCCAAGATCAATGAACGGGAAGTCCATTACGCTGTACGTCAGATTGTTTTATGATGTAATATGTTATAGTTAGGATAACTCTTACTTAGTTACGTACAAATTCTAATACTTTCTGGGGTTGAGACCCATACAGGATTTGAACCCACACTTCTCAGAGTGAGGCATTTAATCCCCAGCACACAAAGTCAGTTCCCTGTTTTATTATGAACAAGGAGCATAGTTCCCTGTTTTATTATGAACAAATAGCGTGGTTCCTTGTTTTATTATGAACAAGGAGCATAGTTCCCTGTTTATTTATGAAAAAATAGCATGGTTCCCTGTTCTATTATGAACAAGGAGCATAGTTCCCTGTTTTATTATGAACAAGGAGCATAGTTCCCTGTTTTATTATGAACAAATAGCGTGGTTCCCTGTTTTATTATGAACAAGGAGCATAGTTCCCTGTTTTATTATGAACAAATAGCGTGGTGCCTTGTTTTATTATGAACAAGGAGCATAGTTCCCTGTTTTATTATGAACAAATAGCATGGTTCCCTGTTTTATTATGAACAAATAGTGTGGTTCCCTGTTTTATTATGAACAAATAGCGTGGTTCCCTGTTTTATTATGAACAAGGAGCATAGTTCCCTGTTTTATTATGAACAAGGAGCATAGTTCCCTGTTTTATTATGAACAAGGAGCATGGTTCCCTGTTTAATTATGAACAAATAGCATGGTTTCCTGTTTTATTATGAACAAATAGCATGGTTCCCTGTTTTATTATGAAAAAATAGCATGGTTCCCTGTTTTATTATGAACAAGTAGCTTGGTTCCCTGTTTTATTATGAACAAGGAGCATGGTTCCCTGTTTTATTATGAACAAGGAGCATGGTTCCCTGTTTTATTATGAACAAATATTGAGAAGGTGGGGGGGGAGCTCTAGAGACCTCCCAATTCAAATTTAGATAGTAATTCTAAATACTGTTAATGGGAAATAAATCCAATAAAGTAATCTCATAGCATGCAAATGAAGTCTTGTATATTTTTCAGCTATATTGAAATTGTTACGATAGTTGTTGAGCCATATGTAGGACATATGGACTTGTTCTTTGTTCAAAAATGCATCTGTGTATTGTCCAACTTGACAAAATACCTGATCATTGTGAGTCCTGTCTCTTATATTTTGGGAACAAAATGTGTCTAACTTGTGGATATGTTTGTCTCCTGTTGCAGGTAACTATCGCCACTAGCTTAGTTAGCCGGTACAGAGTGAGTGAGTCTGATATCGTCGTATTATCACAACACCCTGCCCAGTGTGCCACTATTCAGAGAAAACTGCAACTGAAAGGACTTCGCAAAATTACAGTCTGCACAGTTCTAGCTAGTCAAGGTAAACTTGCTGCTCTTGTTTGTAGAATATATACCATACAGTGCACTCTTTCAACCTGCGATGGGGTCAGGTGTGGTCGTCAGATTGTGGTTGAGTCTGTGGAACGTGGAGATTCCGGTTTAAATTACATCCCCAGTACTCTGTTTGACATGTGGGCCGACTAATTGGATCAGGTGGTCAGACTTGGTGACTTTGTTGCTTGTCATCATCGTACTGTGGCGCATGGGATGTTGCTCATTGCATCAATCACGGGTTTGTCTGGTTCAGACAGATTATTTACAGGCTGCCATCAGTGTGGGGTTAAACACATGATACATGACACATGAGAAAATGATACAAACACTTGGGTGAAGATAGTCGAATGCAATGACAGGCCCAATTGAACATGAACTTGTTATTATACATGTCCATCTGTATTTCGATAAAGGGGCGATCGGGTAGCCTAGTGGTTAAAGCGTTCGCTCGTCACGCCGAAAACCTGGGATCGATTCCCGACATGGGTACAGTGTGTGAAGCCCATTTCTGGTGTCCCCCGCCATGATATTGTTGGAACATTGCTAAAAGCGGCGTAAAATCTAACTCGCTCACTGTATTTCGATAAATTTTCTTTACACAAGGGACAGTGGGGTAGCCAAGTGGTTAAGTTTTCGCTCGCCATGTCAAAGGCCTGGATTTGATTTCCCCCATTGGGTAAATTTTGTGAAGGCCAATTCTGGTGTCCCCGCCGTGATAATGGTGGAATATTGCTAAAAGTGGTGTAAAACCAAACATTCTCACTCTTCACACATTATGAACATACAGTAGCCTTTCGCTATGTTTTGGGTTTGTTTGTTTTTTCTCAGTATTTGAATTTCATGGCATGACGTTGAGCTCAACTAAGATATATGATCATTTCCTGTGCTGGTTTAGAGAGTGCATCAAAGGTTTACATTTTAATTATTATTCAGCATGCTAATGTTTCTTTCTGGCTCCTGAAAATAAAGTACAGGTAGCCCAACTGGCTTGCATTATTTGGTATCACGTGATGCTACCACATTTTTTCTTTGTTTTTGGTTCAGTAGAAATCTGAAATCACACACTGTAATGATTTAATAACAAGGTGATGTGATTCGGGGATTAACAGCACTTGTGTATTATTGCTCTAATTCCCTTTCCATTTCTGCAGGTAGAGAATGGGACTATGTTATAATGTCAACCGTGAGATCGATGCCTAAATGTCAGGTAGAACGCCAACCTACTAGTGGCTGGATTTGCCGCAACCTGGGAGCACTTGCAGACCAACACCAAATTAATGTGGCAATCACACGAGCTAGAAAAGGACTTGTGCTTATTGGTAAGTGCATTTACGAACATGTGTTAATTTTTGGGGTTTTCATGTTTTTGATTCACAGCTGACTAAGATTGCGAATATTTGTTAAAAAAAATTCTAGATTGGTAAAATTGATACAAATGTAAGTAGAAAGTTATGTATACCACACAATTTAACAATGGATGTGAGGCGATTTGGTGATACCGTATGATAATATCCTCATAGAAACCCAGTACTCTCCCTTGTTTGTCCTCCTTGGGAAAAAGCCCTACCCAGTAACACCCCCACCCTACCCCCACCATCCCATGTTTATCCTCATACCCAGTTCTCTCCCTCCCTCTTCCCCCGGGGCGGTCGGGTAGCCTAGTGGTTAAATCGTTCGCTCGTCACGCCGAAGACCCGGGTTCGATTCCTGACATGGGTACAATGTGTGAAGCCCATTTCTGGTGTCCCCCGCCGTGATATTGCTGGAATATTGCTAAAAGCGGCGTAAAACCATACTCACTCACTCACTCTCTTCCCCCCTCAATGTCTGTCCTCATGGGATCCCAGTACACACACCCCCCACCATCTTTGTTCTCAGAGGAACCCTACTCCCATGTTTGTCCTCATAGGAAAAATGCCCTACCCAGTAACTCACAAACTCTTTATCCAGATATATGTTGCACCATTTTACTGATTTTCCTTGTACCTTTAGGTAACAAGTACCTGCTTCAGTGTGACCCCTTGTGGCGAGAACTTCTCAGAGATTACAGAAACAAACAGAAGATACTTGATGCTGATGATTTTGTTCGTCTATTGGCTTAAATCTGAGATAACCAGATAAAATGGTTAATTTACCGAGATGATACTAAGTTGAAACAAAGACGATGTAGGAGACAACGATGATGATGACGACAACGAGAAGTGGATGTTAAGGGTCCAGGAGGACATCCTGACACGACCTGTTGTAGTGGATAATGTGCATGATTATAACCAGCTTTATGTTTGACTGTCTTGCCAATAACGCAAACAGATTACCCTTACCTTAGCCTCATAGTCTTATCTTTACCTTGGTGCAGGGTTTGCAGGACGTTCAGTTTCGTTGAATGTTTTTCAAGTTATCGTTGACAATAATAATGATTATGATTGAATTATATTATTTACATAGTTCAGACATGCTTTGTTTTTCTGCATTAGTATGAAATGATTAATGTTATTTGTGTGTATATATATTAATATTGTGCATATATTTGGCGATACTGTCAAACCTGAGACAAACATACGAATGATCTAGCTCGCAATATTAGTAGTTAATGTGAATATATTAGTTAAATAACTTTTGCTGTGAACGTCTAAGAATTCACCATTTTTAACCAGATGCAGCCAGTGTGTGTTGAACTTGGTCCTGGGCCCACTTGCACAAAACGATCTTAGCGCTAAGACTATTGTAAGCCTATGTTAAAGTATGGGAGTTACGATCATCTTAGTGCTAAGTTCGCTTTGTGCAAGTGGGTCCAGGTCCACAAAGTCATTTTAGTCAAAAGTCCCCGTCTGTAACATAGACTCATGGGTGCTGTGCTAAGATTGCTTTTTTGGACTGGGCCCAGGCTCTGTGTTTCTAAGTGAGAGCTGCATTTGTCTTATGTCATTGTATCAACGTTCTTTAATCATAAACGTAACAAAAGAAGTAAGCTGGAGCTGATATTTGTAAGAAATGTTATAAAGGTACTAGATATACGTAAGACAGTTTCTTTTGGTGCCTTGTATGGTGCCTATGAACAAAGAGAACCATTTTCATATGGTTAGCGTTTTTCTCGGGTTTCACAGAAGTATCTTGGACGCACACATATTTCCACTGGATGTCACAGCTAACATCTTAGTTTTCTGTGTAATGGAAGTGCAGTAAAAATGTTTTAAGTTTATTCAAAAGCAAATGGCATGGAGTTTTGGCTGTAATGATTCACTATGTTTTGATGCATCGCATAACTTTCACGATACAAGTACTGTGTCAATACACGTCAGTACCTGTATGCATAAAAGGGTCGTAAAGTATGGTTTTCTGATGGCATGTGCGAGACTTGACAAACCACAGTTTAGTTGACACACGTTTCCTAAGTACAAGTTTGGTCTCTCATTGTTCCAATTCCTGATAGGCATTACATGACCGGGTAATCAAAGTGTTTACTTACAGCCCTAATGGAGATTGAGCACTGGTCAGTTGGGCCATATGCAGTACAATTATTTGTATTCCTACAAATACACTCTATACAATGGTATCACTTGGTCTGCGGAGACTTTAGATCAACACACGCTGCTGCATTGTAGGTTCATGAGTCTGGAAAGGGAAAGGTTTCCTGCCAACTATTCATGGGTCTTAAGTGCTCAGAGACTGAGGACGTGTGACAGTACTATATCAGATAGAGAAAGGAACAGCTTCACTCTGCCTTTTGTTCTGTACTTTTACTTAAGAAATAAACGAAGAATGGGAGTTGTTTGTCGTACAATAAAATACTGCAGGGAGAATAAACAATGAGGGGTGCAGCTCAGAGACTTTTATTGTGTGATAAACAACGACCACGAGTCGTTTATTTCTTATGAGATATCAACTTTATGTACAGCCTCTTTAAGGATGTTAATAAAAAAACGTACAAGTTTTAAAAATATTTACCTAAATTTTAACAATGATGACTCCCTGAATGGAATCCGTACTCGGAAATGTCGGACAAATCCGTTTTACGAGGAGTTGGGTTAAACTTGGTATTTCCCACATATTCTCACAATCCTCCTGTCAATTACCGGTATCTGTACCTTTTCTCCTGTCATATCTCTCCCACTTGTGAATGCGATCGTTCGACCACTGTGTTTATCTGCGTAGCCCAGCTACATCTATTGGGAACAACTTTAATACCAGACAGTTCCCTCTCAAAAACAACGTCATCCAAAATATGACGTCATCAAGTTGCGAGCTCATATTCAAATCACCAGAAAAGATAGAACAATGTTTTATTGTGAAATAAACCACGCTTCATTCTTCATTGCAATTTATCGCATAGCTATCTTATATACCTTGATAAAGTACTGTTACTGTCCTCCGTTACAGATAACCTGTGCATAATTTCCAATATTTCTATAAAAAAATTGAATATGGTCATACAGAACAGTTTACAAACATGTTAATAATATTGTCTATGCTGGAGAATACACTAGCTATTGTTTTTTTGTGGCCTGTGGAAATATGTATTGTCAATTGGTGTTAACGATGAGCATGTTACCTCTGTATATATATAAAATATATTAAAAGGATTATTATGTTGGTCAAGCTGGACTATTTCCTATAAGTGATATATGCATGTGAACTGAGTTTGAGTTTTCTGAATATAAGGGATTAGATAGCTTTAGAAGTGGAACGTAAAAATGTCAAGTCCCCAAAGTAAGAAGTTAATTCATCAGTATATACTGTCCTCGACATGGTAAAAAGTAATACTTTGTACATAATATGCATTGTCCACTGATTATAGTCACAAGGAAAAATCTTAAATATTCTGTTCCTTTTTATTATTTCACGGAATGATACTTCGATTTGTTTGATAAGACTTACACTACTCAAAAAAAGTTAGGGACCACCCGATACTTTTATATTACTATAGTTAATAAGTCATTCCATGACAGGTTGACTATAGTAATATGACAGTAACTATAGTAATATGAAAGAATCAAGCAGTCCTTACCGTTTTTTTACTAGTATAGTATGTTCTTTCCAGTACGATGGAAATTTAAAATAGGTGGGGGCATCACCTCTTTCCTTGTTCAGATAATAGTATCGTTTTGAAACAGGGTTGAGAAACATGCCTTGTGTTTGTTGTTGAACAAGCTTGCACAAAATCATGCATAAGACAAGGAGTACATTGTAAAGTCAATGCATTATATCCAAGATCTGCATTATAACTATAACTAGTAGTAGCTATAGTATATGTAGTATGTTGTGACTACATATTACCAATGCATAATAGCAGTTTAAAGACGTTGTAAAAGTTCCAAGTCTCCGAGATGGATACGGTTATTGATGATGTACATAATATGCTTGCTGCTAATAGAAAGTGTATTTTTGAGAGGACAAGTTTAGTCTCTCAGTTATTTGTGACTTAGATACTTGGTTGACTATGACTGATGATTGAAGATACTTCATGTTGAAGTTGTCAATATTTTCCCAAACGTGATAAATCTCCTGCTGCCTATTAACCAAAGTGCCTATTTTGTTGTACTATGTGTATGAAGCTGTTGTATTTTGTTTTACTATGTGTATGAAGCTGTTGTATTTTGTTGTATCTTTCATTAGTATGTACATTGTCCTGGCTTCATTATTGGGCAATCAGACACATAAACTTCCTAGTTTTCATGATTCCATATCAGTTTTCCTCCCCATGACCATCTGTGTAGAACAACAAGGACTAGATCCAACTATTATCAAAATGTAATCTCTTGTGAATTGTTTCATGTTTTTCAGTAGCACCAGTTCTCGCTTAACAAGCACTGTCCGCAGTTTGAACACATGCTACTGATCATACCTGTGTGTAGAACGTGATTGGATACTGTTGTGTGGAGAGGCTGCAAGCCAATATCTTTATTTTCTGTATATTCATATATAATCTCTTTTAGTGTTGTTTTGGTAAGGAATAAACCATAAAACGCCATGCACTTGTTCTCGTTGTCAAGATAGTTATTGATGTCATTTAGCTACCAGCTAAAGCATTCCCTTGTCGCACCTAAGACCTGCGGATTCCATGCCCAGTCTTGGTTTCCACGCAGGGATATTGCTAAAGCAATGAAAAACTCACCTGGAATGGTAAACTTATATGCCAAGCGTGTAAAAAAAAAGAAGCAATTATTATGAGGAGAGGTGAAGTCAGGACAAACCTCTGCGGTAAGATTCGGCTTTACAACCTTGATTTGGAAATTTCAATCCATGCACAGGAAAACCTTCACATAATTACTGGTACCCACGTTTGGGTGTAGATGCAATGGTACTCAAAGACTCGACGGGATATATCCACAGCAATAGCGCGGCCTTTTCTTTTGCATTCAGAACTCCCCGGTTATATTGATTTGTAAGATAAAGAAACTGCTTATGCTTGTCTGAATGTTTCTGAGAATTTAGAGGAGCGGTGGGGTAGCCTAGTGGTTAAGGTGTTTGCTCGTCACACCGAAGGCGCTGGGTTCGATTCCCCACATGGATAAAATGTGTGAAGCCCATTTCTGGTATCAACTGCCATGATATTGCTGGAATATTGCTAAAAGCGGCATAAAACCATACTCGCTCACTAAGAATTTAAAGCCTCAAGTCTGAATTGCTGATATGAAATTTCACCTGCAACCTCTTATGAAGGTATCCTTAGATCTATAAGGAGAGAGGTATTGTATAGGAATAAGAGATTTCATGTTAATAATATTGACCAAACGATGGATGTCAAGGGGTATACACAAATGGTCAGATTGTGAAATTCATGTACACACCATATTGACACATGTAACAAACTTATTATTACGCTCACAAATTGCACAGACTTTGTTTTTGTGAAATAGGGTTGTGTGAACATATAAGATCTGACTTGTGAACACCAGGGTAAATTATGATGACATCCTATCAAACACTGCCGTCATGGCGTCCACACAGGCTGGACGGGCGTTTTGGGTGGGTGATGATAACGCTGTTAACAGCCAGAACAAATTCACACAATGGAAACTATTGAAGGTGGTGTGAAATGGGGCTTAACGTCACATCCAAGATTATTGCACTGATTATTGCATGAAAATATATATATTAGTGTGTATGTGTTTGTGTAAAATAGTTCGCAGTTTAACATGAATACCCAACTCAGACACAATATTGACTCCGAGCTGACCAATCTTAATGTTACCCCCTTAATGCCAAGCACCAGGCAGGGTAACAACAAGTACCATCTTTTAACTTCTTTTGGTATGACGTTGGCCGGGGATCTCCAGACGGACGCTCTGGAGATCGGTCCATGGAGGCAGTCCGGAAACTTTTGAAATACAGGTGAAGACATTGTCTACCAGTGACCTGATCATGTAATGGCCGGGGATCTCCAGACGGACGCTCTGGAGATCGGTTCATGGAGGCAGTCCGGAAACTTTTGAAATACCGGTGCTGAAGACATTGTCTACCAGTGACCTGATCATGTGATGTCATCTCCACAATCCACTGCTTCAAATGCCCTTGAATGTATGAGCATCTGTTGTAGAAGAACAATAACAAAACCATCTTCGTTTCATGTATAAATCTCTCTCCTATTTGATGGGGATAAAAGACTCTAGTCACATTACCACTGAAAGATGGTAGCCCATATTTTTATTCAACATCACAAACAACGCAATGTAATGTAAGTCTTATGTAAATGCAGGCCCTCAGACCAGCCCTTGTTCCATGCGTAACAACCTCTTCACTTGATACACTTATATAACGCTCATCAATTATTTGGCCCCAAAGGTAGCGTAGCAAGGCATCATGTATCATGTAAGAAGATTAAACTGTGTAGTAGTACTACCATGATTACAATCGCAAGTTTCCAGGGTATAAAATGTTGGTGAGTTTCGCTGCCAAAAAACAAAACAGCGGGAAAATGATATAGTACACGGTCCATGATAATAATGATCATCGCCATGATCAAATATAATATTAATTTAGGCATCTGAGTTGATCAATATTATTTTGATTACTGTGATTATTTCATATGATTATCATGTTGACTGTGAATCAAGTATTAAATGTGGAGCATGTCAGTCATCAATGGTCCCATCAGTCTGGTGTAAAATACACTGTACATGCAATTTCAGAACACTTTGGAGATCCTATGGTTTGTATGTATCATGATCATTTCATCATCATCATTACCATGTTTCAAAAACATGCGCGCAAACACAGATTATAAACTCTTGACCCAGTTATTCACAGTATCACAATGTTTTGATGATAAGTATCATAATCAGGTGCCATTTGCCATAACCCAGTGCCATTTGTCTGCAGCATGGCGTTCTCATGTTCAGAAGTACTCCACGGCTTGGGGGGTCTGATGTTTAGAACTAGTCCATAGCATGGCGTTCTCGTGTTCAGAACTACTCCACGGCTTGGGGGGTCTGATGTTTAGAACTAGTCCATAGCATGGCGTTCTCGTGTTCAGAACTACTCCACGGCTTGGGGATCTGATGTTTAGAACTAGTCCATATCATTGCGTTCTCATGTTCAGAACTACTCCGCAGCTTGGCCGTCTGATGTTTAGAACTAGTCCATAGCATGGCGTTCTGACATTCAGAACTAATTCGCAGCAGGGTATTCTGACATTCCGAACTAGTTAGCAGCAAGGTTTTCTGACATTCAGAACTATTCCGCAGCAGGTTACTCTGATGTTCTGATTGTCAGAAGTAGTTCGCAGGTTGGCTTTCTGATGTTCAGAACTGGCCATGTATACTAGCTTGAGCAAGGAAGTGGATGGCCTTGAGGTCGGCCTCTGTGAGAGTTGACTCGCTCGTCAGACACTCCACTTCATACTGGACACTCTCCTGAGGAAACACGTACGCCGTTGAGTCGGACGTCTGGGCCGCGGGCTGATTCCCTGCCACCTGTACCACAGACTGGACCTGTAAACCTGTGTTGGGGTCAAGGTCAACAACAACCTGCTTCTTCTTGGGGCGGTTTTTCAGAATCTTGTGGCCGCCGTGGACATCGAAGGCTTCGGGATGTTGTGCGAGGTGACTGTTGAGGTACTCCTTGCGGAAGAAGCCCCGCCCACAAACCTCACACTGGTACTGGCGGATACCTTGATGGGAGACCATGTGCCGCTTCAAGCTCCCTGAATCAAAAACACATACAATACATTTGTGAAACAATAAATCCATGAAAAGATGTCACTTAGTTACTGAACTGAATCTTTGCTATTCATGGTTGGGGCTGATCTATGATATGCAACAACAAACTTGAGCATGTTTAGGATTAGCTCTTGGGTGAGGTTGGGTCTGATTCTGTAAACAGAAACAGTTGTGAACTGTAGCAGTCTAGCACTGAGACCCCAGTGGGGACTTAAAGCCAGAATAGATCCCCAATTAGGGCAATACCTCAAACTCACCAAAGGTGTGGGATATGGGTCTTAAGATCGTTCAAGATTATTGCACTCATATAGCGACGTGTGTGTCTGTCTGTATGTCTGGCACCTAGACCTAGTCCGGACTGATGCTGGTTTTACAGCGCAAGCCCTCGGATTAACATGGACACCCCGCTCCGGTGATCTGGTTGTGTTATTTTTTACACTGATGGCATGAATCATTCAGGGCTCAATTTAAGGAACTGGATTTAACTTGTACCAGGTGCATGTTGGAATGAAAACCTAGTTGCACCAGAGAAAACCGGGTTGCACCAGAGAAAACCGGGTTGCACTATGGTTCCATAAATTTATCAAAGTTGAAACAGAGGCCGGTCTCCTGCCAGTGTCAGTAAATAAATGACGTATTCAAGGCCGTAGTTAACTTTTTTTGACAGGGGGGCAATATATACATGATATATAATATTATTCATTTCTTATTCAAGTTAACTTTCACAAGTAAAAATGTTTTCTATAAAAAATCCAGGTGGGACAACTGCCCCCCCCTGCCCCCTGGCTGGCTACAGCACTGCGTATTGCTGTTAAACGTTACCATGGTTACAGGAACATGTGCACACAATCTTTAAGTGTCTACAGTTTGATGACGTCAAGTCCAACAAAGCATGACAAATTATGCACAACACTAGGATAAGTGATATATTATGGTAAAAAAACTTAGAGGACTTGTGTTCAATTTCGATGTTGTGAGAACAATAAAGGGTTAGTCGGACACATATTATTATTTTTACATGCACTTGGTGCATGTAGACATAAATATAAGGCTGCATTTTTCAATAATAGGTTACATGTTTTATAGAGCTATATCAAGCCCTGTTCATTGCTCAAGCTACCAGTTGTGGGGATTCTGGGTTAGAATAGGTCTCCAGCAACTTATGCTGGTCATAAGGGTCAACCAAATGGATCAGTGACTTGGTTGATATAGCGTCCTTGTTCCCCGATGACATGGATCATTGCTTACAATATCAATCACTAGTCTCGATTACTTACAAACTGCCATCATATACCGGTAGCTGGAATATTGCTGAGTGCAGTGTTAAACAACGACAACTAGACACGCATCACTACAACATAATAGATGTATCTATTTAAGGGTGATGGTGAGGTGAGGTGAAATTGGGTTTAACGTCGCGTCAAAGATTATTGCACTTATATAGCGACATGCATGCAAGTGTGTGTGTGGCTGCTTGTACTAGTCCGGACTGATGCCGATTTATAGTGCTAGCTCACTGAGATACCATGCCGCAGTTTAACATGAATACCCCACTCAGACACAGTATACTGACTCCGAGCCGACCAGTCCTTGTTTTAGCCCCTTAATGCCGAGCGCAGACAGGGTAACACCAAGTACCATCTTTTAACGTCTTTTGGTATGACGCGGCCGGGGATCGAACCCCGGACATTCCACTCTCCGGGCAGACGCTCTACCACAAGACCACGGAGGCGGTTTAAGGGTGATGGAGGGACAGTGTATGCAAGACTGTGCGTACTGACTCATCTCATTCTTTCCCAATGTCAAGCAGGGTACTACTCACTCTGTGCAGTGAACACCTTGCCACAGTCCGCACACTGGAACACTGGGGCTTCAACTGGATGCTTGCAGGCTTTGTGTTTGTCCAGTCGACTTGGCGTGGTGAAATCCCTTCCACATTCATCACACGACACCGGTACACCCCCTCCTTCCTCGTGAGCCCTCAGGTGGTACCGCAGAGATGTTGCTCGGGAGAAGCCCTTGCCACACAGATTACAGCTGTGAAACAAGACAAGATAGGTCATGGCATGTCACAACTTGTGTGCCTAACAGATAGTTCAACTACTATGCATTCAGGACCCGTGAAGATTCCGGGGTAGAATAGGTCTTCAGCAACCCGTGTGTTTTGTTACATGAACGTGATGAGCACTTGCAGGTACGGAGTGTCCCCTGTGTGTTTTGTTACATGGACGTGATGAGCACTTATAGGTACGGAGTGTCCTCCGTGTGTTTTGTTACAGGAACATGATGAGAACTTACCGGTACGGAGTGTCCCCCGTGTGTTTTGTTACATGGACGTGATGAGCACTTACAGGTACGGAGTGTCCTCCGTGTGTTTTGTTACAGGAACGTGATGAGAACTTACAGGTACGGAGTGTCCCCCGTGTGTTTTGTTACATGGACCTGATGAGCACTTACAGGTACGGTGGGTCCCCCATGTGTTTTGTTACAGGAACGTGATGAGCACTTACAGGTACGGAGTGTCCCCCATGTGTTTTGTTACATGAACGTGATGAACACTTACAGGTACGGAGTGTCCCCCGTGTGTTTTGTTACAGGAACGTGATGACCACTTACAGGTACGGAGTGTCCCCCGTGTGTTTTGTTACAGGAACGTGATGACCACTTACAGGTACGGAGTGTCCCACCATGTGTTTTGTTACAGGAACGTGATGAGCACTTACAGGTACGGAGTGTCCCCCATGTGTTTTGTTACAGGAACGTGATGAGCACTTACAGGTACGGAGTGTCCCCCGTGTGTTTTGTTACAGGAACGTGATGAGCACTTACAGGTACGGAGTGTCCCCCGTGTGTTTTGTTACAAGAACGTGATGAGCACTTACAGGTACGGAGTGTCCCCCGTGTGTTTTGTTACAGGAACGTGATGAGCACTTACAGGTACGGAGTGTCCCCCGTGTGTTTCCGCAGATGGATGCGCAGACTCTTGTTGTTGCTGAACTTCTTGGGACACATCTCGCAGGTGAAGGGCTTGATGCCGGTGTGCTTGTACATGTGCACTGGGGACACAAAATATGACAGGGTAAGTGAATAGGCCACTTTAGCCACTAGTCCTAGGCCAGTGTCAAGTAAAACTAGAATGTATTTTCACTCATAAAAACAGATATCTCCCCCATCCTGTTTTAGTTGAAGCTGTTTCTGTACCCATAATGAACAATCCATAGCTTTATGCTTAGTAGAAAGACTGTCCAAATTGTTTACATTGAAGCACAAAAATTCCAAAAATTACTAATTGAAAAATATGAAAAGACAATAGAAGAGCATGTGGTCATTGCACATGTATAGTTCAATGCAAAAATATTCATTAGTTCGAGAGTTAGGGCTCGGCAATGAAGCCAAGAGTTGTTTGAGACTAAGTTGAAATTGTCTCCATTGAAACATAAAAAAATATCTGAATATAATTAAGGAAAATTTCAAAATAGAAAAGGCACCAGTTTAGCTAATGAGCAATGAATATGCCAAGTTTCGTTGAAAAATATTGAACGGTATTAAGATGTGGATCGGAATAGGATGCCAACAGGAGGCAAGCCCAAACCAAAATGTCTTCCCTCCCTTTGTGGGGATGAACCATGTCACCAAGTCTGACCACCCAATCCATTAACTGACATAGATTACTCGGAAGCAATTCTAACCCGTAATCACCGTTGGTAGATGGGTATATGAATTTAAACCTTGTAGGCAGCTGAGAATGTAATATGAATGCTTTTGAATACAGTGACCAAGGATAAATGTCAGGTGCTCGGAACATTCTTTTGTGTGGGGACAAGTGCAATACACATGATTTAACTATACATAATACAAGTGGACAATTATTGTCACCGGTCCCAGTAAATATTAATCATTGTCATTATTTTCATCATTATCACACGAATCACTAATACTTATCACAGGAAATCAGAAAAAGGTCTTACTTTTGAAAGTAACTTCCCCCTTGACCTCCTTGCCACAGATTTCACAGTTAAACTTGGGTGTTTTCTTCGGAACTGATGTCACCTGGGATTTAGCATCAACATCCTTGACTTCCTTCTCTGCATCAGACTCATCTTCCTCCTGAGCATAGTCATCTTCCTCCTCTTCCTCCTCTTCTTCATCCACCTCCATCTGGGCATCCCCTGTTGGGGAAGGATCAGGGATGGATGCAACCGCTGACGCAGTTTCCAAAACTTTCTCCACTGTGTCCTCCTGAGCCAGGTCCCCCACTGTGGCTTTTACAAGCTCCGCGAACGCATTCCCAGAACTCATAGTTGCATTGTTCACTTTGGACAGGATCACGGACTGTTCCTGGTCTTGGATTTGTTCCACACTGACACGTTCCCCTGGGTTGGACATCCTGACTCTGTCACTGAGCATCTTCAGGTCGGGAGTGTTCCACTGATCATATGGCACCATCACCATATCCACCCTGCCTGGCGACGGCCGACTAGTTGTCACAGGGATTCCTTGTTCCCGAATAATAGCACTTGTGGATGGGGATGAGGACTGGTCCAATCCCTGAGAGTTACTGACTATACTATTTGTGGGGGTTTGTACGTCCACCACCAAGGTAGCCTCCTGACTGGACGGAATGTGTTGGGGAACTCCCTTCCCTGGCTCCACTGATTCCACAACAACACTGTGAGATCCTGCACGCTCAGAATCCATCTCGTCACTATACACCTTCACATCTATCACATAATTTCCTTGTTCAACACGAGCCTCATCAACAGGCACGTCTCTTTCAGATTGCTGAGATGTTGCCTCGCGGCAGCTCCTGTCCATCAGAGCCCCAGCTCCAGCTGCTCCTTGAGCTGCATCAGCTGTGTGGGAAGGACGGTCACCATGTGAGTCCATCTCCTTGTGCACCTCGTGAGTCTGTGAGACATCAACCAGGGTTTTCACTGCAGCCACCTCACTCACACTCACATTGTCCACCTCCTCCGTCTCCATGTGCTCAGTCTTCATCAGGATCTGCATCACGTTCTCACCCGACAGATCAGCATCCTGCTGCACACAACAGAATCAGGTCAATATAATCTGCACCACATCCTGCTGCACACAACACAATCAGGTTAATATAATCTGCACCACATCCTGCTGCACACAACACAATCAGGTCAATGTAATCTGCACCACATCCTGCTACACACAACGCAATCAGGTCAACACAATATGCACCTCATTCTGCTGCACACAACACAATCAGGTCAACACAATATGCACCACATTCTGCTGCACACAACACAATCAGGTCAACACAATATGCACCACATCCTGCTGCACACAACACAATCAGGTCAAGCACGCATAGAATTCTTTAAAAGTGTCTAATCCTTCCCAATCTGGAACAAAACAACCAGTTAATGCACGCACACATCTCTATGAGTGCAAAAAACTTGAAAGCAGTGTTAAACCCTATTTCCCCTCACCTGACACCATCAAGACACCAGAGGGCCGTGTGACTCACCTGACACCATCAAGACACCAGAGGGTCTTGTGACTCACCTCACACCATCAAGACACCAGAGGGTCGTGTGACTCACCTCACACCATCAAGACACCAGAGGGCCGTGTGACTCACCTCACACCATCAAGACACCAGAGGGTCGTGTGACTCACCTCACACCATCAAGACACCAGAGGGTCGTGTGACTCACCTCACACCATCAAGACACCAGAGGGCCGTGTGACTCACCTGACTGGCAATCTTCTCCCTGAACCAGTTGACCCTGTCTGTCATGTGCGTCCTGCGTCTCACCAGCTCCTCCTCCGTAGCGTGGCCACGTACCTCCATCTGGCAACACTTCTTCACAAAGTTGGTGATGTCCTCCATCATTCCCTTCCAGTAGTACTTGTCACGCACCACCATGTATGTCTTGTTGCGACCATAGTGCTGATCTGAGGGATGAACATACAACACTTCAGATTAAAAAAATATGTGTGATGTACTGGAAATACAACAGTATTTGTTGGTTGGTTGGTTTGTTGTTTAACGCAGATTCAGAAATATTACAGCTATACAACAGCGGTCTGTAAATAACCGAGTCTGGACAAGACATTCCAGTGATTGAAATCATGAGCTTGGAAAAAAGCAATTGGGGAGACATCCATCAGCCAAGACAGCGCGCCTGACCACCTGATCCCTTTAGTCGCCTCTTATGACAAGCATGGGTTGCTGAAGATCATCTCTAGCCCGGAACTTCATGGAGTACAGTAATGATTAACAACAATGTGGAACAACAAAATGCATGAAATCTGATAGTAAATGCAGATTATTTTATATTCTACCATGAATTTGGAAATTACTCGATTCTGATTGCTCAATCAGAGGCTATTAAATCACAATAAACCCCCTCTGATTGACACAGCTGGTTTGAGGGCCGCATCACCACGGAAGCTAACATTCATAGAATAGTACATTTATCAGTCATTGTCGGTAGGCATATTCAAATAATTATATCTACAATTACAGGTTACAAAATGCAAAGTTGCGGTTACTACAATATTCAAAGCATGTGTGGCAATACATCTCATGCAGAAACCACGGTAGGAATCTACAAAGACAATGTGTTTTAAGTTTTGGGACAACAGAGAGCTTGGAATTTGACGCTTTTCTATATACGACTGTGACGTCATAATGGTGACGTGCAATGTGGAACGAAGCTTTAGAAAGCTTGCTTAGTTTTCTTCAGAGGTGCCCACTTCTTGTAAGCTTACCAAGTTACCGTGCTTATATGCTTTCAATGCCTGTCATACGTTTAAGTTAAATATTACGGTGTGAACAAACTGCTTGAGCATATACAGCACCATATTTTGTTTACAGACTGTTGTCGGTGATTCGGTAATTCAGATTGAAAACCCACTCAAAATGCCGCTTCACTCAATATATTTGCTAACACCAAAGAGTTCGCCTTTTATTTAGTCATGGTAGAATGGAGATAAACATACTGTGTTTTCAATGTAGAGCTAGGTTACCTGTAGATTTAACCCTCCTGAATTTAGCATTTGAAACCTCACGCTACTTGAAATGTGCACATAATCTTGAAGTACCCACAGTTAGATGACATCAAGCCCCCAAAAGTATGACAAATTACACATCACACAAGGATTATAGAAGTTGTCAGGTAAATAAAGCTCAGGAACTGAATGTGTTCAAGGATCATTGTCGTATGGACTTGTAAGGGTTAGTCAGACACAAACTTGAAAGATTTAGACATAAATATTAGGTTGAATTTTTTAATAATAGGTTGCACTGGTGCATGTTATATGGAGCTAAATCAAGCAATGGATGCTTCCCACCTGAGTGGGCCTCTCTGATGGCTTGGGTCCGGTCTTCCTCCGAGATGAGTACACGTCTTGGCTGTTCCTCGCTGCTGTGTCGGGAGACGTAGTGCAGCACGGAGTCGATCAGCACGAAGCTCTTGCTCTTCCTCCTCAGATTGCACTTGAAGTTCTTGCTGCAGCTGAGGGGATACTTCTGCTTCTTCAGGTACTCCAGCAGGTCGTCATAGCTCTCCTCCAGACCATCATCGGTGTCCTGATAGTGACAGACAGCTCTATATTACCAGGCATTCATGTGCAGTTACTGCCCTCCTCAAGGGTCAGGTGGACTTCTATGTTCAAGTCCACATCACCCACACAGAGGGGCAGTAAGCTACTGGGCCACGACCACAATGTGCTGTACATGGCAATGCATACCTGGGAATTGAGGTTTGCTCCCCTCTCGTCTAAACAGAATCATCCAACCTTGATGTGTGACATGTATAACGACATTCACTCACTCACTCAATCTACTGCCCCAGACTTGATTATTTACAGGGCATGCATAACAACATTCACTCTCTCACTCTCTGTTCTGCTCCAGACTTGATTATTTACAGGACGTTAATAACGACATTCACTCTTTCACTCTCTGTTCTGCTCCAGACTTGATTATTTACAGGACATGTGAACCGTGATTCAAACCCACGATCACAGCTTTCACAGCCAAATGGGACACAACTCTGCACAGTGAATTGTGCCACCAATGCCCTTCTCAATTGAGAGGTACGAAATTTGGATGAGGAAATCTCTTTAACTTCATATATTTTAAAATATTTTTTTAACAGATATCCTAGCTGACACCACTATCCTGTCTACTTACTCCTGATACATCAAGTTCAATGTCAAGGTCATCTTCATCTGTGGTGCCGTCTGCCCTTCTGACTGTCGTGTTGTGGTCTGATCGTGTCCTCTCCTTGCCATGGTGGCAAGAAGGGCACGCTCGAACAAATGCTTCACAGTCTAACGTCAGACCCTTCCAATATGTGTTCCAGGAATCAAGTCGGTCAATCACTTTTGTTCGACACACATGGGAACCTGCAATGAATTCAGACGTTACAGTTTCAGTCAACCTGTATCAGAGATATTTCTAACATTACCCGTGTCGGAGATATTTCTAACATTACCTGTGTCAGAGATATTTCTAACATTACCCGTGTCAGAGATATTTCTAACATTACCTGTGTCGGAGATATTTCTAACATTACCCGTGTCGGAGATATTTCTAACATTACCTGTGTCGGAGATATTTCTAGCATTACCTGTGTCGGAGATATTTCTAACATTACCTGTGTCGGAAATATTTCTAACATTACCTGTGTCGGAGATATTTCTAACATTACCTGTGTCGGAAATATTTCTAACATTACCTGTGTCAGAGATATTTCTAACATTACCCGTGTCGGAGATATTTCTAACATTACCTGTGTCGGAAATATTTCTAACATTACCTGTGTCGGAGATATTTCTAACATTACCTGTGTCGGAAATATTTCTAACATTACCTGTGTCAGAGATATTTCTAACATTACCCGTGTCGGAGATATTTCTAACATTACCCGTGTCGGAGATATTTCTAACATTACCTGTGTCGGAAATATTTCTAACATTACCTGTGTCAGAGATATTTCTAACATTACCTGAGTCGGAGATATTTCTAACATTACCCGTGTCGGAGATATTTCTAGCATTACCTGTGTCGGAGATATTTCTAACATTACCTGAGTCGGAGATATTTCTAACATTACCTGTGTCGGAGATATTTCTAACATTACCTGTGTCAGAGATATTTCTAACATTACCTGTGTCAGAGATATTTCTAACATTACCTGTGTCGGAGATATTTCTAACATTACCTGAGTCGGAGATATTTCTAACATTACCCGTGTCGGAGATATTTCTAGCATTACCTGTGTCGGAGATATTTCTAACATTACCTGAGTCGGAGATATTTCTAACATTACCTGTGTCGGAGATATTTCTAACATTACCTGTGTCAGAGATATTTCTAACATTACCTGTGTCAGAGATATTTCTAACATTACCTGTGTCGGAGATATTTCTAACATTACCTGTGTCAGAGATATTTCTAACATTACCTGTGTCAGAGATATTTCTAACATTACCTGTGTCGGAGATATTTCTAACATTACCTGAGTCGGAGATATTTCTAACATTACCCGTGTCGGAGATATTTCTAACATTACCCGTGTCGGAGATATTTCTAACATTACCCGTGTCGGAGATATTTCTAACATTACCCGTGTCGGAGATATTTCTAACATTACCCGTGTCGGAGATATTTCTAACATTACCTGTGTCGGAAATATTTCTAACATTACCTGTGTCAGAGATATTTCTAACATTACCTGAGTCGGAGATATTTCTAACATTACCCGTGTCGGAGATATTTCTAGCATTACCTGTGTCGGAGATATTTCTAACATTACCTGAGTCGGAGATATTTCTAACATTACCTGTGTCGGAGATATTTCTAACATTACCTGTGTCAGAGATATTTCTAACATTACCTGTGTCAGAGATATTTCTAACATTACCTGTGTCGGAGATATTTCTAACATTACCTGAGTCGGAGATATTTCTAACATTACCCGTGTCGGAGATATTTCTAGCATTACCTGTGTCGGAGATATTTCTAACATTACCTGAGTCGGAGATATTTCTAACATTACCCGTGTCGGAGATATTTCTAACATTACCTGTGTCAGAGATATTTCTAACATTACCTGTGTCAGAGATATTTCTAACATTACCTGTGTCGGAGATATTTCTAACATTACCTGTGTCAGAGATATTTCTAACATTACCTGTGTCAGAGATATTTCTAACATTACCTGTGTCGGAGATATTTCTAACATTACCTGAGTCGGAGATATTTCTAACATTACCCGTGTCGGAGATATTTCTAACATTACCTGTGTCGGAGATATTTCTAACATTACCTGAGTCGGAGATATTTCTAGCATTACCTGTGTCGGAGATATTTCTAACATTACCTGTGTCGGAGATATTTCTAACATTACCTGTGTCGGAGATATTTCTAAAATTACCTGTGTCGGAGATATGAGCCCGTCTAAGCAATGCCAGTCTCTGTGTTGCCGTCTTGATCACAACTTTCTTCTTCCCTTTGGCCCCCTGGAGGTAGTACAGCACACTATCCAGGAGGAAGTAACTCTGGCTGATCTTGCGCAGGACACGTTTCTGGTGGATGGTAAACCCGTCAGGGTACTTGCCGTTGACCTTGTACTGCTCCAGGGCCGAGTAATAGGCATCAAGGTCTTCCATCTGAGGAGTGAGTGAGTCAGTCAGTCAGTCAGGAAAAAACGCAAACTTAAAACGAACGGGAGTGTCTGCTGCAATCTGATTGGTTGAAAGACATTATGGGATTGAATTCCAGAAACCTTTCAGATTTTTCACTGCGTGTGTACACTGTATACTAATCGTCACGGTATGGCTGAAATATTGCCAATGTGACGTTAAATATTAAATTTTAACTCACTCAAGTATACTAAACTAAGGCATGCTCACAGCACTACCCTGGTCAACGGATCAGTGTTCACTCGATTTTCATTCTCCGGTCCCTGGGGAGTATACAACCCATGCTGCCTGTGACGCAGTAGAAAGTTGACGTCTGCTACTTTGGGACAAATATTGGCCACCAAGCATCCCTAACAGGTTCTAATGAATTATGGATTATTGTGGATACTGCTGATGCCACTCATTGTCATGACATAGCAAGCTGTCTGTCGTCTTCAACAACCTACCCCAAATCCCAAGCCATGCATCCCTGACGAGCACACTCTATCCACAGGATGGTCCATCACCATCTGAGATTCTACTGGAGCCTTCGCCACAGAAGGCAGCACAGTCCTCCTGCCCGACCTACGCGTCACTCTGTCTGACTGTAGCAGCGACGTCTGCTTGTCCTGTCTGCGACTTCTCTTCAAGCAAGGGGTGGAGGCATAGTCGGGGTCCATGTCATGGGTGGACAACGCCCCGTCATCGATGTCGCTGCCGTCTTGCTCCATCTTTACACCAGCTGCACCCGTCCCCACGTCTTCACCCTTCTTCTTGATGCACAAAACAGCCCAATCACATGCAAGATTCAAGGACATATTGACGGAAGGTGAAATGGGGTTTAACATTGGATTATTTCATTTATGTAGCGACGTGTGTGTGCGTGTGTGTGCGTGTGTGGCTGTTTGTACTAGCCCCTTCTCCCTCTGCACACACAAAATGGCCCAATCACATTCAAGGACATGTGAGGTGAAAATGGTTTTAACCTGGAATTATTGCATTTATATAGTGACGTGCATTCACATGGATACCCTACTCAGACACAGTATACTGATACCGAGCTGACCAGTCCTTGTTTTAAGCCTGAATGCTGAGCGCCAGGCAGGGTAACAACAAGTACCATCTTTTAACGTCTTTTGGTATGATGGAGACGGTAATCGAACCTTCAACATTTTGCTCTCCAGGCTGACGTTCTATCCACTAGACACGGAGACTGTCAGGAGATGGTGAGGATAGCACTAATATAACTGTAACTCCCATACTTTAACATAGGCTTACATTAGTCCTAGCGCTAAATCACTTGTGTGGGACAGAGCTCAGAACATCATTTTGGCAAGTCACTCCTCTTTGGGGGGAGGTTAGACTATGATCACACACATAAATGGACAATTGGAATCTGTTTCAAATGTCATAGGACTAGTTTGGATAACAAAGTGAAAAGACACTAACTCAATACATACCCTAAAAAAAATAAGATAAACGACAATAGACTTACTTACTCAAGTCCCACCTACTCACCCATCCACCCACCCACTCACTCACCCACTCACTCACCCACCCATCCACCCACCCAAAAATATAAGATAAACAACAACAGACTTACTCACTCACTCAAGTCCCACCCACCTACTCAACCAACCACCCACCCACCCATTCGCTCACTCAAACTCACCCACCCACTCACTCACTCATGGACTACTCACAAGTTGTTTCTCCATGACGGACACAACAACCAGCCTCTTCTGACCCTTCTCCAGGGGTTTGGACGGAGTAACAGACACTGTCTTCACCTGGGTGTTCCTCGGCAGTGACCTGGCATCCTTCTGCTTGTACTTCTCCACCTCATCACCCGTCAAGGTGACACTGGCAACTTTGACCACAGGGAATGAATGTCCGGGTTCGATACACGCCACATAGGGCGTTGTGCCCACACCGAGTGATGACACGCGGTGATGAGCGTTGACATTCCGAAGAACGTCCTTGTACCCAGAATGCACCTCCATGAGCGTGGCAGTGGTCTCGGCCTTCTGTTTGCTTGTTGTGTTGACCTCTATGTATGAGTTGGCATCTTGATGAGACAGGTCTACAGGCATATGAAACTCCCTGAAACAAAGGAGAATAAAATAATGTGTGATCACATAAACGCATGTATCTCCTATAATACGTCCTGATTTACAAGGCAGTATTAATACACTTGAAAAGCCAAAATACAGCTAAGTAGGATATGTAGAACATGTTTTCCCGGTATTAAGCTTGTTTATACCATTGTATGTGTAAGAGTGAATATTATCCTACCCTATTTTTCATCCCAGGATGAAATTCTCTAGTGTCAGGATGATTCTCTCCAGTGAATTTGAACCCATACCAGTGTGGCATTAAGGTAGGATACTATACTCTAGAGTAAAACTTCCCCCGGGATAATATTTAGGTAGGATATAATCCTTGCTTACATATGCATCTGTATGTACCCAGGGTTTTACCTTGACTTACAAAAGTGGGGGTCCAGCTTCAAAGCAAAAAGCTGCATGCTTTTTCTGAGTCAATTGAAGTAATATAGCGCATGCTAACCTCAGCCCAATCGAACAGCAATTTTCTATCAATTTTGAATCTGTTTGAATTATTTTCCAATGTCATATTACAACATGTCAGTAAGATAAATTTGTTGTAGCAGGATCACTCGGGGACATTTGTGTGTCCCGTGTTTGGTTTTATACCACAAGCGGGAGGCGAGTGGTTTAAAACCTAACGAGTACGCACAAAACCCAATGTACCCCTCGTGATCCTGCTACAACGTATCATGTACCTGTATGTCCCCCATGTTTCTACCTACCTTCCATGTGCCAGGTAAGCTGGGGTATATTCCGCTCTCTGGGGACGAGACACTCGATGTGGCATCAGGCAAACCTCCAGGCACTGGCTCCAGGAATCGGGCTGACTTGAGACGAATGTTGCGATGGAGTTTTCCAAGTCCTCCCATACCTCTTCTACAGACATACAGTGAACATATGTTAAATACTATTGCCTTGTAAGCAATGTGGCTGGTGGTATTGTTTCCACAAGTACACAGTATAGGCCTACATGAGATCTCACAACACAATACCAATAAGAAGGCTCAACAGTGCAGAAGGGTCAATAACATTTGATTATTCCAAAAGTAGAGCTGCAAGGCCCTGTAGCTCTCCTGACTTAGTTTATGACACTTCAACCTTACTTTGGTACAAATATCTACAGAGAGTCAATGAAACATTGGAGCAAATGGTTCTGAAATATAAAAGTATTTTTGCAACATTGTTTAGGACAATGATGTTGAGTGTAATCAGCAATGACTTGAACAAACTTGGATATTCTTGTAGTCCTTACATTCACACAAAGCTTAAGCACTGTGGTGCTTTAGAACAAGATTTTATAACTTTTTGTAAAATATATATAAAAAAACACACAATAAAATCACATTGAATAGAACATGTTGAACAAGATGAAATGTGTTCATGAGAATGGCCCCAACAGATATATGGTCAGTAGGTCGGATGTTTGGTTTTGTTTCCTTCTACTTTTTATAATGTTAAACACATATGGCATACTTAGGCTGATGATAGCCGCAATGTTTATTGAACTTGTAGGTCAAAACAGCTACAGTAACAATATTTTGAAGGATCATCAAAATGTTTACCCCATATATTACGGGTTTTTGGACAGCTGTTTCACAAAGCGATTGTAGCGCTAAGGCGATCGTTACTCCCATACTTTAATATAGACTTACGACTGTCATAGCGCTACGATCGCTTTGTGGAATGGGGTCCTAGACAGCTGTATACAGCTGTGACAAAAACATTTAGGTCAAAAGATAAACAATGGATCGGTCAGGTTACCATGGTTACCTAAAACACAAGGATCACATTTGGACATACAGGATCACATATTGACATACAGCATCACACATGGACATACAGTCTACAGGGGTTAGAGAATCTCACTGTTACTCACTTGTCTCGGTAACAACAAAGTTCTCGAGGTCTATCTCAATGCCAACCTTGCTCAACAGATCAGATCGAATGTGGACGTCACTGAACTTTGTGGAGTCATTTTCCCGCAGGATGACACTCTTCATCACACCATAACTGAAAAACAAGTCAAACTGTTGGTCAAATACTGCCAATATCAGCTACAAATCCTTATTGTCCTCACATCATGAATATGATTAAAACTAAGTGAGAAAACAAAGATTCATGCAAAGCACATGTCATAATAATCATGCTAATGATTTAACCTGACGCTGTAATGTTCATTACACAGGCTTACTGTGGACATACAATGACAGAAATTTAAGTCAGCATATTGACTCTTAGCTTTTATACCCAGTTTTCAATATAGAAAACATACTACTTCAGTATGTACAGCCAAGTATCTAACCATTATACAAAGCCATGTGGTGTATCATACTGACTTTATGTCCCCATACTTTCCATACTTGGAAAGACACAAGAGTCACCTGAAGATGACAAATCCCCCTGGCCCCCACAATAGCAAAAGGCACCAATTCAGACCCTGGTTAATACATGTACCAAGTTTGGATGAAAAATCTACATGGTTTTCAAGTTACGCTCCGGAAACAAAATACGGAAGGATAGAAGGACGAACGGACAAGACTATTACTATATCCCAGTTTTCAATATAGAAGACACTACTGCTTCAGTATGTACAGCTTAGTACCTAACCATGATACAAAGCCATGTGGCCATGTGGTGTATCATGCTGACTTTATGTACCCATACTTTCAATCAGGAAATACAAAAAAACTCTGACACTTGTTTTGAGAAACAAGAGTCACCAGAAGATGACAAATCCCCCCCGACCCCCACAATAGCAAAAGGCACTACTTCAACCCCTGGTTAATATGTCATACATGTACCAAGTTTGGATGACAAATCTTTCACAGTTTTCAAGATAGGTCCTGGATACAAAATACGGAAGGACAGATGGATGGAGGAACAGACTATTACTACATCCCTTCGCATTACATCCCCGGGTTATAAAAAGTATGAAATATACTCTCATGTAATGGTTCATCCGAAATTAATTTCATAACACTTTGTCATAGATTCTTTTCTCAAATAGGAGAAACAATGATAGTGACAGTTCTATTGTTCATAAACATGATCAAAACAAAGTACACATGCATAATGCATAAAGTGAATGCATAGAATTAGAAGTGAAACATGCATGACAATTTACCAGACCATCTACTAGTTCTTCTTGTAACATGACTTCAATCCGATCGAAAACATTAATCATGATCATAATTACTTTGTCACTTTCAAAATGGTGGTCATTTTAATTAACTCATGTTTATACAGGCATAACCACTTTTGTGAAACCCACACGCATGAATATGGTGCTGAAAGAAAATACAGTCGAACCTCGTGTTGAACTCGTGGGAACCTGGGAAAATGTTTGCGTTATCCGGGGTTCGAGTCATCAGGGAAGTTTCATGCTGAATTTGGACACTTGGGTCCCTCAATTGAGTTCGAGACAACCGGGAATTCTACACAACCGGGAATTCGACACATCCAAGTTCAACACAAAGAGGTTCGGCTGTATAACTAGGGCAAATTAAGTATTAGAGCCTAACTGCAGATCTTGACACAGCTAAGGGATGCAACTCTGTGCAGTTCCTTGAGGGGTCTTTGTAACTTTAGTGACATGGCTAGGATTCAGACAACAGTTTTTTGTGCCCCCGATGCCTGTACATAGCTCAGCATGGAGGGAGATATAAAGTTTTTATCTATGACACCATGGAAATGAGACCCTGGCGCCATGAACCACTGAATATACGTCCAGTTTTATCCGCTTTGATCCTGTCAAGTGCAGACACTTACCGGCAGATCAGGTTGAGCAGGAAGTGGGTGATGGCCGGTGCCGACTTGTCGGCCAGTGTGGTCACCTCTGGCCACAGAGAAAAGATGTCAAGGCAGACGGCAACATACACCCACCGCCTCCCACACATGTACGGGCCGAGGATCTGCAGCTCCACCTGGTGATGAGAAGAGTGGTGTGTATATTAACAATCGGCATCTGTGACCACACGCAGAATCCAGCCTAGGTTTTGTGACTGACATGCAAACATACCAGACACAGGGATAAAATCCTCCCAGCATGATTAATCCACATACTAAATCAAGAATAAAAGAGATGATGTTGTTTTTTGCTGCAGTAATACAGCTGTGATCAAGTCTTTGCTAGGCTAAAAAGATGTTGTTTGTTTGTTCCTTAACACCACACTCAAGTCATATGAAAAATAGGTGAGCAGGATATTTATCTTTTCATGTTTGATTAAGTACTCTGTGTGAAACGACAAAATAGGATGAACCAGGAAATAACCTGTGATACAAATCCTGACAGTAATTGATGTATACCATGTCTATTCACAATATAATACAGGAAAAGTCTCCTAAAACATTTCCTCTCCTTGTCTAAACAATATTGCACTGTCCTATCTGGAGTTGTCTCCCTTTGAAAGTGACTATCTCTCTCTCTCACCTTGGAGTAAAAGTTCTGATTTTATTTGTTTTGTTTGTATGTTTGTTTGTTTAACGCCGCATTCAGCAATATTCCAGCTATATGACGGCGGTCTGTAAATAATCGGGTCTGGGCCAGACAATCCAGTGATTGACATCATGAGCATTGATGCACGCAATTGGGATCGATGACATGCATCAACCAAGTCAGCGAGCCTGACCACCTGACCCATCGCCTCTTACGACAAGCATAGTTGCTTTTTATAGATGTTGATAGCAATGATGGGGAATAACAAAATTATATTTGTTTGTTTGTTTTTGAGCATATCAACTGGACGATCGACGGTGGCCTGTAAATAATCGAGACTGGACCAGACAATCTAGTGATTGATATCATGATATAATTATATAATTATTAATCAATCACTGATTTCTTTCTTAAACATATGATCATTCTGGAATTAGAACCTATTCCCAACAGTACCTAACACCCCTATTACTAAGTATGAACCAGACACAGATAAAACAGACAAGGGCTGGGACGAGTCCAAATTTACTACCCGGGTACCCACCACCCTATTACCCGACCCTACCCGAGTACCCACTGTAGGTCTCAGGAGATGTCTCAAACTGTCCGATTGGGAACATTTTTATCATGTTTATCATAGCCCTGGCAAAACGTATTTAGACACATGTATTAAACAATCTGGTCATTCATACACTGAAGTTGAATTAAGTTATATCTTTATTTAACCATATGAAAAAAATGGGTGCATTGTCAGAAAGAGATGCGAACATTAGTAACTTTAGTGTAACCATAGAGTTCTATATAATAATTTTCACTAAACAATATATCACGTGACTAACCACAGGTCTGGGTAGCCCTGTGGGTACCCGGCTCCTTCTCAGTACCCACCCGACTCGGGTACCCGAGTTACCCGTCCCAGCCCTAAAACAGACGTACCTTTTCCCAGAAGTAAGTGGCAGGTTCCATGTCGGATTGAAACAGCTGCATTGGTGTGCTGGAGACCATGCTGGTGTTTCCGTCATTGTCCCCGTCTTCTGGGTCCTGCTTGATGCCAAACAGCCGTGACAGAGAGGGTGTGATGGACAAGTTGACGTTGCTGCGAGATGCTTGGCAGTAGGGGCAGTTGTGTATGATGTCCCGAACTATGTGGGAAATACCAACCCAGTAGTACCGACTGCTGACAGCATTGGTTGTCTTTTCAATACCATAGTGGGTTCCTGAAGAAAAATGTCAGTCTTAATTCTGTTTAAACATTGAGCAATGTTTAGGTGATGTGAAATGGTGTTTAATGTAAATTCAAGAGTATGGCTCTTATATAGTACGCGTTTAACAACCAATCATACCAATAGACGTTATATTTGTTGTTATACTGTCTAGCTCTTGGCATTGAGGTTATAAAACAAGGATTGGTCAGCTTGGAATCAGTATTCTATGTCAGAGTTGTGTATCCAAGTTAAACTGTGGCAAGGGTTGAGCAGCCAGAGACCGAAGCATTGACTTTCCACTCTCAGGGCAGACGCTTTATCCACTTGACTATAGGGGCGGTTGTTTGGTCTTTCAATATGTACAACCTATATATTACGTTATATTTGGGGTAACATTTTCATCAAGAAATTAAAAGAGTCTTTCTCTCATGCTGGTACATGAAAACTTGTAAAATACATCAGCGATGTTTAGGAGATGACTTTAGAAGAGAAAATATAGCAGCAATCTTAGGAACAGCTCCAGAACAGTTGCTGTTTGAGTTTTCTAACAATTTCTTTACAGCCAAGATAGAGAAATGTAGTACTGTTTAATTGAATTAGGCTTATGCATGCTATGTAGCCTAATGGCTTCTTTCTGTTCTATGTGTGTCATAATTCATGTATTTCCCTTGTGATTTAGAAATTCACAAATAATTTGTAAGTCACATTCATAATCATGGGAAGCATGAAAGGTATTCCACTTTAATGGAAACCAACACTCTCCAATATAATAAACTTCACAAAACATCATATTGAATCTACATTGATTCTGTTTAATTAATGTACGAAAAAACATGTTTCCTTATCAATGTGTGGCGTTTTGGACATTTTCAAACAACTTCTGCCAAATGTCAGTGTGTGAGGTGTGACCTTATTTCACAGTTCATCATTAAATTTCAGACCCCCGGATAAAACGGAAGCAGATTCGATTTGTCACCGCACCTTCCGGGTCAATATGTGCCTCCAACACCGTTTTGCGCCGTTCTTCCTCGCTGATGAGGACCTTTCGAGGCACGGTCTGTTTGGCGTTGTCATCCTCGGCATTCGTCTTTTTCCACTGCTCGGTGAAATACAAATCCTCGCCTGTTAAAGAGAATGATTTGGCTCTCTTCCTGACCGCTCGTTTGTCACAGTCCGACAATCCTGGTGGATATTGACCGCTCTTCAAATATAAATAAACAGTAGACAAATTTATGTGACCTTTCAAAATATGCCCCCTTCCATCCTTTTTGGGGGTCTTCTTCATGATGCACGAATACTTCTGTCAAATTTTACCAATATGTACTCTTTCAAGGGTATCGAATTTTAGAGGTAGCAGTACCGCCTAAGCCTAGCGACCACCATCTTGAAATAGGACCCGGATAAAATCCTCTAGGCCGGGAAATGTGAAAAGTAGGAGCGAAGGAATAAAAATGCATAAGCTATTTAAAGCGAACATCTAAAAAAATACGCATTAGACATTACTCACCAGCTCCCTTATATGTATATTTTTTTATTATATGTAATCTTCAGAATTCAAATATACTAATATATTTGTACAATTGTATTTGATGTTTTAAAGCAATGTAGAATGTAAAATATAGAAACCTCTTTTCATACAGTAAAGAGTACATACATTAATCTAGCATAATGTGTGTACATGTCAATATATATTTGATTTACACCTGTGGTAAGCACTAATGTATAAAAAAAAGTTGGTGATTTCGACACTAGTTATTTTCTATCTCTGTCATAGACAAGTCAATTATATGGAGTAACACAATGATTGAGCATTTGTTGTATAAAATTGTTTTCCTTGTAGGTCGTTGTAAGAAGGACAACATACCTGTCATTTGGCACAATGAATGATTAGTAAAAACTTGTAGTTTTGTAATTTTATCAGGCTTTGTTTCATATTTATTTCCCTAACATAATTTATGGTAATTTTTAACAGGTAATTTCCATTGTGCTAGCAGAGATTTAGTTAACTGTTCAAATGCCCAACTTTTGTGTGTCATTAACATCAGCAAGAATCACTTTCTCATATATTCCCTTTTACTTTCTCATACTTTCCCTGTCACTTTATCATACTTTCCCAGTCACTGTCACTCTCTCATACTTTCCCTGTCACTTTATCATACTTTCCCTATCACTCTCTTATACTTTCCCTATCACTCTATCATACTTTCCCTGTCACTCTATCATCCTTTCCCTGTCACTTTATCATACTTTCCCAGTCACTCTCTCATACTTTCCCTATCACTCTCTCATACTTTCCCTGTCACTTTATCATACTTTCCCAGTCACTGTCACTCTCTCATACTTTCCCTGTCACTTTATCATACTTTCCCTATCACTCTCTTATACTTTCCCTATCACTCTATCATACTTTCCCTGTCACTCTATCATCCTTTCCCTGTCACTTTATCATACTTTCCCTATCACTCTCTTATACTTTCCCTGTCACTTTATCATACTTTCCCAGTCACTGTCACTCTCTCATACTTTCCCTGTCACTTTCTCATACTTTCCCTGTCACTCTCTCATACCTTCCCTATCACTCTCTCATACTTTCCATGTCACTCTATCATACTTTCCCTATCATTCTATCATACTTTCCCTGCCACTCTATCATCCTTTCCCTGTCACTTTATCATACTTTCCCAGTCACTGTCACTCTCTCATACTTTCCCTGTCACTTTATCATCCTTTCCCTGTCACTTTATCATTCATTACCTGTCACTTTATCATACTTTCCCAGTCACTGTCACTCTCTCATACTTTCCCTGTCACTTTCTCATACTTTCCCTGTCACTGTCACTCTCTCATACTTTCCCTGCCACTTTATCATACTTTCCCAGTCACTGTCACTCTCTCATACTTTCCCTGTCACTTTCTCATACTTTCCCTGTCACTCTCTCATACCTTCCCTATCACTCTCTCATACTTTCCATGTCACTCTATCATACTTTCCCTATCATTCTATCATACTTTCCCTGCCACTCTATCATCCTTTCCCTGTCACTTTATCATACTTTCCCAGTCACTGTCACTCTCTCATACTTTCCCTGTCACTTTATCATCCTTTCCCTGTCACTCTCTTATACTTTCCCTGTCACTTTATCATACTTTCCCTATCACTCTCTTATACTTTCCCTGTCACTTTATCATACTTTCCCAGTCACTGTCACTCTCTCATACTTTCCCTGTCACTTTCTCATACTTTCCCTGTCACTCTCTCATACCTTCCCTATCACTCTCTCATACTTTCCATGTCACTCTATCATACTTTCCCTATCATTCTATCATACTTTCCCTGCCACTCTATCATCCTTTCCCTGTCACTTTATCATACTTTCCCAGTCACTGTCACTCTCTCATACTTTCCCTGTCACTTTATCATCCTTTCCCTGTCACTTTATCATTCATTACCTGTCACTTTATCATACTTTCCCAGTCACTGTCACTCTCTCATACTTTCCCTGTCACTTTATCATACTTTCCCAGTCACTGTCACTCTCTCATACTTTCCCTGTCACTTTATCATACTTTCCCTGTCACTTTATCATCCTTTCCCTGCCACTTTATCATACTTTCCCAGTCACTGTCACTCTCTCATACTTTCCCTGTCACTTTATCATATTTTCACTGCCACACTCTCATACATTCCCAGTCACTGTCTTACTTTCACTGTCACTTTATCATACTTTCTCTGTCACTCTATCATATTTTCACTGTCACTCTCTCATACATTCACTGTCACTCTCTCATACATTCCCTGTCACTGTCTTACTTTCCCTGTCACTCTATCATACTTTCCCTATCACTCTCTCATACTTTCGCAGCCACTCTATCATACTTTCCCTGTCTCTTTATCATAATTTCCCCTTCACTATCTCATACTTTCCCTGTAAATGTCTTACTTTCATTGTCACTTTATCATACTTTCCCCGTCACTCTATCAGTGAGTGAGTGAGTATGGTTTTACGCCGCTTTTAGCAATATTCCAGCAATATCAGCACGGGGACACCAGAAATGGGCTTCACACATTGTACCCATGTTGGGAATCGAACCCGGTTCTTCGATGTGACGAGCTAACATTTTAACCACTAGGCTACCCGACCGCCCCGTCACTCTATCATATTTTCACTGTCACTCTCTCATACTTTCCCTGTCACTCTCTAATACTTTCCCTGTCACTTTATCATACTTTCCCCTTCACTCTCTCATACTTTCCCTGTCACTTTATCATACTTTCCCTGTCACTTTATCATACTTTCCCTGTCACTCTATCATATTTTCACTGTCACTCTTTCATACTTTCCCTGTCACTGTCTTACTTTCCCTGTCACTTTATCATACTTTCCCCTTCACTCTATCATATTTTCACTCACTCTCTCATACTTTCCCTGTCACTTTCTCATACTTTCCCTGTCACTTTATCATACTTTCCCTGTAACTCTATCATATTTTCACTGTCACTCTCTCATACTTACCCTGTCACTCTGTCTTACTTTCACTGTCACTTTATCATACTTTCCCCATCTATCATAATTTCACTGTCACTTCCCCCACTTTCCCTGTTACTCTATCATATTTTCCCTGCCATTCGACTACTATCCATACATTTTATCATACTTTCACAAACACTCTCATAATTTCCCCCACACCTTGTAGTGATGTAAATGTATAATTGAACAAGACTTGAATCGGGTGACTTGTGTATAACACTCATTTTAAAACTATTAAAGTTATTTCTCAACATGTCAACTTAATGTGCGATGAAATCCCAGTCATGACTAATGATGTAGATATTTACCACTTTGGTTGGCTGTGTTGTATAACGCCGCACACGGCAATATTCCAGCTGTATGATGGTGGTCTGTAAATATTTGAGTCTGGACCAGACAATCTAGTGACTGATATTGTGAACAACGATCTACGCCGTCGGGGTACGATGGCATGCCATCAACTGAGTCACCAAGACTGACCACCCGATCAGTTCGGTCACACCTTACAACCAGCGCAGATTGCTGGGCACCAATTCTGACCCTGAATCCCCATGGGGGTCAACATTGGTAAAGGCTAATGCATGAGTCTAGTCAAGTCTGTACAGCGAGGTGTGGTGCTGAGGAAGTTTCACTTCATGTAGTGGGAGTGTTTGGTTCATCACCTCGTTGAACAGCTACAATATTTATGCTTTATCATGGGATGAAGTCCTGTAGTTATGCAGGCCTTAGACATTTACCACTTCGGTGGAACACATAAGCATGGGTATGGTGCCAAAAAGTGAGAAACCCTTGCCACCTCATTCAGACTGGACCACCCTTGCCTCTTATTTAGATGGCTGGCCCAACACTGTCCCCTCATTTAGATGACTGGCCCACCCTTGTCCCTCATTTAGATGACTGGCCCATCCTTGCCTCTTATTTAGATGGCTGGCCCATCATTGTCCCTCATTTAGATGACTTGTCCACCCTTGTCCCCTCATTTAGATGACTTGTCCACCCTTGTCCTCTCATTTAGATGACTTGTACACCCTTGCCTCTTATTTAGATGACTGGCCACCCTTGTCCCTCGTTTAGATGACTGGCCCATCATTGTCCCTCATTTAGATGACTGGCCCACCCTTGTCCCCTCATTTAGATGACTTGTCCACCCTTGCCTCTTATTTAGATGACTGGCCACCCTTGCCTCCTCATTTAGATGACTTGTCCACCCTTGTCCCCTCATTTAGATGACTTGTCCACCCTTGTCCCCTCATTTAGATGACTGGGCCATCCTTGCCTCTTATTTAGATGACTTGTACACCCTTGCCTCTTATTTAGATGACTGGCCACCCTTGCCTCCTCATTTAGATGACTTTTCAACCCTTGTCCCCTCATTTAGATGACTTGTCCACCCTTGTCCTCTCATTTAGATGACTGGGCCACCCTTGCCGCTTATTTAGATGACTGGCCACCCTTGCCTCCTCATTTAGATGACTTGTCCACCCTTGTCCCCTCATTTAGATGACTTGTCCACCCTTGTCCCCTCATTTAGATGACTGGCCACCCTTGTCCCCTCATTTAGATGACTGGGCCACCCTTGCCTCTTATTTAGATGACTGGCCACCCTTGTCCCCTCATTTAGATGACTGGCCCATCCTTGCCTCTTATTTAGATGACTGGCCCATCCTTGCCTCTTATTTAGATGGCTGGCCCATCATTGTCCCTCATTTAGATGACTTGTCCACCCTTGTCCCCTCATTTAGATGACTTGTCCACCCTTGTCCTCTCATTTAGATGACTTGTACACCCTTGCCTCTTATTTAGATGACTGGCCACCCTTGTCCCTCGTTTAGATGACTGGCCCATCATTGTCCCTCATTTAGATGACTGGCCCACCCTTGTCCCCTCATTTAGATGACTTGTCCACCCTTGCCTCTTATTTAGATGACTGGCCACCCTTGCCTCCTCATTTAGATGACTTGTCCACCCTTGTCCCCTCATTTAGATGACTTGTCCACCCTTGTCCCCTCATTTAGATGACTGGGCCATCCTTGCCTCTTATTTAGATGACTTGTACACCCTTGCCTCTTATTTAGATGACTGGCCACCCTTGCCTCCTCATTTAGATGACTTTTCAACCCTTGTCCCCTCATTTAGATGACTTGTCCACCCTTGTCCTCTCATTTAGATGACTGGGCCACCCTTGCCGCTTATTTAGATGACTGGCCACCCTTGCCTCCTCATTTAGATGACTTGTCCACCCTTGTCCCCTCATTTAGATGACTTGTCCACCCTTGTCCCCTCATTTAGATGACTGGCCACCCTTGTCCCCTCATTTAGATGACTGGGCCACCCTTGCCTCTTATTTAGATGACTGGCCACCCTTGTCCCCTCATTTAGATGACTGGCCCATCCTTGCCTCTTATTTAGATGACTGGCCCATCCTTGCCTCTTATTAAGATGACTGGCCCATCCTTGCCTCTTATTTAGATGGCTGGCCCACCATTGTCCCTCATTTAGATGACTTGTCCACCCTTGTCCCCTCATTTAGATGACTTGTCCACCCTTGTCCCCTCATTTAGATGACTTGTCCACCCTTGTCCTCTCATTTAGATGACTTGTCCACCCTTGTCCCCTCATTTAGATGACTGGGCCACCCTTGCCCCCTCATTTAGATGACTTGTACACCCTTGTCCCCCTGTTTAGATGACTGGGCCACCCTTGTCCCCTCATTTAGATGACTTGTACACCCTTGTCCCTCATTTAGATGACTTGTACACCCTTGTCCCCTCGTTTAGATGACTGGGCCACCATTGTCCCTCATTTAGATGACTTGTACACCCTTTTCCCCTCGTTTAGATGACTGGCCTACCCTTGTCCCTCATTTAGATGACTGGGCCACCCTTGTCCCCTCATTTAGATGACTTGTCCACCCTTGTCCCTCATTTAGATGACTGGGCCACCCTTGTCCCCTCGTTTAGATGACTGGGCCACCATTGTCCCTCATTTAGATGACTTGGCCACCCTTGTCCCCTCATTTAGATGACTTGTACACCCTTGTCCCCTCATTTAAATGACTTGTACACCCTTGTCCCCTCGTTTAGATGACTGGCCTACCCTTGTCCCTCATTTAGATGACTGGGCCACCCTTGTCCCCTCATTTAGATGACTTGTCCACCCTTGTCCCTCATTTAGATGACTGGGCCACCCTTGTCCCCTCGTTTAGATGACTGGGCCACCATTGTCCCTCATTTAGATGACTGGGCCACCCTTGTCCCCTCATTTAGATGACTGGGCCACCCTTGTCTCCTCATTTAGATGACTGGGCCACCCTTCTTTTTTGTACATATCAATCTAGCAGTGAATGCTTTAGCTGATTAATACATTTAGGCCTATAAGGAAGAGAATTTATGAATTTATGTATTTATCCCAACATGATACAGATATAACATCAAGGACAATATTCCAGGAACAGCAGCTGCATCTGACACAACACAAGTGATGGATATGAGGCATATATTTATTAAGGCAAAGGTCGGACATTGTGTCCACAGAAGACATACAGCTTTGACCATTGTGAGGAACAGTTGCATAGCTTCAGGACAAGTTGCTGTTGACAAGATAGGAGTAACGGTAGCACTAAGCAATGGTGATGACATGTCAATAATAAAAAGAATGATGGTATCGGTGGACAGGCTTCATGACAAATGACAGATACAATGTATGTATTTCCACTGGCCTGATCACAGAAGTGACAGTAAGCACTGTTAGAAGTTAACATGAAGCATCATTAGCCCTGTGGAACATATGGATGTTAGAGACCTTTCTCAGATGAATATCGGACAAAACAGACGTGGATCCAGGATTTTGAAAAAGAATTGGGTGCACACTTGACCCAAGTGAACAAAAATACCATGATAGGCTGGTATGTTAGGGGTGGAGATTTTTACATCCCCTGTACCCTTCTGGATCCAACAGCAAAACCATTACTACTGGAATAGCAAGTTGATAGATAGCAAGATGAATTTTCTGACAAACTGACAAGTACTCGCATTCATCGTGTGTGCTGAATTCAAGCCACTTTCATAACGTCGAAAAGTCACACACATGTAAAAATTTCAAATATCCATCAAATAAAGTGACCTCTTACAATCCACTAGATGTTGAAAATGTTCTCTTGGCAAGCTTGGCTAGCGTTAATCTAACTTTGTGCTACTGATGCAGGGAGTTATCATCCACTGGCAGTGACTGGCTCATGTCATGCGCACTTATTGTAGTTGAGAGTCACATACACTGTAGCTTGAGAGAATCCACTAGACTCAGCATCAGATCTCAAATGTCCTGTCAAAATAAGTATAGTATCTCAGTCCCCGTTTACAGATGACAAGAGAGACACTCAAAGAAGGAAATGTGTATTGCACTCATAAACATTAGGACATGTCCTTTACCATGGTTACATCCATAACAACGCCACTATCGATCACACAGGCACATTGTTCCCGACAAAAAGGGACAGTGATGCACCAGCAGCCATATTCAAGGTGTCCTGTCAACTTATCCAAATACAGCTTAAAATTTGGGGGGTTCACATGACTTTCAACGAATAGGTTGGAATTTGAATATTGAAATCAAAATTGAATTTAATAAACTTACATTGGTAGAACCGAGAATCAAGATTTAAAACTAAGAATCAGAAAGTTGTTATATTTTCGTAAGATAGGTCACATGCAGGCTATTGTTTCAACTTCATGCACGTGGTTGTCATTGTAAACATAACAAGTTTGGTCTCATACTGCCTTTACCAATATTCCAGCAATATTACGACAGGAACACCCGAATTGGACCATACTCTGGGGAATCAAAACCCGGGCCTACGACATGAAGAGCGAACACATTCACCACTTAACACACACCCAATAGATATTATGAAATGACCCCACCTACATCCTTGGTGCATCACTGGTTTGACGTGGACAGCTGATTATCGTGACTCCCATAGCAAGTGCAGGCTGCAAGTGAACAGGTATATTTTGCCTCACCATATGTAAAGCATTCTACAAGCACCCAACTGCCACGAAATAACTGAATGAACACACATTTTCCGAGATAAAAAGCATATATATATGTATATAGTACAAATGTTGCAGGTAAAGAAAACAGAATTATCAAAACCTATCTCAGATGTGTACAGCATGTAACAGCTTGAAACAATGAAAAATGCCCATGGTAAGAAAAAGAATTCAAAGCATTATAAGTCGAGCACTGCCAAATACTTGCACTTGTAAAATGTCTAAAAATCATCAGTTAGATAGGACTTAGTGTTCCCGTACAAAACAGGTCAAAATTGGACCAGCTGAACAGACAGTTGATATGCTATTGACATTCAGTTGTACTCGGAATCTAATCCAAAAAATACAATTTACCAATGAAACCAACACGGAAAGAAAGCTGTTAAAAATAGTGCAATGTTTATCAACACGATCAACATCTAACATTTTGCACAATTACTTACTCTCAACAAATTCTGGCATACTGTATTTAAATAAAAATATGTAGCAAAATATTTTGATGTTAAATCATTCTGAAAGACTGTACTGTCAAGGGAAATGTACATCAAAATTGAAATATGTATATGCTACAGGCTGACAGCCAGCAGTGTCCCTGGATTCGGAGTTGTTGGTTGTGTCACAATCATGATGGACTGAGTATCGGATGCTGTGAGCTACGGAAGTATAAACGCTTCGAAATAATACTTCACTTTTGAAAAAAACATACATATTACTTTTATACCTTGAAACTTCATCATGAAAGTTCACCAACGGGAATGACAAAGATCCATGATTAAAAATGTGGTTACCGTGGTTACATGAATATGTACTTTAGCTTAAAACATAGATATGTGGTCATTATGGGACTAAGCAAAGTTCGTATCGCAGTCAATAAAGGGACTCTTGAGATCGTAGATTCAGACAGGAGGACATTCAAACATCGATTCAATGTACCAGGCTGTTAATGTTATAGGTGCTTGCCAGGTCAGGAAACCAAGAAACTGCTTTCTGAATGACAAATTATTACCTTATATTCAGATTTTACTTATTCGTTGTGTCAAATTCCACATTTATCACCATGCAGTGTTTGACAAAGCCATAGAACAGCTTCCCATAGAGTCCCCTTAATGGCCGCCAGATGACTATTGTCACAGTATGCATACATCATTATGTAGACATGCAATATGTAGAACATAGTGTCTCAATAACCAGCAGCATCAAACAGACAGAACTAAAATATGTAACAGGGCTTAAAGAATATAAAACTGTACATTTCATACACAGTAGCTTCATTGATAGCTCAGTTTTCCCAGTCCTTCTTTATTTCCATTCCGAACTGCCACTCCAAGTAATTGTTCTTATCGTCATCTGTGAATTGACTTTTGATGGTGTACGTCCCTCGAGCCAGCATTCCTGAGGGGACATCTTCCAAGGATGTTGTGTAGCAGTTGAGGTCCTTCTTAGGACCGTAGCTGCCGACCATCATCTTCATGTTCTCGACTGGAAGAAGAGGGGATGGAGACGATAAGTATGGCATCTTCAAACTTACAGAACAAAACTGTTCATAGACGTTGATAAATTTTTAATGCTACAGTCGGAAATGTTGTAGCTGTACAATGGCAACCCGAACATGAGGATTGATCAACTATTTCAAATCTATAACCATGCTAACACTGCTAGTCATCAGACAAAGAAAATCAATTCTAGTAGAGCATTCCCCAAACTAAAAGCCCTGGTGAGTCTTGGTTAGAATAGATCCCCAACAACCTATGCTAGTTGTAAGAGGCAACTAAATAGTCTGCAACCTTAGCCACTAGTCCAAAGCCTGAGACTGGTAAAATTCTGTTCAGCCTTGTAAGCTCAGCTAATAATGGTTCAAATGATAACACTAAAATGAACCAAAAAAGATGTGAAGAGACGAATTCGGGCTAGAATGAAATGTTTTTAGCACAGACTGCTAAATGGAGCTGATGGTCACACTCAGTGACTTGGTTGATTGCATGTCCTCTGATTATTTACACGCACCGCGACCCGTGAAGATCCAGGGTAGAAAAGGTCTTCAGCAACCCATGCTTGCCAAAAAAAAAGCGACTATGCTTGTCATAAGAGGCAACTAATGGGACCAGATAATCAGGCTCCCTGACTTGGTTGATGCATGTCATCGTATTCCAATTGTGTGGATGGATGCTCTTGACGTCAATCACTGGATTGTCTGGTCGAGACTCGATTATTTACAGACCGCCGTAATATAGCCCAAATATTGCGGAGTGTAGCGTAAACAACAAACAAACAAAACAAAACATGCATCGCTGTTATATATAGCTGAAATGATGCTGAGTGGAGCATTAAATAACAAACATTAAAAAAGCACAAACCATACTCACCCTTTATTCCTTTCCTGACGATTTTCTGTTTATACACCAGGCCGCTGACAATTTCTCTTTGCACAAAAAAGTAGATTTTTATCTTATATTGTGTTCCTTCTTTTACAATAAATGTTCTCAGCTTGGACAGGTCACCTGTGAACAAACAACAATACCATCATACAATAATGGTATTTGGATACAAGAAAATAGTATGGGCAGAGATGTCAGACATTAGATGTCATGCTTTCACAACAACAAAAACAACTGGCTCATTTTGCTGGAAGGATGTCAAAAAAATAAAATCACTTGTAATAGCTGTATTTGTCAACATGGTCAAATATTATCAAACTGAATCATATTATACAATGACAACACATAACCAACTCTTAACTCGAAATCAGACTCCCATCTCCACACACATCAAATGGGATTCAAGGCTGTTTGACAACATTGTTTTGTTTGATTATCTCATGCCTAAATACCAAGAACGACTTAATTTTTATTTTTCCGGTCATGTTGCCAAATATGACAAAAACTCAAATACATGTTTTTAAAGTGTTTCAGAATATAAATACAATAAGCCACTAAGAAAACACACAATGATAAGGATAATAACTTCTGGTTTATTGCACATAGCGATGTTTCAATTTTGAATCTTACACAGCTTGATAACAGTGTAAGAATCTGCATCAAAACATTGCAATATGTAATAAAGCAGAAGTTGTTATCCATAAGTTGCATGTTCTGCAGCTAACTCACCAACTTCTACAATGCACATCAAACAGTTACAATATGCCACGTTGCACATTTTCAAATTTGTCGAAGAGAGCAAAAGTAATCATCACGAACATGCTCATTAAAAATCCTGAACATTTCTGGGCCATAAATCCTGCATAAAGCCAATAATATGTAGGTAGAACATAAAAAAAAATCAACTTTTGTCACATAAGTAAGAAAGAGGTTTCCTACCTGAGAGATCCATCTCTATTTCTGGCCGGCCCTCTGAGCAGAAAGCCAGTTTTTCTACAATAACATTGCGGGGATCATCAGGCCCTGAAAGCAATGTGAAAACAAACATGACAAGAAAACAGCAATATCACTATCTCCTGCCATCGGGCACATTAGATTTTGAGGTGTTTACCAATGTTACCTCAATGCTTATTTTCTAAAAGTATGCACTGCAAACAGGATGCACAAAATCTAAAGCATGGAGAAGGGAAGGTAAATACAGAAAAAATTGATAATTATGGCATCAGTTCTTTAACTCATCTTGACAATTATGTCACAGATCAGCAAGCAAATTGGCTATAGCTGTGCATACACAAAATCTAAAAACATGTAGCAAGGGAAGTAACTCTGGAAAACAATAATTTATGGCACCAGTTTTCAAACTCAGTCTTGATAAGTATCTTTTAAATATGTTTCATTCATGCAACTTCAGTAGTTTCTGAGAAAACTTGTCCCCATTTCACACATGTATGCACAAATAAAAGTATGAAGCAATGGAGCACTGATGAAATGTATGCATGTTCGCGTTCCCTTTGTGATCAAATCGTATAGTACCAACTCTCAATGATGGTTCTTCCCCAAACTGCCACCTCGCACTAACCATATCCACACCCTTGTTCCTTTTCTCCATGCTTCGACCAGACTAATGTTTGTGCTTGTATTTTGGATTCTTTGGACCAAATTGGTTGGCGGGAAAAGAACTACCTTGAATATGATAAACATTTCCTAACATATGGGGTAACCAAAACCAACTTCTGCATCTCCAGGAAGCAAACCTTCTTGAAGCCATAAATCCGACCGAGCAGGGCATGTGGCCAGGACAATCAATGAGAAATCCCCAATTGTGTCCGGAGGCTTCATTTCAGCTATTTTTTTAAGCAGTGTTAAGTTGCCAGTTGTTCTGTTTTCATGTTGTTTGAAAGTTTTTGCTCAAGCACTTTGTCAAAAATGAGAAACCCAACAACAAATTCACAAACCTCAACCAGCTTCAACTGGACACCATATTCAGTTACTCACAAATGTACATGCGGCAATAATCAAAAAGTGATTTCATTTGCAGCAGCCGTCCAATGAAATTATTTACATTTCTGCTTATGGCAAGTGATAATGGTAGGAGAGTTGCTTCCCTTCAACTAGTCATGCAGCAATTTAAATTTAAAAAAAATAAAATTACATTGTCATTTCTTTTATATAATTATATTTTCTTCAAATCAGGGAAGTCGGTCAGATCCATAATACAAGAACAAAACTTATTCTGGCAAAAATAGATACTGTACTATGCTAATCAACAAACCCACCTACAATATCAATAAACTGTGTTATAGACAATGATCATTTCCCAGATGAGCTTCAATTCTGTTATTCCACCCAGCTCTTTCATTGGCTTCCTCCTTTGGTACTAATCTAACTTCTCGTAAATATATTCTGCCTGTATTTAATCAACATGTACTAGTTCAGTCACGGTTGTGATGAAGGTGCAAAAACTGATTTTCTTCACCTGTTTCAATCTACCCTGTTACACTATTTAGTATTCTCGGACCATGATCAGATCCTATTTCCTTCCAGATTACACAACTGAAATTAGAGGTAAAGTAGACATACTTGGTGGATCAGAGACTTCCCCTAGCAAGGTCTTCTTGTACTTCTGTAAGCTCTCATCATCCTCATCCAACTTCTGGATCTCAGTCAGAGTCTTCTGTGCAGGTGGCCTGTAGTTAGGATTGTCCGTGTCATCATCACCAACTTCTTGAATGGGATCTTCATTTTGTTCTGCCATTTTCCTGAAGAAACATGGACAATATGAGGGCACTAGCCAATTTGTTTAATGTCAAAACTAGTTCACATGCTTGAACATGAGTCTCTGTGCGTGCGTGTCCTTATATGTTATCACTATTCAGCATTGATTCAGGACAGTTAATGTTCAGGGTTATATGCATCACTGAATATCACAACTGAATACACTGCTCTATTTTCAATCTTTCATGAATAGTATGTAGTTGCTACTTCAGCGTTTGATCGTTCTTGCTGTAAAAGTATAAAACCGCTCATATATAAAGGACATGGCTTATTGTGTGTCATCAAACGCTGAGTGAGTGGACAGTTGCTCACAATATCAATTCTGGTTTGCCTTTTCAAGTCCGCTGTCACATACTGTATTCGACGTAATAAGCGCCTAGGGCGCTCTCAAAATTGGAACGAGGGGGCTCTTATTAGAATATTTATTTAGTGAAAACAGAGTTAAAAGATAAATTTCGTGTTTTATGCTGACAGCCTGAAATGTTTATGTACGACCGATATATTTTTCCAGAATTTAATTGCCCATAATTAAGTGTGCATATATCACATGAGTGCGTATTATAAGCGAATGAATAAGTCTTGGGTACATTGATCAATAGGAAGGGGTGCTAATTAGGATTGTTCATGGGCCAATATATTAGCAAATATTGCCGTGGGCGCTTATTAGAGCGGGGCGCTTATTACGTCGAATACGGTAACTGGAATATAGCTGAGTATGACGATAAACATATATTCAAGATGTTCAAAGTCTGTTGAAATTTTTTGGTGTTCAGAAAACAAAGGAACAGTTACAGTGTTATCAACTGAAATAAGACACTGCTGACAAAGTAAGTGCCAGACAGACCTACAGCACTGGAATAATTGGTATTAAATTGAAGGTTATGGAAAGATGCAAGGTATCAAATCAAATCTATTCCTAATGTTAAATACACAATGTTTTGTCAGGTCAAAATACCATTTCAATCTTTTGTGTTAATTCAACATGTTAAAATTTTACTTAAACGTGTTAAGGGCAAAATGCAATGAGCAATGTGGCTTTGGCTGAAACAGGTTTGACCAATTTTATTTTTTTAAGCACTAGGCTTGATGAACATGAAGTATCCAATTAGAATTCAAAGATCATTGATAGTTGCCACTAAACAAATGTTCAAATTTGAAACAGAGATTTTGATAATGAAACATTTGCAACAAATCACACAGGTATTTGAAAGCCAAAAATCAAAGCAGATTCTAAAGTTAACCAGATTGTAACTATATCCTATATCATGTCAATCCAACTATAAGGACATACATGCATAGGATTTTTGTTATTTGATATGGTATTGTGATAGAAAGGTAACACTATCATATGTCTTCTAGTAAACATACATTGACCATGGAAAAAAAGTTTCCCATTAGCAATTCATTATTAAAATGAGTGATGGTAACATTTTTTATTACCTTTCCATAGCCATTTCAGGGTTAGAAATTGGCACTAGTCCTATAGTCCTTAACAAACTTCCCAATAGTTAAGGTATCATAAGGACTAAAAGAAAATTGCCATTTTTAAGGGTTTTGCTACATGTTATCATTATAAGGACTAGTGGTCTAAAACTGTTAGTTTCTAACGCTGCCTTTGTGACAATATTCAGTTTTAAACATGCAGAGCTTACATAGTATTGTGGTGCATCTCGATTGTAGAACTTTCATTGCCTAAGCATTCTGTTTGTAACCATTCATAAATAAATAGAACTGTTTGTTTATTGTCCTGTCACTTTTGGCTCCACAAGTCCTTGTTAGAAATTGGCACTCGTCCTGTAGTCCTTGCCAAACTGCCCAATAGTTAAAGTATCTTGAGGACTAGTAGACATTTGCCATTTTAAGGGTTTTGCGCTATGTTATCATTAAAAGGTCCAGTGGACTAAAACTATTAGTTTCTATCACTGCAACCACTTTCAGTTTGTCAGCGAATATAACATCTTGTTTCATGTATACATTCAATCAATGAAACACATTTCTGTAGACAGACAGAACAAATCCTTTCAAAATGTGTGTGTGTGTGTGCGTATCTTGTCTTGTGCTGAAGTGTCCAAAGTTACACAACAATGTATACAATAGGTTTTGTTGATTACAACATGCACCCCTTGTATTATTCAGGTAGTAAAGATGTCTAAACAAATGATTTACACCTCCCTGGCCTGCACATGACTTAAAACTCTTTACAGGTGAGGTGAAATTGGGTTTAACGTTGCGTCCAAGATTATTGCACTTATATAGCGACGTGCATGCAAGTGTGTGTGTTTGTGTGACTGCTTGTACTAGACCGAACTGAAGCCGATTTATAGTGCTAGCCCACTGAGATACCATGCCGCAGTTTAACATGAATACCCCATTCAGACACAGTATACTGACTCCGAGCCGACCAGTCCTTGCTTTAACCCCTTAATGCTGAGCGCCAGACAGGGTAACAACAAGTAGCATTTTTTAACGTCTTTTGGTTTGACATGGCCGGGGATCGAACCCTCGACCTTCCGCTCTCCGGGCGGACGCTTTACCACTAGACCATGGAGGCGGTCCAAAGCTCTTTACAGCAATACCCTAGGTTCTATGACTAAAGCACTAGATATCAGACAGCGAATGTGACATCCACTGGACAGAACTTATTAGCTGTTATTTGCTCAGTTAAAGACAGCTGCAAGTGTTAAGGGATGACAAACATTTAATTATTTTAGAATTGATTTTCAAGGAATATATGCCATAAAACATGTTAAAGTATGTGGGTTATTATTTCATAATTGATATAATCATGTTATAATCAGGTAATCAAACCATATGATCGATATCACTGAAAACATCTCTTTGAGCATGCTTAGCATAAAAGCATCAGGGACTTACCTAGGATTCTAAAGGAAGTGCCCTGGGCAGGAACATTTGGATTAATTCATCATTTTGTACAAACTCGTTCCTAACATTGCATTAAGCGTATTAATGTCAAACTAACATTAAAGCCTCTTTATCTTTAGTGATATATGAATTAGCACTTAAAAGCCGTAACATTAGATATAACTATATCAACATGAAGTGGAATTTAATTATTTCATTTGGGGAATTTTGACTGATATTTGCTGCAGACTTGGGGCTGAAAATAGGTCTCTGAGCAGGTCTAGATAAATCCCTGTGCACGATTTGAAGCTCTGCAATATCATGTTCAACATGGGCAAATGTGTGAGACTATAGTGAGTGAGTGAGTATGGTTTAACGCCGCCTATAGCAATATTCCAGCAATAGCACACAGCTGGGGACACCAGAAATGGGCTTCACACATTGTACCCATGTTGGGAATTGAACCCAGGTCTAGGTTGTGACGAGTGAACGCTTTAACCACTAAGCTACTTGACCACCCTTTGTGAGACTATAAATGTATGGCAGGGACAGACACAGCCACAAGTCTGAGACAACTCATCACAACTGACAAGTTAAAATCTAGACCAAGCTGGAGCAGTTGTTTACTCCAAAGGCTACTTTACACTAAATAAGCTGCAGGCTAGTGATATGATGAATGGTGTCTGTGCTTCTGCATAGACACGCTTTATTCAACTGATTATTTGGGGAGTGCATATGAACCTGATAAATTTCTTATTTGAAGTTAATGATCTTTCGGATACTTAGCACACAATACTTAGAAGCCTGAATCAAATGCCTTGTTGAAACTGATGAACTATTTCAGTTAATACTATGGTTAAGTTGTGCAAAGTATGAGCCTTATTTATATTAATGAGTTATACTTCATGTACTTGGTCATGTATTGGTTTCCTGGTAAGATGTTTATCCTTTACCAAGTTTAGCCTGAATCAAATGCCCTGTTGAAACTGATGAACTATTTCAGTTAATACTATGGTTAAGCTGTGAGTGAGTGAGTATGGTTGTTGCCGCTTTTAGCAATATCACGACGGGGGACACCAGAAATGGGCTTCATGCATTGTACCCATGTCGGGAATCAAACCCGGGTCTTCGGCGTGATGAGCGAACCCTTTAACCACTAGGCTACCCGACCGCCCCGGTTAAGCTGTGCCAAGTATGAGCCTAATTTATATTAATGAGTTATACTTCATGTACTTGGTCATGTATTGGTTTCCTGGTAAGATGTTTATCCTTTACCATGTTCAGCCTGAATCAAATGCCTTGTTAAAACTGATGAACTATTTCAGTTAATACTATGGTTAAGCTGTGCCAAGTATGAGCCTAATATTTATTAATGAGTTATACTTCATGTACTTGGTCATGTATTGGTTCCCTGGTTAGATGTTTATCCTTTACCAAGTTTAGCCTGAATCAAATGCCCTGTTGAAACTGATGAACTATTTCAGTTAATACTATGGTTAAGCTGTGAGTGAGTGAGTATCGTTTTTGCCGCTTTTAGCAATATCACGACGACGGACACCAGAAATGGGCTTCATGCATTGTACCCATGTCGGGAATCAAACCCGGGTCTTCGGCTTGATGAGCGAACCCTTTAACCACTAGGCTACCCGACCGCCCCGGTTAAGCTGTGCCAAGTATGAGCCTAATTTATATTAATGAGTTATACTTCATGTACTTGGTCATGTATTGGTTTCCTGGTAAGATGTTTATCCTTTACCATGTTTAGCCTGAATCAAATGCCTTGTTAAAACTGATGAACTATTTCAGTTAATACTATGGTTAAGCTGTGCCAAGTATGAGCCTAATATTTATTAATGAGTTATACTTCATGTACTTGGTCATGTATTGGTTCCCTGGTTAGATGTTCATCCTTTACCATGTTTAGCCTGAATCAAATGCCTTGTTGAAACTGATGAACTATTTCAGTTAATACTATGGTTAAGCTGTGCCAAGTATGAGCCTGATATTTATTAATGAGTTATACTTCATGTACTTGGTCATGTATTGGTTTCCTGGTAAGATGTTCATCCTTTACCATGTTTACTTCCTCATCTACTCCACAAGGAAGACAAGTGACAATCTATCAACAGAGATTACAACCATTAATCATCTCTTTGTTACAGTATTTGGCAATATTGCAATGGTATGCTCGACAGGGGAAGAATTTGCTTTTTGATGGATAGGGAAAACAAATTGTCATTTGATCAGGTTGATGGCATAGGTTAAACTTTAAAAATGAAATGACAGGAGTTTGTTGATGTATACTGCTCCAAAGGAGCCAAAGAAACCTGATTCTTTCATATTACTCTTGTAATTTGTCATGAAAGTCAAGGGGTTCTTGTCAATGACTCATAAGCTCATTGTCAAAAGTTCAGGATTTAGGAAGTCATCCTTTAAGAGCAACCCTCAATGGCCTTAAATTCAAACTCAGTAAGTAGCACAATCAGCAATGTCATTGACAATTATTGATTGCATAGTTTAACAGAAAACAGGCAAAGAAGCAGAAGGCGATCCTTATTACTGACAGGTCATATTAAAAGTATCATACGAGATGCATCTGCTAGCCTGCAGGGTAACCTGACAAAATTCATAAAAGCTATGTGGTAGTTCATCATTATGTCATAAGGTGATCACTATCAACTTATTACCAGGTTTTATATACCATGTTAGTTTGATAAGACTATTTTTTGTAAATAGGGCAATGAAACAGAAAAGATGACTGCTTGCATTTTTGTATGGCTAATGTGATTAAACCTCGAAATTGATATCAAATCAATTCACAACCATAGAAAATTGGACATCAACATAAAAAAGTTTTGGGAAAAAGTCCCATAATGGATTGCTGTAACCTCATCAGTGACATCCATCGAACAACCTTTCATGAACTTTGACCAATGAAATGACGAACAAGAAGTCGACATTTGCTCATCAGAAAGCAGCTTTCTCAAGCTATATGGCACGAGTTTCAAACTGATGATTTCCACTCCTGACTATGCTTTGAAAAATATCTGGATAAACTTCTTGATTCAAAATTTGAAAACTGAACAAAAGAACATTTGGGAATGTTGGCTGAGATTGCAAGGCAGTACTTTCCATGGGCTATGTAAAGTCTTTTCCATTCAAATGTTTATCCCATTGATGCAAGAGATAGATACTGATTTTGATGGAATCAGTCTTTCTGCGTGTAAATGTCATTCTGAGTTAACTTTTCTGAGGTTGCATGATTAGAAAACAAATTCCGATTGGAACTTTCCTGATTTGGTAAGAGAAGCTCTGATTGGTTGGATGAAAGGTCATTCTGATGTCTTCAGATCTTTCTTCAGCAGTAACATGAACTAAGATCTGATTTTAATGAGATTGACATTTTCAACAATAACATGGTATTTTTCATTAACTTTAGAAACTATAAATTACAGTTAGAAAGAAAGCATTTAATTCAAGATGTTGTGTTCAGGGAGAGCCCCCAAACACATAATTATTTTAGCAACACGACTAAAAATAGGTAACTTATAAACTGTTAAACTATAAACTCTTGAATGCATGCATCCTTACCAAAATTGTGGAAAGCATCCAGTTAAGTGCATTCTGCCTCAACATGATCAAAGGTACATATTATCAACGACTGTGATGAACTTGATGAGATTGAAAAGGTTTCGAGGGACATCACACATACCATTCATTCAAAACCTGCACAATTACCTTCCTTGGTTTTAGCGCTTAAAGGATAATCATACAAACTATTTAACTATTAAGGTTTAATAGTTTTGTAAGGATTGATTATAACACAACACACCATTGTGGACATATTGTTGTATACTCATAGCAAGACAAAATATATATAGATGAAACCTTTCATTATAAGTCTATATAATCACATGCTATGATAACAACTGATACCCATTAATGAGAAAATTATGTTTCACACTAAACATGCTAAATAATTTTAAATAACATTACAAGATAGTAACATGGTATGATAAACAACAAGTAAAGTTAATGTCTAACAGTCCACTTAAGAGAATATAAAATGAAGAAATAATCTTATCAACTTTATCTTGACGCCCAACCCAGACTTGAGCGTACGGACATGCCTCTTTAATTTGCATAAGTTATTTACAACACATATATCTGAAGGCAAAGGCCCAGTAACAAAATCATATAATGAACCCGTCACATGTAATAAGAAATGGTGTGCTACATACGTTACAAAAAAGCTACTCTAACCATTTATATTGTTATAATCTTAAGAATGTGCAAGTGTTCGTGCCAGTTGCAACTACTTCACTGACTCATACACTGTCGCCGGCTCATAAGATATGAGTAAGATCGCCATGAAATAATTATTTTTGTTCTAGAAATATTATCCAGTGATAACATGCTATGCATTTACACTGCATACATCAAAAAATGTTATGTAGTTATCATATTACACACGCGTTATATACCAAACTTACCCAAAGCTCACAAAGCAATGAACCGACACCTTCGATGAATGGCGGATAAAATCACTTCCGGTTAGAGCGGAGGGATACAGAATGTAGTCCACGCTGAGTTTTTTTAACAGAAAGGGGATGCTTTTGCATTTTCATCAGAAACATCTACAGTAACACTTACTAGTTAATAAGTTACATTGCATTTTGAAGTAAACAGGTCGAAACGTATTGTTGTGATTTCACCTTTGACCTCTTGAAGTTTGAGGAAGCACATGTTGTGCAGCTGAGGGTGCGAGTCAGCGCAATTTGGCCTCTAATGCTTGACACATGACCAACAACGGTAAGGCTTTTGTCACGCTAGAACATGTTGACTGCGCAAGCCAACAACAAATTTGACAACAACAAGAGGCAACAATAATAAATCATGGATTTTTTTATATGCTAAGTACCGAATATCTAGATCTACAATCATTTGACATAAAGCACTGATAAAGTGATATGCTTTTCGGCTGAGTAATCACCGAATCAGCTTTTCCTCGAACGTTTGTCTACATTCCAAGGTCACTTTAAACCAGGAAGAAATACGCACCGTTGCTATCGTTGGGACATGTCAATACAATTGTGTCACTGAAAAGGTGAAGCCTATCGGTGAGGGGGGAGTGGTGGTGGTCGGGGGTCTCAACAGGTAACACACAACCAAATGTTTTCCCCACAGGCCCCTGAAGCAGGATAGTGATATTACTTGGTTGGTTGGTTGGTTGGTTTGTTGTTAAACGCCGCACTCAGCAATATTCCAGCTATATGACGGTGGTCTGTAAATAATTGAGCCTGGACCAGACAATCCAGTGATTGATGTCATGAGCATCGATCCACACAATTGGGATCGATGACATGCATCAACCAAGTCAGCGAGCCTGACCACCCGATCCTGTTAGTCGCCTCTTACGACAAGCATAGTCGCCTTTGACGGCAAGCATGAGTTGCTGAAGACCTATTCTACCCCAGAATCTTCACGGGTCTAGTGATATTACTGAAACACCGGACCCATATATTAGGGATCCTAGCTAGACGATTGTGTAATGTTGCCTTCTGATGAATAAAAAGAAGACCACTATTAGATCTACCATTGAAAATAAGTTTCATCGAAAAGAAAAATTAAATATACGTTCATTGCGGGATAAATGACTTTGATAGGTGTTGAGAATTAACTGTTAATTGAATGAATGGGGGGTAACTCTTGTGTCTGTCTGTTGTAGTCGGCTTTTTCACTCCCCTGAAAAAAATACCAAAACAGATTTTAGTACTGAAATAATGCAATTAATCTTTTCATTAAATCTGTTTTTACCTCAGTACACAATAAGAATTACTTTGAATAATGAGAAAGCAATGTTTTAAGAATAATGAAAAACACCAAACTTCGACCAAACGAGTCCATGGACCACCACTGTATGGAGCTCAGGGGCGCGTACACTAAAATATATTATATCCCCTTACTTTCTTGACAACTTATCTTATAGCAGTTCATGCCTTATGCACCTCAATTGAATGGAATATGAACTCACTGTTTGGAAAATTATGCAGATAATGTAGGACTTTAAATCATACCTTCACCACACAGTATGGATATTTTTATCTACCAAACTTAATAAAATAAAGCCACCATGTCTCATCACCATCCTCTCACCAAACCAGTTACTACAAAGTGCAAGTTTTTAATATAAAACTGATGCACAAATATTAAGGGTGTATATGAATAATGGGTATCTCTGCCTCCTTCTGTAAGCATAATGTTTACGGGTATGTATATCTTGGTGTATGTGTGTAAATATGTGTATGTATATATATGTATGCATGCGTACACAAGGGTATATGTGTATGTATGTAGTGTGTGTATGTGTGCATATATGTACATGTATATAAGTGTATGTATGATTGTGTAATTATATATGTAGTCTTGCATATATTTTGGATTAATGTGTATATACAAGTAAATTGTGTTTATATAGGCATTTCTTATTGCTTATGTATGTCTATGTTATTCTTGCAAACATTATGTTGATGTTCTTGTGTAAATATATTTCTGTATGTTACTATAAATGTAATATGTGCATATGTTTATGAGTATGTGTATGTATGTGAGGATGTATGATTATGTGTATATATGATTATGTGTATATGTTTGTATTTCTGTATACACAGAGCTCCAGATAAGCTGCGTATCTGCGTAAAATACGCATCAGAAATGCAGTAATACACAGTAAAATAAAATTTAAGTGTATCAAATACGCAACGAACATTACAGCTACAAAAATAAAACTTGTGTGTATCATCAAAATATTGTGAAGTAACCCTGCGTATTCGATTAGCAAATCAGCAACTTATTTTGAAATTATAAACAGGCATTCCGTCAACCTTGCCAAACTCCACGATGACAGTTACATCACGAGATTTGCCATCACACTTTCTTGTGGAAGTTTCATGGTATTTTTGAGTCCTATAAAGCTCTCGAACCCACACGACACCAGTTTGCAGGGACTAGATAAATAGTGTTTTTAAATATTTAACTTAAATACCCACATGGGTAAAAACTAGTGGGTAACAGAAATTTGAATACCCAGATAGAATTACTGATACCCAATGATTTTAAAATGCATGGGTAAAATACCCACAACACCAAAAGCTTATCTGGAGCTCTGGTATACATATGTATATATGTGTATATATATGTATAATCAATGTCTGTACATATAGAGTAGGGAAAGGGCCACCTAAGTTGGATAACTTTTGCCCAATCCCGTTGACCATATATGTCAATAAAATATGTTTAAAACAAACATGGCGTCATTTCTGTGAATCGAATATGCACTCGCAACTTGATGACGTCATATATTGGATGACATTATGTTTTAGAGGGAAGTGTCCGGTGAGTTGTTCCCAATGGATGTAGCTGAGCTACACAGATAAAGGCAGTGGCAGAACGACCACATCCAAAAATGCTGGACATATGACAATCAGTATTAGGAGAAATGGTACAGATAATCGACATGAGGATTGCGAGAATATGCGGGAAATACCAAACGTAAAATGGACTTGTTTGACATTTCGGTGGACAGTTTCTGTTCAGGGAGTCATTATTATTAAAATTTGGGTGAATATTTTTAAAACTTGTACTGTTTATCAACATCCTTCAAGAGGCAGTTCATAATGTTGATATCTTATATAAGAAATAAACGACTAGTGGTCGTTGTTTATCGTACAATAAAACACTGCTGCACCCTCCATGGTTTGTTCTCCCTGCAGTGTTTTATTGTACGATAAATACCTCACAATCGTTTATTTCTTAAATACAATCACTTTTATACAATATGTACATTTGATTTATGCGATCAACAGATGCCCTTACATGAAATTAATACATCCTATGTACATATAGCTAATAAGAATAGCACAATACCACACGGCTGTCAAAGTTTCCTTTTCTGTTTGCCAAGACCATCCTGCATACTTTATTACTATATTAAACACATCCCTGTATTTATGTTGTTATTCACAACTTAACATCGAAATCATATTAAGCGACTTAGTATGATATTTAATATGTACGTACCAAATACAAAATATTGCTTTTTCTATTTTCTTATGACTAAAAACTGTAAGTATACGCATTTATATAAGATAAGGATCTATACTGAAACATAGTTTTTACAGTAATTAAAGACGTTGTTATCCGTAAATTGTATCTATTCAAATTCATGAAATAGTTTACGCACCCATCTCTCGAACCTCCAATCCCTCCCCCACACAAACAAAATCACTCGCGTGTCAATGGACAGCATGCTAGCAGAAAGCTTTCCATCAACATGATCAAGGGAGCCTATGGTGGCCCCTTTGCCTAAAATGCCACAATTTTCTGTGCAGATTTTTGTCCCTTAAGCATGCTAGAATCCATGATCATATCTTCGAGTCCCAGATTCTCCTTTATTCTGAGTGTTGGTTTGTCTGCACCATACCAATGTTTCCCCTTGATGGGAAATGTCCAAGACCTGCATCACTTTTCCGCCAACATTAAGTTCACGCAGGGATTTTTCTAGGATTCCAAACTATGTTCCCTTGGCAATTTTGGAAGAAAAAACCCATTTAGTTCAAAACTGGGATTGTTGTTGATGGTCTTATTTTAACATTCTATTCAATATCATAGTCACATATTGGTGTAAAAGTAAGCATCAAAGCCTCTTTGATCCTCTTTTTGGTCTCAGATGTGCAACAATTTGGTAATGTATACAGTAGGGCTTGGACGAGTCCCAATTTACTACCCAGGTCCCGGGCCCCCCATTACCCTACCCTACCCGGGTACCCATTGTAGGTCTCAAGTGGGGTACAAAGTGTTCATTTGGGAACTGTTTTGCCGGGGCCCTGGCAAAAAGTTTTTAGATACAGTATAAAATGATCTGATCGTGCATACACTGAAGTTGACTGAAGCTTTGTCTTTACTCACACATATAAAATTCAGAAGGAATGTGCGCATAGTCTGAAGAGATGCGAACATGAGCGACTTGTACTAGTGTAACCATGGAATTTTATTATTATTGTCATTAAACAATGTAATTACTAATCATGGACCCGGGGTAGTCATGTGGGTACCCGGGTTCTGCTCAGTACCCACCCGACCCGAGTACCCCAGTTACCCGTCACAGCCCTAGTATGCAAAATAAATCACAACTACCCCCAAAAATGTAATTTGCTTGTGTAAAAGTTAAAGATGTATAATAATGAATAAAACACCAAACTAATATACCCCTACTATGTATCATTACCCTGATTGCCCAGTGTCAGATTTTCAGCATGCATTCCTGTATCTCTTGACGCGTCTCTTTTTACTTACCTAATGCTCGGGGGCACGAATGGTCCAGTTGTCTAAGGCGCCGCAGTTCGCTGTGCAGAGTTGCACCCCTTGGGCACGCAAGAAACCTATGATTGTGGGTTCAAATCCCGGGTTCGCCCCGATTATGTTTCTAGGTTTGTCAGTGTGGTCATGGGTTTAATCGAAGTGATAAACGTCTGAGACCTGCATCACATCAGGCTTTCCTCCCACATTAAGCTCACACGCTGCAATATAACTGGAATACTGTTCCAAGCGGCGTTAAATACCTAACTCACTCACTCACTCTAATGGCAGCTTCAGACGCGGTGCATAATGGACAAAAATACCATATGTTGCTTAAAAAGGGATCTGAATGAAAAACCTACAAAAAAGTATTTATCCCTGTTGTAAGCTTGTGATATGGATCAGGACAGATGCAAATTAGAAGTCACTGAAACAGCATTTAGCCGAAAAGTTTATATGAATCATCTCCTCACTGGTTTATAAATACCCATTCATCTAAACTCTTCGGAGTACAAAAAACCCACTAATCCCCAGTGAGACTGATAACGTGAGGAAATGATAATGACGTTAAATATTATCTGGACCGCTGATTATCCTGATGGCTGAGTGAAATACAAGTCACAAGTTTACAAAGCCTTATCATTTGTTATCACTAGTTATAAGGGGCGGTGGGATAGCCTAGTGGTTAAAGTGTTCGTTCGTCATACTAAAGATCTGGGTTTGATTTCCCCATATGGGTACAATGTGTGAAGCCCTTTTCTGGTGTCCCCCACTGTGATATTGCTTGAATATTGCTAAAAGCGGCGTAAATCAATACTGACTCACTCACTCATTGGTTATAACAGGGGGATGGGTGGTCCTGTTGTCTGATTCACCGTAATTTGCTGTGCAAGGATTGTGTCTAGTTTTGTCTTGCATCTTCATGCTCGTGGGTTTCACAAAAATGGTAAATGTCTGAGACATGCATCACTTCTGCTTTTTTTCCCACACTAAGCTGACATGCCGTGATACAACTGGAATAGTGTTAAATCAATGTCACTCTCTCACTATAACTGTGACAACACGAATTGGGAAAATTTTAATTAATTTTTTGGATTTGTACTGACGTTTTGTGCAGACTTTGGGAAGTATATCGTCCTTGGAGCAGGTCTACCCATGAAGATCTGTGTTAGAATAGATCTTCAGCAACCCATGCTTGCCATAAAAGGCGTCTATGCTTGTCGTAAAAGGTGACAAACAGGATCGGGTGGTCAGGCTCGCTGACTTCGTTGATGCATGTATCATATCCTAGTTGTGTGGATCGATGCTCATGATGTCAGCCTCTGGATTGTCTTGTCCAAGCTCGATTATTTACCCACTGCCATCATATAGCTGAAATTTGTTCTTAAGACAAACATAGTCGCCTTTTACGGCAAGCATGGGTTGCTGAAGACCTATTCTGCCCCAGATCTGATACAATTGAGTTGATATATCAATACTAATTTTCCAATCAATGACACCCCTACTTTCACATTAATATCTGTGATATAATATTGACTATTTGACTGTCCAATGTTCACAGGACTTTAAGTAATAGAAAATATTCCTAAAATGCTGCCAACTGACTGTAAAGAATAGTATTCCTCCAGGAACAGACCTGCTGTAGTCTTTATATGTGGGAACATGTAATAAATCTCTGATTCAGAATGTTAATGGAGTAGTATTTAAGAAGTCAGCAGTCTGGCTCACAGTTGTGAAAGACTATGTTTTTTATTATACTCAGTGCTGTGACTGAACTCTGAACATACTTTCAATACAGCCGTTAGGGTTCAGTCAGTTGTTACAATAGGTTGTGTCAAAAGGAAATAAATTGAAAAGATTACATACTTTTCCTATTCATGTAATAACTGAAGGAGAGACCATAAGCCACTGTATGCTGTAAATGGTTTCAGAAATAAATAAATGCAGTGCCTATTCTGTGGTAGCATGTGGTCCTGCAAGGCCGTAGTTAAGTTTTTTTGACAAGGGGGGGGCAGTATCAAGTTCAAGTTAACTTTCACAAGGAAAAATGTTTCTATAAAAAAATCCAGGCGGGGGGGGGGGGGGGGGGGGGGGGGGGCAAAGAGTCATTAGATGGGTGACCGCCTGCCCCACATTGAAGCACATGTAGCATATGTGGTGTCTCCTTGCTCAAGTGACTTTGTTTCGAACTATGCCTCCTCACCCAGCAGTGAATGGGTACCTTGTAGGAAGAGATATTAATGAGACTATTTAACTTCTAGTGCCTAACAGGCACCTTGGGTTGTATACTCCCAAAGGAGTTAAGAATGAAAAATTGACTGCACACTGATCCATTGATCGCGGTTATAATAATACAGTGCTTTGTGCATAAATTGTGTATGGAGTTATGCACTTTACAGTCAGACTATAACGAAGTAGGGCAGGGGAACCGAGTTCGTAATAATTTGATGTTATTGTAATATACTCTATTTGCCGCCCCTTGAACAACTTTTGACCAATTTGTGAATAGTCTTAATGAGCACCTCCTACAAGGATATAACAAATGTTCACTACAGTCTGTATTTTCCTATAAGGATTTTTACTAAAAAAACAGAAGGGGTATGTAATTGGCTTTTAACTATTGTAAAAAAAGTTGTTGCCGTCATCGACATTGTTCACTACCTCACTATCTCTGAAATCAACTTTAGCTCCTTATCATTGAGCTGTGAACAGCTTGTTGCCCATTTGTAAAAGATTTAAACGCCACAGGGGCTTATTACAGTGAATATGGTAAGTAGGGTGAATGAGGTGTACAGTTTTGTATAGTTTCTGCTTGGAGGATATGTCATGAATGGATGTGAGGATTAAAAAGCAATTTAAGGAATAAGAATCGTTTCTATCTGTTGCAGATGTCTCTGTACAGAGTGCCACGTTACAGGATTTGTCATGCGATCAGCGCTGTTTTGCGATCATTACCACGCCGATGTAAACACACATCCCCAGACCAGGTACCCCATGTGGCCATCATCGGAAGCGGTCCTGCAGGCTTCTACACAGCACAGCAGCTCCTGAAGGTAGGGTACTAAGATCTGTTATGTCCAGCATCAGTAGTGGTCCAACAGGCCATAGCAGCATCCTTTGGTGGGGTACTAGGTATATATTCCCCCCTTATGTGAACATCACTGTGAACACCTTTGGAGTTGTGATAATTGGAGGGCTACAGCTACTGTGTTGAACAGGCCCCTCCTTTTGCCATCATTGGAAATGGCCCTGCAAAAATAATGAGACGTTCTTTTTTGTGGACCTGCTGGAATGTGTAAAGCATTTAGCAGTAGGCCTGCAAGTTTCTGGTAGTGTGCCTGCTGGAATGTGTAAAGCACTTAGCAGTAGGCCTGCAAGTTTCTGGTAGTGTGCCTGCTGGAATGAGTAAAGCACTTAGCACAAGGCCTGCAAGTTTCTGGCAGTGTGCCTGCTGGAATGTGTAAAGTACCTGGCAGTAGGCCTGCAAGTTTCTGGTAGTGTGCCTGCTGGAATGTGTAAAGCACTTAGCAGAAGGCCTGCAAGTTTCTGGTAGTGTGCCTGCTGGAATGTGTAAAGCACCTGGCAGTAGGCCTGCAAGTTTCTGGTAGTGTGCCTGCTGGAATGTGTAAAGCACTTAGCAGTAGGCCTGCAAGTTTCTGGTAGTGTGCCTGCTGGAATGAGTAAAGCACTTAGCACAAGGCCTGCAAGTTTCTGGCAGTGTGCCTGCTGGAATGTGTAAAGCACCTGGCAGTAGGCCTGCAAGTTTCTGGTAGTGTGCCTGCTGGAATGTGTAAAGCACTTAGCAGAAGGCCTGCAAGTTTCTGGTAGTGTGCCTGCTGGAATGTGTAAAGCACCTGGCAGTAGGCCTGCAAGTTTCTGGTAGTGTGCCTGCTGGAATGAGTAAATCACTTAGCAGAAGGCCTGCAAGTTTCTGGTAGTGTGCCTGCTGGAATGTGTAAAGCACTTAGCAGTAGGCCTGCAAGTTTCTGGTAGTGTGCCTGCTGGAATGAGTAAAGCACTTAGCACAAGGCCTGCAAGTTTCTGGCAGTGTGCCTGCTGGAATGTGTAAAGTACCTGGCAGTAGGCCTGCAAGTTTCTGGTAGTGTGCCTGCTGGAATGTGTAAAGCACTTAGCAGAAGGCCTGCAAGTTTCTGGTAGTGTGCCTGCTGGAATGTGTAAAGCACCTGGCAGTAGGCCTGCAAGTTTCTGGTAGTGTGCCTGCTGGAATGTGTAAAGCACTTAGCAGTAGGCCTGCAAGTTTCTGGTAGTGTGCCTGCTGGAATGAGTAAAGCACTTAGCACAAGGCCTGCAAGTTTCTGGCAGTGTGCCTGCTGGAATGTGTAAAGCACCTGGCAGTAGGCCTGCAAGTTTCTGGTAGTGTGCCTGCTGGAATGTGTAAAGCACTTAGCAGAAGGCCTGCAAGTTTCTGGTAGTGTGCCTGCTGGAATGTGTAAAGCACCTGGCAGTAGGCCTGCAAGTTTCTGGTAGTGTGCCTGCTGGAATGAGTAAATCACTTAGCAGAAGGCCTGCAAGTTTCTGGTAGTGTGCCTGCTGGAATGAGTAAAGCACTTAGCACAAGGCCTGCAAGTTTCTGGCAGTGTGCCTGCTGGAATGTGTAAAGCACCTGGCAGTAGGCCTGCAAGTTTCTGGCAGTGTGCCTGCTGGAATGAGTAAAGCACTTAGCAGAAGGCCTGCAAGTTTCTGTTAATATGCCTGCTGGAATGTGTAAAGCACTTAGCAGTAATTGTTCCTGATGCACACTATTGTTCCTGACACACACTATTGTTCCTGACACATGCTATTGTTCCTGACACATGCTATTGTTCCTGACACATGCTATTGTTCCTGACACATGCTATTGTTCCTGATGCACACTATTGTTCCTGACACATGCTATTGTTCCTGACACACGCTATTGTTCCTGACACAAGCTATTGTTCCTGACACACACTATTGTTCCTGATGCACACTATTGTTCCTGACACATGCTATTGTTCCTGATGCACACTATTGTTCCTGACACATGCTATTGTTCCTGATGCACACTATTGTTCCTGACACATGCTATTGTTCCTGATGCACACTATTGTTCCTGACACACACTATTGTTCCTGACACATGCTATTGTTCCTGATGCACACTATTGTTCCTGACACATGCTATTGTTCCTGACACATGCTATTGTTCCTGATGCACACTATTGTTCCTGACACACACTATTGTTCCTGACACATGCTATTGTTCCTGACAGACACACACTGACTGTTCCAGACATTCGCTATTGTTCCTGACACATGCTATTGTTCCTGATGCACACTATTGTTCCTGACACATGCTATTGTTCCTGACAGACACACACTAACTGTTCCAGACATTCACTATTGTTCCTGACACATGCTATTGTTCCTCTCTCTCTCTCTCACACACACACACACACACACACACTCTCACACACACACACACACACACACACACACACACACACACACACACACACACACACACCACACCACACCACACACACACACACACACACACACACACACACACACACACACACACACACACACACACTATTGTTCATGAACATACACTAACTGTGTGCAGCTACTATTAGTGAACCAGCAACATGTCTTGCCTGGGTGAGCTGTCCCTTGTTTTTGTCAGTGACATGAAACCTTTACACTTTGTACTTATTTCCTTAAAGTGCTTGCTTTGATATGGCTTTTCATCTTATCCTGGGATTTTGTCTTGTCACTTCTAGGGACATCCAACAGTGAAAGTTGACATATTTGAAAAGTTACCAGTTCCGTTTGGCCTTGTTAGGTTTGGGGTCGCCCCGGATCACCCAGAGGTCAAGGTGAGGTCACTCAGTCAATAGTTCTAAATAACATTAGCAATATGAAAGTGTGAAAGGATACTTGATTATGGCCCAGACCACATATAATTTTTTAATGTGGGTATTTGTTAAATGATCTGGCTTGTCAACATCCATGATTGTCCAGTGTATAATGTGTCCTTTGTTAATTATGATAAATACCCTCAACCTTTTCGCTGCCGCTGTTTTGTTTTGAGCCCTTTTCAAATAGTGTGAATCAAATTACAAAGAGCCAATCAAATTACAATCATGAGCAAGAGATATTCTAGAAATAGGACAGATGGAGATAGTAGCATCACTTATTGAAACAGAGCCATGGCATCCAGGGTATTTATTATGATAGAATGGAGATATATTTCCCTGCATCATTGAGGATGGCTTGTCAGTTGTCTTACACTTTGAGGTCATATTAAACAGCTTGATGTAAAAGGATTAAACAGTTTAACACGTAGTTAAGTTACATGGAAGTGTTAGATTGGTTTATAGCTAATTAACAAGTTGTTAAAGTTACGTGAAAGTGTCACATTGGTTTCACATCTAATTGACAAGTATTGAAAGCATGGTGACTACACAAGGCTGTTGTTCCAGAATGTCATCAATACATTTACCCAGACTGCTGGGAATGAACGATGTAGTTTCCTTGGCAATGTGACAATTGGAAAAGACATCACGGTCTCCGAGCTGCAGAAGATTTATACAGCAGTAGTTCTGGTAAGATGGCTGTCTTTTGGCCCCTGCATGAATTTCAGGGTACCCTCGGTTCCCAGTAGCCCTGTCTGGTTGTTAGGCGGGAATACAAACACAAGTACATTTCCAGAAAATGTGAATCAGGAAGTCTTACCACAATGAACTAAATTATTATGGTAAAAGTTGTTTGTGTTATTTTCCAATGCAAAACACACAAATAGGCAGAGGGCAAAAAAGATCAATAACAAAAAAGGAACCACAGGATTCAAGATGGTCATTCGCAGTGACTTGATTGATTGTGTGTCATCGTGCACCATATGCGTTTGACATTGCTCATAATATCAATCACTGATTTTCTGTTACAGACCTGATGATATTGCTAGATTATTGCTGAAAAAGGACAAAATAATCTCTTCTATTTGTGATTTTGGATCCAGCCTATCGTCTGTCTCCATGGCAACCAATGTGTTCCTCATTAGGGCTGGGACGGGTAAATCGGGTACCCGGGTCGGCTGGGTACTGAGTATGACCCAGGTACCCACAGAACTACCCGGACCCGTGGTTAGTCACGTGATATATTGTTTAATGACAAAAATTATGCACCCATTTCACCCGACTTTTCATATGGTTGAATAAAGATATAATTTAAGTCAACTTCAGTGTATGCATGGCCTGATTGTTTAATACATGTGTCTTAATACGTTTTGCCAGGGTTATGGTAAAAAAAATATCCCAATCGGACATTTTGTACCTATCTCTTGAGGCCTACAGTGGGTACCGGGGTAGGGTCGGGTAGTAGGGGGGTGGGTACCTGGGTAGTAACTGTGGACTCGTCCCAGCCCTGTTCTTCATATATATGGAGGCAGTTGTGATAAATGTTTATTATTTCTTGTAGTCCTATGGAGCTGATGCTGACAGGACGCTGGGAATCCCAGGAGAGGTGAGGCTGGTCTCTTGTCAGGGTCGTTCCCCAACACAACATTAATTTTACAATGAAAATTGTTAAAATGGTCAAAATGTCTGATGTTAGTTCTTGAATAGGTACCACTTCACAAGATGTTATCTTATAAAGATTATCAAATTTTATGTAAAATGTCTTTTCAAGTACAATGAAATCTGAAAATGAATGTTTGAAACACTTATCATTTAGGGTTGGTGATAAAGAGTCTTTCACAATAGTTTCCAAGTGTGGAACGAGGTATAAAACATAAGTCTTTGTCCCCATGAAGATCCTGCTTAGAAGTGGTCTTCAGCAATCCATGCTTGACCTAAGAGGCGACTTTCGGATCGGGTGGTCAGACTCGCTAACTTGTTTGATACTTGTCATCATATCCCAATTGCCAAGATTGATGCTCATGATGTCAATCACTGCATTCTCTCGTCCAGACTCGATTATTTACAGCTGGAATATTGCTGAGTGTAGCGTTAAAGAACAAACAAACATACGTTAGCCTTTGTTTCCACTTTGACAGCTTATGAAATATTTGTTTACAAGGATCTGCCAAATGTGCTGTCTGCCAGACGATTCGTAGGATGGTATAACGGCCTCCCTGAAGACAAGGAAGTAGGTGCCATGATGTCAGTACACAAATATTGTTTCACTTTGTAAGAGTGAGTTGGGTTTAACGCCGCTTTTAACAGTATTTAACAGACCATAATCACTATATTCCAGAAATGGTTAGGCCGGTTAAAGAAATATTCTTCTTCTAATGACTTTCTTCAAACGAGAGAGGATATTATTTCATCATTTCATTTATTTAGTATGTTACAAATTGATATAAAATTAACTCGATTCTTGTGCTCCACACTGTGGTTCAAATCATGAGTGAGTGAGTGAGTGAGTTGGGTTTAACGCCGCTTTTAACAGTATTCCAGTTATATCACGGCGGGTCAGCTTAATGTGGGAGGAAAGCCCGAAGTGATGCAGTTCTCAGACAGTTACCACTTCCGTGAAACCCACGGGCATGGGTATGGTGCTGACAAACCTAGAAACATAATCGGGGCAAACTGGGATTCGAACCCACAATCATAGGTTTCTGGCATGCCCAAGGGACACAACTCTGCACAGCGAATCACGGCTCTTTAGACAAATGGGCCACCTGTGCCCCCGTTTCACTATGTAATGTTGCTATGGAAGTAAGGATAAACAGGGGTCTGATTGAAGCAAGGTGCCACTTATCATGCCTGGTTCCACTGCTGGGTTTGAATGCCAGATTTTAAGCCTTGGCCTGTCAGCACCTATCCATGCTATAAATGTAGATATCAGTCATTAAGCTGACTGACCTGTAAAGATCTGGGTTAGAATTGGTTTTTAGCAACCCATGCTTGGCTTCAGAGGCGACTGTGCTTGTCGTAAGAGGCTTGGTTGATGCATGTCATGTCCCAATTGCGTGGATTAATACTCATGATGTAATTCACTGGATTGTTTGGTCCAGACTTGATTTTTTACAGACCGCCTTCATGTAGCTGGAATATTGCTGAGTGCGGCGTTAATCAACAAACAAAGAAACATTAAGCTGACCTATGTTTGTTGATAAAACAAATGAAATGATCAATGTGAGTAAATTGTCAAATTCATTAAAATCAGATCTTTATTCTAGCTTCCGCTGAACAAAGATCTGAGGACATCCCATTACGGGTCACGTCAGGCCGACCTTGCCCGAACTTTGACTGACCAATGGAATGACCAATCATAAGGCAGCTTTCTCGTGCTTTACGGCACAAATTTCAAATTGGCGACTACGCTTCGAAACATATTTTGACAAATTCTCGATGACAAATTTGAAACCTGAACCAAAAAAGCATTCTGGAATGGCTAATAGATGGTCTAGATTGTAAGGATTCAGTCATTAAACCCGTAACTATCGTTCGGAATACACCATGTTAAAGTTTTCGAGATTGCATGACTAGAAATCACATTCCGACTGTCACTTACATAATTTGGTAAGCAACGCACTGATTGGTCGGATGAAAGGTCGTTCTGACATGACCCCTAATGGGATGTCTTCAGATCTTTGTTTAGCGGTAGCGAGAACTAATGTCTGATTTGAATGAGATTGGTAAATTGTTGACTTCTGTGTTCCCATGGCCTTGTGACTGTTGTTTTCAGCTACCAGTTGACTTGAGCTGTGATTCGGCTGTTGTGTTGGGCCATGGCAACGTCGCTCTAGATGTGGCCAGGATACTTCTCACTCCACTGGATATACTGAAGGTAGAGTCATTTTGTGTGGCATATACACTGAAGGTGGAGTCATTCAGTGTGGCATATATATACTAAAGGTAGACATTCAGTGTGGCATATATAGGGGCGGTCGGGTAGCCTAGTGTTTAGTGTTCGCTCGTCACGCCGAAGAGGGTTTGATTCCCCACATGGGTACAAAGTGTGAACCAATTTCTGGTGTCCCCTGTCGTGATATTGCTGGAATATTGCTAAAAGCGGCGTAAAACCATACTCACTCACTCACTATTTTGCAGAAAACAGATATATCCGAACATGCGCTTGCATCCCTGGCTGAAAGCCGCGTCAAACAAGTGCATCTGGTCGGCCGTCGAGGGCCACTGCAGGTTGCCTTCACCATCAAGGAGTTGCGCGAAATGGTCAACCTCCCAGAGTGTCGGACAGTCATTAACCCAGAGGACGTCGCCAGCCTTAAAGAACTGATAAATGGTAAGATTGGGACAAATATTTATGTAAGTGTAATATTGTTGGAATCGTGATAATGAAAGTAATATTACCTTACTCCTGATTTATGTGCTCAGGTTGACGTTAAACCCCATTTCACCTCACCTTGTTTACTAGGACAAAATATATTACCATTACCATTATAATATATTAACATTGTGATGCAATTTCATTGTAGCGATATCTCCTAGGAGATATCTTTTGATCTCACCTAAACAATATCTCCTGTAAAAGCCAGTTAGGATGAATTTGTTTCCCAGACCTCCCTCGTCCCCGCAGACGGCTGACAGACCTCCTGTACAGATCTGGGTGTCAACCTGCGGAGAAGGATGTCACGCGCTGGGCTGAAGCTGCACGCCAATGGAACCTGCACTTCTGTCTCAGTCCACAGGAAGTTGTTGCAAGTGCTGATGGGAAGGGACCAGAAAAAGTCAAATTTGCTGTAAACCGACTTGAAGTAAGCATGCAAATACATTGTCCATTTGTTATAATTGCTAAACTGTTTCCAAGAGTTGAGTAGCACCAATGAGCTTGGTGTATTTACCATTTAATATGTATATTTAAACATAAAAGCCAGAAGACTTCATCAGAAGTCAGTACTACAGACTAATGGCTGTGTGACTATCTACTACGATTGTATGGGGAATTTTGCAGCTATTCATGACCCCCTAATTTAAATAATTAGCCAGTGACAGTGTTTAAATTATTTTTTTTCAGGGCACAGATCTCGTCAACCAAAAGGCTGTGGCAACGGATGCTGTGACTGATATACCATGTGGATTGGTAAGCTTGTGTACAAACTGATGTGTCAAACTGTACAGTGCATGCTTCATTGGGAAACATGGCTAAATAGGTCCCCAGGATCCCATGCTTGTAAGGGCTGATTAATGAGGAGTGGGTTTTATCCCTTGCAACAGTGGAAGAGATATATAGGAGTGAGTGCTGTCCGTCCGTCTGTACATCCTCCATCCTTCCTTCTGTCATGTTTTGTTTCCTGAGCTTAACTCAGAGACTGTTAAATATTTCCTTGTCAAATGATGCTCAGATATCAGTCCAGCCTTGAGCTGGTGCCTATTGCTATTTAGGATCTTGTTTAAAACAAATATTTTTATGACAAGTCATGTCATGACAGATCAACTATAGTAATATGAAAGAATCTGGTGTTCTCAAACTTTTTTTTATTAGTATCTTGCAAATTGTAATAATCTAAACTGACAGATTTGATTTTAACCTGAACACATTACGAATACTACACTGTTTTGTTATGCAGGTATTAAGAAGCATAGGCTACAAGAGCATCCCGATTGACAGCACAGTGCCCTTTGATGCAGAGAAAGGAATAATCCCCAACAAGGGCAGCAGAGTACAGGGTACTAAAGGTAGAGTGACATTACACTGATCTTAAAAAGAGTGAGTGAGTGGGTATGGTTTTACGCCGCTCTTAGCAATATTTCAGCAATATCACAGCTGGGGACACGAGAAATGGGCTTCACACATTGTACCCATGTGGGGAATTGAACTCGGCTCTTCGGCATGACGAGCAAACGCTTTAACCACTAGACTACACCACCGCTCCTCTTGACAAGAACCGACCAAGCCAAACATATGTGACACTTGTGTGTTTGTATTTCATTTAAACATTATGGTATGAAATTGTGCAAATATTCATTGTTGTTCATGTACCTCATGTCTTGTTTGTTTGTTTGTTTGTTGTTTTATGCAACACTCAGCAACATTCCTGCTATATGATGTCGGCCTGCAAATCATCAAGTCTGGGATTCTGGTTCGACTTATGCTGTCCGTAGGGGATCTTAATGGATTCGTTGGTCAGGCTTGGTGACTTGGTTGATGGCATGTGAACCTATGTCATTGATCTTTGCTCACAATATCAATCACTTGACTGTCTGGTCCACTTGATTATTTACAGACTGGCATCATATAGCTGAAATGTTGCAGAGCCTGATGGTAAATAAACTGTTTTTGATATTACAGGTCTATACTGTAGCGGATGGGTCGGACGGGGCCCAGTTGGTGTGATCCTCAACACCATGACAGATGGGTTTGACACAGGCAAGGTCATCCTCAAGGACATGGAAGAGGGTCAGTTGGAGACAACAGGGAAACAAGGTCATGCCGAGGTCAAGGACATGCTGACCCAGAGAGGTCAGCCCTTTTGCAGTTCTATATGTTGTCACATTATTATGTTAAAATTGGTAGCAGAGGTCCCAAATTGTCAAATCTTCCCAGAAATAGCGCTGAAAATTGAGTTAATGAACTAACCGAGCTAGTGAGGTGTCATGGCATATGTTGTCTCCCCAGGAAACCCAGGTTCAGTTCTGATACGGCCACAATGTGTCAGGCAGCTTCTTGTTGGTCTTGTTAGCGTGATATTGCAAGAGGCTGCATTGAAACATTCTCTCCCTCTTGACCCATGAAGATCCAGGTTAGAAGAGGTCTTCAACAAATTCTTGTCAGGCTCGCTGACTTATTAGGGACATGTCATCCTATCTCAATTGCTCCTGATGTCAGTCACTAGATTGTCTGGTCCACACTCAATTATTTCAAGAGTTGGAATATTGCTGAGTGCGGCATTAAACAACAAACAAACAAACAAAACACTCACCTCCTCACTTGCTGTTTCAGGTGTGGAAATTGTCACATTTTCCGACTGGGAGAAGATCAACACAGCGGAGTCAGAAGCAGGGAAGAAAATTGGAAAACCACGAGAGAAGATAACCGACATTCCCAACATGCTTGGTGTTGTCAAATCTAAATCTTAACACATATATTTATCAGTTTAGCCAATTATACAAATTATTATTCTATTTTGTTAGTCCCAGGTATGTTGGTTGTAGAGTCATACATTAGAGAGCTTCATCAATGAGAGTGACTGCTCCACAAGCTAGGGCTTCATAGGTATGTATCTAGGCCTTTTGACTCATGAAGATCTGGGTTAGAATAGGTTTTCAGTAACCAATGCTTGTCGTAAGAGGCGACAAAAGGGATCGGGTGATCAGGTTCGCTGACTTGGTTGATGCATGTCATCGTATCCCAATTGCGTGGACCGACGCTCATGATGTCAATCACTGGATTGTTTGGTCCAGACTTGATTATTTACAGACCACCAACCATTTAGTGGGAATATTGCTGAGTGCGGCGTTAAACAACAAGAAAACAAACAAAACATATCTAGGCCTTTACAGAGTTAAATGTCATGAGGCTCTTGTCAAGTACCCATAAAAAACGCCACATAGAATTTCTAAGTTTGTCAGCTTACAAATGTTTTCGTTTACTTTTATTTCATTGATAATATGACCAATGAGGAGAAAAAAGCTTTTGTTAAATAACTTTAGATTGTAGGTTCGAATTCCGAGTTCGCCCCGATTATGTTCGCCCCGATTATTAGGTTTGTCAGCACCATACCCATGCTCATAGGTTTCACCGAAGTGGTAAACGTCTGAGACCTGCACCACTTTGGACTTTCCTCCCACATTAAGCTGACACGCTGTGATATAACTGGAATACTGTTAAAAGCGGCGTTAAACCCAACTCACTCACTCACTTAAATAGTTTTGAAAATGCTGGATAATTCCTTGTGTTTTAAGAGTCAACTTGAAATCAAGCATTTACAGTGTGTAAGCAAGTTGATTGTGTGTTATCGTAACTTGAATACATGGACCGTTACTCATACTGTCAGAAATTGACTCGATTGTTTACTGATTTCTGATAGGACTGGAATATTGCCGACAGTGGTGTAAAACAAGATGCACTCATTTATCATGTAGCGATGTCATCAAACATATTCTGTGAGTTTGTATACTCCCAAGGGGGCTGAGAATGAATTTGTGTGCACAGTGATCCAAAGACCAGTTGATAATAATGTAGCACCATGAGTATTCACACCTGTGAAAGGAATCGGTCGCATTATAAATGGACTCATCATTATCTTTATTAAGTCGAAGAGACAATGGTCTGAAAAGCATTGTGATGCAATTTCATTGTTGGATATCTCAACCAAGGTTATCTCCTGTGACAGCCTTGAAAGTCTTGCTTCCACCACCAAATATGGCTTTATGTCTCTTTGCCTGCATTCATGCAGCAGGTTGAGCAGTTAGTCACAGACTTTTTTCCTGTGTAGTGGCCAAAATTCATCATATATATTTAAATCATGGTTGTAACTTTTATTTGTTGCTTGTGATTATATTGATTGCAATATGTTTTTGTTGTGTTTGATTTTATATCATCAATGATAGATCTAAAAGGGATGACATCAATTTAGTTGAGGAAAGTCTTCCCCTTCTTATCACATAAAGCAGTAATAAAAAAACGGTTAGCATCACTAAATTGCCCCAAAAGCTTAATTTGTCTTAGATCTGTATGAAGTGAAAGCTTGTCTAGAAATTATTTTTCTTTGATGAATGGTGATTCCTCAATCTCGTTAAAATCAGAACTGACCCGTGAAGATCCGTGGTAGAATAGCTCTTCAGCAACCCTTGCATGCCATAAAAGGCGACTGTTTGTAGTAAGAGGCGACAAACGGGATCGGGTGGTCAGGCTCGCTAACTTGGTTGATGCATGTCATCGTATCCCAATTGCGTTGATGGATGCTCATGACATCAATCACTGGATTGTTTGGTCAAGACTCGATTATTTACAGTCCGCCGTCATATAGCTGGAATATTGCTGAGTGCAGCGTTAAACAAACAAACAAACAAAACAAAATCAAATCAGAACTTTTACTCCAAGGTGAGAGAGAGCGATAGTCACTTTCAAAGGGAGACAACTGCAGATAGGACAGTGCAATATTGTTAAGACAAGTAGAGGAAATGTTTTAGGAGACTTTTCCTGTATTATATTGTGATTAGACATGGTATACATCAATTACTGTCAGAATTTGTATCATAGGTTATTTCCTGGTTCATCCTATTTTGTTGTTTCACACAGAGTACTGCCTTAATATGTCAGGAGGATACAATAGAACTGTTTAATCAAACATGAAAAGATAAATATCCTGCTCACCATTTTTCATATGACTTAAGTTTATCTGTCATGTCATGAGAAAATCAGGTGTTTGTAAACTTATTTTGAGTAGTATATTTACCCTGAGAACAAACTTGATTTTAAAGATAAATTCGTCTTTGCCTTCTGGAAGATATTTCTTCAAATGTTCATAACATGTCATTATTTTGTCATGATCATCAACAACAAAATGCCACACATTGGAAGCTAATTACCTCAAGTGCTTGTTATTATCCAAACAGTTGGGGGGATGATGCTGGATGGGCAATTTACATGAAATATACAATGTAACAATATGATGTGTAATTAGGTACTAAATGTTATAAAGAGGACATGGCTGGTTTGAAGTTCATTTCAAACATCTTTTGAAATTAATTCGGTCCATCTCTTCATAATTTGATGGGGCACGGATGGCCCAGTCGTCTAAGGTGCCGCGATTCACTGCAGAGTTGCGTCCCTTTGATTGTGGGTTCGAATCCCGGTTCACCCAAATTATTCTAGGTTTGTCAGCATCATACCCATGCTGGTGAGTTTCACCAAACATCTGAGACCTGCATCACTTCGGGCTTTCCTCCCACATTAAGCTGACACGCCGCGGATGTAACTGGAATACTGTTAAGAGCGGCGTTAAACCCAACTCACTCACACACTCACTCACTCACTCACTCACTCACTCACTCATGATTTGAACCACAGTGTGGAGCACAAGAATCGAGTTTATTTTATATCAATTTGTAGCATAGTAAATAAATGAAATGATGAAATAATATCCTCTCTCGTTTGAAGAAAGTCATTAGAAGAAGAATATTTCTTTAACCGGCCTAACCATTTTCTGAAATATAGTGATTATGGTCTGTTATCTTGAGTCAAAGATCAGTGGAAGAATCATTACCATGACAACATGTTATGAAGTCTCTGAGTTAGTGAGGTATCATTGTATATGTGATGAATTTACAAAGATGAAACTGAAGTCAAATATGAAATACATATAGAAATATATGTATATATTATACTTATGTATTTAACACACACACACACACAGACACACACACACATATATATATATATATGTTCAATATTTCTTTGAATATTCATTGATATTTTATGAAATAAATGCTGTTATACATGACCTCTGTGAGTTGAATATTTCTTCATGTTCATGGACATGTATCAAACATTATCAATAATAAATTCTGTCCAATTTATTAAGATATTTATTATGTCAAATTTTCTTACTAGTCTTTACCAAGTGATATTGAAATTGGTTCTGTCCGTCAGTCTGTGTGTGCGTGCGTCCGAAATCTGGAGCAAAACTCAAAAACTGTTAAATACTTTGCATGTTTACCAGACACTTTGCATGTTCACCAGACACATACTGAACTGGTGCCTTTTGCTATTTTAGGAATTTTAGAAATATTTATTTTTTACGTTTCCATGGCAACAAGTTGGACTTAGGTTCTTCTAGGGTTGTGTTGGTTTCACAGCGCAACTCAAAAACAGTTAAATACTTTCTTACAAAACCTTGCATGTCTTCCAGGCACATACTGAACTGGTGCCTTTTGATATTTTGCACTTTTAGAATATTTTATTGTTTATGTATCCATGACAACAAGTTGGATTAAAGTTTTAATCTTTGGTGGGTTCACTTACGGAGTATAACAAATAAACTGTTAAATATTTCCTTGCCAAACATTGCACGTCTATATATAAAGCACAGATAAAGCACATTCTGAACTGGTGACATTTGATATTAAGGAGTTTGAGAAATGTTTATTTTAAAATTTCCATTGCAGCTATTTTGACATGGGCTAAGAGAAATGTTGGGTCAGTTACCTGGTTTGGGACCATAATGTGTTAAAATGGGTGAGGTATATAGATGACTTTGTGGTCTTTGGGCTTGTTACTATTCTGATATATCGGGGTCGGGTTGTTGTTGTTGAAAAATAACTTTTAATTTAATATTTGAAATGACATGTATCACAAAGGACCAGGGAGATTAAGGGCCTGTTTTGGTCCACTAGAAATGTCAAATATGAAACATGGAAAATGTCAGACATGTTCAAATGATTACCTATATTTCCTACTTCAAACAAAACTTACCCGTGGAGATCCGGGATAGAATAGGTCTTCAGCAACGCATGCTTGTCATTAGAGGCAACTAAGGATCGGGTGTTCAGTCTCAGTGACTTGGTTTGATGCATGACATTGTATCTCAATTGCATGGATCAATGCTCATGATGTCAGTCACTGGATTGGTCCAGACTTGATTATTTACAGACTGCCGTCATATAGCTGGAATATTGTTAAACAACAAACAAACAAACAAAACTGAACTGAGCAAAATGATTTTTACCTCATGTTTTTACAGTCTTTATCAATATCTAAGAAAATTAACTGGGGTAAAAAAGTTGCTCCTGTTTAAATATAATTTTTAGATGCTTCCTGGTAATGTATTTTTGTAGTCTTTTGACTCATTTTAGCCCAATGTGTACATTTTTAGTTGGAATGTACAGTCAACTAAACTGAAAAAGCAGTTTGCGGTTGCTTGTGTCAGGGTGTCTGGGTTATAGTGATACAGAAACAGCCATAAAATCACTCACACTCCTAGTAATTCAGGGTAAGTTGAACCTTCCACAAAACGCGTTTGAGATAAGTTGGCAGTGCACCGAATTTTGGCAAACATTTGGTTTGTTACAAGGTAGAGAGGGTGTACGCATGTTATGCACGTTTGTTTGTTTGTTGTTTGACGCCGTTCTTAGCAATATTCCAGCTATATGACGGCGGTCTGTAAATAATCGAGTCTCGACCAAACAATCCAGTGATTGACATCATGAGCATCGATCCACGCAATTGGGATACGGTGACATGCATCAACAAAGACAGCGAGCCTGACCACACGATCCCGTTAGTCGCCTCTTATGACAAGCATAGTCGTCTTTTACGGCAAGCATGGGTTGCTGAAGACCTACGTGCTCCGTTGTGCACGTTGACTACGCTCCCTTTACACACACGTGATGCTCATAAGACCATGAAGAGGTCGGTCTGACAATTATTGGATGAATGATGGGACATCACGTTCCCTTAAAGAGCTCCCCAAGATGGGTAATTGTGCGATACGCCCGCTTGACAGAAGATTCCATTAAAATGATGACGGGCCGGCCACAATACGAGTTTGATCAGTGATGCTGGTCCACTTCTTTCTTAGACTGTTCGCGTGTCATGGTGCATCGATACAGCGTGTTGCATGGGTGCACTCTCTGTCGACCTCTGGTTTGTCTGGTCCAATAACCATGTGGGAAGGACCCACTCTCAGTTTGGTCTGGCTGCTTCTGTGTCACTGTACAGCGATATATAGCGTGGACTGGTGCTCCCACTGTCGACCACTGGTTTGTCTGGTCCAATAACCAATGATTTAAGGACCCACTCTCAGTTTGGTCTGGCTGCTTCTGTGTCACTGTACAGCGATATATAGCGTGGACTGGTGCTCCCACTGTCGACCACTGGTTTGTCTGGTCCAATAACCAATGATTTAAGGACCCACTCTCAGTTTGGTCTGGCTGCTTCTGTGTCACTGTACAGCGATATATAGCGTGGACTGGTGCTCCCACTGTCGACCACTGGTTTGTCTGGTCCAATAACCAATGATTTAAGGACCCACCCTCAGTTTGGTCTGGCTGCTTCTGTGTCACTGTACAGCGATTTATAGCGTGGAGGGGTGCTCTCACTGTCGACCACTGGTTTGTCTGGTCTAAGAACAATGCAGCAAAGACCCCCTTTCAATTATGTCTTGTTGATATTGATTCATAGCACACTGACACTCCATCGATAGGCCCCCCAATGGCTGCTGATTTGTCCTTTTGGTTACTTTAAAATGCCGAAGTGTTATTGCTTTATCATTAGATACGGTATAAAACCCAATTTACTCACTCTCTCCAGCTATACGTGACAGTGTAGAAGCCGAGTGGATAAAACGTTCGTTCCTCACACCGAGGGTCCGTGTTCGAATCCCACATACAGTAAACTACGGTTATAACGAACTCAAAGGGACTACTAATTTTAGTTCGTTATAACCGTAATGCGTTATAAGCATATATACAGCATAACTACAGCAAATAGTCGGGACTAAAAAGTTAGTTCGTTATATCCGTCAGTTCGTTATAAGCGTGTTCGTTATAACCGTAGTTTACTGTACAGTGTTTGAAGCCCATTTGTGCGTTTCTTCTCCATCCTTTACCCGTGTGTATGTAAGTGGAATAACTAGTATATTTTGTATAGACTGAGTACTCGAATGTATCAATCAATAGGGAAATCTTCATTTAACTCTTCAACAGATTGTCGGAGCAAACACGACAGAAACGTGTGATCTGTTTGTCAACGTCTTGAGTGCGTGCCATCTCCCACCCTCAATGTATTCACGAAGGACAGGTCGGCATGTGTGTCAACAGACACGGTACACAATATTCACACCTGTACCTGACCTGGCAAGTGGACACGAGAGTCAGATTACCTGTTATACTCACAGCTCGCACGCACGACAGCCGCGACAAATAGCCCCGTGGTGTATCAGCGAGGGTTATCTCGGGTGACCACAGAAGCCGTTATGGCCTACTTCACTTTCATCCTCCATAATCAAGTGTTAATATTATATCTCCGTTCTGTTTGTTTGTTTGTTGTTTAACGCCGCACTCAGCAATATTCCAGCTTTTTGACGGCGGTCTGTTAATAAACGAGTCAGGACCAGACATTCCAGTGAATGACACCATGTGCATCGATCCACGCAATTGGGATACGATGACATGCGTCAACCAAGTCAGCGAGCCTGACCACCCGATCCCGTTAGTCGCCTCTTACGACAATCATAGTCGCAGTATGATCAGCTGTAACAGCTCCCAGTACTTTCGTCAATCGAAGTTCGTGACCCTTTAAATAACGGATGTAATATTCGCGTGCGTGCGTGCATGTTTTATTTTTCGTCATCGTTTACAGCTTCCTACATAAAGCATTATCATTGGCACCAGTTTGAAAACAGTTCCATAAGAAATATTATATCTCCGCACCAAACTATTAATTATTTGTTTGCAATATAATATACATTGTATATAAAACAGTTTTGTTTCATCTTCATTCATTTGCATGTTGAGTAAATCAATGTGTATGACGTGTATCAATGATTTGGTTGGTTGGTTTGTTGTTTTACGCCGCACTCGCTAAATCCCTACATCCCTAAAAAATGGTCTGTAAGTGTAGTGCTGGTGTTTGTTTATCTGTTTGTTGTTAAACGCTGCACTCAGCAATATTCTTGCTATATGACGGCGGTCTGTAAATAATCGAGTCTGGGCCAGACAATCCAGTGATTCATATCATTCATTTGATTTCCAATACATATAGGCCACAGGCATTTGTGTACAAAAGTTGTGTACAGACAGGTTTTAAGCTTTCAGTTTCGCATTTCTTACTTCATTTGCATAGTATAGATATTTTGCTAGATTTGTATTAATATATGTATCTGGTGATGACAGAAGCATATTAAATTTAGTGACGTTAGGATGACAATAGAACTTTGCTTTGAGATATAGTTGCCGTAATTTGACCTACGATGGACAAATAAGCAGGATGTGGTACTCGGTTTCAACTATCATATCATGAGCATCGATCCACGCAATTGGGATACGATTACATGCGTCAACCAAGTCAGCGAGCCTGACCACCCGATCCTGTTAGTGTATCAATGAAACCAGCGATTGTGTTTCTGTGTAATGACCTGTGGTTGTATGGGTTTTACCTTGCCAACATCACGACCATACATAATGGTAATATTGATGTCATGGTTGACAACTACTCATCTGTTTAATTTAGAATACACGACGAGTGGGAGTTGTTTATCTCATATGAGATATCAACGTTGTTTACATCCTGTTTACGAATGAAGATAAAACGTACAAGCTTTAAAAATATTTACCCGCATCTTAATAATGATGACTCCCTCAACAGAATCCGACCTCCATCCAATGTTCTGTCTGAATAACGTCAAAAATGGTCACTGCGTTATGTATCATTGCTAAAATGCAATGAATTATGATTTTTACAAATGTGTGTTGTATGGTTTTAAATTAGTCTATTTAAATTGGACCATAAGAAAATAAAAAGTATTGTCAACCGATCGTCTTACCCCTATTAACAGAACATTTTATAGTACACTTCTTGTCCAGCCATGCATGAGACTTGCATATTCACGGAGAAAAAATGAAATGAAGAGACACGCGACCTTATCCCACTCGGAAAATTCAGCGACAACCTCTTGACACTGTGACAATCAGAGCGTAACGAGGGGGACAGCGTTGTTGCCCCCCTACTGCACCCTTGGATCCCGCCTCACCCTCCGTGGATAACTCGCATCACAACTACCAGGTGCACGATGTAACAACAAAGAACAGAACGTGACCTACTCCTTAGCTTGTCGGTAAGTTAATAAATCTGTGTATTATCAACGACTAATATTAAGGGACTAAATTCCCAACTGAATCATACATCTCAACGCCTACACAAACAGCAGCCAAGCAACAGCGATCGGCCGTTGCAGAATGTAAACATCTGCCCACATGTCGTCGCATTTAGGCAGCGCGGTCAAATTTGAATGCAATGGGGTGGATGCTAAAGCACATATTCTGGATCACTGATGTTCGATCTGAGGTCTTTATCTGACCACCGATCTAAGGTCTTCTGACCACCGATCTAAGGTCTTCTGACCACTGATCTAAGGTATTTAACTGACCACCGATTGGAGAGAGGCTGTCCACGCTGTAAGTACCTCTGATCAGCTGTTACAAACTTCTCACACGTGTTGCTTTCGTCTTTCAATCGATGTTAAAGTCCCTGTGAATCACCATGTATAGTCATCGATAAGCTATGCCATATGTGAACAAACCTATGTTTAGTGTTTATGATTGGTCTTAATAGTGTTTGTCGGGTCGTATCATCGGGACAGACCGGTTTGACAGTTCGTGTCAGGTAGGTGCACACGGTATAAGGCAATATTTCACCCCATACCTGCATGTATTATATCTCTGTCATATTGTATACTTGTAATGTGTTACATTAATGTCCAGATTGAAATACACGTCTTAAAGTATTCGGGGTTTTTTCCCTACTGACCTATATTATTTAGTCCAAAGCAAAAACATAGCAAAGGCAACATGTCAGTGATGCAACTGGTCGATTTGAATTAATATATTTTGGTCAGATAAACGTACTGTTAAAGAGCTGGGACGGGTAACTCGGGTCGGATGGGTACTGAGTAGGACCCGGGTACCCACAGGACTACCCGGACCCGTGGTTAGTCACGTGATTTACTGTTTCATGACAAAAATTCACTATATAACTACATTGTTACACGACAATTGTAAGACTATAATGTTCGCATTTCTTTATGACTATGAACACGTTCCTTCTGACTTATATATGTTTGAACAAAGCTAAAACTTCAGTCAACTTCAGTGTATGCATGACCACATCGTTTTATACGTATATCTAGATACATTCTGCCAGGGCTACGGTCAAACTATTCCCAATCGGACATTTTGTACCAATCTCTTGACACCAACAGCGGGTACCCGGGTAGGGTTGGGTAATAGGGGTGTGGGTACCCTGGTAGTAAATTTGGACTCGTCCCAGCACTATACTGTACTATAGACAGTAAAGGATACCCTCATTGGGTAACTGTTATATATCGAGACAGGAGTGCGTGGGCTGTCAGTATTCAGGTGTACTTGGTGACAGCTGAGTCTCCTACAACCGGATTTAAGATCTTGAAAGTCAACTTTTCGTCATGGCAGTCTATGCATCACTGAGCATAAAATATTCTAAAAATAATCACCGCATTTATGAACAGTAAATCCTTATTGCCTCTTGTAAATATCTCCGACTTGATGGAGGGTAGCAGGGTGTGCACAGAACAGTCGGTGGATGAGGATGCACAATCGTGAACATGTATGGTATTTATTGCAAGATGTTTCCTTACTCTGTGTGTTGATGGTTCACTGAGGCACGCCATCTGTCTCCACTGGAACAAGGGCGGATCCAGCATTTTAAAATGTTATCCTCTCTCCAGATAATTGTAGTGCCTTCAACATACTACATTTGGTTTTCAAAAGGGTGTTGTGTGTTTCCGGCCTATTGGACCCCTTGGACCGTGACGAGCGAACGCTTTAACCACTAGGCTACCCGACCGCCCCAACAGAGGTAATGAAAGTGGTTGCATTTTATTGTATACTTACGAAACAGGTCGTGAATTTGAAGAAACCCAAGTTTAATTATTACAACGATTTCTAAAGGGTATTTGTACAGAATATGCACCTCAGCACTAACGACAGTTACATAACTAGCCAGAGGTTTTGATTTCAGATTTATCTATCTATCTATTTGTGACGGTTATGTCTCCCATGTGCATATTATAGTTTTTAAAATATATATGTCGACATATCGATGATCTGCAAATGTTTAGGATTTTGTACAGACAGGCGTCTGCAGTTTCTAGATAACGAAAAACAGACCTGTTGGAACAACATTCCACGGTACTTGATTTACATTGTTACAAAGTTACAAAGATATGTTAGAAGAAAAGAAATTGCCGGTAGTATCAGGAACACATTGCCAGTTTGATAATGGATGACGTCAATTGGATTTATGTTATAGTTTGGTTTGATACACACCTGCCTTTAATGATAAGTTTAGTTACTTTATAGCACATTTTGTTCATGGTGTTATTTTGGCATGCCTGTACTTTTTCATGTACATTAAATCTACCTATATATACGCGTTCAGCAAGTGGGCGTTCTATCTCTATCTCACAATCATGCTTTTTATTCATTATACCAGCCCAACTTTGTCATTTATTTTGTATCTTCAACATTAGACTATCTGAGTTTATACTGTGGTTAGGTTTCATCATTCGAGAAATTGTTTTAGATCGAGATCTATATCAATTTCACAACGTCAAACGTAACGTTCAAAGGGAGCATTAATTGTTGTGTGTGTCATAAAATTAAGGCTCCCTCAACAGCGCATAAAGTGATGACGTTTTCTGTCAATATTTTGATCAGTTATGACAATGCGCGGAAATTCAAGAAGTGGTAACAAGTGGGAATCCTGTTTGGGGGACTCATTATCTTTTGAGGACAACAGACATGGATAGATGATGTGTTTGGTAGTGTGTATGCCTTCAAGTACAGTTGAGGTTGGTCTAGTTTCAACGTAACACTCTCGCTGACAGCGTTAGCTGTGGGTCCATTTTGAAGTTTGCGCTGGCACTGAGCTGGCAAGCACAAACCACGTCAGTAGTATCATATTTCACATGTTCTGCCTACAGGGAAACCGCCGACAAGATTCTCACAGCAGCTGAAATGTTAAAGTAATTAAAATTCTTGTAACGATGGTCGATGTACGATAGCTTGTAGTTTATCCAGGTCAAGGATAATCACCGAAATTCTGTGGTTTGTCCCTACGTCAGGGCAGTAGGCCTAAAAGATCCGACAGCGGCCGAACTGACGTTATGGTAATTAGAAATGAGGTAAAATTAAGGTAATTGTAAATGTAATATAATTAAATGTTTGACAATCTGAAAGAAGCGGATATAGAAATAGCGTTTTGCGGAAGGACAAGATCGATGTAGTGTTCTCTCTAATCACAGGAACAACTGTAAAACATCTCATCGAAGACATCTTTCACTAAAAAAACAAGCCATCATCTCAGTATTTACAATGTCTGTGTGTTGCTACACACCCGTTATGGTGCGATAAATGTGGTCGTCCGAAAACTAATGACGTCCGATATTTATCGTATCCAAATTGGCATTTGCACAAGGTCTAGGCCCAGCCCATCGGTGCCCATCAGATTTCCATAACATGGGGGTAGGCCATTGGCCCCTGAAAAACCCTAACCCAAATGACCCTACATTTGCGAGTAATTTGGCTCATCTGACCTTATATTTCTTATACCTGAGTTGGTCGACCGACTATCGTACGGTCTAAAGCTCTGTCGTTATTCACGCATTGCCGTTTTAGCTTTTAAACTTTATTTTCTCAGTTTGGTAGGCCAATATTTGTTGTAATAATTAAAGTCGGGCTGTTTTAAATATGACTATTGATAAGTCATGTAGTGGAAGACTAATATTACATTCCTGCAGTGCACGAACATTTCGCAAGTGATGATAGTTTGCAACTGGAGTTTAGTTGATTGTTAAAGAAATATTAAATATACGTATTATTCGTTGTTGGTGCCACATGTTCTCTATTAGGTGATGGCTAGATCATGAAGACACTTCTGTTATGTCCTGTATTATCTTATAAGTAATTTAAGTAAATTGCATTACCATTACATATATATAAACATGGCCAATTACCTGATTTGAGAATCTAACATCCTTTAGCTGGTACTTTTAGTTTTGATCATGATGTGTAATAAATGATGAGCGTCGCCTTTCATCTCGTCTCCAACCATGATAGAATTGTCATTTGACACTGCAGTATTCCAGCAACATCGCGGATGCCTGTAAATAAGTCTGGACCAGACCAACTTTTTTATTGATATTTATGAGCATCGTTCCACACCATGGGGCTACGACGACAGGCAGTCAACCAAGTCACCCAGCCAGACCACCGGATTCATTTCGTCTACCATGGCAAGCAAAGGTTACTGGGGCCTATTCTAACCCCACTGGAAAATATTATTTTCTGAGTGTATTGGTGGCATTTATACCAATAAACTACACTTTCAAACTTGAAACTTTCAAACAGACTGGATTTGCATTGTATCTAATTAAGATGCCAAATTGCCAGTGTCTCTTCCAGTGTTTGAAATTAAAAAATAATGCCAGGCTGTCATCAGGATCCACACACGTGAAAGGCTGCATGCCCTGACTAAACTCTTCAGGTCCTCATTTAAAAAAATGCACCTTACTGTGCCAAAGAAATTGACGCGTAAATGTACTGCAGGCCCATACAAAATTGAAACTACAGGCTCGACACGAGACCTAACTGCCACGAGCCTACGGGCAGGCGCTTATTTTGAACACTGGCCTTTTCTTTTTTTCGGGGCACAGCATGGCACAGAGAGCTGCACGTATCGACAAGGCTTACATATATGTAATGTAGCATCTAAACTTGATCTTGGATTACAGTCCAATCAATATTCCGTGTGGTGTACTACTGCTTCAACACGTAAGTCTTGTACTATTTCTTACTTACCAACTTCAAGAATGCCAGTCCAACAGCGTTCATAATTACTGGTATTTTCCGGGAGTCTATGAGTAATATGTTTAGATACTGATACCTTGGGGCCATATGTGTAGTTATCGTTTAAAATACATATTTTAATTATCAAAATAATAATTATATTAGTTATTGTGTCTTTAGTTTCCGTATACAAGGTGATAATAGGGTAGCAAATAATAATGAGCGAGGCGTCTCATTTTAGGTTAGTAACAACCATCTTCGATTTTTACAGACGGTTCAGGACTCATATGGGGTTAGTAGTTCTGCTCTCTGATTGGTCAATCTCACTTTGAGGCAAAATAATTATATACATGTAATTATATTATGATTGGAATATGGAACGCCGCTGGGCTGTTTGGTGCGGTAATTAGTTTGATGAATAGTCACTTCTTTAATTTAATTTGTACATTCCAGGAAATGCTTTTGTTTGATGAATTTGCTGATGAATTATTTACAGTGACTTCTTTTTGACATTTCACGGCATCCGCTCCTCTCAGTTCTTGCCATTAAATATTGATAGTCCGGCCAGCGGTATATACTGGCTTTCTTGTAGTGTAAGAGTTATTTGCCCTTGGCACACGTGGGTGAAAAAATAGTTATCGAGCAGGTGTGTTCCGATTTCTAAAAATAGCGACCAATGAAAATAAGCTTCAGTGATGAAGGCCATATTGATACACATACTCACGGTGACATACACACAAGCACATGAATGCACGAACTAAACACAGTCCGATGTGGATAACGGGAAATACGCAATGGGAAGGCGAATTACGAAACAGTCGCCTCAACCAGTGAAGACCACAGATGTTATACAACGTGAATCTACACCGGAAAGTCCGTGCACTCCGTGAGTAATCGCTTCTGCGGTTGATGACGAGTGACCTACTCCACATTATGTTTTGAATCAAATGCTTGAGTTGAGGACGCGTTCGACTTGGAGGGAACCCCAGTCCTTTAAATTTCGAGTTACATTTACATACATAGTCGTCCATTTGTCCAAAATCGGACGAAGGGGCTAGGTTTGTGTCTATTTAATGTATAATTCTGAGTACTACCGCCGCAATGGCATAGCTATACTGCAGGTATGATATGATGTTATCAGTGAGATCATTTGGGATATAAAAGCTGGTATTACTATGAGTATTAGGCAATGCACTTTGACACTTGTTGTGATTATTGGTGTCATGTTTAAGTATTTGGTTCATGTAAAGGTTTTGATATTCGCAGATTTGTGGATAATCCTCGCACCATGGTGGCATGAATCATGATTACAAATTTCAGATGTATACATATTCAAGTAAACATCATACTTTCTAACATAGGAATACACCTGGATGGAGTATATGTATATTGCTGTTAACATTTAGTTATTTCCAAGCAGATGCCATGTGACTGATCTGATTGGATCTTTATTTGAAATGAAAATGAAGACATGGCCTGGGGTGGTGCCATGTTTATGGTTTGATATGACCTGCTTGTGACATCCTATATTTCAGTAGCAAGCACTAAAGGTGATTGATTATTAGTTGTGTGGACATATTGTCTTTGTGATGACATGAAGTTGTATGCTAACACTTTCTGTGATCTATCGGTCAAGTGATTGGCTTGTTCCTTTCAACATGTTCAAGAGTGACCACATAGCTCAGTAGATGTCGGCACAGTACAGCCCAAAGCACATGCTTATTATCACGATAGCACCAGTGTTTGTTGTGTGGGTATCATAATATGTAAGGCTGGTCACTGATAAGAAATAATACACTTTAGGTTTGAAAGGAGGTTATATGGATTTTCAAAGCTAGTAATAATTATTAGAACCATGGGACGAATACGATTTCCTACAGTGCACAAGCAGTGTAAAAACTTTGGCATGAAAGGCACAGGGTCTATATCATAGCCATAATTTTAAAAGATAAAGAGTTAGGTGTCCTTAGATTGAAAAACTGTAGAAGGAAACATCAAATGTCCCTGATC